CACTAACACCCCCTAAGGTTTCTTATATTTACACAAAACCCCATCAAGTCTCAAAAATTACATGAACACCCCCTTGAGGTTTCAATTTGTTTTCAAAAAACCCCTTTTCGTTGATTGTTTGTCCAAAAATTGATGATTTCATTGAAAAAAAAACTTATGCAAATGACAAATTAACCTCAATGAAGTATATGCAATCTAATCTCAAAGGCCAACTTTGTCATTTAAAGAAATATATATATATATATATATATATTGTATAAAATCATCAATCTTTGGATGAAAATTCAATGAAAAGGAGTTTTGTGAAAACAATTTAAAACCTCGTGGGGTGTTCTTGTAATTTCTAAAACCTTAAAGAGTTTTGTGAAAAAACCAAAAACCTTAGGAGGTGTTAGAGTAAATAATTCAAATTTAAACCTTATAGGAACTCCATGTGGTACTAAGTCACTCATGTATCTTACAATACAATATATAAAGTGCAAAATATTGTAGTAAATCATTATAAATAAATTATTATGGTGTGTTTAATCTCCTTTCATTAATTACTACATATTTTCTACACTCGCAGTGTTTGTCAACTCGCTATATAATCTACTTAAATAAGTTAAACCCATCATACAATGCATTTCCTTCTAATTTTTATTTTTGTGATAAGGTAATGGATAATTGACTAAATAAACATCCTCCAAAGTTTCAAGAATTGTTTCAAGCTTTTCTTACAATTTCCGTGGTTTTTATTCAATTTTTATCGATATTGATAATACTCCGATATTTCCATCGAAATTTCCCTGTTTTTGGACTATCGATATTTCTGAAACTATCAATATTTTAGACCATGGTTTTATCACAAAAAAATTGGAAGTAAATGCATTGCATAATGAGTTTAACTGATTTAAGTTGATTATATAGCGAGCCGACAAACATTGCGAGTGTAGAAAATATGTAGTAATTGATGAAAGAAGATTAAAAAAACCATAGTCATTTATTTATAATGATTTACTACAATATTTTACACTTTATACATTGTATGGTAAGATACATAAGTGACTTAATATCACATAGAGTTCCTATAAGTTTCAAATTTGAGTTATTTACACTAACACCTCCTGAGGTTTTCAGCTTTTCCACAAAACTCCTTAAGGTTTTAGAAATTAGAAGAACACCACCTGAGATTTTAAATTGTTTTCACAAAACTCATTTTTATTGATTTTTAGATTGATGATTAGATTGCATATACTTCATTGAGGTTAATTTTGTCATTTGCTTAATTTTTTTTCAATGAAATCATCAATTTTTAGACAAATAAGCAACAAAAGGGGGTTTTGTGAAAACAAATTAAAACCTCAGGGGTTGTTTGCGTAATTTTTGAGATCTGAGGTGGTTTTGTGAAAACACAAGAAACCTCATGAGGTATTAGTGTAAATAACTGTAACATCTCACATCGACTAACGGAGAGGGGGTGATGTGCCTTATATGTACATGCCCACCTCCATCTAGCACGAAACCTTTTGGGAGCTTACTGACTTCGGAGTCATGGGAACTTCGAAGTTAAGCGAGTTGGGGCTAAAGCAATCCCATGATAGGTAACCCACTGGGAAGTTGCTCATGAGTTCCCAAAAACAAAACCGTAAGGGCAGAGAGGGGAGCCCAAAGCGGACAATATTGTGCTACGGCGGAGCCGATCTCGGGATATGACAATACCTCTTCAAAATTTTCATTGTCTTCGTCATCTCGATATCGATATTATAGCGATAATTTGGCCAAATGTTTCTGAAGTGTGAAGGAAATCATTGACATTGATATTCTCCAATATTATTGTTGATATTATCGATATTTATACGATATGTGTATGGATACGTTCCAAAATATCATTGACCCGAAAAAAAGATAATATTTTCGATATTTCATCAATATTATCGATATTTTAGACTATGGTTAGGAGGAATGAGGAATGGCTCTAGAGTAACTTATGCTTTGTCATATTATATTATATATTTAGTAATATAAAAATAAATATACAATTATCAGGCTGCCAGGGGAAATACCGTAAAATACCATCAAGCCAAACTTTTTACTTCTCCAAATACCATCCTTCGCTAGACATTTTGGGAATGCCAAGTATAAATACATACTTATTGGGCCCTTATCACCTTTTCTTTTCCCTCTCAGCTCTCTCTCTCTCTCTCTCTCTCTCTCTGGGTCGTTCTCTCTGACCTACTTGTGCAAGGTAACATGTTTCTTTCTCGTATTCGTCTCTCTTTCTCGCCCTCTCACCCCCTAGCCCTTCACTTGCTGTGTTTGGGCTTAGTGTTAAGTTACTCAGTTGGGTCTCTCAAATATGGCATATCCCTTTTGATTTGCTCGTTCAATTCTTACCTTTTGATTTAATATTTTTGTAGAATTTTCTCTACAACCGTTACTCTTAAAAGAGGGAACTTCGACTCTCTCTTCTTGTTTTGCATGTGGGTAGTTTAATTAAGTGGTTGGATTATACTTTTTACTCTGTAATAATTAGATTAGCTTGTTGGCTAGCTGTAATGTAATCGGTTATTGTTTTCATTTATATCTGTTACAAATTGTCTTACTTTTATGCCTTTTGGTTTCTGTTTATACAAATGGCTGGAATTTTTTGTTTTGTCCATGACTGGCTATGAGGAAAAAGTTGGGTGAAGGAGCTTTTGTAGTAGATTACAGAGTTTCATTGGCTAATAAGAAGTCTTCTTCCAACGTATGATTAAGTTATTTCTACAGAAACTGATGTAACATTGCATGGGTTGGGAAATGTATTGTTGTTGATTTTTTTGTCATATCTGGATGAAGAATTATTGTAACAAGAATTTCAAAAATTGAGGTCTCTAGTGGCTTTTGGAAGATTATTATTTGTGCATATTATGAGATTCAATAGATTGTTTTTTTAAAGAAATATTCTTTAAGTTTCGCACAAGGCCCTCAAAATCTCAAGAACGGCTCTGCTTGTTGGCCAGACTCTAGTTCGCTTTTGCAGTTGCAGTAGCTTTTTGCCATTTCTAGTTTTGTGTTTCGAGTTCATTAGAAAATCTTGACAAATCCAACTTTCAATGGCAAGAGTCTCATAAATGTTAAAATAGAGTGAAAACCAGTGGCGGTTCTACAACAAGGGCAGGGTAGGCCCTACCCAAATTTTTTCACAAAAAAACAAAACTATATGTAAGCAAAGCTATTCCTGCCCATCCCATGTAATGGTGTGAACCCATGCCTACCCAAACTTAAGAGCAACCCACGTATTATATGGCCCAGTCAAACTAAAAAAAAAAAGGGGAGGGGGAATATAAGTAAGCAGCCAAATTCCCTTTCGGCTGTGCAATAGTCGACAATCCCAAATCATTATCTTTTGCAGCTTCTTCTTAAGTATGGACAATCTCTCTTGGTAGCATTTTCTCATATCTAAGGCCAATAAGTATTCTTCTATTGGGTTTTTCCTAAAATAAATGTATGCATCTTAAGTTTTTTAATAGTTTAATTTAGTTTTAGATTTAAATAGTTTAGTTTTTTGTTGCATTGCATTAATTTGTTTTTTTAGTTTCTTTTTCAGTTAAGTTTTTATATATGAGGGTAAATCTCATTACGCTCTCCCTGACTAGGTGTATCTTTTTATTTTATGAATGAAATTCATTCGTACCGTCGAGTTTTTAAGGTAAGTTTCACCTACCTGACTTTTGAATCTTAGATCTCCACTGGTTAAAACTGAAAGGAATTAACAAGGGGTTAAAAAACCCTTAGGGCATGTTTACGTATTAGTAATGGGAATGAGAGGAAATGAAATGATTTCCATTCCTAACTTCTCCTGCGTTTACTTGCAATCAGGAATGAAAAAATAAGTGGGCCTCACCTCAAAATCCGTAATCACATTCCCTCAAAACTAGGAATCAGATCAACTAGGGGGGAGTAGTCGATACGATTCCCATTCATGTTTTCTCTTCATAACTTCCAAAAATACCCTTATCACTTTACCATAATTCTAAAATTAATTTGGATTCTGATTCATGCAAATTAGTAAACAATAACAATGGGAATCAATCTCATTCAATTGCTAATTCCATATGTTTAGTAAACAGCTTAATGTGAACGATTCTTTCCATACCGATTCAGTAGTTCTTCGATTCCTAAATTCTATGATTCCTTAGTTTCTCCATTACTGATACGTAAACATGCCCTTAATGCACATGGTAATGATGTTAGGTATTGGTTTAACTAAAAGGAAATTGGGGTGGTGGGGTTTTGTTTTTGCAGAGATTTAAAAAAATATTATGTTCATATTTTTAAAGGTGGAGGTGGAGGTGGAGTTGGAGTTGGTCGTGCATAGCATTCTTGATTTTCTCCATTCTATGAAGGAGCATAGGTGGTGGAGGTCGTGGTAATTCTGCCTTTCTTTATCGGTGGTGGTGGTTGTTTGGTCACTTTATCTTAATTTTTTTTCAAAAACTTATTTTTAATAATCAATTTTGCTGCAGTAAAAAGATATATTATAATTTTAAATTAGGTTTTTTTTTAGACTTTTAGATTAAATTTTTTTGATGGGTGACCATAGTTTCCTTGGACTACAGGGTCTAGGAAAATAGGACTGTACGTTATTATATGCTTTGTAGGTATATTTGGAGCATTGAAGGCATTAAATAAACTTCAACAATACAATATAACCCAAGTTAGTATTTTTCCGTTTAATATCCGTATACTTTCGTTTTCCATACAGTCTTAAAGAGGGAAAAAAGAAAAGAAAAAAAAGGAAAAAAAACAGAAAAAAGAGAAGAGAAATCTCACCTTTAAAAAGGATAGAGAAAAAACAAAATTTTAAAAAGGATATTTTCCAGACGTCATTTGGATATTCACTTATTCAGCCACATCAAAACGAGCTGAAGAGTGCAGCGCTCTCCTCCCTCCTGCTCTGCTATTGCAAATTCCAGACAGATGATGTTGTAATTTTGTGGTCTTGTTATTAAATTCAAGGTTTGCGATTGAGTTGAATGGGAACGCTCACTACCTGCACTTTGAGCACCCTGGATTTCAATTCCACTGTCAAATCCCGTCAAATTCCGAATTTCAGATTACCCAAGAAGCCCAAGAGTTCATGCTTCTTGTGCAGAAGAAGCATACAGAGCGAGAGAGTTTGGTTCCCGCGTAGGAGTTTTCGTAGGCTTAGATGTTATAGCTCTAGTGATAATGGTAACCATGAAGGAGAGACCAGCAGCAGCGGCAGTAGTAATAAGTCAACAACTGACTCGGCCACGACGACGACGACGAAAACAACGGCTTCACCGCCAGAAGCGGCCGAAGATACACGCACGGACGACTATGACTCTGACCCTCCATCGGTTTCTTCCAGGGTACATTGCTTAACTTTGAGACATGGGTTTTATTTTTATTTTTTTATATATCCATTTGTGTAATTGCATTACAATTTACATGTTGGTTTTGCACTCTCAGTTTGGTTACCGACAATTGAAGTTTGAATTTAAGTATTTAATTTGACTTCTTTTTATAAAAGAAATAAAGAAATTGGTATAGCCATCAAAATCCAGTTCTGGGTTCTTTAAAAAGGAATCTACGGTTCCATATTTGTAGAATTTGCCATATTAGTCAGTGAAGGTTATGTGGGACTGGCAGTTGATGACGGTATGACCTTTATGATAGTAGAAACCAAAAATCCTAGCAATCCAATTATGAGTTTTAGCTGCCTCACTTGAGGATGCATTTAAGTTCATATTCCCTGTTAGTGTTTTGTTGGATTGTTTTAAGAACTTGGTGTTGAATAAGCTTCCTGTTTATGTTTTAAATGCATGTATACTTAGAAAGCATAGTTATCTCATCTGGACTTCCGGATTTAGTTAAAATCCAGACTTACCTGTCAGCCGTTGAATGTCTCCAACGGTTGAGAGCTCAGTTTCAAAGGAAAAACAAATGAGATGGACTGCAGCTCATCAATTGTTGCTGATTTGGTAAAATCCGCAATGAATGCTTCATGAATTACATGCAGACACTCACACACAATATATATTGTCTTACCTTGAATGGCATGCATCTAACATAATAACATTACACTGTCTCTTGTAGTCTAATGTGTCAATGTGTTCTTCAGCCACCGACTATATCACCACTTGGACCCGCTTACAATAATTTCCAAGTTGACTCTTTCAAACTGATGGAACTCCTTGGACCCGAGAAGGTTGATCCTGCTGATGTAAAGCTGATTAAGGAAAAACTTTTTGGTTATTCTACCTTTTGGGTGACCAAAGAGGAGCCTTTTGGAGACCTTGGTGAGGGTATTCTCTTCCTCGGGAATTTGAGGGGAATGAGAGAAGAGGTCTTTGCCAAATTCCAGAGTCTACTGGCTGAGGTCACAGGTAATAAGTACAACCTTTTTATGGTGGAGGAACCCAATGCAGAAGATCTAGATCCACGTGGTGGGCCGCGCGTTAGCTTTGGGTTGCTGCGGAAAGAGGTCTCAGAACCAGGGCCAACAACACTTTGGCAATATGTAATTGCTTTCTTGTTATTCCTTCTAACAATTGGATCATCTGTAGAGTTAGGAATTGCATCTCAGGTACGCCAACGCACTTCCTTTTTTTTTTTTAAATTTTGTATTTCATGATGTCATAATGGTCCATCAACTGATTTCTTTCTCATATTTAGAGTGACTACTTATTTTCATGCATTTTCTTAAACAGATAAATAGACTTCCACCAGAGGTGGTGAAATATTTCACAGATCCAAATGCCATTGACCCACCAGATATGGAGTTGCTATTTCCCTTTGTAGACTCGGCATTGCCCCTAGCATATGGTGTTCTGGGGGTTTTGCTATTTCACGTAAGTGAATTATCTTGCTGTTGCACTATGCTTTTTAGTCAAGTTTTTCATTTCCATTTCAATTAAAAAAAACTATAGATCATTGTTGTTCATCTAGTAGGATCTTTAAGGCCATCTGTTATGCCCATGCATAAGAGATCTTTAATGTGAGATTTGATGTTTGTGAAGAAAAAGAACATGCTTATTGTTCCAGTTGACTTAGTCTTATGATGTAGTCTGATGATCTTAATCATATGCTATTATGAAGAAATGAAATTGGGTATTATCCTTTTTGTTCTGTTGTTTGCAATTACTGGCTCTCATTCTCAAACATATCATATTTGTCCAAAATAAGTACATCAAACCTTAAACTGACAGAAGTTTTCAGATATGAGAATTTAAATGAATGCTTGCCGAGTCTGACTCAGTAAATTAATTTCTAGTTGCTTATGTGTGTGCGAAAATTATAGTGAAAGTATAAGAGACAGGAGTATGTAATTTGGAAAATCTGTTGATTATGACTCCTGTAAGCCAAAAGCTCCCACTCAGACTTAATTAATAAAGAACATTTATTTCTGTCTTTCAATACTTTTCTACAAGTTGTTTCAGGTTTAATTGAAGGGAAATACGATGACTTGCATGTGTTTTGAGTGAGAATGCCAGAATAATCAAAGTTATTCATTTCTTAACTTTTTCTTTCTTTTTATTTTAGGCATACTCGAATTTTAAATGATTTTTTAAATTTTGATGAATTAGTCCATATTCTTTGAATTGTGATTTCCTATTTGGATTTGATGTTTGACCTTATTTGAATATGATCATGATAGAGTCAATCACATGCAGGAAGTTGGGCATTTTCTCGCTGCTTTCCCAAAGAAAGTGAAACTTAGCATTCCTTTCTTCATTCCTAATATTACTCTTGGCAGTTTTGGAGCAATCACTCAGGTACCTCTAATTATCCAAGTAGCAATTCACGACATGTAAATGTTAAGTGGCTTAACTTGTCCTTAATATTTCAGTATGGAATCTGAGTAGAACTTCCCTGCATTTGCGGTGTTGGTTTAAGTGATTTAGCGTGCTTAATATTTGGTAGAAAGGCAACGAATAATGCAAAGGTATGCAATGGACTAACTAGGGAATCACTTGCAGACAAGAACCCCTTATAGGTTTCCGCAGGTTAAATTGCTGAATATAATGCAAAGATATATAGCCAGCTATTCTAGTTGAGTCATCCATTTAAGAAACTTAGAGACAGAAGTAATCGGAGCTATTCCAGTTGCATCTGTTTTTTGGTTCTTGGGTTTTTTCAGTTTCCTTTTGATTTTTGAGAATAAAATTATTGCTGGAAAAATTCTGATACAACCATATTATCAAGGTTAAAGGGTAATTTTAGATCAGCCTTCTAGTTTTGGATTCTTGATAATTTATTATCAGATGTGGCCCTTCCTTAAATTTTTGTTATATAGGTAACCAAGGTTGAGGTCTTTGCTAGTTCATCCGGCACAGGCTAGATGTCAGTGTAGTCAACCCCCTCCCCTCAACATGGCTTCTTAAATAGGCTTTTATTCTGAATCATTATTTTTTCCCATGTTTTATTTTTAAATAGATTAGATATGTCATATTTGGTGCAGTAGTCTTACCAAGACATTACCTTTTCTTTAACTAGGTCATCTGTGCACCTAGACCCCCTTTTCTTATCATCTTCTAGAATCTAAGTCTTTGTTTGTAATCAATGATGATCCAGAGAATTTCTTCTGATCAGTCACTGGTTTTGTAGTTTAAATCCGTTCTTCCTGATCGGAGCACAAAAGTCGACATATCACTTGCTGGCCCGTTTGCTGGTGCTGCATTGTCGCTGTCAATGTTTGCAGTAGGTCTGCTGCTCTCATCTAACCCCAATGCCACAGGAGATCTAGTGCAGGTTCCAAGCATGTTGTTTCAGGGTTCTTTGCTTCTTGGACTTATCAGTAGAGCTACTCTTGGTTATGCGTATGTCCTTCCTCTACCTCTGTGCATTATTAAAGCGAAAATCTTGTTTGCATGTGAGCTAAGAAGGCTTCTATAGATACAATGCCTGCGAAACCCTTTTGATTCAATAATCATATTCATAGTTGATATGGTACTATACTAAACATGCAGATCAATGCATGCTGCGACTGTTCCAATTCATCCTCTTATGATTGCTGGCTGGTAATGTACTATTTCTGGACTATCTTTATAACTGTATTGTAATGCGTATGACTCAAGTTTAATATTACAGGTGTGGGTTGACAACAACAGCTTTTAATATGCTTCCGGTGGGGTGTCTTGATGGTGGAAGAGCTGTGCAGGTGACCTTTTCCTTCCTTTTGCTTTGAAGTGGTAAACTTACATCTTTGAGGTTTGATAAATGAAGATACAACATGGTGCTGGTATGAAATATTAGTTCAGTTGTGCAGTGAATTTCCTTTTCTGATTGTTATTATGATGAGTTCATGAAATATGTATTTAATTTATTTTAGTTGTTTATTTATTTATTTATAAAGTAGTATAAGGTAGACTTTCTGCAGTTATGGTAGCTAGATTCTATTTTGGTTTATAGTATTTGGTGTGGACAGTCTTCATTAAAGGTGTTCTTCCCATAGATCTACCTTATTGCTTCTACTAAAGATGCTTGGTGGCTGACTATATAGATTAGTCAAAGGGGTGGCTATGGTGAATTAAACATCTATAGATGATGAATGATTAGGAGCTGTAATTGATAGTTCCATTCTGATATGTTATATTCTGTGAATGATAGACCAGATGAGCGTAATAGGATGACGTGTCTTCCTGAAAGAGTATGTCATTTTGATCTTAAGTCTCACTATCAGGCTTTAAGAGCTAGGAGGATTAACAGTTCTCCTTGTAAGAGCAGTTGGTAGTTCTCACAAAGGTGGCTGGGGTAGGAAGCTACTATGGGGGAAGTTCTTACAGTAGATAATTTTGAGGAAACCGCTTAGATGTATTTTATGTTGGAGTTGTATGTGCAAATCCATTTGTGAGACAAACAACTTTATCCTTGCGGCATTCTTCCAAAAAATAAAATTGTTAAAAACATTTTCATTCCCAGCATTTGCAAACACTGGTGGGAACAGTTGATTGTTTGGGATTATAAGGACCCCATTCTAAGGAATATTTATGGCATTCTTAGAATCTAATTCTGAAAAACAACCACTTCCCAAAAAGTGATAAACTGTTAGAATCAATCAACATCTCATGTCTGCAATATCTTGACATCCCCAAGGCTTCGCATTTCATCACAATAGTTTTATAAATGTCAAATGATCTTGTGTTGCTTATAAAAGGAGTACATATATATAATCTTGATATGCTCTCTCTCTCTCTCTCTCTCTGTATGTGTCTCAATGCTAGACCAGAAATTTGTACAAGTTACAATAGTAAGTAGTTATTCTCCTATCTTGCTTACAAATGTGTTTTCTGTTGCTCTACCTACTCTCTGCTTCTAATGTATGTACAACTGCCCAATACAAAAGATAACTGATGTTGGTTTCTATGACTAGTGTTCAAAAATTTATAAAACAATCTTGAGTAACATGTTTCTATTTCACTTGTATGATATTCACAGATTTTAGTACCAGCTATAGTAGCCAGTAGTTTCTTCTCTTTTTTGCTTAGTTTTTTTCCCTCAAATTCTGTTTCATACCCTCTTTCTCCAAGTATACATCTGGTCATGATACATGGAATAACAGGTGTTTATTTGTTGGATTACTGTCCAAGTTAAAATTTCAAATGCTACCTTGAGCGAAAGCCAGTTATTTTGTGTATGGCATGACATTTATGGAAAATACTTGCAGGGTGCTTTTGGAAAAAATGCCCTAATTGCCTTTGGCTTGACGACATACACGTTGCTTGGATTGGGAGTGGTATGTCTAACTTTTACAACTTATCACGCTTTGCCTCACATCACAATCTATCAAATCAGTAATTCGGCTTGTGGTTGTTTTCATGTATTCCCCCCATCGTCTCTATAATAACATTTCTTCCAATTTTGGCTAAGTTTTACTATTTTCTTTCCTCCTTCCTTTCAGCTCGGCGGACCTCTGTCACTTCCATGGGGACTCTATGTGCTCATATGCCAGGTTTGCAAATACGAATTTTATATATTTCAGTTTCACGTTTCAACAATCCTCTATCTTTTATCAAAAGAGAAAAAGCTCCCCATCTCATGATATTATTTTGATCTATATGGTTCAGAGGACTCCAGAGAAACCTTGCCTAAATGATGTAACAGAGGTTGGAACATGGAGAAAAACAATTGTCACGGTGGCAGTTTTCCTTGTCGTACTCACACTTCTTCCTGTATGGGATGAGCTTGCGGAGGAGCTAGGTATAGGTCTTGTAACCACATTTTGATGTATTAAACGTGAAAATTAATTTTTGGGTAAATTATTCAAATGGTCCTCAAACTTGTACTCGATTTACATTTTGGTCCCTAAATTAAATTATTAGTCCAAATGGTACATAAACTCTATTTTAATCGCCCGTTTGATCCAACCGTTACATTCTGTCAATGTTGCTCTTAAATATGAGGGCAAATTGGTCATTTCGTACGTTAAAAATAAATAAATACTAAAAAATAAATAAAAACTCCCTCCCTCAAGCTCCAACCTACAAACCCATCCCACAACCACCCTCCATCCCAGGCCCCATTTATGTGAAAATGCTGCAGAGAGACAAAATAGACCCATAAAAGGCAAAAGGCTCCAAAAGACAAATTAGAGCTGTTCCAGCCATAGAGCCCAGCCCGAGGGGAGGGGGGGAAAAAAACAAAAATCTGGTTCCAGCGGGAGAGCCCAGGCCCGGGGGGGGTGTGGGACCCACCTACCCGGGCTGGCCCGAAGGCAACTTTCGCCCCAGGTCCAAAACGCGGGGGGGTGACGTCACGACGACGTCAGGCTGACGTCGTCACGCGGTTTTAAATTTTTTTTACCGTTGGCGCGTGCAATGCACGCGCCAACGTTAAAAAAATTTGAACCCGCGTGCGCTGACGTCAGCGCGACGCCAGCCACAACGGGTGGAAGCCACGTGGCACTCCCCCAGCGCTCCGATTTGATTCCAAATGCTAATCCAACGGCTGGCGATTTTTGGACAATAAAATTATGAAAAAAATCGAAATTTTTTTTAAAAAAATACTAAAAAATCCTAAAAAATTCTGATTTTTTTTCCTATAAATACCTATAAATACCCTTCACTTTCAACACCAATTCTCATACATTTTATTCTACTTCTACAATTACTCAACATATTTTTCACTCTTCACTCAACATTTTCATCTCTTTCACCTTGTAATTTTAGTTATTATTTTATGGCTTCTTCTATTGAAACCGGAGGGGCGTGGAGCACCATGGAAGATGTTTCTTTGTGTGAGGTTTGGCTCCGAGTTTGTCATTGTCCCTTGTCAGGCAATGAGATGAAATTTTTCCATATGTGGAAAAAAATTCATGCCGAATTTTGCGAAAAAATTCCGGACTACACTCGTACGGAAATGGCATTGTCGAGTAGGTGGAAACTTCTCTTCCTCTTCCATTGCCACTGCTATGAGAACTTGCTCATCGACTTGCCTCTGCCACTCATTCATTTCATCGGCTCTACGGTTTCTCTCCTTTCTTTCTCTCTCGTGCCTCTCCAAGCATCTCCTATATTCTTCCATTGAGAATGAATGGAGTATGAATTCTAAACTCTAAGAAATGAAAATATTGAAAGATGTGGTGTGAGAGGTATGATGTGAGCCTCTGGTTTTATAGAAAAATTTGGCAAGATAGAGATGCCACGTGGCTTGATTTGATTGGATGAAAATCTTATCTGAAATTTGAAATTCATCCGAAATTTGAACCCAAATTTATCTGAAATTTGAATTTTGAAATTCATCCGAAATTTGAACCCAAATTCATCTGAATTTTGAATTTTGAAATTCATCCGAAATTTGAATTTTGAAATTCATTCGAAATTTGAACCCAAAAATTTATCTGAAATTTGAATTTTGAAATTCATCCGAAATTTGAACCCAAAAATCTTATCCCGAAATTTTATCCGATTATGAATAGTGTTGACACGTAGGAACCCGTAAATCTTATCCGAAAATATTATCCAAATTAATTATTGAGGTAAAAAAAATTGTGAATAAAACAAAAAAATGAATAGTAACTGCCCTTAGCTAGGGCAATGGGTGGAAACACAAAATTCTGATTTTGCAAGGGCAACCACTATTCACGTGAATAGTGGCTGCCCTAGCTCCCCCCTTGCCATGGCTAAGGGCAATATGGGTGGAGTTGCTCTTAAAGACTGGTCCAAAAATGTAGGAAGATACAGTAGGCTGCAACTTTGACCAAAACTCCATGCCAAAATCAGCAGAAAGTGTCCTCCACCTCAACCCTCTTCCCCCGCCACCTCCACCACAAGTTCTCATGCCTTCTCCCTCAGAAACCCACAACAACAACAACAGCTTTGCTGTTGCAGAAAACTTGAGATTCTCCATGGAAGAGCTCTCCTACCCTCATCAACAAGATCATCATGTTGTCATGGAAATTGAACTCCAAAATGAACTCGGGTTCAATCCATACAGCACCAATACTGACCAGAACAACAACAACATCCATTTGGTTTCCTTTGAGCAACAAACCAATTGGGACAATATTCATGGTGTCCATGATCAGATGCAGCAACAATTGCAAGATGGTGCTAATGGTGCATACCCACCAACACCTGACCTTCTCAACCTTTTCAGCTTACCTAGATGCTCACCCTCCTCTGTTCTCCAAAACTCGTCCATTACCTTCACAAACCCCAACCCGAAAAGCTCGAATTTTCCGAACTCTTTGGGGTTCCTCGGAGATGTCCATGGTGGGATTGACACCCCGCCAGGGACAGCGAGTTCGGTTGTCTATGACCCACTTTTCCATTTGAACCTGCCTCCACAGCCACCATTGTTCAGGGAATTGCTTTAGTCCTTGCCACATGGATACAGCTTGCCAGGCTCAAGAAATGGGTCTTTGTTTACTAGTGGTGGGGATGAGGGAGAGGGGATTGGAGGAGGGGTTTACTCAGATGGGATTAATAATGGGAGGCAATTTGAGAATAGGGTGTTGGAGTTCTCCAGAGAAATGGGTTCTATTGGAAGAGGAAGAGAGGTAAAAGGGACCAAACACTTTTTTTTTCTTTCCCTTTTTCTTCAATTATTTTCTAATTTTGTATTTATTTTAACCCTATTTTATTTGTTAATTATGAAAAGTCGTATTTGCCCCTAAAATTTGGTTACATTTAACAGAAAATGTAACGGTTGGATCAAATGGGCGATTAAAATAGAGTTTATGTACCATTTGGACTAATAATTTAATTTAGGAATCAAAATGTAAATCGAGTACAAGTTTGAGGACCATTTGAGTAATTTACCCTTAATTTTTGGTCTGTTAACATTTTGATAGTGATGCGATAGCTATAAAGTTGGTGAATTCAATATGTATTCAACATAGTAAAATGCCAATTTTCATATTTGATATTTTGCCTTGTGAGACATGTAACGCACCCTATTTAATACGAGCGATATATGCATGCAAATTCAATACAAGGGAAATTGTAATGGAAGTAAATAGAAAGAATAAGGGAAATTGGTACTTAACGGATCCTGAGTCCTTCCATTTAGGATTTGTGAATTTATCCAAAGAGAGATTTTTTCTGCACCTCATTATTTGTTTTTATTTTTTCACCCTATACTAATTTTAAATATGAATAACCTATTTTATCTTTGTACATAATTACCGTTAAGGACAAAATCTGTAAAATAAAAATAAATTTGCTCATTGAACCCCACATACGTTCTTGCAACTCTAGTTAGACTTTTATTTTTATTTTTATCAAACCATTATGTTCCTACAACCCTAACAAGGTTTATACTCTTATATTGGTGAAAACATATCTAGTATCTATTCATGAACGGTGAGACTGAAGTTAGGGAGGCTTCGAATGAGGTATGAGTTCATTTTTTGGCGTTTTTCAAGTTTAGAGTTGCAGGGTGGTTGCTGGTTACGTGCAACACAGAAGTATCGAACGCGATAGGAAAATTCAGTGGCAAGCCACTGAAACGTTGAACCTATTTATGTTGTGTTTGACTGACGTTAACTTAATATGCGGTGGAGATCCACTGTAATGTGGAAAGGGCGTCGGTGACATATGATCGACTTTTACCTCTCATTCAGTGGCGATGGACCGAAATATATTTATTTTTTCAGTAACTTATTGTCAACCACAAATATAATGCAAGCTACTTTGAACTTACTCCTATTGAAGGAACTAAAACTAGGTGACACCGGTACTGAAGGCAATAATGTTGGAACAGAATGTGTAATGGATTATAGTGATCAATTCACAACTTATTTGGTAATCATTTTGAGTATCCTTCTTTTTATCTGAAAACCTTTTTAGTATCATTAACGTGGCATTAATGTTCCAGATTTGAACTTCAAATAACATGAGTTTAATGTGTAGATATTCAAAGGTAGAGATGCATTAATTAGATGGGCTCGTGCACAAGGAAAAATGAATAATATTGTAATTGTAATTACAAGGTCTGATGCTAGAGGTGAGGGCAATAGGAGACCTCGAGGAATACTTGCTTGTGAGAGGCGTGGTAAATATAGGTCTTGCAAGTCTAGTGACACAACTAGTCTAAGGTCAAATGCAAATGGTGATAGAAAAAAGTGTTCTAAGGACAATGGTACAAAGAAATGTGGATGTTCATTCTTGTTAAAATGTGTTAATATTGGTGATGAGGATGATTGGAAGTTGAAGGTGGTTTGCGGAGTACATAACCGTGCTTTTTTAGAGTATCTTGAAGGTCATTCATTTGTGGGGTGACTTTCTAAATAGGAGAATGCCTTATTAGTGGACATGTCTAAGCGTTTGGTAAAACCCATAGATATTTTGGTCACCGTGAAGGATAGAGATGCAATGAATGTTTCAACTATGAAGACAATATACAATGCTAGGATCTGAAATAGAACCAAAGAATTTGTTGGGAGAACACATATGCAACAATTGCTTACTAAGTTGTATGAACACAATTATATTGAGTGGGATAGGACATTTGGTTATGCTGTAACCGACTTGTTTTGGACACACCCCGTTAATATTGAGATTTTGCATGCATTTCCACATGTGCTTATCATGGATTGCACCTATAAGACTAATAGGTATTGTTTCCCACTATTGCAAATTGTGGGGGTGGCATCTAATAATATGTAATCCACCTAAGAGTGTGCGTGTGTCTGATATACTCTAGTCCAACTTCTTTTCAAGCTTGTCTGCTTGTGCTGGGTTGGTCGATCACTTGCGTTAAGCTAGAAACCTTAGCACTTTTCAAGCCTTACTCTAGAAAAGCAGAGGGATAAGGTCGTTTCTTTGATTAAAAAAAGGGTGATCTTTGCTACGGAGACCATTCAAAGTTTATCTATTGTTGCCCCTCCCTTTTGCTTAGCTTTAAGAGTTGGAGAAGAAGAATGCTACCCTAGCTGATCTACTCTCATCTGAGCAGGCGCGCCATGAGATAGAGACTTTGGACCTGAAAAAGGAGATATCTTTGCTAAAGAGTTCACTTGCCTTGAAGGATGGCGAGCTTGACTCCACCATTGCTGCTTTTAATCAACAAAAGAAAAACTATCTTCTGCTTGAACGCGAGTTTGATGATTTGTCTCAAAGTCATGATAAGCTATTGAGCATGTTCGATGCGTTCCGGAAGGACACTCAAAAATCCGAGGTCAATGCTTACAAGTTGGGCTACCTCGATTGCCAGAGAGGTGTTGCTTCTATTGTCCCATTAGTGATGATGAGGCCGAACTGTTCCGCCTAGAGAAGTTCCTTACTGAAGTAGGCCTGGACACCTTTTTGATATAGATGTAGTTGAGGAGCATGTAGCTGACGAGGCTGAAGCTCATGAGCACATAGTGGAAAGAGGACAAGGCTAGGACGGGCGCAACTGATGAGGTTAAAGCAGATGAGTAGGAAGTTGCTGTCCAGGAGTCGCCTGCTAAAGCCTCGAAGTAGATAAAGTCAATTTTTTTAAAGTCTTTATAGCTTTTTTTTTTTTCAAGTACTGGTCTTTCAATCGACCATCCTCTATCTGTTGAACCTGAGTTTTATTTTTTTGGCTACTTTGCTATTTGAAATTTTTAGTTAAAATTTTAACCAAAATTTGTGTTAAGCCTGTTGATTGGTTGGTTTCCCTTAAGATTTTAGAATGTTTACCCATTGTTTATGTAAAGGGTGTTGTTGAGCATCTAGCATAGGATGCTAGATTGTTTGCCCACCACTTACATAAAAGGTGCTGTTGAGCATCTCCCGTAGGATGCTAGGATGTTTACTCACCGCTTATGTGAAGGGTGTTGTTGAGCATCTCCCTTAGGATGCTAGAATGTTTACCCTCTTACATAAAGGATGTTGTTGAGCATCTCCCGTAAGATGCTAGAATGTTTACCCACCGCTTACGTAAAGGGTGATTTTCTCGAACACTTCATATAATGAAAATGGAACTTGCATTGATGTTTGTGAAGTTACATTGCTTTATTATATTAGAAAAAACTGGATGAACAACTCGAAAACATTAGCAATTGTCTTTTCTTTGACTGAAGTGAAGTAAACCTTGCCACATGCTGGGGACTGAGTTGCTGAGCGGAAGCTTCAAGGGTAATATCTTCGAAGGTGATAAGCATTCCATTGTCTCGACACTTTCTTCCCCTCCAAAATATCAAGTGTATAACCTTGGACCTTCCCAATTAGGTTTCATCTTCTTTGATCCTTGTCTCTGCACCGTAATGAAGGCCTTTCTAAGGACAAGGTCCGAGGTTAGAATTGTCTAACCTTAGCTCTCTTGTTGTAGTAGGACATTAACTATTGTTGATATGCTGCAACTCGAACAATAGCCTTTTCTTGTTCCACATCGAGCATGTCAAGGTTGAGCTTCATCTGCTAAGAGTTTTGATTAATGCTGTCCACCTCAATGTTTATTGAGGGAACAATAACGTGTGGAGGAATAATTGCTTCAATTCCATAGGCTAAGGAAAATGGGGTTTCACTAGTTGATCCTCTTTTGTAGGTGTGATAAGCCCAGAAAACTTCAGGGAGCCTTCTAGTCTTTTCTTTAGGCAGTCCAACATGATTTTATTGGATGCCTCTGTTTGGCCATTGCCTTATGGATATCTCAGAGTATATAGGTGTTATTTGATGCCATACTTTGCGAAGAATCCGGTGATTTGGTTGCCAATGAACTGCTACTGATTGTTAGTGACCAACGACTGTAGGCAGCCAAACTGGCAGATGATGTTTTTCCAAATGAATCTTTCCACATCGACTTCCTAAGTAGAGGATGGAGATTCGATCTTTATCCAATTAGTAAAGTAATCGGTGGCAACGATCATCATGTCCTTCTTGGTAGGAGCTGGTGGCATGGGACCCACTACGTCGATAGCCCATTGCATGAATGGCCATGGGCTGTTCTACGGATGATACACTATAGCTAGTAGGCTAGGAACCAGATTTTATCTTTGGCATCAATCACATCTTTCAACATACTCTGTCGAGTTTGGGCGCATGGTAGGCCAGAAGTAGCATTTGCTGAGAACTTTCTAGGTGAATGACTTGCCCCCTGAATGGTTACCGCACACACCATCGTGGATCTCACTGAGCATCTATGGGCCTAGCCTTTAACGGATGCTCATCTTGGTCTGACCAGCACGATCATGTCCTCCTCCTTGCCTACTGGCCATTAGTCGATCTCTTTGGGATCTTTCAAGCTGTCTTCCTCTATATTAACTCATTTTCTCCTCGGCTTCGGATCTCGGTCGAAAGGCTCGGAGCAAGTTTGTCTGCCTGAGTTTGTCGATCAAACAAGTTTTTTTGATCTTCGACTCTTCTGGTCAGTTGATCTACCCTGTGAATGAGATCTACTTGGCTAGTTGGACAGGCATGAGAAAATTCTATGGAGCCAAGTTGATGATGATCTAGGGTTTCTCTGGAATCGCGAATAGGCGCAACATTTAGGGGTTTCGTGGCCGCCGTCTTGCTTCTTGTGGTGATACTTTTCACCATGGTTGTCTCGAATGTGTAAAGGAATCCTTTGCAAGGTTCAGTTGTATGAAGGTTTTGATGCACCAAAATGTTTTGTCCTAATAGCCATGGATTCACCTATTTAAGGGAGATTTCACTTATTAAGGCCATATTGAAGAAAGTGAAGGGAAAGAAAGAAGAAGACTTGGCCGATTGAGAAGAAACCATCTAGGGTTTTGGGGTAAAGAGGAGTTCTAGTGCCTATAAAACCAGGCCATGGGCTACCTAGCAAAGGGGGACTCAACTCAACTAGAGTAATCAAGGGAGAATATTCTCTAACTGAAAGGACCCGCCCCGAATTCCCCCTTGGAATCTGTGACGAACCCTCTCCTTATCAGACCCTCCCCAAAATTACTAAAATACCCTTCTTGCCCTAATTCCAAAACAATTTTAGGGCTTTACGTTTATCTAAAAATTGGTAGAGCCTCCTTTAAAACTGGCACAATAAACACAATTATTCCTAGGCGTTTATCAAGCACAAGGTATAAACTACACACCAATTAGCAAAAGTTTCAATGGGCTTCAAGCCCCACCGCCTCCCCTTTCCCTTGTACCAACATAAGACAATCAGCAAAAACATCTTGACATCACTGAACATAACAAACAAATCATAAACTTGCAGCTGCACTTAGGTTGCCTACATACCCTTACTGAGGGATCAAGCCACACGTAGTTCTTTCTACCATACATCACAATTACGATAATATAGAAATGTTCAAAGTGAAACCAACAATAAAATTCTAGAATCATTCTTTACCTTGATTTCAACAAGCTATAACATCATGCCTTGAAATTATGTACCTAACTATTCAATCAGTTTATCATTGTACATCTAAACACATATGTACCACACCTTTAACCTGAAAGTCATACCTTCAACCGTCCGCATAATGCATATGTCATGCAATCACTCACCAAGGGGTATATGGGAATATCATTAAATACGAAGGTAATCGGAGAAGGGAAAACTAGCCAACCACCTGTGTAGACAAGTCGGATAGGTGGCTGGGGATCCTGGCCAACCCTATGCAGAAAATATGAGCAGGGTGGAGAAGAATTTTATAACACGCTGACCCAACAAATTATTTTATTTAATTATTTAATTGTGCAATTACATTTTTGCCCTGGTTGGTACCAAAAGAATCATCTCTTTAAAGCTTCCGACCTCCTTTGCATACGTGGTTGGTACCAAAAAAATCCAATTTTGAAAAATTTGCAGTTGTACCACTACAATTCCTTTGACCAAAACGTCTTCGTTTCAACTCTAATTTGGGCCCACCACGTGTCTATGAACTCGTGAGCTCAAGCACTACGCTATGGAACTAAGAAAATTTCCAAAACTAGCCCAAGAAAAAAGTCAACTCTAAACCACCAAAGAACCCTAAGGTTAAAGTCGTCCTTTCACTTTAGAATTTTGAAAATTAAATTAAATTTCAGGACGTGATGTTACACTAACTGCTGGAAACATCAAGCCCGAGCACCTTCCCTTCCATCTCCTTCTATCTATCCTAAAAACCAACGCAAGCAGGAGCAAGCATACTCTCTTATCGCTGGAAGCGCTAGATTCAAGCTATGGCTCTTCCATGTTCTCATCCTCTCTCTCAAAAAGGCATATTCTAAATATGAAACACCCATCCTCTCAAACTGAACTGAAATCATGGTTATCACCTTCTTGGTGAGAAAACCCAGACATCACAAGCCCATCCACTAGCTGCGGAAGATATAGTCTACCTACAATTCCAAGATTTTCCCTTTCCATCTCTATCTCTCTCTCTCTCTCACTAAACTTATGGACTCTTAGCTCCCACGCCACAAGTCTCTCATGCCAACCCTGTACAACATCAATGCACCATCTCCAACTCTTTCCAGAGCTGCCGGAAGCTCATCCAAACAAGTACCATATGCTGGAACACTTGTTCCAGCACCTATTCCAGTACTTGTTCCATTATGTCTCAAAAAACTCCATTTTAGGACCTCCTTAAGAGAGGTTCTTATGATAGTTGTTGTATCATTCTTATCAAAACTTGCAATGTACTGAGGAGCCATTGAAGAAGACTAAAGCACTCCCTAAGGCTTCAACTCTTTCAAGGTGTTCAGGGGCCTAGTACGGCAAACTCAAACATGGATGAAAGAGAGCAGAGTCTATAAGGGAACCACTGCAGTCAATGCAAATCAATGTCTCATCTCTAGCATTCTTGCTGTGGCCAAATAAGGCTCTTCTAGCAGCTCCATCGTCAACACCGCAATCATGTATATGCACATGCATTTTTGTGATACATTGTTTCAAGTTTGTGTTAGAGATTTTAATTATATCCTTCAACATCTGATCATCACTTTAGACCATGGTCTAAAATATCGATGATATTAGAAATATCAGTAGTTCAAAAACATGGAAATTTCGATGGAAATATCGGGATATTATCGATATCGATAAAAATTGAATAAAAACCACGGAAATTGTAAGAAAAACTTGGAAATTTTTATTGAAACTTTGGAGAATGTTTATTTAGTCAATTATCTATTAGTTTATCAAAAAAAATTAGAAGGAAATGCATTACATGATGGATTTAACTGATTTAAGTTGATTATACAGCGAGTTGGCAAACACTGTGAGTGTAGTATGTAGTAATTAATGAAAAAAAGATTAAACACACCATAATCATTTATATATAATGATTTACTACAATATTTTACACTTTATACATTGCATGGTAAGATACATGAGTGACTTAGTACCACATAGAGTTCCTATGAGGTTCAAAATTTTCACTATCTTCATCATCTCTATGTGTAGAGTAAGTGTATTATGAAGAGTATTCATCAAATGATGAATCCCCAAAATAGTTTTGCATCTAATTGTTAACATGTCACCCATATAAATATAAATATTTTAGCATATTATCACTAAAACATAAGTGATATATGGTAGTTAAGGTGTTGGAGGAGTAAAATGGGAGGGGTTCAAATGCCCGTTGTGTTTTTTTTTCCCTCCCTTTTTTTTCTTCTTTTTCCTTTACATCGATATTTTTGATATTTTAGCGATATTACACCGATATTTTGACAAAATATTGCTGAAGTGTGAGCGAAATTATCGACATCGATATTTTCCGATATTATCGTCGATATTGTCGATATTTATACGATATGTACATAGATATGTTCCAAAATATCCGTGATTCAAAAAAACCGAAATATCCTCGATATTTCGTTGATATTATCGATATTTTAGACTATGATTAATCATCAAGTGAATACAAAAACATCCTTCCAATACTATTATTTACATGGTATCAGAGCTTTAAGCTCCAACGAGTATATCTTCTTGATCCTCCCTTTTTTTTTATACCCTCCACAATGAGTACTGAGTCTACACAGATCCCTGAGCCTAGCACCAACTGCACTCCCAACAATTCGGTGATCAACACTGACACCTCCAATTCGTTGATTACAATCAATGTTGCTGCCCAATAACCCGTCAAACTCACGCCTCTAAACTATCCGTCATGGCGTGCACAGTTCAATGCCCTCCTCTTAGGGTACGATCTTTTGGGCTATATAGATGGAACTCACTCTTGCCCTCCCAAACCAGCCACTACCTCCCCAACATCACCCCATGCTCTTTGGGTGCGCCAAGACCAATTATCGCTTCATGCAATTTTCGCTTTCGTGTTCAAGCGAGTCATATCTCTTATCGCCACTGCCACCACATCCAAGGTTGCTTGGGACAAACTCAACCAACTCTATGCCATCAAGGCTCGATCTAGAGTCATGGGCCTCAAGGAGCACATCTCTCTCATGCGACATGACTCCAAACTCGCTGTCATTGATGTCCTTCTCTTTGATGACGATCTCGTTATCCACATCCTTAATGGCGTCAGCCGAGAGTTCAAAGAAATTTCAGCCGATATCCGTGCTTGTGATTCGTCTATTTCTTTCTCTTCATGATAAACTTGTGGAGTATGAAGCAGCCCTCAAACGAGAAGAAAGTGCCACTTCTGGACCTATGATCACAGCAAATACTGTTTAGCAATCTCGATCTTTCAATCGAGAACCTCGCAACAACCAACCAAATCAATCCCGCCCCAGCCATCACTCTGGTCCTCGCTATTCTCGCGATTTCGCAAATGCCAATTCATCTGGCAGCAACTTTTCTAACTGCAGCTACTCTGGTAGGTTTAACTCTCGACGTTGTACCAATTTTTCTAGTACTGGTTATAGGGGCTTTTGTCAATTGTGCGATCAACAAGGTCACAACACCAAACGATGCCCTCGTGTACAACTTGCTCAGAACCACCAACCTATGGCAAATCCTACCACTAGTTCTCGCACTTCACCTTCCGCTACTTGGCTCCTTGGTTCCTTGACTCCGATGCCTCCCATCATGTGACAGCCAATCCCAACAACCTCTCTCAGCACTTGCCCTATGAAGGTCCCGATGAAATTGTGATTGGTAATGGTAAAGGTTTACATATTACACATGTCGGTTCCACCCATCTCTCTTCTCTCTCTCTGATGTGTTATGTGTACCTTCCATTCGCAAATATTTGATATCTGTCTCTAAATTCAATAAACAAAATAACACTTCTATTGAACTATTTCCTGATTTCTTTCTTGTGAAGGATATGAACACAGGGGTGGTTCTTCTCCGAGGCCTGAATATGGATGATGTGTATGAATGGCCCCGCTTCGTTAGACCAATAGGTATGATGGGTGTGGCAGCTCCTCAATCTACGTGGCATCAACATTTAGGTCATCCTCATCATCGTATTGTTCTACAAATCATTCAATCTTCGTCCCTCCTGTGTCCTCTAAATTTCCTTTAGAGTCTTCCTGTGTCTCATGTCAATGTAATAAAAGCCATAGGCTCTCCTTTGGTGTTTCATCTCTCAAAAGTAGGGGCCCCCTTGACATTCTCTGCAATGATGTTTGGGGTCCCGCACCTTGCTCTTCTGTTGATGGTTTTCAGTATTATGTCATCTTTGTTGATCATTTCACAAAATATATTTGGTTATATCCAATTAAATTTAAGTCTGATGTGTTTCTGTTTTCACAAAATTCAAAGCTCTTGTTGAGAATTATTTCAAAACTAAAATTATCGCGCTCTACTCCGATGGAGGTGGTGAATTCGTGAAATTAAAAAAGTTTCTTGTTACCCATGGCATTACCCATCTCACCACCCCACCTCACACACCTCAACATAATGGTATGGCATAACGTCGTCATCGTCTGTTGTTAAAACTAGTCCTACCTTACTCCATCATGCTTCCATGCCTTTATCTTATTGGTCCTATGCATTCCAAACAACTGCCTATCTTATAAATCGCATGCCTACACCCACCCTCCAAAATATTTTCCCTTATACTGCTCTCTTCGGCCAAAACCCTAATTACCAAAAACTTCATATTTTCGGGTGTGTGTGTTATCCTTGGTTATGTCCTTACTACTCTCACAAACTCCTTCCTGGGTCTCGTCCGTGTATTTTTCTTGGCTATTCCATCTCATGAAGTGCGTATCAATGCCTTGATCTTTCTACCAACCATCTCTTTCTTTCTCGCCATGTCCAATTTGATGAATCCACATTCCCATTCGCTACTCATGAACCTACTGCCTCTCGTGTCTCCTCATCGAGTCTTTCTACCTGGATGACCTTTCTCCCCTCTTTAGTTTCAATTCCTCTCCGCCATGCTACCACGCCACACCCTCCTTCACCGCCACCAATCAACTTGCCACCATCACAGGGCCCTCAGCCCCTGCCATCCTTGTCCTCAGAGGAGATTCACTCTCTAGCCCCTTTTTCCCCTTCTGGCACCCCTTCAGGCATCCCTTCTAGCACCCATTCCCCTCATCAAACATTGCCATTGCCCTTTTTGGACCCAACCCTGGCCACCTCTTCATCCTTCCAACACCTCCCCACATCTCCCGCACCGCCTCACCCACCTTCCCCTTCACCACATCCTATTACTGCTCCCAATCATCATCCCAAGGTTACCCACTTTAAAAACAACATCTTCAAGCCCAAGCATCTCTATGTCGTAACCAAACATCCCCTTCCCCCATCTTTGGAACCCACATGTGTTTCTCAGGCCACCCGGGACCCTCTTTGGCGTGCTGCAATGTCTGCTGAGTTTACAACGTTAATTCGCAATGGCAAATGGGAACTTGTTCAACATCAGAAGCCATCCTGATGGAGCTATTGATTGGTATAAGGCCCGCTTGGTGCCTAAAGGGTTTCAACAACGTCCTGGCATTGATTTCTCTGACACTTTCAGTCCTATTGTGAAACCCACTACCATTCAGGTTGTCTTGCATCTCGCCCTCTCCTCTGGTTGGCCTATATGACAACTGGATGTTAATAATGCATTTCTTCATGGATCCCTTACTGAAGATGTGTATATGTCTCAGCCTCCCGGGTTCGTTGATCCCAATTTCCCCAGTCATGTGTGCAAGCTCTGCAAAGCTTTGTATGGCCTCAAACATGCACCGTGTGTTTGGTACAAAGAGTTGAGCTCGTTCTTGCTTTCTAATGGGTTCCTAAATACCCTCTCTGATGCTTCTCTTTTTATTATTTATTTATTTATGTATGTTGATGACCTTGTTGTCACAAGAAATAATGCCTCACTTGTTTCTCAGTTTGTTCATGCTCTTTCTAGGAGGTTCTCTGTCAAGGATCAAAGATCCCTTAATTATTTTCTCGGTGTTGAAGTTGTGCCTACTACTACTGGTCTCTTTTTGTCTTAACACAAGTATATCTGTGATCTTCTGAGCAAGGCCTACATGGATGGTGCAAAGGAACTTAGAACACCCATGACCACTTCCCATTCTCTCGTGCTTCATGATGGTTCTCCTCCCACTGATGCCACTAAGTATCGCCAACTAGTTGGTGGTCTTCACTATCTCAGTCTCACTCGCCCCAACATATCATTTGCTGTCAACAAGCTATCTCAATTCATGCATCAACCATCTAACATTCACTGGCAAGCTTTGAAGCGTCTCCTTCACTACCTCAAAGGCATCATCTACCATGGTCTTTTTCTCAAATGCTCTTGCACCACTACCTTGTCTGCTTTTTCCAACGCGTATTGGGACGGAAACCGTGATGATCGAACATCCACCACAGCCTATATTGTCTATCTTGGTGGTAATCTCATTTCTTGGAGCTCCTATAAACAACAAGTCATTGCTCGCTCATCCACCAAAGTTAAGTACTGTGTCGTTGCTTGTACCGCCGCTGAACTTGCTTGGATCAAATCCCTACTTCGCAAACTTGGCGTTATGCCCTCCTCCATGCTTGCCATTTCTTGTGACAATATTGGTTCCACCTTCTACTGTGCCAATCCTGTTCTCCACTCTTGCATGAAACACATTGACATTGATTTTCAGTTTGTTTGTGATTTGGTCACTCGTGGCCTCCTTCAGGTATCTCATGTTTCCACCACTGATCAACTTGTCGATGCCCTCACAAAGCCTCTGTCTCGCCACTGTTTTCAACTTCTCTTGTCCAAGATTGGTGTTGCTGACGTCGCCACCATCTTGCTGTGGCGTATAAGGGAACCACCATAGTTAATGCAAATCAATGCCTCATCTCCAGCAATCTTGCCGCTACCAAATAAGGCTTTTCCAGTAGCTCCATTGTCAACTCCTCAAAATCAATCAAAGGCTTCCCTTCCTAATTTATCTTTATGTTGATTTTGTATATTAACTCTAATTGGTTTTGTATTCAATCACACATCTACTTACTCTAGTTAGCATCATCAACTTTGTATATAAGCTTTGTTTTGCTCATTGTATTAATCATCAAGTGAATACAAAAACATCCTTTCCAATACTATTATTCACAGAGTCAACCTCTCAGCAATCCAATTAAACCCATTGCATCTCTTAATAAAAATGACCCCAACACCTAGTAGCCACCGACTTTCTCCATTCCTCTCCCATGTTATTCTTTCTCCTCTTCTTCCTCACTCTATTTCTTCTTCTTTTCTTTACTTCTTTTATTTTCCTCTCTTTTCTTATTCTCTCTTATTCTTTCTCTTCTTCTCTTGGCACAACCAAACCATCAGCCATCATTTTCTTTTCTCCTTCGACTATAGATCTAGCATTGTTATCTGAATCTTCGTCGTCGTCTTCTTCATCTGCCACTAATTTGAAAACCGAAGCTGAACCAACACTGAATCGTTTTCTTGGCGAGCGGAGTCAATCGATTAAAGCATTCTATGGTTCAGCATCGGCGTTAAAAAATGGCGAACCTTAAGGCTTAGTCTGGCGTACTATTTTCAGCCAATGGCGTGGTTTGGTTCGGTGCCCAACACTTAAACAAACTATCTCATGTTTTTATTATTTTTCTAATCTATAATTTTGTTATATGTAGACTTGTATTATATATGCATCTAACCACACAATGACTTTTCACTCACTTACATCCTTGTAAATATCTTATAAAGTCATAAATCTCTACAGTGGTGAACTCAGACTTTCGTTCATCTGGGGGCTTAAAAAAAATCCAACAGATATATAGCTAAACAAAAAACAAAAATATTTCTAACTCAGAATATAAATAGCATTGTCCAATAAGTAAATTTACAATTGTCCTCGACGACTTTTCATATTCTGAAAACATTGCATAATAAGCTCATTATCAATACTATTAAATGTCTTTTTCAAGATATACTGCCAAGGAATCATTCATTATGTGAGTGTTTATGGAAAACATTTTCAATTAATATGTTGTTTTTCATTCATTAAGGCTTGACATGTTTTCAGAGCTTGGTTATGGGAACTGTTGGGACCTCCAACATGAACTTGAAATCTTTCCTTTTTCTTCTAATTCGAAAAACTTGTACCAACAAATGAGTCACCTCAAGCTTTCTCTCCCAAATTTGTTTTAAAAATATAACAACCTAAGCAAAATGCAGCATCTTCTTTGATGCTATATTCCAACCAATAAGGGAATTCATCAAACCATGCTGGGTTGAATTGTCTTGACTCTTTTCTAATTTATGTTTATAGGAAAATCATGATTTCTAGGCTAACAAGGCCTTTTTGTAAGTAAGCTCTTCTAATTTCATCTCGAATATTCAGATTGTAATCTAAAATTTGAGTTAATAAACTAGAATCAGAATGAGGATATGACATATTGATTTCTATGCGACTTTGCTTTGAACTATCATCACTTCTCCCAATAGGTCGTGACAATTCCAACTCAGATTTTATTTTAAAATCTTTTTCCATAACTGTCATAAATAGTTCTCCACCAAATTACAGAATGAGTGAACTTGGTGGGATCTCTATTCTTCTTTTATAACATAGGGTTTTTCTTTTTTAATATAAGCTTTGGGCTTAAAGTTTATGTATTGGATGGGCCATGTGGGGGCTCCACCTAAGAAGGACCTACAAATAATTTTTTTTTAAAGTGAGTTTGGGTGGGATTATATGGCTGAAATGTTTTTGTAAGTGTGGGCAAGTGCCCACAGTTGTCCTTCATTGGGTCCGCCAATGAATCTCTAGCTGTTCCCATTTTCTAGCACAACTTGTCGTTGTGTGTATATATATATATATCATTATATTTGTCTACATTTCCACGTTTTGAGACTTTGAATATTTCAAATCTTGGTTTTTATGTACAATTGGAAAAATATGTTGTTCTTAATAATATAGTTAAAAGATGTAGAGGTAACTAATAGAAGTATTAACAAGTTATATACAATTTAGGAAGAGTGGTGATTTCCCCACTCCAATTTTATCCACTTACACTCCATTTTATAACTAAAAAAGGAGTGTAAGTGGATAAAATTGGAGTGGGAAAATCATTACCCTTTAGGAAATATCATTAAAATAAAGTAGATTTTCAAAATTTCAAGACAGATTTTTCGATTGGGAACATTAGCCAAAAAGTCAGCCCATCTAAATTTATAATCCTAGGTTCATGCCTGGCCATTCCAATTTAAAATAAGCCAATCAACTCATGCCGATAGGTAAAGAACAAATTATAAATGATTCCATTTTAGACCGGATTATTGACAAGCAAAAGGGTATTAAAAAAATATATTGTTAAAAAGTGTTCATTATGATACGAGAAAGTTTTTCTCCATTGTTTAATTTTGTGTAGAAGGGATAACCAAACAAAAGAATTTTAATTTTAGGGAGTAAGGAAAGTTTCCACATTTTCTTTAGAGAAGGAGTTAAAAAAAATGCTACTTTACTTTATAAGTTTCCACATTGTCAAACTCTTCGTCATGCAAGTCTTTATCATCTCCTTGTGGTGGGTTTTATTCTAGGCAAGTTGTGTCCTCACCTGGTGATGAAGCTTTAACTAGTGGCGCAGCTGTGGTTGGGCTCATGTCTTTTCTCTTGGCCTCTTCGTGTCTTTCACCTTCGACAACATCATTTATCGCTGTTTGATCGTGTTCGGCAGTCTCAGTAGTTTCAGCCGGAAGGATGGCTTCCTGATTGCTGGGTAGGTCATGCCGGTTCTAACACTAGTGTCCATGTCTCAAACTATGTTTCATGTTTGTTTGGAGATGTCCAAAACCATATCAAATACCTTTGTTTTTGCTCAAATATTAGCACTGATATTCCCATATTGGTTTGCAAAAAACTTCCATAAAATGTATTTTCTTGAACATTTCCAATTAGTAAATTTGTACTTGATTCAATGTGGAGCAGGGCCTATCCTTATTTCTTGTTCTATACAATGACATTTGTTGTGTATATTGAGAAAGAAGTTCATTTGATTTTATAAGGAAGTTGTTCTTGACATACTTGCAGCATTGAAAATTATTCGATCTCATCATATCTGGCTAGACGCGGGCCATATTGAGGAAGCTCTTCAAAACATATTGGTGTGTGTGGAGATGGTTTTATTTTCAGTCTTTTAGAAGTATGCTTACAATGTTGAACCGTATAGGGATTTGGGAGCCCATGAGTGTAGTTTAGAATGTTATGTAATAATATTTCATCAATTCTTGTACAAGATGTTCTACGAGGATCATTGACAAATATATCAATCATATTCAAGAGATACAAATATGTTGCTTGTTATATCTTATTTATATGATAATGAATAATGATCTAGCGTTTTCCTTTACAAAATAATATTATAAGTTCATTTATAAGACAAACTTGGAAAAACAGGTGATAAGAAACCAATATAAGTGCAATAACCAAACAACACCACAGCACTATCGTGGCAATATGGTAGCAATACCAAAGCCATATTCCCCTTATAATTTTATTTTAACACATACTTGAAAAATAGGCTATACAAGGGTACTAAAATCCTAATACATAACATTATGATGGCAATATAAGTTTGGATATTAAGAAGAATATTTGACACACTCATGAAACAATTTTGGTTATAGGAGGTTTGTAATGAAGATGTTCTTCTCCAAACAAAAGTGCACTCAGAATGGGCTCACACAAACCATAATAATGTACAGTCAAATGTCCACCATCATGAACTTCATTATCTGTATCATACGTCCTCCAAGTCTCTTGTATGTGCGACTCTTTTTTTTTCTTTCTTGTTGGTAAAGATGCTTTATTAAGAAAAGAAGCACCATAAGAGTACACAAAGGATAGGATGAAACCATTCAAAACCCAACATGAGAGTTAGGAACAATCGTAATCTTAAACACTCGTGGCCTTAAACAATCACGAGCTAATGAAGAAAAGAAAAAAAGAAAGAAAAGGATGCTAGAACTCCCCAACAAGCTACACCTCCAAGTAACGCCGTCGACAACAAAACTTGTCAACAAGAAACAAATTTTTTTAAAAACAAACCTTCGAAAACAAAGAGATAGTAAAGCAACATAACCATATGGGAAAAAAAGAGAAGAGAACATCAAAGAACAGAAGCCAAAAAAGGTGCCAAAACAACCCAAAAAAAGTTAAGCTACAAATGAAACAAAGAATAGCGTACAACCGGCAAGAAAACAACCAAGCCGAGAAGAAGCACAAAAACCATAAAGAGAGACTAGGGAACTTACCTGGGCATCCTGCTAATAGAGTATACTAAAACTAAATAGCAAAACAAACAAAAAGAAAAGAAAAATTCTAAAACACCTAACAACAGAAAAACACGAAGTCAAAGAAAAGAAAGAAAACTGGGTGCCAAAAAATTAACACCACCAATCGAGAAACAAAAAAGCTTAAGCAAAAACCAAAGTGTGGTGAGGCCGGCAGCTAGGGATGTTGTCGGCTAGGAGGGGGAGGGAGAGAGAGAGGGAGAGAGAGAGAGAGGTGTTTCAGGTGTTTAGGGTTGAGAGAGGAATTTCGAATTACCTCGTGTGTTGAATGTGGCCATGTATTTACTGGGCTATAGCCATCTAGGGTTTTTCAAAGAATATCTTTTTATTTGGAAGGAAGATACTATTTCCCCAAAATATAGAGATTGCGTCAATTAGAGATTTGATTGGGATCAAATCACTAACTGATGATAATATCCTAAATTGATGATATTAGTTTTTTAAATAAAGATAATATCCCATATTTAAGATAATATCCATTTTTTTAGTATCAATTAATTGGTCAAATAAATGGGCTCAATTGCATCTCGGCTTTCTTCGTTAAGTTGGACTTCTTTTGCAAATTGGGCTCCCAATTGGAGCAGGCTTTGGACTTTTCTTGGAGTTGAACTCCCAATGGGAATAGGCTTGTGATTCCTCCTTGACCTAGGATGCCCAACCTTTATAAATACAAGGTCTCTCTTCACTCTCCTTCAAATTGCAAACTTGTCTTCTCTACTTTCTAGCTTGAGAGAGGTCTTGGAAAATTTGTACTATTTGTCGAAGAGAGGAGTCGCCGTGCACCCCCAGGTAAGTCAAATTTATATATTTTTCTTCTTCTTCTCTCTTCAAGGAGAGGACCAGCTGGGTGGGCTTGGCTGGTTGTCGTTGTGATCGATATCAGTGGCGATGGTGATAATGTCGCGGAGCTTGTTTGGGCGGCAGCTACTACATCTTTCTTCCCTTTTTTTCTTTTTCTTTCAACTATGGCCAAGACCAGCAGGCACGGGCCTACTAGTTGTCATCATAGCACAATGGACGAAGCAGGCGAGGTTTGCCATTCGGGTGCAACGAGGCCATAGTCACAGTCGTAGTCGGCGGTGACTGCTACGGAAACTTTTCTTTTGTTCAAGCATCGTGGGAGGACCAGCTGGGCGGTCTAGCAAGTCGTCATCATGACTGCAGTGGGCTACCTGTGTGCTTGGGTGGCAGTTGCTCGGCTGTGGTTGTTGGCCGTTGTTGTGGTGATCGTTTATTGTGGCTAGTGGCTATTGTTTTCCTCTTATTTTTATTTTTTTGAACTGACACTTTAGGGTTTTGACATGCTATCTAACTTGCAATTTCTTCCCTCTTTGCAGCTGTTCACTGATAATGTCTTTCGAGGATCGTAGCCAGTCACCAAGTTCACAAGGACCTTTGTAATAGGTGGTGGTTCCAAGGTGCATAAGTAGAGATTTGTGGCTAATTACGTCTGAAGCTCAATTCCATAAGTGGCGTGCCACTTATACTTCTGCCATACCAAATGACATGCATGTCAAGCTGGCAGAGTCTTTGACTAACGATGCACCTTGTGTGGATCAAAATGATCCATATGCTAGGATTATCATGTTCCGTCCCTTATATTTCTCCTTGGGCTTCACGTTCCCTTTGTTGAAGTTTTTTAGGAAGGTGTTCTGCACCGTGGAGTGTGCCCCCATCCAATGTACTTCGAACGTCTATCGGGCAATCATGTGTTTTGTGAATCTGAGTCGTTTCTTCAAGCTAGAGCTTACGAGAAGTATGCTGAAGTCTGTGTGTGCAAAGCCAAGCTATTTCACAATTTTAGCCAAAATGATCACGTATGGCATGTCAATGTGTTGGAAGTGAGTGGATGGTGGGAAGACGAGGTTGGCAATGGTTCACTTGTTCCCATCACCTAATGCGATGGTACGTCATATTGCTACTGATCTACTTTTTTTGGGTCTAAATTCTTTGATGTATGACTAATTGAATTATGTCTTTTGCTTACAGAGAATGACATCTGCAAGAGACTGGATCTTGGGCTAGACATGGTTAAGGTCCACCGAGCTTTGAATATCCCTGTGAGGTTTCGTGAATAGGGCTGGGTGTTGAGAGAGTATGGGGAGAAAACTGGTGGTTTGCCTCATACCAACGATGTTGAGAGATGGAAGGAGTATGGTCCAGACTCGGATGATATACCTGTCGAATAGGAGGAGTCCTCGACCTTAAAGAGGAAGGTCGATGCCAAGTCTTCCAAGGATGAAGCTGCAACTTTGAGGGCAAGTCTTCTTCAAAAGAGGTCTCGTCTGCTAATAAGACTCAAGTAGGAGCTGCTCTTTCATCTTCTGCCAGAGTCAAGCATCTCATCGGCATGGATAACAAGAAGGTTGGTGGTATACAGAATGTTGGGACATTCTTCTTAAGACTCCCACTGACCAGCTCAAAGACTACAATATGGCCTACAAAGAAATCCTTTTTCAAGCTGTTTCGGCTGCCGAGAAGAAAAGGGTGTTCACCCGTTTTGATTTTAATCCTGTGATGGTAGGGTAAAGTTCCCCATTGGCTTGAAAACCATTGGTGGTCAACAAGTCAACTTTCTTTTGTGTATGAGCGTGCCACTGAAAGCAATGAAAACCCTAGCAGATTTCATAAAAATAGATAACTTGGGCCCCAAAAGCTTATAGCTATGGTGGAAGTGTTTATGTGAAAATGAAAGAGAATACTTGGATATTTGTAATATCTAGGGTTTTAGAGGATAGGAAGTTCAAAAGTCCCTCCAATTTAATTGGTGTCTTCTTGAATTCCAACTCGATTAAAAATTTAATAACGTGCAAGGCAAGCAAGAAAAGAAAAAAAAAATCTCAAACTTCAGAAATTGGAAGGTCTTGGGTTTCGATTTGCTTATCTCGACACCAATTCCGAGCTAAAAAAATATGGGGGCAATGTTTGGGGGTGGTAGAAATCTACCTGAACCGAGCACGAGAACAATAGTGGTCGGGGTTCTTTGGGGGAGCCAGGCTTGCGAAACGGCTGGGCACAGCTGGAGAAATATGGGCCTTGCAAGACGTAGCCCGGCAGTTTGAATGAAGCGAAAGATCTCGGCCGGGGTTTGGAAGCAGGGATTGGAGGAGTTAGCAACTGGAAATGTCGGGGTTCTTGAGGCCAAAATGCTGGAGAGCTTGGGAGATCTTGGCCGGGTCTTGAAGGAGCCTCGTGGCGGCCGAGATTTGGAGCAGTCAGTGTCTTGGACCGAATATGCGGCTAGAGTAGTTGGAGGGCTACGGGGTAGGCCAGAGCCCGGGTTTTGCTAAAATTGCGGCTGGGTCTTAGGCTTTGAGCAGACAAGGCTTCAGGGAATGCGGCTTGGGTATTTGGTAACTTTGGAAACTGGGTTGAAAGGGTTTTGGTTTGGAGTAGACAGAGCTTTAGAGAATGGCGGCTGGAGCTTTTTGGATTTGTTAATGGCTGAAGGGTTTTTTAGGTTGGAAGTTTAATTGTCTTATTCTATATATACATACACATATTCAAATAAGTGGGGCTGAAACTTCAGGATATGCGGCCGGGGCTTTATTGAACTTCCATTATCTAATTGTGTATTTATATTATATATATGTGTGCAATTGCCTTGGATTGTTACATGTGTGGCCAGGCTGTCAAATTGAAGCCTTCCTCATCCTATTTTGTGTTGATATATATATATATATATATGTATATATATTTAAAATATAGAAATATATAGATGTGCGGCCGAAACTTGGAAGTCCTTTGCAAATTGGGCTGAAAGCTTTTTGTCTTATTATATGTATATATATAATATATTATATATTATATAATGGTCAAAAATCTAATGGTCATATATATATAATATATTATATGAATGCGGCTGAGTTCTTGCAAATATGTGGTGCCCTCTTTACATTATTTTATGTTTATTTAATATATATTATATGGGTGGCAATATAAGAGAGATCGGAGGCCCAAGTTCAAGACGCCAATCCGAGCCTAGATTTTCGAAGGATTATATGCACGTGATGAAGGCCTCACAAGGAAGGAAATCAAGGAGGACGATAATGAATCCGAACGTTCCAAAGCAAGGAAGAACCAAGCATGTCAGAATATTTCAATCAATGCAATCCCACGGATTTAGGGGGGCTTCGAAAGGAAAGATTTTTAAGAAGAGTTGATATTTGGCCATTCAATGGCCAGCCCATGGGCCGACGAACGCCCTATATAAACCTCACCAAGCAAAGACAGAAGACACAACATCAGACAAACAAACTTATCTTTCGTCTCGCACTTTTTCTTTTCCTAGACTTAGGATTTTATTTTTCAACCACCTAGTGTAGTGAGTTCTTCCTTTTCCTAGTGTAAGTTTATATTTTCTTGTCATTTAAATTCTTGTTCGATTTATATTTCTTGTCATTTAAATTAAAGTTTATTTCGATTCCTTTACATTTCATCATTATCGCACTTCAATTAAGTTTAATTTCAAGTTTGTATATTTTATCGTTCTTATCGCTTTTATTTCATTCTTGCTTTATTTATCGCTTTGATTTATTTTATCGCACTTCAATTCTTGTCTTCAAGTTTACACCATATTTAGTTTAATTGCATTATTTTTACTTAAACCATAAAAATCACAAAAACATCCGTATGAAACCTAACCATCCTCGAGCCCGAGGAATTGAAAGAATCTAGGCCAAGAGGAGGTTCCTTGCTTGGCTGATCAATCGTTTGGTCAGAAGTTAGAAGCGCAACACATTCATCTATTCATATTCCATTCAAGCCCAAATTCGGGGCTTGGTAGTGGCATGCCTCGCATCCAAAAGAAGAAGGACCAAAAGTTCTTTCCGTCGGCCGCCCCGGCCGAAAAGAGGGAAACATGTGTCTACCACCCCTGCCTAGGAAAGTAGACTGCAGTCCACTACTGGATGAAGAGCCCGTAGTTGATGATGAAGCACCACTCTGGCTCTAACCTAGACTGCCTAGTCTCCTACTTTGTCGTACCATTGAGAGAGATGAGGGCACTCACTTTTAAAGTGCCCAACCTGACCGCAATAAAAACAACCCTCACTGCCCCTCTGACTGGGACCACTGATTTATGAAGATGTGGGCAATCTCTCCTAAAATGTCTCACCTGTCCATAGTTGTGACAGGTTGAGCTAGTCTGCGGACAAGGATCCCTAGCCGTACTGGCCATCAATTGCTGCTCAGAATGCTGACTCCAAGCTGGCTTACGCCCAGATCTTCGACTACTAGAATTGGACCCACGTCCTCCGGACCATCCACTGCCTGCTGAAGTGGAGTTGGATCCACCCTCTTTGATGGACCTTGACTCGGTCCACCAAAGCCAGATGCATCCCTACGAAGCCTTGCTGAACCCGCACTAAGCTTCTTTGCCATACGATCTGCTATTTGAGCCAGTGCCCTCATAGTAGGATAAGTGGTGGCGGTGACCACTGCTTGAATATCCAGCCATAAACCCTCCTCAAAGCGTCTGCACTTCTCTTCTTCAGTGGGAATTAGTTCAGGGGCAAACCAGGATAATTCATTGAACTTGTGCTCGTATTCTAGCACGGACATCAACCCCTGTTTCAGATGAAGGAATTCAGATTTCTTCGCATTTCGGTACAAGTGCGGATAGAACTGCTCGTAGAAGACATGCTGAAACTCCGCCCAAGTGACGACACTAGGATCAGTAAGCCCTTTATGGACAGTCTTCCACCAATTATAGTTATTTCGCTTCAAGAGGAAAGCTGCCAACCGCACTCGGTCTTCATCAGGGCACTACAGGACTTCAAACACTCTCTCGATATCTGTGAGCGAATTCTCAGCTTCAACAAGGTAACTGCCAAAGAATTCATGAGCTCCTAACTCCTTGACCCTTATGATATCTGAGGCTTCAGTATTACGCCTTTGTAAAGCTGTGGTGACAGTTCGGGTGAACTGGTCGAGTACATGATGCAAGTCTAGCTCATTCTCTCCAGCTCCCACACCGATAGGTGGAGGTGGTGCAGTTGGAGGTGGTGGTAAAGGTGGTGGAGGTGGAATGGGCTCCCCAAGCTAGGGAAAACAGGTTCTCGTTCTACCACGTCGAGGAGGCATATTTCTATATGAAAGAAAACAGAGGAGCCATTAGTTTCAAGAATGCAAAGGAAGCGTGAAATTCGAAGGAAAATGAACCTAATGCTTTGAGACCAAGTTGACAGGGCCAGCCCCGAATTCCTCAGAACCAGGGACAAATCCTGTGATATTTCCGACATTAAACTGATGCTGATCCCACTTACTAACATCAAACCTCTTTTTCCAAACCAAAGAAAAGAGGGACGAGACTTACTGCCAAAATTTTGGCAGAGTTTCCCTAGAAAAATGGACATTCCCAAAATTTTCAACCTATTAAAAACACAATTATATACACCAACCACCAGCGTACACAAGATAATAAAATGTAATTTACATAATAGGTCTCTAGCCTTACTTCCAACCTTAGCATAGGCGATAACATAGCATATCTATTGAAATTCAGTTTACAAGTGAAACATAAAGTTCAACGGAAATTAAACGAAGAAAAGTCATCCTACAAGAGATTAGGCTCGGAAGTGATGATCTCGGTTCAGTCGCTCGGTACAAGTCTACCTACTGCCTGGGGGGCGCAAAATAGAAAATTATGAGTGGACAAAAACAAAGTTTTGTTATGTTAAAAAAAACATATAGTAACCCCACCGTTTGAAAAATGATGCTAAGAACAACATCCATTCAAAACCGACATATATATATATATATAATTATGCCAAAAACCAAAGCGAAATTAGTATTCTCTTAATAGATTACTCACACCATCCCATTCAAAACCTTTCCCATTTTTCCCAAACTACTTTCTCAAAATGCGTGCCCATTGGCACAGCGAGCGAGGAAGTATCCTCACCGATAAACAAGAATGAATGTATAGGCATATATATATATATATACACATATATAATATAATATATCTATATATAAGTATGACCACTACCAAACTTGTACTAGAAACAATCAAACCAGGGGATTGTTTGATTAGACCACATGGAAGAATCCTCAATTGACCATGTGGCTAGGGAATGAGCCATCCAACCGGGGACTAAGCTCACCAGCACGTACAATAGAATCCTCAATACTAGTACGCCTGTGACAAGTCCTACGTGCGCAAACTAACCCCACTAAGGGTCTACGAAACACCCCGTCAAGGATGCTCGGGTTCTGACATATCCAAGTATCATCAAATTCCAAGTATCCATTTCCAATATTCCAAGTTCGGGGAGGTACATTGGGTAGTGCTAATATAAAGAAATTGGGCATTCACACCAATATAAAGAAATTCCGTAGAGAAAAGAAAAGGTATAAATGTATGCAATCAAGAAAAAGCATTCTCATGAATTGACATTTCTAGATTAAGTAAAACAATAAACATACACAATACAAACTCTGATTCGTAAAGAACAAAAGGACCATGTAGATAAGATCATGAAATAGATTTCTATTTTCCATTTCCATTTCAAGTTATTTATTTACTTATTTAAAATTTGACAAAACTAAACAAGTGGAAAATGATAAGTTTCTGTATTGTCTTATTTCACAAAATTCAAACTAAGTTAATTTCTTGGAATCACATACATTTATAGCAATGCTCACACTTGCATAAGATAAAGTATTAATTTGTAGCACTTATATGATACTGGACCCCTGATATATTGATTCCATCATAACTCCCACTTAAAAATCACACAAATCTCTATTCCCATAAATAAGGTAAACCTTGAACACAATCGTTAGTGCAATATATATGTATATTTATATAAAATACTCGAAAGACACCACACATAACGTAATTTGACCCATTTTCCAAAACCAAAGTTAATTGATATCCAAAATCAATAATAATATGATTAGAACATTAATATATTAATGCTATTGAAATAAAGTCAGCAATTAACATATTGATAAAATAAGCTGTAGTCTATGCTTCGAAGAGAAAAAACAATTAGTTATTCCAAATGAATAGCTAGTGTAAAGATTCAACGCAAATTATTAAAGTTTTATTTATTTATTTACCTTTTAAATTTGTTTCGAAACAAAAGAAATATAATAATAAAATTTTAAATTTCGTCGAAGTAAACTCTCAGTTACAGATATACAAGTGTGTAAAGAAAACGTAAACAACTGCAAACCACAAATTCAAATACGTAACAAAATTTATACAGAGGAATAATGTCAGAATGTTAATATTTAATAAAAATTTAGTGGAATAATATCAGAATTAAAAGGGACACAATTTCAATGAATTAGTTTGACATATATATGATCTATATGATACAAGCCGGCCAAATGCGACTTTTATTTATTTATTTATTTAAATCAAGGGTTATAAAATATGGTGTACTTGATTAGCTTTTGAATACTAACATTATTGAAATTTATTTTAAAAACAATTTTGCAGACACATTAAATGACAGGACCCGACCCAAATTCCACTTTGGAATCTGAGCCGAACCTTTCGTGATCGACACCTGGCTCCTAGAAGTGCGTGCATCCAATTAAAGTTACTCCTATGCCCACATTAACGTTCCTTTAAACCTAGGACACATGTCCCGTGAGTCTGGTCTCAATCGAACGGTTGGTTTGGTCACAATCGCACGATCAACCATTGAACCCGGAAATCACACAAGATGTGAGATCCGTTCGGGGTTCAAACATTAACCAAATTAAGATCCGTGAATTCCTATGCGCTCGTGACAACACGAGGATCATTCTAGGATTGAATGTGGTCCCCACCAAACTGCCCACGCGCCGCCACATGCGCCGGCAGTGCGTGGGTGGCTTGATAAATTCCTAGCAGCCGAAAAAAACTCCAAACCGCCGGTCCAAACTTCTAACTTAGGTAAAACACCCATTTTGGAACCACTTTTGTCCTTGGACTTACCCCAAAAAGTGGTCGGAATCACACTCTCAAAATCGGCTGAAACCTAGATTGAAAATCGAACAATCTACTCTTGAAATTTCTGGAATCCTACCCAACCAGCAGCTAGAGCATGGAAAATAGCTAGAAAACCATACCTCACTCGTCTGATTTGGTGGCCGGATGACGGAGAACGAAAGCCTGGAAAATCGAATGAAAGCCGGCAAGTTTTCTTCAGTTTTCGGCGAGCTCCGTGGTCGGCGATGGTTGAGGCTGGTCGGGACGGGACGGGGGAAGGATGACGGTTCGAACGGATCCGGTCTCGTGGCCGATGGTTCACGGTGGCGGTGGTTATGGAGGAGAAAAGGTGACGGGTTAAAAAAACAGGGGAGGGGGGGGGGCTGTGGTCACAAGGAAGAAGTGGGAGGGAAGAGAGAGAGAGAGTCAGTTTAAAAAAAAATCCTGATTTCAAAATTACCGTTTTGCCCTTCTACGTATTTTGACCGTATTTTCTTTGTTACAACTCCGATTCGAGTCCACTCCGTGTCTACGGACTCGTTTCGTCGCGCTCTACACCATAATGCAAGTGGAATAGTCAAATTCTTTCTCGGTCAAAAGTCAACTTTTCCTTTACTAGAATATTCTAAGGGCAAAAATGCCATTTCCTCTTAATAGTTTAATAGTTAAATATTAAGGTTTGGGTTATTACAATCTACCCCCTTATTATTTTCACATGTTCCTTCATCCGTTCAACATCATCTGACACTTCCAATCTGTGCTCACCCACTTCATCCCAATAAAATGGAGTTCTACACTATTTCCCATATAAGGCATCAAATGGAGACATCTTGATACTCGCATGGTAACTGTTATTATAGGCAAACTCCATAAGTGGCAACTTCTCATCCCAGTCGCCCCGAAATTGCAATGCACAAGCTCTCAACATATCTTCTAAAGTCTGAATTGTCCTCTTAGACTAACCATCTATCTGGGGGTGAAATGCAGTACTAAACCGCAACTCGGTTCCAAAAGCTTCATTTAACTTCACCCAGAAATGGGAGGTAAACCGTGGATCTCTATTTGAAATAATAAATACTGGCACCCCATGAAGTCTCACTATCTCATTTATGAAGATCTTGGCCAACTTATTTAGCGTGTAGTTTGCTTTCACCGGTAAGAAGTGGGCAAATTTGGTGAGTCGATCCACGATTACCCAAACTCCATCATGCTTATTTTGTGTTCGGGGAAGCTTGAATACGAAATTCATAGTAAGATGTTCCCACTTCCATTTAGGAATCGGAAGTGGTTGTAACAACCCTGATGGTTTCTGCCGTTCAGCTTTCACTTGCTAACAAATTAAGCACTTCCTGACATATTCTGCTATTTATTTCTTCATAAAAGGCCACCAGTAGTGCTTTCTCAAAGTATGATACATTTTAGTACTTCCAAGGTGCATTGCAAAAGCTGAACCATGGGCCTCCTCAAGAATTTCCCTCTTTAAAGCTTCATCATTAGGGACATATAACCTGGTACCCACCATTAAAGCTCCATAATTTCTTAATGAACAGTCAGTTCTGTCACCATTCTCCACCTCTGCTCGTAGCGTGCAAATCAAAGGATCCTGTGATTGAGCGGCGAGTATTCGTTCCACTAGCATTGGTCTCACATGGAGAGTAGCTAACAGTGCTCCCTGATTATCCACACCTAGCTCAACTCTGAGCTTCCTCATTTCTACCATCAATGGCACATACCTCCCTCGGAGATAAGCTACAGATCCCAAGGATTTCCTGCTGAGTGCATCAGCCACAACATTAGCTCTTCCCGCGTGATGCTCGATGGTACAATCATAATCTTTAATCAACTCTAGCCATCTTCTTTGCCTCAAATTTAGTTCCTTTTGGGTGAATAAATACTTTAAACTCTTGTGATCCGTAAAAATCTGACATGTTTCTCCATAGAGAGTGTCGCCAAATCTTCAAGGGAAAAAACCACTGCAGCTAATTCCAAATCATGAACAGGATAATTCAACTCATGCTTCTTTAGTTGTCTAAAAGCATAAGCGATCACCCTACCATGCTGCATTAGCACACAACCAAGTCCCTGTTGGGATGCATCACTGTAGATAACGAAATTCCCACTATGATCCGAAAGTGCCAAAACCGGAGCGGTGGTCAATTTGGTCTTGAGTTCATTAAAGCTCTCCTCACACTCATCTGACCATTCAAACTTAACTCATTTTCTTGTCAAACGAGTGAGAGGCGCCAATATGGTATAAAAACCTTCCATGAAGCGACGATAATACCCAGCTAACCCAAGGAAACTCCGTACCTTACGTAACACTGGTTGGTCGTGACCAGTTCACTACTGCCTCAATCTTCTGGGGATTTACATAAATACCCTCTGCAAAGATCACATGCCCCAAGAAACTAACTCTGTCCAACCAGAACTGACACTTGCTGAATTTGGCGTACAACTGCCTCCTCCTTAGAGTATTCAACACAATTTCCAAATGCTTCATGTGTGCCTTCTGACTCTTAGAATACACCAGAATGTCGTTTATGAATACAATCACAAAGCGATCCAAGTAACGTCGGAACACCCTGTTCATGAGATTCATAAACACAGTTGGGGCATTGGTCAACCCAAATGGCATCACCAGGAACTCATAGTGCCCATATCTCGTTCGGAAAGCTATCTTAGGCACATCCTCTTCTCTAATCCGTAATTGATGATACCCAGATCTCAAATCGATCTTAGAGAATACCTTGGCACCCTTCAACTGATCTTAGAGAATACCTTGGCACCCGTAATTGATGATATGAGGCAATGGATACTTATTCCGCACCGTGACCTTTTTCAGCTGCCTGTAGTCAATGCATAACCTCATAGTGCCATCCTTTTTCTTAACAAATAACACTGGAGAGCCCCATGGAGAAAAACTAGGTCAGATGAAACCCTTATCTACCAGCTCCTGCAACTGAGTCTTTAACTCCCTCAACTCTGCTGGTGCCATTCTGTATGGTGCCTGAGAAATAGGATTCGTTCTTGGAACGAGCTCAATGGTGAACTCGATCTCCCGGTGAGGAGGTAACCCAGGAAGATCCTCGAGGAACACATCTGGAAATTCCTGTACCACCGGAATATCTTCCAATCTTAGCCCATGATCTCTGGTATCAATCACATGTGCTAAATATCCTGAGCACCCTTTTCTGAGCAACCGTTTTGCCGTCATAGCTGAAATGAGGCAAGATGGAAGCACTCTGCACTCGCCACAAAATGTCACTTCAGGTCGTCCGGGACTACGGAATATAACCTCTTTCCTGAAACAATCCACTAAGGCATGATGCTTGGCCAACCAATCCATGCCTTAAATGACATCCAAGTCAACCATTCCCAAAGGAATCAAATCTGCTTCTAGAAATACATCCCCCACTAGCACTGTACTATCTCGATACACTGTACCTACTTGAAAAATCTCTCCTATAGGTACAGAGATCGCCAGTTCGTTCCGTAGGGCTGAAAGTCTTACATTAGCATTGTGGGCAAAACTAGGTGTGACAAATGAGTGTGTAGCCCCAGGGTCAATCAAAACTCTATCAAGGATTCCAAAAACTGGTAAAATACCTGTGATCACGTCAAGTGAAGCCTGTGCTTCCTGCTGGGACATATTGTACACCCTGCCTGTGGCTCTAGAACGTCCACCACGTCCCCTCTGTTAAGTACCACCTTGGCTGGCAACACGAGGCGATGCAACTATTGGACGAGGCCCTTACAAACTGTGATGTCCCCTGAGATCTGCCCTGAGTGCCTATCCCCTGAGGCGATGCAACTATAGCCTCTCCACCCTGAAGCAACATCGGGCACTCCCTCAGAAAATGTCTAGACTGACCACAATGGAAACATCCAGTAGTGCCCTATCGGCAAGTCCCAGTATGGTACCTACCACACTCAGCACACTAAGGATTTCTCCTCTTACCAGATGCTGATTGTAGCTGTCTCCCAAAACCTCTAGTTGTACTACTCCTGGAGCCGTTCCTAGAACTGCCACTCTAGTTGGAACCTCCACTAGAACTGACTCCGGGTCGAAAACCTCCATAACTGCGGCCACTAGATGACCTAGAGCTGTAACTGCCTCTCTTAGATGACTCTTGACTGGGACCAACCATATCAAACTGTCTCCTCCGGGGTTCACCCGCGCTTTGACCATGATTTGGTTGCTCTCTATCAGCGAAGCAGACATCACCAAATTCCCAAAATTAGTCAACCATTGGCTAATCACAATATCTCAAATGGAGGCATTCAACCCTCCAGTAAAAAACTGACATTTCTTATTCTCATCCTCGACTAGTGGAACACAGTACTTAGACAGTTCATTGAACTTTTTCTCATACTCAAGTACGGTCATTGTCCCTTGTTCCAGATGTAGAAATTCCTCCATTTTCAAATCCTGGTAAGCCTGTGGGTAATATTGATTGTCAAATGCCGCTCGGAACAATTGCCATGTGATGGTTGACGGATCCCGATATCTCCTTTTAACAGACTCCCACCAATGTCTAGCATTCCTGACTAGAAAGAATGTGACCATAGTCACCCTACGGTTCTGTGGAACGGCCATCACCTCCATGATCCGCTCCATCCTCTCTATCCATTTTTTAGCCACTGCTGGGTCGCCATCACCATCAAAATCTGTGGCCCCAATCCTCTTAGCTTGGTTAGCATATCCCAGGGAGGGATCTCTGGACTGCCCATTCTTGGATAGAGCCTGAGTCAACAACTATAAAGCCTGCTGAAAATTAGGATCTCTCGGCCTAGTGGGCATGGCAGATGCGGCCCCTAATGGGCCTCTAACAAAAGACTGCTCTACTGGTTTCGGTACTGGTGCAGGAATGAAATTCCTCTTGCTCGGGAGGGGGATTCTGTCCCCTGACTCAGGACGACTGTCTGGCCCCTCTACGGAAGCCACCACGTTTAGGGCCCATGCTTACTGTCTCAAGAAACAGATGTTCAGTAAAACTAGAAAGCACAAAGTGCGGAGTCTACAAGAAGTTAAATTTAATGCTCTGATACCAAGTTGACAGGACCTGACCCAAATTCCACTTTGGAATCCGAGCCGATCCTTGTTCTTGATCCACGCCTGGCTCCTAGAAGTGCGTGCATCCAATTAAAGTTACTCCTATGCCCACATTAACATTCCTTTAAACCTAGGACACATGTCCTGTGAGTTTGGTCTCAATCGAACGGTTGGTTTGGTCAAAATCGCACGATCAATGGTTCGAAACCATTGAACCCGGAAATCACACAAGAGGAAAGATCTGTAAACATTAACCAAATTAAGATCCGTGAATTCCTACGCGCTCGTGACAACATGAGGATCATTCTAGGATTGAATCTGGTCCCCACAAAACTGCCCATGCGCCGCCACACGCGTCGGCAGCGCGTGGGTGGCTTGATAAATTCCTAGCGGCCGGAAAAACTCCAAACTGCCGGTCCAAACTCCTAACTTAGGTAAAACACCCATTTTGGAACCACTTTTGTTCTTGGACCTACTCCAAAAAGTGGCCGGAAGTACCCGGAATCACACTCTCAAAACCGGCTGAAACCTAGATTGAAAATCGAACGTTCTACTCTTGAAATTTTTGGAATCCTACCCAACCAGCAGTTAGAGCATGGAAAATAGCTAGAAAACCATACCTCAATCGTCCGATTTGGTGGCCGGATGACGGAGAACGAAAGCTTGGAAAATCGAATGAATACCGGCGAGTTTTCTCCAGTTTCCGGTGAGCTCCGTGGTCGGCAATGGTTGAGGCTGGTCGGGACGGGACGGGGGAAGGATGACGGTTCGAACGGATCCGGTCTCGTGGCCGGTGGTTCACGGTGGCGGTGGTTATGGAGGAGAGAAGGTGACGGGTTAAAAAAACAGGGGGGAGGGGGTTGCTGTGGTCGCAAGGAAGAAGTGGGAGGGAAGAGAGAGAGAGAGTCAGTTTTAAAAAAAATCCTGATTTCAAAATTACCGTTTTGCCCTTCTATGTATTTTGACCGTATTTTTTTCGTTACAACTCCGATTTGAGTCCACTCCGTGTCTACGGACTCGTTTCGTCGCGCTCTACGCAACGATGCAAGTGGAATAGTCAAATTCTTTCTCGGTCAAAAAGTCAACTTTTCCTTTACTATAATATTTTGAGGGCAAAAGTGCCCTTTCCTCTTAATAGTTTAATAGTTAAATATTAATTAAGGTTTGGGTTATTACACTAAATATCTAGCTTTAAATTGATTTTGTAATTAATTGATTGGTTGTCTTTGAGCAATTAAAGACTTAAATATTTTCCAAAACGTTGAGCTATAATAATACCACATAAATTAGTCTGTAGGTTTTTTTATTTTCAAACACTAGCAGTAATTGCCCAAACATTAGCAACAAAATTATAAAAATATAAATGTACCAACAATATTTAAAGCAACTGAAATTGTATAGACAACATGAAAACTTTAAACTGCATCTACCCAAAACAAATCGTAATTTTCATTTTGAAAATCCAATATAAATGCAAAAGCTTCAGTTAAAGAATTAAAAGGTATTAAAGCAATAGCAGTACGGGAAGAAAACAACTTTACTTACAAAGGTTTAATAGACATATGATTTCACATATATAATCAAACTTATGCCATGATCAAGACGCAACCTAACAAATATGATTTATTCGAAATATATGTAAGATAATACTTTGTTTACTACAGTTTGAACCAAGTGGCAAATGATAATCTTATCAATCAAGTACTCAATTGAGACTTCAAGAACAGCATGGAAAGAAAGTAGTTTTAATCTACAAAGGCTTTAGATTGTTATAAAAATTATAGTTTTTCTTTTCCATAAAGCCAAATACAAAAACTTTATATTATAAATAACATATAAACAAATTAGAAAGCTTTTAAGGTACAATGAAATTGAAGAAAAACAAATTGATAGGTAAGTAAAAGCAAAATAAATAATGAGTTTGGTATGGTGAAGCACGTCAAAGATGCAGTCCTAAAGCCTTTGTAGAGACCCTACATGCAAGTACTGGCGATCTACAAGACTCCAAGATACGACCTCTTGTACACAAACTCAAGATCCGCAATGAGCACGTTCATAGACGGATATAGGTATCTAAGTCACCGAACCGTTGCCAAAAATAATAATATAAATAGAGAAAATATAAAAGGTATAAAATGAGAGAATCAGATTGTGGTATGTGATATTCTGATGGTGTATTGTGATTGTTCAAATGTGAAGGAGGAGTGGCCTTTATAGGCATCCAATAACATGTAACCTTCACCACATTAAACTAGAAAATTAAGGCATTCAATATAGAAATAAAACCTGAAAATTAATATGTATAACCCCCACAATAAATAAAATAAAACAACCAAAATAATTAAATAAATCAAAACGGTTTAAATTTGTAAAACATTTTAAAATTCCAACAGGATTTGTTGGGACATGGTTCAGAATCTTTACACAAACAGCACAAGGCCATAAACAATTATCATTCAATTGATAACTGGGTGATGGAAACTGTGTTGCAACTGCATATTACCACCACAAACTGTAATCTCACCGTCGCTCATCAAAATCTAACAACCACTTCATTCACAGCACATAATATCAACATGCATACTAACGAAAATCTTTTCCATTTACTCAAACTTATACATCACAATCACTAAACTACATAACATTTTAGTTACAACCAACATTACTATCAAATAAATTCAATTTCATCCTACCTCAATTGAAGATTTTGATGAACACCGACCCACACTCATGAGATCACTTGGGATCTTCATTACCCCGGTTGTCCACCTTCACGGCAGCCGTGTATTCGACGCAGAGGATCAGCTGAGTTTTTCATTACACACATTGTCAATTTGGGATTTACAATTTTCTAAGAAGAAGAAGCATAACCCCCGCTAATTTGGTTTTCGGAAAATGCCAACTCTCATCCAAGAATCACTTCTTTTGACCCGTCTTTTCTTTTTTCTTTTCTTTTTCTCTAACTTTTAGTAACCAGTAACCCCCTTTTGCAGGTTGCATTTCTATTTTAATTATATTCTCAAAATTTGAATTTTTTGCATGTACTTAATATACGCACGCACTGAAGAATCACCCAAAAAAGAGATTAAGATTAGAAATATATAACGAATTCTTATCTTAAATACGTCTCTTTTGGTGAGCTGGCTTGGACTGGTTAGGATATGCTTCAAAGTATTGGATTGGGCTAGCTTGGACTGGGTAGGTTCTGAGTCCAGTTCTATTCATTTTAACAGACTGAAATTAACTTCTTTTTTTTAATAAATCAGAATTTTATTTTATTTTATTATTAACAATAATCATATGCAAAATCTCAAGCCCCAAATCGGTGTCTGAAACCTTCCCTTGATCGGTCAAACAAATCGCGTGACGAAAAAGGAGAGAAGAGAAATGCAAACCGTTTGGTTGCTGAGAAAACACAAGGAAATGTGAAAATACAATAAGAAAACGAAAACTGAATCTGATCCGATAAAGCTACGAAATGGGAGCGTTACACCTTCCTCTTCAGCAAACGAGCTCTTGAGCCTTCTCTCTCTCTCTACAAAAATCCCTATCCCCGAATTCGCTCTTCTTCTTCTTCTTCTTCTTCTTCCTCACTTCCAAATTCTAACCTCTCCTTGCCCAACTCCAAATCTACAAAAGAGTGGCAGTGGACCCACTTTCTTCTTCAGCTAGTAATTACCAACTACCCTCGCTCCGTTCTATCTCTGCACAGCCATTGGACCCACCAACCCAAACCGATTTCACCCATTTCACAAACTGAAGAACCAGCGAAGTTCAATGATGTCGTGACAGAGATAAGAGCGAGACTGGGTAGAGGATATGGGAGAGAGAGAAGAGACAATATACCCATATAAAAGAGGAGAATAGAGAAGAAGGAGCGGAATATGACGACAGAGGTTTCATTGTAACCGCACCTATGGGTTGGGTTTCATAACCATAGTTATTTGGGAGGCCCATATCCAGTGTGAAACTCATTAAAGCCCACCAAACAATGGATAGAATTCACGTTCAAACAATAGTTAGAATTCACGTTCATTTTAATTGGAAATATTCAATCGTCCCGCTATATTGATAGCAATAGCCAGTCTTTATATTCTTATCAAAAATCTTTTTCTTCGAAGGATGCAGCAAACCCAGTCACCACCATCCAAACGCAACCACTCTCCTTCCCTCCTCCTCCAATGCTCAGAGCTCGTCCTTTCATGGCTGACCCCACAAGAACTCGCCACCATCTCTCTCACCTGCTCCACCCTCCACACAATTTCTAAGTCCATCACTCTCCGCCGAGCCTCCGACGCCTCCAGAGCCTTCGAGAGTCATCCCATTCCATTCCACAACTCCGTCGATGAACACCCGTATGCCTACTTCATCTACACCCCATCTCAAATTCCTTCTTCCTCTTCTCAATTTTTAGGGCGCCAATCCTGGGGCTCCAGTTTTTTCTGCACACAAATCGAACTCGGTGGCTGGACTTGGAGTTCAAACGCTGCGTTTCGTGGACGATTCGGGAGAGTGTGAGTATGGGTGTGAATGCGAGGCATGTGGGGAAGAGGGAGATGGGGCCGATGGGTGTCCGTGTTTTGGTGGCTTTGACGACGTCGTTGCGGAGTGTGGGCCGAGTTGTGAGTGTGGGTTGGATTGTGGCAATAGGTTGACTCAGAGAGGGATTGAGATTAAGTTGAAGATTCTGAGGGATGGGCGAAAAGGGTGGAGTTTGTATGCCGACCAGTTCATTCCAAAGGGTCGGTTTGTTTGTGAGTATGCAGGTATTCCAATAACAACCCACATTTAGGAATTGGATTTTGTTTTGAATAATGTATATGACATGTTGTGTTATCTGTTTTGTACTGTTAGTTATAGCACTTTAGCGCTTGTAAAATGTAATTGTTTCTAGTATGTATCCTGACGGTGTATGATTGGTTGTTTTGTGTTTTGTGTTAATTTGAAATTGGTTGTGACTGGAGATGAGAAAAATGTTGTCTTGACTTTGCTGACAGAGAATAGAAGTGTAGACAGATTTTGAACAATGTGATTGAATTTGGTCGGAAGTTTTGAATTTGGCACTCGTTTGATATTTTCTTTCATAAATAGGTGTGCACAAAGTCATACACATCAAGTAACTCAAAACCAAGACTAATTGATGATATAGATGGCTCATGTGAGTAATTGTTCTGAGGCGAATCTTAAAATTGTTTTCAAGTTTATGAGTCTGCTGATATAGATGGCTGACTGCTCTCTGGCTTTGAATTTGTTGTCATTAGTAGAGGTTAAGGTTCTGTTATTTTTCTAGACAACAAGCTTTCCAATTGGATTAGGATCACTCTTTTTTCTTGTTATCCTGTTGGATTGATAAAGTATTGTTCAGATATGAAATATTCCTATCAACAAATGTTGGTGCAGCAATTACTGAAAGGAAATACTATACTCATCTTTTCTGTTGAGTAATTATCATGTATTCTGGCACCCACTTGCTTGGGCATCTGGAACACAGAAAGGGTGTAGTCTGTGAACCAAGCACGTAGAAATCATGATTGTTGGATCATCATACGTTTGGCAAAACCTTGAAAGAATGGTGGGAAGGCAGGACTGGAGGAAGTTGAAGTTTGACAATAACAGATTAAGGAGCGGAATAGGGAAGTGTTTGGGGACGATGGAAAGGAAAGAAGAGAAGAAGTTTAAGGGAGAATTAAGGAGCCGTCCTTTTTTCTTTCTTTATCCCTGCATCAACTGAGGTGCAGGGAACTGTAGACTGCTAATATGTCTGACCACACTGTTGTAAATGTTTAAAATTCACTAATGGCTTTCAGATGCTGCTGCTCAAGATTCTCCCCCGAAATTTTATTTGATGCGAAAAATCCTAAATTAGAAGTGAAAAATCTAATCCCATAAAAATGGATAATGATACTTGCTTATGGCGTTCTGAAGCCTGTTCTCTGAGGCTTAGATAACATGTTCCCTACAAATGATTGCATGTATGTTTATCTGTATTCTGTATGCATGCATGGGAATTTGATCTCATTATGTCTCTCTCTCTCTCTGCACACGCACACACGTGTATGTATACATCCTGCAAGTTGGATTATATGTTTTAACATTTTTTACTTATTAATTGTTCTTTTTTTTGGGTGAGAAAGGTGAACTCTTGACAACCAAAGAAGCAAGATTGCGGCAGCAGATATATGATGAGCTTGCATCAGGTGGTCATTTTTCCCCTGCTCTTTTGGTAGTGAGGGAGCATATGCCATCCAGAAAGGCATGTCTAAGATACAATATTGATGCGACAAGAGTTGGAAATGTATCAAGGTTCATCAACCATTCGTGTGATGGTGGTAATCTATCCACAGCACTGGTGAGAAGCTCAGGTGCTTTACTCCCACGCCTTTGCTTTTTTGCTTCAAAAGACATAAAAGAAGATGAAGAGCTTACTTTTAGCTATGGTGAAATTAGGGAAAGGTCTAAGGGGTTACAGTGCTTTTGTGGGAGCTCTTGTTGTCTTGGAATTTTGCCCTCAGAGCAGACTTAATTGTAGTTGTTTGCCTCTAGACTAAGTAGTCCTGTAGCTTGAATTCTGTCTTTGTAGGATATGTAGGAGGGAAAGGAGCAGTTGAGGGCACATTCAGGATTGTGCAATAAGTGGTAAAAATGAAAAGGGGAAAGAGAACGAGGAGAAGAAAATAGCACCATAAGTTTGTTAACTTATACCTAATACTTTAACTGAAATCTGTAATCGGTTTAACTTGCAATTTGCTATTCGGAATTGGATGCAGATGCAAATTTTGCAAAGTTAACGGTGGGGCAATGTTCATGTGTTTCTTTTTCTGCTTTTATAAATGATTCCTCTTGTTTTTTCCTCTTCCTATCTTATTATTTTTCCTACGTTAAGGTCAATTGGCCAAGGTTATTAGGAGCTGCAACTCAACACAAATAGCTCTATGGTATCGAGTCTTTTGGTGGTTCAACTTTGTGCAATATCATATTCCTTCTATCAAAGCTTTGTACCAGCTCTAGCTAGGATTCAGTGTTTAGAGTTTAGAAACCGGTTTTTTACTCACACCTACACCAACAAAAAGATCATGTAGCATACTAGTCGTCAAAACAAATATTGAAATTAAATGAAAGAAAAGAGAGTGATCATGCATCTCATCTACTATAGCTTAAAGTTTCTGTGCAGACCAGGGCTGGTTTTGGTGTTTCTAAATTCTCTCTTCAGCTTAGGGCCAATTCCGTGTTGCTTCGAGTTTCGGTTAGCTTTGTCTAATGCTGCTGTTGATGTAAATTGTTTGGATACTAAATTCATAATGGATGTTTTGATTGTTGAATCCAATTTATTTGCTCAATAATCCCTTATATTAACTTTTGTGCAAGAATAACTTTGTCATCCTTCATCTCTTATGAAGAAAAAAGAAAAAAGAAAAAAGGTTGGTGGCGCCCAAGGCAAGTTTTGGGCCTAGCAGGCCCATTCAGGAACTGAAATCGAAGTGGCCCGAACCTGGAGGGATGCTATCCCAACGATTGCAGCTACCCCAACTCCTAAGTAAGATGTGATATTTTGGTTAATGAGTTCCAGTGACTGTTTTTGAGGTAAAACTCACCTCAGTAATGCAAATGAGAAAGTTAGGAACAATATATTTAGCCACGTTAATCTCTCTGCATGTATGATTGACTTACAATCATTCGACTATATATTTGCCCTAGCAGAAGGACGACAAGTTAGGGTAGGAGGTATAGATTGGGGAGAAGAAAAGTAGTTTTATGATAATGATCATGGATAGAGAAGCTACATACAGGCAATTGTAAAGAGAGAAATATTAAGGAAAGAAACACGCGATGCATTGAGTTATTATCTTATTATTCAAGTGTATCGATCATTGGCGAACATGAGGGGAACTTGACTATCTTCCTCGTCATCTTCATCGTCTTGGGATGGCCTTGAAAGCTGAAGAGGGTCCAAGCTTTGTGAAGATGGCGCAGTGTCGGCTGCAAGGTCAAAATTAGAGGTGAAGCTGCACATGTTGATGAGATTAGTGGAAGCAGAGGAGTTGTTGGAGTAGGCAGGCTGCAACATCAAAGCCATGTTCTGCTGCTGCTCATGTTGTTGCTGTTGTTGCTGCTGCTGCTGCCGCTGCTGGGAGCTGATCTGAAGGGCATTTGCAAATGCAAATCTACTGTTTATCAGCTGAGTTTGCACCATTGCAAGCTCGGCTTGCAAAGATGCAACCTGGACATTAATGCCACAACAGTTAACTAATTAATTAATAGATATTGCAACTGTCCTTTAATATTGGTCATGGAGCTTCAATTATATATGTGAACAATGATGCCATCTTATGAACAAAAGGTGAGAGAGCTTGCAGTTTTCCTTTTTTATTTATTATTTTTTGAAGTTTTTTGTTTTATTGAACATTCGTAGTCCACGAAATTTGAATCAGGACCCTATAGAAACTGCTAGTAGAGGGAGCAATTGATAATGTTTGGTGGCTATCAATGTTGAAATATTGTCAAAACCCCCTATGGAAAGTTTTGTAAGAAAAAGAAGTAAATTTATCAAGCCTGGTTTGTACTTGCAACATCATCTCTTATCTCATGACATTAATTGACCAATAATTTCCATGAAGGCAATAATAGATCGGAGAGAGAGAACACATATAGGTATGTAAATGTGTGTGTGTGTGTGTTTTTATGATTAATTAAGTAATTAATTAGTAATATGGTTAATATATGTGATGAAACCTGTTGTTGCAAAGCAAGAATGGTTGAGACACAACCATAGACGGGATCAGCGAGCCTAGCTTGAGCCTCATAAGAAATGGTGACGACGGCATCTTGGCGGCGGTTCAAGGGAATGTGCAACAAAAGCTTTGACACATTACTTGCCCCAAACACCTTGTGCACCGCTGCAAAGCGTGCAGCTCCTTGGTCTGAACCAAAATGGGGTGCAAATATGCACCCACTAATGCACTTCCTCCTCAGAAACTTGCAGGCTCCACATGGAGCTGCACCACCTACTACTACTGTACTGTTTGTACTAGTATTGGTTGTCGTTGCCGCCGCCTCCGTGTTAGAAGTAGGCCTTCCAGGGCCGCCAGATGTGCCCTTTCTTCTGCTTTCGGACGTGCAATGATCTCCTTGTACTGGCTGATCAGCCATCAAGAGGGAATGGAAATCTAAGGATTAATATAACAAATTGGCTGGCTAGCTAGCTATATAGCTATAGCTATAGGAAGGTAAAGGGTTTTGATTAATATTAGAGACTTTATTAATTTTAGCAGTAGTGCACGTTAGTCTCGTGAAATAGTTGGCAAGCTCAATGTGCTAAGCCTCTCTTTCTTTGTTTCTTTGTTTCTTTGTTTTAGAGAGAGAGAGAGAGAGAGAGAGAGAGAGAGAGAGAGACGTTATGGTTGGTGAAGTTGGGGAAATATTGAGTGAGTGAGTGAAATGAGTCTACTGCATGGAGTGTGTGAGGGGCACGTGCAAAAGCAAAGGGTAGGGCCTACTGGCTTAATTAATTAGCTAATTATATTATATATTAATAAATAATGGTGTTAGTTTTAAGTCCAAGTTGTAAAATAATAATAATAATAGTTGTATGTATGGAAGTTGTAGAAGGTTGTGATGATGGAGGGAAAGGCACAAGATTTGTACTGCCCGTGGCGTGTGGGATGCATAAAACCTCAAAGTGCATGGGTGTGGGGTGGGTGTGTTACATGTCATGTCATGCATACCTCTTTACCTTTATTAACTCTGAAATTAAGACACAGCATAAGTACATTGTTACAACTCACTTTTTTTTTTACTTTTGTTGGAAAAGATGGTAACAATTTACACATTCCTTATAAAAAAAAAGGCTTATTTACTGTAGTACCCCTTGAAACTTTGGTCAAATATCACTTTACCCTCCGAAAGTAAAAATGGCCCGCTTAACCCCCTTGACCAAGGTTTGGTGTTCCAGTTTGCCCCCTACTGTTATCTCCATTAATAACTCCGTTAATTTTGATGATATGGCATGACTGTTTTAGTCTTTTTACCAATGCATCCTTTTATGAATCTGGCCACCAATGCATCCTTTTATTTTTCTCTCACATTTTGCATGGACCAGGTTATTTCGCAAATTCGTACTGTGTGCTCATTTGGGGAAGAGGACAGAGCCATTGAAACATACTTAAATTCACTTAATAAGGCCCTCAAAGGATTTGCAAAAGGAGTTGGTGTAGGCTTCACATATGGACTGTTGTTTTGTGCTGAGCATTGCTTCTCTAGTATGCTGGCATACTTGTAAGGGAAGAGGGAGGTCGTGGTGGGGTGGGGTGGGTGACTGTGGATGTTGGGGCTGGGCTTGGGAGAAGAGGGAGGAACAGAGAGAGGTGGGGGTGTCTTGAGAAGTTGTGTGGTGGGAGGGTGGTAAGGGTTGGTTGCTGGATTGAGTGGTGGTTGTGGTCTGATGATGTGAAGTTAGGGGAAGGGGAGGGGACGACTGAGGGAGAGATGGAGAAGAATATATATTTTTAATATTAATTTTTTTCCATTTTTATATATTAACAAGTAATTACATTTTTTAATTTTAATTTTAATTATTAATATTTTAGTCTACTTAAGTAGAAAAAGTGGGCCTACATCTCACACATCATCACTAATGGCAAAAAGACTAAAATAGTAACGCCATGTCATCAAAATTGACAGAGTTATTAATGGAGATAACGGTAGGGGCCAAACTGGAACACCAAACCTTGGTCAAGGGAGTTAAGTGGGCCATTTTAACTTTTGGGGGATAAAGTGAGATTTGACCAAAGTTTCAGAGAGTACAACAGTAAATAAGCCTAAAAAAAAACTCACTCACATTTACATGCCTACCATATATATGCAATCTTGCTATATATATATATATATGCAATCTTGCAACCCATTAATTACCTTCCCTTAGTAGTATACGTGCTTGTAAATCGATTTGTATATCTCGTAGAATTCGTTACCTTAATTAAAACTTGTAATACTTGATTTCTGTATTGAACAATTGCACTAATGACATACGAATCAGGGAAATCGGGAATACGAGATAACTTCACTTGGAGTGCAGTAGAGTAACTTGAATCTAGGATTGTTTTGTGGAAGGGAGAGGATCGGAAAGAAGGAGGCAAAATAGGTCTGCTTATTGGCAATACAAACCATGCTGCCATGTATTACAGAAAACATCTGGGAGTCCTTTTCAACAATAGAAAGTTCTAGCTATCTGCTGATCTACATAGATTTCAACTCATATGTAAACATTAATTAATTAATTAAGAATAATGTGACAAGATGTATATATAGACGATCAAAATTAAAGTGATTCTTTACACTCCTTTTCTGTTGGATTTGGAAACGAATAAATCTCAATCGATGGGTTCAGTAACCTATAAAGTCATTGTTTACACTCCCTTAATATTATCAATGTGAAGGATGCTCTACAACCATCAATTGTCTTTGTGTAGCTAGCTATGGCGTGGATTCTCAAGGATCACAAAGGAAAGGGAAAGCTTTTAGGCAACATGATTTGGGGCATTAAGCAGGATGGAGATGAAGCAGCTAGCATAACAAAAAGACTCCTGTTGACAGATTCTTTTTTATTTTACTAGTGCCATTCCCTCTGCATTAATCCGTAGCTGACGTCTGTCTGCAGTCGGAATATATATATATATGGCTAAGGAACCAGCAACTCACCGCTAATAGGTGAGGTGTGACGGAATTGAAGTTGAAACCGGAGAGCCCTCATTGCTCCGGGATTCTCCTCCCAGCCATGCATCCTGAACTTGTTCAGCATACTGCAAGTTCCAAAGAACATCCTCAATAGAAGATCTATCTGCTGGATCCTTACACAGACATCTCACACAAATTTCCATCAGCGTCTTCAAGGACTGATCCAAGCATGTCTGCCTAATTAGTGGATCAACCATGCTTCCTCGAGCTGCTTCATCAGCTGTAAGAGCCATTTGTAGCTGCACGGTGTTAATGAATGTATGTAAATTTATTAGGTGTGGTATAACTTTCCCAAACCCCCTAATTCATAATGCAGGGCAGGTACATTTTCTGTTCTATAAATACACCAAATACCGATTTCTGTTAATGAAGAAAATATAACAAAAAGCAGAGTTCTTTTACCTGATCTTCTTGAACTTCCACTTGAGTCTCAGACATCACTAGTCTGCCTTTGATCATTTCCAGCAATATTTCTCCAAAGTTGCGAACATCGGTCCTGTCGTCGTGCTTCATCCTGTCAACCAACATAGCTCAATGGTTACAGTTTACATGTTAACGGAATAATCTACATAAGATTAGTAGGTGTACTTTAGGTGATAATATCTAGATGTAGCTCAGGACCTCTCCGTGAAGGTGGCAAGAGGTGACAAGGTGTCAACAAGCACAAGGACTAAGATTATCATCAAAAGTAATAAAATTTATCAGTTATGTACAAGTCATTAACCTCTTGACCTATTTTGTTTGCAGACTGCCTACTCATCATAATATCATCACACACGCATGCACACAAAAAACAAAAACAAAAACAAAAAACAAAAAACTATATGGTTCTACGGAAAATTCTACCCATAGACATGCGTCAAGTCTTGGGAATGGTGATGAAAATACACACTAGGTTAAAAGTGGTGAGCAAAAATGTTCTTATATAATATAATATTGTCAACCTATCAACAAGATTAATTGTCAACTCTTTTACTCTCCTTTTTTTTCCCACTAAAGGAGCTATATTAGGTGTGGGAGGACTAATTTGTTTGTAGAATGAGGTGAGCTTTCACTAAATGGGGTGAACTTCCTAAAATTAGCGCTAAATCCCTATTTTTCTATATATTTCTACACGGGTGGAGCCTAACCTAGTCTAAGGGTGGTTTCGCCGTTGCGAATGTGTGACTATCCTTAATAATCAAGGGTATAACTGGGATTTTATGTGATGGCAAAGTGAACTCTCTTAATAATACCACAATTATGTCCTCTTTTGCCTTCCCAAATTAAGCTGTAGAGCTAGATACAGGTAGTGGTTTTCAGTTATTCAACTAATATACAATGCGTAACTGAAATCTCAATGAGCATAAGCCCCGAATTAGAAACCAAAATGTGCAAGAGGCTCTCCAAAACCCAGAAATTTAGGATTAATTCCTCTCAACATGCACTGTGCCTTAACCAACTCTTGCGTAGTGGACTATAAAATCAAAGCCTTCTATTCACCATTCTAATCAACAGCACCCAATACGATACAAAAACTCGAAACCAAGAACCAGAAAAATAAACAATAAAAATGGCTGGAAAAAACACATGCTTGGGTGTCCATGCAGCTCTAACCGTGACATTAATTCTCCTCAATGCCATTATAGTCGTCGCAGATGATGATGCACCGGTACCAGCTGACCAGTCCCAAGTCAACACGTGGTTCAATAACAACGTGAATCCACACAAAGAACGGCAGGGCAAGCTTGACCCTGCCCTTGTAACAGCTGAGCTTGGTCAAACCGTCGTCAAGGTTATGAAAGATGGAAGTGGAGAATTCAAGACCATCACTGACGCCGTTAATAGCATACCAGCAGAAAACACCAAACGTGTCATTGTGTACATTGGAGGGGGAGAGTACAATGAGAAAATCACAATTCCACGGAATAAACCATTTGTTACATTTTATGGCTCTCCAACAAATATGCCAACTTTGATCTTTGGTGGCAATGCCCAAAAGTATGGAACTGTGGACAGTGCCACAGTGATTGCCGAATCCGACTACTTCGTGGCAGCTAACCTTATCATTAAGGTACGTAAATGTCTCACGTTTGCGAGAAATGTTTCGTGTCACGTGATATTACCATCACACAAAATAATATTTTTTTTATGAACTTTCTTTTAATATTTTTGTTTCCTTATAATTTACGTTGATTTGTGGTTGTGGGAAGAACTCTTCGCCAAAGCCAGATGGGAAAAGAGTGGGAGAACAGGCATTGGCATTGAGGGTGTCAGGGAACAAGTCAGCCTTGTTCAATTGCAGGGTAATTGGTTTCCAGGACACACTTTGTGATGACAAGGGCAATCATTTTTTCAAGGACTGCTTTATTGAAGGCACTGTGGATTTCATCTTCGGAAGTGGAAAGTCTCTCTATTTGGTAATGCCACCCAAACTCTCCTTATAATTCCTAAACAAAAGGAAAACTTATAAAGGAACTTTTGTTAACTCTGCCTACATGTTTTACAAATTTAATCGCTAAATGCGAGTCTCTTCTTGTAATAGTGAATTTCACGTACATGTTGTGTGAGAAACATTATGTATACGACTAACTCTTCACTATAACTCAGCTGTTTGTTGTCTATGTATTATGTCATGGTTTTGATGGGTAGTTAATTCATGGGTGTGCAGAACACTGAGTTACATGTGCTGGGGAATAATGAAATGACAGTGATAACAGCACAAGCAAGGGACTCAGCTTCAGAGGATACTGGATACTCATTTGTCCACTGCAACATAACTGGGACTGGAAATGGCACGTATTTGGGCAGGGCTTGGAGGATCAGTCCTAGGGTGGTCTTTGCCTACACCAGCATGTCTGAGGTCATCACCCCAGCCGGCTGGAACAACAAGAACCGCCCTGAACGTGACAGGTAAACAAATTAAAACACACTAATTAATTAAGCATTTCATATAATTGAATGGTTTTGAGAGTTAATTAATAGTTTCAATTTTTTTTGTATTTGTTGTTATATGCAGCACCGTGTTCTATGGAGAACACAAGTGTTCGGGTCCAGGTTCAAGTATGGTTGGGAGAGTAAAATACACCAAACAGCTGAACGAGGAACAAGTCAAACCTTTCCTCAACCTTGGCTTCGTTCAGGCTTCCAAATGGCTTCTCCCTCCTCCAAATCCAAAAGTGTAGATTTTCTTAAGACTAGGAAATAGTTTTCTTAACTTTGTACACATGTTTGTATATGGGTGCTATTGAGAAAGCCACACGCACACCTCATGCAAAATGCACAATGTATAAAATCAATATTATGATTTAATTTCTAAAGATCTGCTGCTATACAATTTGAGAACAGTTTGTCAATTTGATTGGGAACAAAGTATGCGCAAAGGACCCATTAGTATAGTGGCTTGGACAATTTACTCCATCATGCAAGGTTCTGGGTTCAAGTCCTAGCATCCGTGTATTATGTGTGAGTTTATTACTATTGCCCCTCTCAATAGGAAAGGACATCAAAAAAAAAAGCGCGCATAAGCGACAATGTGCAAAAATTAAAAATGGACCCCCTTCAATTTTCACATAAGAAATAATAAGTCATGCATTTTCAAAGTATCGATCCCTTAAATAACTTCACCTTTTTCAAATTTGCTAAAGAAAAAACATATAAAAAATCGGTTTCAGTTTGGACAAATCCCACTCCGTCCAGATTTAATAAAAAACAAAAACAGAACCAAAATTTATGATCTAGTCAAGCATTTAAATTTCACCTTAATCCACCCTGTACAGTAAAATATGAATCACTTGAGCAACGATTTAGGTTAAGGATTAATATAATAAGTTGGCTGGTCAGCTAGCTATATAGCTATAGCTATGGGAAGGTAAAGGGTTTTGATTAATATTAGATACTTTATTAATTTTAGCAGTAGTGCATGTTAGTCTCGTGAAATAGTTGGCAAGCTCAATGTGCTAAGCCTCTCTTTCTTTGTTTCTTTGTTTCTTTGTTTGAGAGAGAGAGAGAGAGAGAGAGAGAGAGAGAGAGAGTACTGATCTACATAGATTTCAACTTATATATGTAAACATTAATTAATTAATTAAGAATAATGTGACAAGAGCCTCCTTTATTTCTTTGGCCAACACTTCCAACTAATTCCTGATTGGTAAGCTTAGAAACATGTTGAGCTCTCTCTCTCCTAAAAGGATGAGAAACCCACACCCTACCCTACCGAGTGGTATTTGGCCTAAATTGCTATCATCTCTCTCTCCCTTGGTCCTCACATCTTCAACAAATTTGTGAGCTCGATCTTGCTGCTAACAATAGCAAGTCTGATCTTATATATTCTAGTTTTATGAGTTTTGAATACCCAAAGCCTGGCCCTCCCCGTTAATAAGCAAAGGCAGAACCTTTCTCCCACCTCCCTTCTACTTTGCCTTCCAATCTTTGTAGAGCTTAGTTTCCCCAAAGCTCATTCCTTTCCTTAAGTAATCAAAGGCTGAATCTTTTCCAACTCCTTCTCTAGTGCCTTTCAAAGCTTCTCACCAGAGAAGGGGCCTGTACGTTATCCACCATGGAAGATGATGCAACACAACTTGTTATACAGCTTGAAGACAATCTTGGGCTGGGCGAGGTTCATAACGGAATCCCTCTCATTGGTGTCCTTATGGCTGACAAACTCCCTAACCATGGTGCAACCAAGGGGATTTTGAGGAAATCTTGGGAGCAGATGGGCGAGGCTAAAATCTCGATAGTGAAGGACAACGTGCTGGCTATCACAGTAGAATCGGAGGAGATGGCTGGGAGGATAATAGAGGGAGGCCCTTGGGCTGTTATGGGGTACGCCCTCAGCATTCACCATTGTTAGGAAGGGATGGCCATTGAGGAAGTTACACTCTATCACCTACTGGGTCCAAGTTTCAAAGATCCCTCTGGAAAATATGAATGAAACAAACGCTCGGAGAATTGGTGCCTCTCTTGGCAGAGTGGTGGAAGTGGATGACCCAAACCAAACGCCGCGGATTTCTGAAGCTCAAAGTTGAACTAGATGCTAGAAAACCTTTGGTGGAGGGCTTCTGGATACCACGAAGGAACAAAACGGAGTTATGGGCGAAAATTAGGTATGAGAGCCTTGCAGATTATTTTTATCACTGTGGCAAGTTAGGGCATTCCTCATATTTATGCAGATTTCCTAATAGGGGATTCGGTATCTTCACAAAGGATCTACAGGCTAAAGCTTTCAGGCCAAGCCTTCGGAGAGGGGTTGGGGAGAATACTAGTCGGAATTACCACTCGAATCTAAGTACGCTGGCGTGTGGGAACCAAGCGAGTGAGATGGAGAGGGAATAAGATGGACAGGGGATCCAGAGACGCGTGAACAGGGATGGGCCAAGCATACAAGTCGTGGAGAAGGTAACGAAAACCCCTGAGCAAGACAGATCCATGATCCCACATCAGTTTGGTATGCTTGCTAGCATTGAGACAAACGTTCGCGACAGATGGGGGTCTCAGTCCTCATCTTCTGTCGAGGCCAGCGCATCTAATAGTAGGCTGACTCTAAAGGCCATTGAAATTCAAAATTGGCTGAGGATGGGAACAAGGAATGGTGACCCTAACCCTGAGGTCTTTGTTGGGCCCAGAAGTTGGAATCAGATTGAAGGCTTTGCTGGGCCAAAGGACTACCCGTCTATTGGGCAAACCAGTTGTGGACCAGTAAGCATTATAAACCCACAAGCCAGAATTGAAGAATCGGAAGTTAGCCCATATGTAAACTGCTTAAGTATCCGCTAACTCTACACCAAAAGGCTAGACTATACGGCACCACAGCTTTAAGCAAACCCCCACCAGTCAAAAATATTTGGTCTCATGAAACTAATCAGCAACCAGGCCACCGTGGGGTCAGAATAGAGGAGCAATAAGGTAATTTGACGAAGATGAAACGTCATGCAGACTGTGATCTCCCCACAACTCATGGCGTGGAGTTGGGCATGGCAGAGGCAGACGTAGCTGAGGAGGAAGGACTAGCCATGTCAGAAGTAGTCCACCTATCATGGCTGAGGCAAACCACACGGAGGTGAAAATCGATGAGGGACCTTTGGTTATGGGATTGTTGTCCGGGAATGAATGCAATGAGCAGAATGGGATCTCTGGGGTCTCAGGCGGTGGCGACTGGCCTGCAATAGCTGCAAGGCCCTAATGAGTCTAATCGCTTGGAACTGTCAGGGGTTGAGGCAACCCCAGACAATTCGAGCTCTCACTGAGCTCATTCGGAAGGAACGCCCCTCTATAGTCTTTTTATCTGAAACTCGATTGGGAGATTGTAGAATGGAAAAGTTAAGGAAGATTTTGGGTTACAATTCTAGTTATTATGTGAACCTGTGGGCTTTGCAGGAGGTTTGGGGTTGTGGTGGCGTCATGAGGTAGAGATACAAACATTGGGGAGCTGCAGAAACTATATTGATTCTATTGTTGTCTATCCAAAGGATGGCTTTCATTTTCAAGGGTCTCCGTTTTAGGGCCCCCTTGAGATAGAGAGAAGGCATGATTTTTGGAATTCCTTGAAGGGAATGGACTGGAAGGATGGCACTCCATGGCTCTGCATTGGTGACTTCAAAGACTTTCTCTGGCACCATGAAAAGCATGGTGGGGGCACCAAATAATCCCAACAGACAGAGATTTCTTCTCCAGTTCATGGAGGACAATGCGCTTTGGGATATTGGGTTTAAAGGGCAAAAGTTAACATGGTGTTGTATTAGACATGGAGAGGTTTTCATTCAAGAAAGGTTGGACCGTGCCTTGTTTAGTGAAGCTTGGCTAAACAATTGGCCCGAGTCGAGTGTCGGCCGCGGGATCCATATGGGCTTTGATCATTGCCCCCTCTCCGTGCTTTTGTCTCCTAAGCAAGTTTTGGGTTCCTAAGCCATTTTCCTTTGAGTCCTACTAGATCGACGACAAAGAGTGCCACCAAATCATCAACATTGGATGGCAGAAGATGGTGCCTAGTGGTCCAGCTATCACCTGGGTGGCTAAATTGGACCAATGTCGGAGGGATCTCAAGTTGTGGAGTAAAACTAAGTATGGTAGCAGGAAAGAGAAGCTCTTGACTCTGTCAAAGAGACTTGAGGAAATGCAGGGTAATATTGACCAACCTGGGTACTTAATTAAGGCCGAGGCTATCTCGAAAAGCATTGATGATTTATGGAAAATTGAAGAGCAGCACTAGAAACAACAATCAAGAATAAATTGGCTATCTACAGGGGACAAGAACACTAAGTTTTTCCATTTGTCTACTATTCAAAGGAGGCAAAAGAATAAAATTGTTAAGCTTAGATTGGATGAGTACCAATGGCTGGATCAGGAGCATCTAATTAGGAGTGAGTTTGAAACCCATTTTGAGAACTTATTTACATCCAGTGGCTCAAGAGACTGGTCTGAAGTTTTGAGCTGTGTGCCCAGCCTTGTTACCCCAGAGATGAATGTGCATTTAGTTCGTCCAATTTCTAAGGAAGAGGTGAAGGAAGCAGCCTTCCAAATGGGCTCTTCTAAGGCCATTGGGCCAAGTGGGTTTTCTGGTATGTTTTATCAGAAATTTTGGGCCATCATAAATGAGGTAATCTTTGCTGTAGCAACTGAGTTCCAAGGCTGCGAAAAAATGCTTAGCCAGCTAAACAAAACTCACATTGTGCTCATCCCAAAAGTCTCGATCCTTGAGTCTGTAGGCCAATTCAGGCCGATTAGTCTGTGTAATTTTGCTTACAAAATCGTCTCGAAAGTTCTGGCTAATCGCTTGAATCTTATCTTGCCTGAGGTTGTAACGCCCTTCCAGAACGCCTTTGTGGCAAATAGACAGATCCAGGACAATGTTCTAATCGCCCATCAAGCCTTTCACAGATTAAAGCTGAAGAAGAAAGAGAAAAACCACCAATTGGGGATAAAGCTGGACATGAACAAGGCGTTTGATCGCATCGAGTGGGATTTCTTAGAAGGGGTTATGTTGAAAATGGGTAGAAAATGGACCTCCTTAATTATGGGATGTCTCTCTTCAGTTAGCTTTTCCGTGGTTTTGAACGGGAAGAATGGCCGCTTCTTCAAGCCCTCCAGGGGTCTTCTCCAGGGAGACCCGTTATCGGCCTACCTATTTATTTTAGTTAATGATGCTCTCTCTCACCTCATATCTTCAGAGTGTGCTAGTGGCGGACTTAATGGCACCAGATTATGCAACGGTGGCCCCACTCTTTCTCACCTGCTTTTCGCATATGATACCATTCTCTTCACCAAAGCCTCTCTTGAGAATTGCAATAGATTGTCCCACATTTTGGATGCCTACTGTGCAGCTTCTAGTCAGCTCGTTAATTTAGACAAGTCTAATATGTTCTTCAGTCCAAATACCTCGGGCCATATCAAAGAAGTGTGTTCAGTGCTAAATATTAAGGAGGCGGAAAATCTGGGGAAGTATTTGGGTTTTCCGTCGGATTGGGATAGCTCACCGTCGGTTTGGGACAGCTCAAAAAAGGAGGCCCTTGGTTTTATAAAAGAGCGTATTTTGAAGCTCACTCACGGGTGGAGCAACAAGGAGCTCTCTCTTGCTGGGAAGGAAGTGTTATTAAAGGCCGTCGCCACAGCCATCTCGGCTTACCCAATGACTTGTTTCAAATTGCCAATTACTCTATTCAACGAAATCAATATGGTCATGGCTTCCTTCTGGTGGAAGAAGTGGGCAAGTTTAGGAGAAGCGAAAATTTGTGGTGGACTTGGGTTTCGAGATTGGTTTTGTTTAATAAGGCCTTATTGGCGAAACAGTGTTAGAGAATTCTTAATAATCCTCAGGCCTTCTGGGTCAGGATTCTCAAAAGTTCGTATTCCTGAATTGTGATTTCCTTGAGGCTGAGAGGGGTGACAGAGCCTCTTGGGCATGGAATAGTTTACTTGAAAGAAGAGATGTTATTCTAAGTGGTGCTAGATGGCAAATTTTAGGAGGCAACTCTGTAAGGCTGTGGGACGACTCATGGCTTCCACAATCTAATCATGGGTACCTCCGTCCTATTGCTTATGTGCCTTCCTCTGGCCCCAGGATGGTTTTAGATATAATAGATTGGGAGCACAAGACCTGGAATCTGGTGGACATTGAGAATCTGATTTCTGTGGTTGAGGCCAATGAGATCTTTTCCCTTCCATTTGGAAGTAAAGATACCCCTGACCGCTTGATTTGGCCTTTCACAAAAAATGGCTCGCATTCAGTCAAGTCGGGCTACCACTGGATCATTGGGAATATCAAGTGTGCTCAGCCAAATAGGATCGAATCCTCTCACCAGGTGGATAAGCAAGTCTGGAAGTGTATTTGGGAGTGCAAAACTCTCCCAATATCAAATTATTCATGTGACGTGCTGTCCATGGAATTGTTCGTACCTTTGCCAGTTTGTTCCAAGGGAAGTTAAGTCCCTCCCCTCTCTACCCTCTATGCCATGACTTTCCCGAATCTGTGGAACACGTTTTATTCTTATGCCCATGGGCTCAGAAAGTTTGGTGTGCTAGTAATTTATCCTTCAGGCCCGATGATCAAGCTTTCTCTTTGTTGGATAGATGGATTTTGACTATTTCCTGTTGTTCTGTCTTCTCGAGCCTGGAGAAATAGTGGATTTTATCTCATGCCTCCTTTGTATGTTAGAGCATTTGTGTTCCTTTATTTACGACCATCATTGTGCTGGCCTCCCCTCTCCAGACGTGGTGGGCAGATCGGCGAGCCGGGATGCCTCTGAATTTCTTGCAACTTGCTCGCCTGAGAAAGGTGTGTCCTTCCCAAGTTCTGAGGGGCATGTGCCTAGACCAACTACCCGTAATTGGTTGCCTCCCCCTGTAGTCTACATCAATGCAAATTGTGATGGTTCATGGAATCATGTGTCGAAGGTTGCTTCTTCTTCTTGGTGGTAAGGCTAATTTGTTCCAGGCGCTGTCTGCTGACCAAGCTGAGGGTCAAGCTCTGCTGGATGGCCTGAGTTTGGCTAAGGACAACGGGTTTCTCAAGGTAATTATGGGAACGGACTCGAAGGTTTGCTTTTCTGGGGCAAAGGATGTTCTGTCTTGCGTTAAGTGGCCTCTGTTTCCTATTTTCCATGCTATCAAAGATCTGAGGGCTTCCTTTGAATCGCTCCAGTGGTCTTGGGTCCCTAGGGAAGCAAACCAAGGAGCAGATTGGGTAGCTTCGCAAGTTAAGATGGGGTTGTGCACTAAGGCGTGGGTCAATAGACCTCCAACTGGCCTGGTTTTCATCTTGTCTTACGATGGCCTGCCTTGCCCTCCGACTATGGCTGCTCGGTCCTGAGGCTGTGTCTAGCTGTTTTGCTTCTTGCCTGGGTCTAGTTTTATTTTGTGCCCCCTGTTTGCTTGTCGATTGACCTTTGTGGTCTTGGCCTGTTTTGTTTGGCTCTGCCTTTTGGCTTTGTTTTATGAAATATCCAGTTACCAAAAACACAAAAACAAAAAACAAAAAGGAATAATGTGACAAGATGTATATATAGACGATCAAAATTAAAGTGATACTTTACACTCCTTTTCTGTTGGATTTGGAAACCAATAAATCTCTATTGATGGGTTCAGTAACCTATAAAGTCATTGTTTACACTCCCTTAATATGAGCAATGTGAAGGATGTGCTCTACAACCATCAATTGTCTTTGTGTAGCTGGCTATGGCGTGGATTCTCAAGGATCAAAAAGGAAAGGGAAAGCTTTTAGGCAACATGATTTGGGGCATTAAGCAGGATGGAGATGAAGCAGCTAGCATAACAAAAAGACTCCTGTTGACAGAATCTTCTTTTATTTTACTAGTGCCATTCCCTCTGCATTAATCCGTAGCTGACATCTATCTGCAGTCGGAAAATATATATATGGCTAAGGAACCTGCAACTCACCGCTAATAGGTGAGGCGTGAAGGAATTGAAGGTGAAACCGGAGAGCCCTCACTGCTCTGGGATTCTCCTCCCTGCCATGCATCCTGAACTTGTTCAGCATACTGCAAGTTCCAAAGAACATCCTCAATAGAAGGTCTATCTGCTGGATCCTTACACAGACGTCTCACACAAATTTCCATCAGCGTCTTCAAGGACTGATCCAAGCATGTCTGCCTAACTAGTGGATCTACCATGCTTCTTCGAGCTGCTTCATCAGCTGTAAGGGTCATTTGTAGCTGCATGGTGTTAATGAATGTATGTAAATTGATTAGGTGTGGTATAACTTTCCCAAGCTCCCCTAATTCATAACGCAGGGTAGGAACATTTTCTGTTCTATAAATACACCAAATACCGATTTCTAGGAAAGGGAAAAATAACAATTATTTTCCAAACAAATATGAATTCTTAGTTTGTAATAAGTCTGAAACCAATCTCCTAAGCGTAGAGGTTTAGATCTACCAAGAAGACCAAACCAAAACTCTGATGGTGTCTTTGCCGCCATTATGACTTTTTATTTTATTTTAAATATAATTGATGTTGGGAAGATCATATTGACAGTTGATAAGTAACCAAGCAGTTATTTCCATCCTGAAGGCCTTGTAATGAAGTCTGATTCTAAGTTTAATCAAAGGTCTGGTAAGACCATAGTGTAAGCAACTCAGGGGAAAGAGGTCTAGTAGGGAAGGTGATTGGTGTGAGGAGACTATGTTGGGGATTTTGAATCTTGAGAGTAGGAGGTCCCTGGTTATTCTTATTAACTCAATGGTGGATTGATTTGTTGAAAATCTGTCTTACAATCCAAACGCGCTGGTTGAAGGGATTTGTTAAGCTAGTGTTCAGTTGCGGTTGAAATTAGCCATGTATCTTGTTTTTTGGGTTACAGCTTGCTGAGGATAGAGGTATTCGGAATCTGTTGGTGGAAATGGATTCTGCTATGGCTTTTAAGTTGGTGAGGAATGCTACTACTCTTGGTTTACATCCTATGGCGTCTCTGGCTTCAAGCTGCTGGGAGCTTATGGGAAAGTTTGATGCATGTGCTCTCCATCACATTTACATTGAAAGAAATGTGGTTGCTGACCAGATCGCTCAGTGGAGCAACAATCTGGACTTAGGTGTTTGTCTTCTTGATATGGCTCCAAGCTGGATTGGTGCTAGCCTTGTTGATGATCTGCTTGGAGTCAATAGGACTCGGCTTGTCAGTAGTAAGTAGTTGCTGTGTGTCCTTGGGGTTTTAACCCCCCAGTTCATCAAAAAAATTAGCCATGTATTAAGTCTTCCATGAAAGGTCAAAATACCTAGTGGGGTGGTGTCATAAGCTTTGTGAGAACATTATATGTATTTCTGTCCAAGGTTCGTATCAACTAATACAAAATGCGTAACTGAAATCTCAATGAGCATAAGCCCCGAATTAGAAACCAAAATGTGCAAGAGGCTCTCCAAAACCCACAAATTTAGCATTAATCCCTCTCAACATGCACTGTGCCTTAACCAACTCTTGCATAGTGGACTACAAAATCAAAGCCTTCTATTCACCATTCTCCATTCTAATCAACATCACCCAATACGATACAAAAACTCGAAACCAAGAACCAGAAAAATAAACAATAAAAATGGCTGGAAAAAACACATGCTTGGGTGTCCATGCAGCTCTAACCGTGACATTAATTCTCCTCAATGCCATTATAGCCGTGGCAGATGATGATACACCGGTACCAGCCGACCAATCCCAAGTCAACACGTGGTTCAATAACAACGTGAATCCATACAAAGAACGGCGGGGCACGCTTGACCTTTCCCTTGTAACAGCTGAGCTTGGTCAAACTGTCGTCAAGGTTATGAAAGATGGAAGTGGAGAATTCAAGACCATCACTGACGCCGTTAATAGCATTCCGGCTGAAAACACCAAACGTGTCATTGTGTACATTGGAGGGGGAGAGTACAATGAGAAAATCACAATTCCGCGGAATAAACCGTTTGTTACATTTTATGGCTCTCCAACAAATATGCCAACTTTGATCTTGGTGGCAATGCCCAAAAGTATGGAACTGTGGACAGTGCCACAGTGATTGCCGAATCCGACTACTTCGTGGCAGCTAACCTTATTATTAAGGTACGTAAATGTCTCACGTTTGCGAGAAATGTTTCGTGTCACGTGATATTATCATCACACAAAATAATGTTTTTTTTTATTAACTTTCGTTAATATTTTTGTTTCCTTATAATTTACGTTGATTTGTGGTTGTGTGAAGAACTCTTCGCCAAAGCCAGATGGGAAAAGAGTGGGAGAACAGGCATTGGCATTGAGGGTGTCGGGGAACAAGTCAGCCTTGTTCAATTGCAGGGTAATTGGTTTCCAGGACACACTTTGTGATGACAAGGGCAATCATTTTTTCAAGGACTGCTTTATTGAAGGCACTGTGGATTTCATCTTCGGAAGTGGAAAGTCTCTCTATTTGGTAATGCCACCCAAACTCTCCCTATAATTCCTAAATAAAAGGAAAACTTATAAAGGAACTTTTGTTAACTCTCCCTACATGTTTTACAAATCAAATCGCTAAATGCGAGTCTCTTCTTGTAATAGTGAATTTCACGTACATGTTGTGTGAGAAACGTTATGTATACGACTAACTCTTCACTATAACTCAGTTGTTTGTTGTCTATGTATTATGTCATGGTTTTGATGGGTAGTTAATTCATGGGTGTGCAGAACACTGAGTTACATGTGCTGGGGAATAATGAAATGACAGTGATAACAGCACAAGCAAGGGACTCAGCTTCAGAGGATACTGGATACTCATTTGTCCACTGCAACATAACTGGGACTGGAAATGGCACGTATTTGGGCAGGGCTTGGAGGACCAGTCCCAGGGTGGTCTTTGCCTACACCAGCATGTCCGAGGTCATCACCCCAGCCGGCTGGAACAACAAGAACCGCCCTGAACGTGACAGGTAAACAAATTAAAACACACTAATTAATTAAGCATTTCATATAATGGAATGGTTTTGAGAGTTAATTAATAGTTTCAATTGTTTTTGTATTTGTTGTTATATTCAGCACCGTGTTCTATGGAGAACACAAGTGTTCGGGTCCAGGTTCAAGTATGGTTGGGAGAGTAAAATACACCAAACAGCTGAACGAGGAACAAGTCAAACCTTTCCTCAACCTTGGCTATATTCAGGGTTCCAAATGGCTTCTCCCTCCTCCAAATCCAAAAGTGTAGATTTTCCTGAGACTAGGAAATAGTTTTCTTAACTTTGAACACATGTTTATATATGGGTGCTATTGAGAAAGCCACACACACGCCTCATGCAAAATGCACAATGTATAAAATCAATATTATGATTTAATTTCTAAAGATCTGCTGCAATACAATTTGAGCACAGTTTGTCAATTTGATTGGGAACAAAGATATGCTCAAAGGACACACTAGTATAGTGGCTTGGACAATTTTCTCCCTCATGCAAGGTTCTGGGTTTGAGTCCTAGCATCCGTTTAGTATGTGTGAATTTTGTACTATTGCCCCTCTCAATAGGAAAGTGCCTCAAAAGAACAAAAAACAACAACAACAAAAAAAAACGCGCTCATAAGCGACAATGTGCAAAAATTAAAAGTGGACCCTCTTCAATTTTCACATAAGAAATAATAAGTCATGCATTTTCAAAGTATCGATCCCTTAAATAACTTCACCTTTTTCAAATTTGCTGAAGAAAAAACATATCAAAAATCGGTTCCAGTTTTGGACAAATCCCACTCCGTCCAGATTTAATAAATAAACAAAAACAGAACCAAAATTTGTGATCTAGTCAAGCATTTAAATTTCACCTTAATCCACCCTGTACAGTAAGATATGAATCACATGAGCAACGATTTAGGTTAAGGCTTGACTGAACTCCATCTAAACTTGCTTCATAACTCTGCCAGACTATATAGGTGCTAAGGTAGCCTTCCTTGCAGCGCAAAGTGACCTAGATCCTAGAACTAGACTTTTAATTGTTTAACTTCTAAATGATCATATATTAATTTTTACGACGTGAAATGATCTCCTTGTACTGGCTGGTCAGCCAATGGAAACGTAAGGATTAATATAATAAGTTGGCTGGCTAGCTAGATATATAGCTATAGCTATAGGAAGGTAAAGGGTTTTGATTAATATTAGATACTTTATTTCTTTGTTTCTTTGTTTCTTTGTTTTAGAGAGGGAGAGAGAGGGAATTGTACAAGAGGGAATTGTTTTGGGACATCAAAATTCAGCAAGAGGTATAGAAGTTGACAAAGCGAAAATTGACACCATTGCTAAGTTGCCGTCAAGGGCATTCGAAGTTTCTTGGGTCATGCCGGATTTTACCGTCGATTTATTCAAGATTTTTCCAAAATTACAAAGCCCCTTGTAATTTATTACTCAAGGATGCCAAATATAATTTCACTCCGGAGTGTTTGGAGGCTTTTAGTACTTTGAAGGAGAAGCTTACCTCAGCACCCATCATAGTTGAACCAGATTGGGAATTGCCATTTGAAATTATGTGTGATGCTAGTGATTATGCAGTTGGAGCGGTTTTGGGTCAAAGAAAAAATAAATTACTCCACGTAATTTCTTATGCCAGTCGAACATTGAACGATGCCCAGTTAAATTACTCCGCCACAGAAAAAGAATTGCTTGCCGTAGTGTTTGCATTGGATAAATTCCGCTCTTATTTGATTGGGTCTAAAGTGATTGTTTATTCCGATCATGCTGCTCTGAAATATTTGATGTCTAAGAAAGAGACCAAACCCAGATTGATCTATTGGATACTCTTGCTACAAGAGTTCGATCTTGAAATTCGTGACAAGAAAGGAACAAAAACGTCGTCGTTGACCACCTATCGCGGCTGGTCCGAGAGGAAGAAGGAACTATTGCCGCTATCCCCATTCTAGAAACATTCCCCGATGAACAACTTCTCACATCCAAACTGTTGATGCTCCATGGTATGCTAATTTTGTGAATTATTTGGCTAGCAACATTGTTCCTTATGATTCCCCTCCTCTGAAAAAGAAATTTCTTTCCATGGTGAAACATTATTACTGGGACGAACCCTACTTGTGGTAACATTGTTCGAATCAAGTCATTCGAAGATGTGTACCTAAGACCGAGATGGACAATATTCTGCAGCATTGTCACACACTTGCATGTGGAGGGCACTTCGAAGGCACCAAAACTACTGCAAAGGTTCTCCAATCGGGTTTCTTTTGTCCCACTTTATTCAAGGATGCCCATACCTTCGTATCCTCATGCGATTGTTGCCAACGTACGGGTAATATTTCTAGTCGAAATCAAATGCCATTACGTAATATTCTTGAAGTCGAATTATTTGATGTTTGGGGCATAGATTTTATGGGACCTTTCCAGCATCTATGACGAATAAATATATCTTGGTTGCGGTAGATTACGTGTCCAAATGGGTGGAGGCCGTGGCTCTACCTACCAATGATGCTAAGGTGGTGGTGAAATTTCTCCGAAAACGTATTTTTACTCACTTTGGAACTCCATGGGCCATTATTAGTGATGGTGGTACACACTTTTGCAACAGACAATTCAATTCCCTTTTGGCCAAATATGGTATTACACATAAGGTCTCTACACCTTATCATTTGCAAACGAGTGGGCAAGTCGAAATTTCCAATAGAGAGTTAAAAAAGATCTTGGAGAAGACTGTTGGAACTTCACGAAAAGATTGGTCCCTAAAGTTAGATGATGCACTTTGGGCATATCGTACGGCATTTAAAACTCCTATTGGAATGTCACCATATCATCCAGTTTTTGGAAAAGCATGTCACTTACCAGTGGAGTTAGAGCATAAAGCCTATTAGGCAATCAAGACCTTGAATTTTGACATGGATGCTGCCAGTGAGAAAAGGGTGCTTCAATTAAATGAGATGGATGAATTCCGCAATGAAGCATATGAGAATGTGAAGATTTATAAGGAGCGAACAAAAGCATGGCATGACAAACACATAGTGCGCAAGGAGTTTCACGCTTGTCAAAAAGTCCTCCTCTTCAATTCATGCCTCAAGATCTATCCCAGTAAGCTTCGCTCCCGATGGTCCGGTCCATTTATAGTTGTTCAAGTTTTACCTTATGGTGCTGTTGAGATTCGTAATGAGGCCACAACTACTATGTTCAAAGTCAATGGTCAACCCTTGAAGCCGTACTTGGAAGCTGACCCCATTCCACCCCCAACTCAAATCCCTTTTCCGAGACACTGAGTAATCGCCATCAATAAGTCGGGCCGATGACTATAAACCAAGCGCTTGTTGGGAGGCAACCCAACTAGGTACCCGTTCCTTTCTTTATATTTTTTTTGTGTTTTTTCTCTCTATGCCTTTATTAATTGTTACATGCATTCACTTTAAACATTGAGGACAATGCTTAGTTTAGGTTTGGGGGTGCGGAGTTTTGTTGTTTTTGTTTGAATTTTGAGTCGTAAAGAAAAAAAAAAAAAACAGATTTTGTGTTCCAAAGAAAAGATTTTGTGTTTCAAAGAACATTTCTCAATTTTTTTCTAGCCCCATGATGATTGCAAACATGTTACAGATGTTGTTTTGGTCATTAGATGACTTTAAAACCCCAGAAAATAGCAAAAGAGGTTATTATGTTCTTATTTTGGTCAAAATAAAAAATTTTGCCTATTTTGCCTTTTTGATGTTTTTCATGTAAATTTGAAGCGCCAACATGTTTAGAATGGTTATTATGATGATTTGAAACAGGTTTGGGGTCTCAAGTGGTTTACATGACGTTTTAGGAAGATTTGAAGCTAAAAAAGTGGCCTAAAACCCAAAAAAGAGTAGCTGCTATTCACCCAAAATATGAAGTTTTTCATCACAAAAGGTTTTTTAGCGACGGTGTTCATCAGATTTTTCGTCGCTAAAGGTAAATTTTCCAGAATTTTCTGATTTCATTCCAAATCAATTCCGATCCATTCCATTCACGATCAATGAATTCTAGGAGCTATTCCAGGTGTGTCCTCTTCCTTTTGATGAAATTTATTTATTCTTAAACAATTAGGACTCATAATTCATGCATATTTGTTGCAAAATCACAAAATTCCTTTGACTTTTGAAAAAAAATAAAAATTTGTTAAAGCTTGTACTCTCTTACTAATAGTGATGTATATGTAATGTTTGATCATATTTCTTTAACTAAATTGTTGCCATGAAAGTTTATGCATCATAATTATAGCACTTCACATAGCCATGCTTCAAGTATTTTGATAGACAAGGTAGCTATACTTGGATGATTGTGGAGAAATAGTGGAGACTACCATTGTGAGATACTTGAATTGCCATTCATTGAGAGAGTATTTGGGATAATTCTTTTACTATTTTCGTTCTTTCTTATTTAGATTGATCTCAATTAGGCTTTTGAATTGAATACTAAGAACTAATCTCTCTTTTGTATGAATCGTCTTATGCTTTCACTTTTGAGTTGGATGGACCTTGAGAGATGATGTTAGGCTATATATGCATGGTCTAACCACTAAATAAAGCCTCATATCCTACCCATTGTGTGTGCCATCAACCCGTTGAAGCCAAACACTTAGCCTTTTCTTTCATCACCCACAATATTTCCTTCCCTTTTTTTTCCCCCTATTTTTAGCCATACCCTATAACTTGGGATATGTCATGGCACATGAAGACAAAGATGAAGGTTAAGCTCTACATCAACAAAAGAGGAGGCGTGTACCGAGGAAATATGTGCTTAAAGTTCAAGAAAAAGGAAAAAGGAAAAAGAAAATAGAAATAAAAAAGAAGATATATATTCAAAAAGAAAAAAAAATTTGAAGCATATCAAAAATCTGGACGCCTTTGTGAATTAAATTTGAAGAGCCAAGCCTTATAACATAATAAATGCCTTGGTATGTCTCAAGTTCTAGTATTTCCTATCCTTTCTTTCATAACACATAACCTAGCCTACATTACGACCATAGTAAAGACCAAACAGATCTTTGGGAACTTCTTACTCAGAAGTGGAGGTATGTACTTTATCTATGGTTCTTAGTATTCGATTTCCTTTCCATGAGATCTATTTCTAGAAATTTCTTTTTATTCATTTTGGATGCATATGTGTCTTCTATTTTGATGTATTCACCTAACTTCATTCACATATGCAGGGTAAGAGTGCAACCCTAGGTTTTGTGAGAAAATTGAGAGTTATCTAGTGAGGCCTAGAGTCGAGGCGAATTTGTACACACGCCGAGTGTGGTTATCTTTAAATTCGAGTGCTTGAAGTATTGGCTTTACACTTTACACTATGGTGCATTTCATTTTGGATACCTACTGTGCAGCTTCTGGTCAGATCGTTAATTTAGACAAGTCTAGTATGTTCTTCAGTCCAAATACCTCGAGCCATATCTAAAGAAGTGTGTGTTCAGTGCTAAATATTAAGGAGGCGGACAATCCGAGGAAGTATTTGGGTTTGCCGTCAATTTGGAACATCTCAAAAAAGGAGGCCCTTGGTTATATAAAAGAGCGTATTTTGAAGCTCATTCACGGGTGGAGCAACAAGGAGCTCTCTCTTGCTGGGAAGGAAGTGTTATTAAAGTTTGTCGCCACAGCGATCTCAGCTTACCCAATCACTTGTTTCAAATTGCCAATTACTCTATGCAACGAGATCAATATGGTCATGGCTTCCTTTTGGTGGGGTGATAATGTCTCGAGAAGAAAGGTTCCCTAGAACAAGTGGGCAGGTTTGGGAGAGGTGAAAAGTTGTGGTGGACTTGGTTTCAAGATCTGGTTTCGTTTAATAAGACCTTATTGGCGAAACAATGTTGGAGAATTCTTAATAATCCTCAAGCCCTCTGGGTCAGGATTCTCAAAAGTTTGTATTTCCTGAATTGTGATGTTTCTTGAGGCTGAGAGAGGGGTGGCAAAGCCTCTTGGGCATCGAATAGTTTACTTGAAGGAAGAGATGTTATTCTAAGTGGTGCTAGATGGCAAATTTTGGGACACAACTCTATAAGGTTGTGGGAAGACTCATGGCTTTCACAATCTACTCAAAGGTACCTCTGTCCTATTGCTCTTGTGCCTTCCTCCGGCCCCAGGATGGTGGCAAATATAATAGATTGGGAGCACAAGACCTAGAATCTGGTGGACATTGAGAATCTAATTTCTGTGGTTGAGACCAATGAGATCTTTCCCTTTCCATTTGGAGATAAAGATACCCCTTACCGCTTGATTTGGCCTTTCACAAAAAATGGCTCATATTCAGTCAAGTCGGGCTACCACTGGATCATTGGGAACATCAAGCGTGCTCAGCCAAATAAGATCGAATCCTCTCACCAGGTGGATAAGCAAGTCTGGAAGTGTATTTGGGAGTGCAAAACTCTCCCAAAGATCAAATTATTCATGTGGCATGCTGTCCATGGAATTGTTCCTACCTTTGCCAGTTTGTTCAAAGGGAAGTTAAGTCCCTCCCCTCTCTGCCCTTTATGCCATGACTTTCCCGAATCTGTGGAACACGTTTTATTCTTATGCCCATGGGCTCGGAAAGTTTGGTATGCTAGTAGTTTATCCTTCAAGCCCGATGATCAAGCTTTCTCTTTGTTGGATAGATAGATTTTGACTATTTCTTGTTGTTCTATCTTCTCAAGCCTGGAGAAACAATGGATTTTATCTCATGCCTCCATTTTATGTTGGAGCATTTGGAAAGCCCGATGTTCCTTTACTTATGACCATCATTGTGCTGGCCTCCCCAATCCAGACGTGGTGGCTAGATTAGCGAGCCAGGATACCTCTGAATTTCTTGCAACTTGCTCGCCTGAGAAAGGTGTGTCCTTCCCAAGTTCTGAGAGGCATGTGCCTAGACCAACTGCCCGTAATTGGTTGCCTCCCCTGTAGGCTACATTAAAGCAAATTGTGATGGTTCGTGGGATCATGCGTTAAAGGTTTCTTCATCTGGTGTTGTTCTTAGAAACCATGATGGAGAGGTGGTTGGTGGTAAGGCTAATTTGTTCCAAGCACTGTCTGCTGACCAAGCTGAGGGTCAAGCTCTGCTGGATGGCCTGAGTTTGGCTAAGGACAATGGGTTTCTCAAGATAATTATGGAAACGGGCTCGAAGGTTTGCTTTTCTGCTGCAAAGGATGTTCTATCTTCCGTTAAGTGGCTCAGTTTTTTCCATGCTATCAAAGATCTGAGGGCTTCCTTCGAATCGCTCCAGTGGTCTTGGGTCCCTAGGGAAGCAAACCAAGCAGCGGATTGGGTAGCTTCGCAAGTTAAGAGAGGGTTGTGCGCTGAGGCATGGGTCAATAGACCTCCAACCGCCCAGGTTTTCATCTTGTCTCGCGATGGCCTGCCTTGCCCTCCGACTACGGCTACTCAGCCCTGAGGCTGTGTCTAGCTGTTTTGCTTCTTGCCTGGGTCTAGTTTTATTTTGTGCTCCTTGTTTGCTTGTCGATTGACCTTTGTGGTCTCGGCCTGTTTTGTTTGGCTCTGCCATTTGTCTTTGTTTTATGAAATACCCAGTTACCAAAAATAATTATATATAAAAAATAAAAAGAATAATGTGACAAGATGTATATATAGACGGTCAAAATTAAAGTGATTCTTTACACTCCTTTTCTGTTGGATTTGGAAACCAATAAATCTCAATTGATGGGTTCAGTAACCTATAAAGTCATTGTTTACACTCCCTTAATATGAGCAATGTGAAGGATGTGCTCTACAACCATCAATTGTCTTTGTGTAGCTAGCTATGGCGTGGATTCTCAAGGGATCACAAAGGAAAGGGAAAGCTTTTAGGCAACATGATTTGGGGCATTAAGCAGGATGGAGATGAAGCAGCTAGCATAACAAAAAGACTCCAGTTGACAGAATCTTCTTTTATTTTACTAGTGCCATTCCCTCTGCATTAATCCGTAGCTGACATCTATCTGCAGTCGGAAAATATATATATGGCTAAGGAACCTGCAACTCACCGCTAATAGGTGAGGCGTGAAGGAATTGAAGGTGAAACCGGAGAGCCCTCACTGCTCTGGGATTCTCCTCCCTGCCATGCATCCTGAACTTGTTCAGCATACTGCAAGTTCCAAAGAACATCCTCAATAGAAGGTCTATCTGCTGGATCCTTACACAGACATCTCACACAAATTTCCATCAGCGTCTTCAAGGACTGATCCAAGCATGTCTGCCTAACTAGTGGATCTACCATGCTTCTTCGAGCTGCTTCATCAGCTGTAAGGGCCACTCGTAGCTGCACAGTGTTAATGAATGTATGTAAATTGATTGGGTGTGGTATAACTTTCCCAAACCCCCCTAATTCATAATGCAGGGCAGGAACATTTTCTGTTCTATAAATACACCAAATACCGATTTCTAGGAAAGGGAAAAATAACAATTATTTTCCAAACAAATTTGAATTCTCATTTGTAATAAGTCTGAAACCAATCTCCTAAGCATAGAGGTTTAGATCTACCAAGAAGACCAAACCAAAACTCTGATGGTGTCTTTGTCGCCATTATGACTTTTTATTTTATTTTAAATATAATTGATGTTAGGAAGATCATATTGACAGTTGATAAGTAACCAAGCAGTTCTTTCCATCCTGAAGGCCTTGTAATGAAGTCTGATTCTAAGTTTAATCAAAGGCCTGGTAAGACCATAGTGTAAGTAACTCAGGGGAAAGATGTCTAGTAGGGACGGTGATTGGTGTGAGGAGACTATGTTGGGGATTTTGAATCTTGATAGTAGGAGGTTCCTGGTTATTCTTATTACCTCATGGTGGATTGGTTTGTTGAAAGTCTGTCTTACAATCCAAACGCACTGGTTGAAGGGATTGGTTAAGCTAGTGTTCAGTCGCGGTTGAAATTAGCCATGTATTAAGTCTTCCACGAAAGGTCAAAATACATAGTGGGGTGGTGTCATGAGCTTTGTGAGAACATTATATATATTTCTGTCCAAGGTTCGTATCAATATTGCTGCTAACGCTGCTAATATGTTAACTAAATTGGTTCCCTAAATGATGTTCAGCTCCATGTCATAGGATAGAGTAAATTTTAAAGTGATAAACGTCTAGAACTGATACAACCATTTCTTTTGTTGATTTCAGTGACAACAGAGTGCTTGAAGAAAATATAACAAAAAGCAGAGTGCTTTTACCTGATCTTCTAAAACTTCCACTTGAGTCTCAGACTTCACTGGTCTGCCTTTGATCATTTCCAGCAATATTACTCCAAAGTTGAGAACATCGGACCTGTCGTCGTGCTTCATCCTGTCAACCAACATAGCACAATGGTTACAGTTTACATGTTAACGGAATAATTACATATGATTAGTAGGTGTACTTTAGGTGATAATATCTAGATGTAGCTCAAGACCTCTCCGTGAAGGTGGCAAGAGGTGACAAGGTGTCAACAAGCACAAGGACTAAGATTATCATCAAAAGTAATAAAATTTATCTGTTATGTACAAGTCATTAACCTCTTGACCTATTATGTTTGCAGACTGCCTACTCGACGAAGTTTTATTTGGCTTGAAGACCTTCTTTTAAGGGTTTCACTATTCTAGTATGTAACTTAAGACATTTAAAATTTTCATTGCAAACCTTGAACTGCCACTGGAAGTTAAGGATCCACCTGAAGAAACTCCTTGACCACCCTGCAAGGATGAGCAGAGCTGAAAACCAATTCATAACAGTTGCTTCGAGAAATCGAATTGACAACCCAATTAACTACAACTTTCTTCTTACCTGTTCCATACTTTCTTCTAATATAGGAAGGTTGTAACTGCTAATTTTTGCAACAAGATTCTGATCCAGTAAAATGTCTGTTATTTTAAGATTATTTGAATATATACCAGGAATGATCCCTGTGTGCAAAAACTGAATGCCCTTTCCTATGCCTATTGCAGCTGCTATACGTTGTGTCCACGTAAGTGATCGTCTGGGATGTCCCTCTTCCAAATTATAAAAAATAAAAATAAAAAAAGAACAAGAATAATATAACATTAAAAAAAAAATCACATAAATGTATGAAATTGAAAGGAAAAGGTTCAGGATGGAGGAAACAAGTGTGGTTAGTTGTCCCTACAGTGTAGTGCTTATGGAAAAGAATTTGACAGAAGTTAACCATTGGCTTATGTAGCAAATGAGATAAATCAGTGCATGAAGTATCGACTAAGAAGTAGCCCGGATTCATCTTCCAACAAATGATGCTTACTACTCAGAACAACATGTAAGCAATGAGATTGGCTTCAGAAGAACCCTTCAAATAATTGGTCTGTAAGATATGTAGACTTATTTATATCAATGAAGTATTAAAAGTAGTGCAACTTCTGTATCCTCCATCCTGAGAAACTGAATGAAAAATTGCATTGAATTACCAGAGATCCAGCTTCTTAGTGTGCCATTCGGTACATATTCGAAAACAAGAAATATTCTGCTGACACTAGCATCATCCAAGTAACACTCAAAGCAGTGTCCAAGAGCACTGACCAAGTGGCGATGTCTCAGTTTCATAATTAGCTCTATATGGTGCATGAAATTTTGCGTGCTGTGACTTCCTTTTATTTTTAAGCATCTGATGGCAACAAAAGAACCATCCTTTAACTGGCCTCTGTACATCTGAGATCATGAGGGACGAAAACATGAATTCATGATCTATTGATGCTAATAGAATATCAACAGCATTTTTTTTTTTTTTCTTTTTTCAAGAAATCTGTAGTTTGTCCAAGTAGTGCACAATGGTAGCACAGATGCATGTCATCATACATTCAGCTCCATTGAAATACCAGGTCTTACACCACATGACAATGAAAAACAATAAAGAAAAGATGTATGTAAAATAAGTTCACCCTTTCAAGCACTGGTATACTACGAAGGAAAGCATGATGTAACTAATCAATGCTTCCTAAAATCAAAATATGCTATCCTCAGTGATACATAAAATTGAACGATAACACCAGGAAACGACCAATTATTTAAGCTGGGAAGAATTTCTAGGATGTGATTAATAGTTAATCACACCAAACTGCACTCAAAAGCATCAACAAAAATTCATCAATACCACATACTGCTTCAACAAGAAAGTAACATGTTTATGTATATACCTGTCCATGTGAGCCTTCACCCATGAAAGTACATGTATCAAAATTTTGTGTAGCCTCCTCAAGTTCCTCAAATGAAAAGGTTCGATAACCTGGAAGGCCAAGCGCTCCCATCTTCATTGTTTGAGATACATATCCTTCAGGTGAAAGCAGAAGATCATATTATTAGACATTTTGAATACACTGGAAGATATAGCCAATCAGCATCCAGGATTTGTGCTTGTTTGCAGCTCACACATTAAATTAACGAGTTTTTTTTTTTTTTTTTTTTTTTTTTTTTTTTTTTTTTTGGCATGCCTTTCCAACTTTCAATCTAAAATCATAATCTTCGTTTGATATAGCTAAGCTAGAAAGAATCATATGCCTAAGAACAAGTTGCTATTGCTTTAAAATAAAAGATTCATCAAATTGTGTGTGGTGTGTGTGTGTGGTGTGTGTGTGTGTGTGTGTGTGTGTGTGTGTGAGAGAGAGAGAGAGAGAGAGAGAGAGAGATGTATGAGAACTCACTCGCATCTGATAGTAACTTTGAGGTATATCCACTTGATGCGTTCTCTGTTATTGATCTTGGTGGAGATTTCTTCATTGTCTTGTTGGTATTCATTCTTCTATGTATGAAGTAAATTAGGCCAACAAGCACAACCCCTCCACAAATCGCTCCAATTAAACCCAAGGCAAGCGCTGCTTTCGAAGCTTGTTTTCGCTTGCTTCTCTCAGGTATTATTCCAACAGCCAATGCTTCATTACGGCAAAATGGAAATGGATGTTGATTTTGATTTCTAGTATCTAAACAATTCCTAGCATACAGAACAACCCTGTCCTTAGAATCTGACAGAAGACATTTAGGTAAGCTTCCGGTCAAAAGATTTGAGGACAAGTCCACAGCTCTAAGTTCAGCATTGCAAGACATATTTTCAAAAAGCATTCCCGTGAATTTGTTTCCTGAAAAATTAAGATAAGTCATTGAAGGTAGAGACAACAGTGATGGTGGAAATGGACCCACAAACATATTGGAAGAAACGTCTAGCCGTTCTAGCTGATAATAGGAGCTGATTTCAGCAGGGATGGCAGACCTAAATTTGTTCTTGCTCAGTACAAGGGTGACCAACTTTTTTCCAAGTTTGGGAAACTGAGGTCCAAAAGCATTATTTTCCAATTCAAGAACTTGAAGGTTTGTTAAACGGCTAAAATCAGGCACTTCCCCATAGAAGTGGTTATGTGAAAGCCCGAGCACTCTAAGATTTTCCAAATCACTCAAGGAATTCGGCAAAGATGAATTGAACAAATTCTTCTTCAAACTCAAAACAGCCAGAAACTGGAAGTGAACTTAGCCAATCCGGAAGTGGTCCAGAAAACATGTTATCATCAAGAATAAGCGTCTGGAGGGTTGTTAGAGATGAAAGCTCCAGAGGGATGGCGCCATACAGGAAATTTGAAGTCAGATTAAGTATTTCCAGTGATGACAAGCGTACGATTTTACCAGGCAAGGGGCCCCATAAGCCAAGAGAAACCAATGTGAGGACTTTCAAGCTCGGAAGTTTAACAAGAGTTGTTATGAAGGAATCAATTGAAAAGTTCCGAGGCAAACAAAGGAGCATCCTTTTCACCGGTTATATGCAGCTGGGTTATGTTTTCTTCATAGCATACGACAGCCAAAGAAGAATTTGCTTCAATGTTGCACAAATCTTTGTAGTTATTCCAGCTGTCCAAAACAGTTGGAAAGTTTAAAAATCGTATAATTCTCAAAAGGGTCTGAGCTTGGGAGGATTGATGTTGTTCCGAATGAGTAGCTGACAAGAGAATGATAGCAAGAACCAAAGGCATAGAACACAGAGATACTTTTGCCATAGCAGTCTCAGCAGAATCAGCTGCAGGGGCCAAGCTCATAAGATATAGGCTTTCCAAGGACTACGAGACCCCATTGTTGAAAGTAGCGGCATCCAGCTTCCCAAACCACATACAGAACTCCTGCACTCATATTATGTTGGCATACAAACATATTGAACATGTTACTATGTATAGATATGCATGTGTATATATAAACTCAAAATATAAGAATTTCAGTCAGAACAAGGACACATAAATAACAAAAAAAAAACCAGAGCCAAAAGTAAGTTGACAATATCAAAGATTTTCTCTCAACAAAATCAGAGGCCCATCTCACCTCAGTGGATTGAACAAACAAATGAATTTGACTTGAGAGTTCCAATATACCAGTCCAGGAGCTTGAGATCAAATAAACTCAAATAAATTGATAAAATCTTCTGGATATTTCCTTTTTCTTTTCCTTTCACAATAAAAATGACAGTTGCAGAAAATTACAAATCCACAAGCTTCTGCTAAACCCCTGTGACAATAAGTTGGTTAAGACTAACTAATCAATTGATGGTGACTTTCAAACCAAGTAAATATTCACAACTGCCCCAAAAGCACAGAAATGAAATCCCCTCAAACGAAAGAAAGGAAAACTTGAAAGTCCACAAACACAAACCCAACTCAGATTAATAAGCACATTCCTACTCTCATATATCAAACTGCAATAAAATTTAAACCCAACCCGACAAAAATATTATAAATTTAAACAAATTTTGTAAAAAGAAAACATGCATACCTGCTTCACAAAATCCCAAATTTTTCTTAACCACTCATTCAACAATCAGTTTCCAAGGTGCCCGCAAATCTTACTGGCTGACACATGAGATGGGTTTCTTCTCCAGAAGCCAGCTTTTTCACTGCGCACCACAACAAGACAATCTAGTGACACGGGTTCAAAGAAACTTGGGATGCAAACCGCAACAGACAGACGTTTTAATTTTCTTCACTATGTTTTTTCCACTCTCTCTGTTTATTTTTTATCTTCTGGAATATTTTGGAAAGCTAAACACAAAGGGAAGCCATGGTTATACCGGAACTGATGAAAGCAAAAGAAAAAGAAAGATTCTTGCAGAGAAGGGAAGCTTTATTTCACTGTGAGTGTGGATGGGAGAAATATGAAATACTAAAATTAAATTTGAAATATGAAACACTAAATTAAAGGTGGACAATGCAAAGATGCAGATGACACAGCCACACCACAGGCACAGACTGGAATGTAAGCTTTCGCTTTCCAAGTCTGGTAAGCTTTGGCTTCGATTGTCTTGTCACTTTGTGATGTGGCCATAACTCTTATATAATAACTATAATTATATGATCTACTTTCATTAAGAAATAAATAAAAAATACACACATGAATAACGCCAAATATTAGTTATAATAATTAGGAACAATGTGGGCCGTGGTTCAACAAACTCTGACAACAGGAACAGGAAGACAACGGAGGTCAATAAGGAAAAGCATTTTCCAATTTCGTATTGTTGAGACACAAATGGAGTCTGGTGGTGACTACTTTATAGATTCAAGACCCACTTATTAAAGTGGCAGAATGAAGCAACAGCCTCACATGGAATTTTGAGAGCTTTATCATCTCATCTCATTTCATGCAACATAAAGGTGAGAGTTTCCTCTTGGCCTATCACTCTCACACATATTCTCATCCTCTCTGGCTTTTACTTACATAATTTCAGTTACTTTCCCAGGAATTTTAGAGCTTCAAACCCATCATCATTGACCATTCATTTAATTATGTGCTTCAAGATTTTAATGGGTGGTTGTCACATAGATTGGGTTATTGATTAGACATCCATTATTAATGAAGGGTGTTTTGGGTTTTTTTTTTTTTTTTTTTTTTTTTTTTTTTTTTTAAAGGAACCTTTAACGTATACTCTACTTTCATTTTCGTCCTTCAAGTAATTTGTTCACTTAAGTGGCCCTCCACCTCTTTCACATGTGTCAAATTGGTCTCGTTGTCGAATTCCGTTAACTTTAGAGGTAAAATTGTCAATTTGGTCACTAATTACCTCTTAAAACTTATGAAAATTGTAATGGTAGGACCAAGTTGATATGAAAGAGAGAGTTTGAGGACCAAAATGGAACTCGAGTGTAAATTTAGGGACTAATTCGCTCAAAATAAGGACCAAGAATGGCCATCTAGTTATGTTCTGTTTTTAATATATAGATGAAAATTAATTATTGAATTTTTATTAGTAATGCAAAAATATTAAAAATAAATTGGTCATAGATGGATTTTCCGAAAGGATATTTGTAAAAATGTCATCTGAACTTATTCTTTAGTTTCAATTTGTCACCTTAAAAAAAAATTTAAAAGAAATGTCACTTGAATTTTTCAAAATCTATAATTTGTCATTTGACTTTAACATCATCCAATTTTTCATTCATGATTAAGGGTATTTTAGTCTTTTCATTTTTTAAGGTGAAAATGGAAAAATCATTATACAAAATTGTATATATTTTAAAATAAACCATTAAAAATCAAGATTCTTTCCTACCAAACATTAAAAATTGAAAATTGCATTTTTTTTCCATCCCCCTGTCGTCTCTCTCTCTCTATTCTCCCTTCCTCCCCAACCACAACTACCCTAAGCTCTTTTTTTTTTCCTCCCCCAAGACCTGAGCACCCCATCCCCACTTGACCCCCACCCTCTTCCTCATATTTAATTATGAACAAGAGTTACCCAAGTACATGAATATATGCAATGGGTGCGTGTAAACACTCTAAAACAGTACATCGAAATTATTCCAACATTAAACAATAAAACATTAACATCACATAGAGTAGACAACTATGACTCTGAACAAAAGAAACACCACCAGTTCTCAACATTACAGGCAAAGAAAAATCTCACCTCTCAAGTAAGCCAAACGATTGACGTCAAAGAGAAGGACCACCCACCCAGCAAAGAGCGAGGTCTTTCAGCAATGAACTTCACAAAAAGAGTGGAAGGCGAGAAAGACACTTTGACAGTGAAGAGAATAGAAGAGATGAAGTCCGTCCCTTAGCCTAGTCTATATCTATAGCTAACGCAACTCCGTATCGGGAGCTAAGGTTTTGGGGGAGAAAAAAACAAAGGAGAGGGGAGGTGTGGTTGGGGAGGAAGGGAGAACAGAGAGAGACAACAGGGGGATGAAAAAAATGCAATTTTCAATTTTTAATGTTTGGTAGGAAAGAATCTTGATTTTTAATGGTTTATTTTAAAATATATACAATTTTATATAATGTTTTTTTCATTTTTAAACCACCCTTAAAATGAAAAGACTAAAATACCCTTAATCAAGGATAAAAAATTGGATGATGTTAAAGTCAGATGACAAATTATAGATTTTGAAAAATTCAGGTGACATTTCTCTTTAAAAAAAATTAATGTGACAAATTGAAACTAATGTATAAGTTCATGTGACATTTCTACAAATATCCATTTTCTGAATAATAAATTGAAAAATAAAAATAAAAGAAGACTTTCGGGATATTAATTTTACATAGTTTGTAAAAAGTGAGGCTTCCCAATATGACAAATTAGAACTCTAACTAGCCTTTAGTCTAGTGGTATTTGTCCGAGGTCCTACCTAAGATCGATCCTCCCTCTCTCAATACCGCTTCTATAAATAAAATTTAAAAAAAAAACAAACAACCATAATTTTTTACACTTTTTTATTTACAATATTTTTATTAATCCGAAATTTCTAAAGCTAATAAAGGAAGATGTATAAAAAGACTACATCAACCAACTTTATCCCCCACCAATATTCACATATATTATGCTTTTGTAGTTCTTATTCACAGAATCACAATTAAAGTAAAAGTCATTAAGGTTTAGTTTATCCCCCACTGATATTCACTTATATTATGCTTTTTTCTTATTATTTTAGTATTACAATTATTTATACCATCATTTTTAGTATAGTGAAAGGAAAAAGAAACTTTGAGCTCAAAGCCCAAGTTCAAACTCTCTAAGCCCAAACCCCAGCCTAATATCGATTGGGTTGGAGCATAAACCACTCGAAGATAGAAAATGTCCAATGGCCTAAGCCCAACCCATTGGGCTTCGGCCAATGCAACTCTGCCTATTTTATACGCTATGAACCCCTCATTATAGTCTCTCTGAGTCAGGGATATACACGATTGGTCTTTTGTCTAGAGTTGACGGTAAGTTTTTAAGATGTCAAGGGGGTAAAGCATCTAGTCTTTGATTAGATCATAAGGATTAAGCCCAACAAGTAAGTAATAATCGCCTTTTAAGAAACATACATAAAGAAAAAAATTCAATTCAAGGTGACAAGCCACACGCTACATGGCTTAGAAAGCTTTGAAATTTGAGGAAGCAAGCCAAGGAGACATATATTATAAAGTACGGTTGTGAAAGAAATAATGAGCATGCACTACATTCTCTTACAAGTTCCCCCACCACCATAGCCGCCTACAAGTTCATATCACACCTGACGTTATCGCCACCACCTCCATCATCAACCATTTATAAATTGATGCTTATGAAAAAATAAAACATTAGTTCTAGGGTTAAATATGAAAATAGCTCATGTGCTTAATAATTAGGCCAATTTAGTCCTTATACTTTATGGTATAAAAATTATAGTTTTTCTCTTTTCGTAAAAGCCAAAAGCAAAACCTTTTATAATATATATAATATGTAAAACAAATTGGAAAGTCTTTTAAAGTAAAGTAAAGGGGTTAATTGTTTTATTAGTCCCTGAATTTAAATCTGATTTGCATTTGAGTCTCTCAATTTCCAGAATGGTTCCCGTGGTTCTTTAACTTCAGTTTTGTTAGGACAAATGGTCATGCCGTCAATTTTGTTAACTTTTCTGTTGAATGCATGGGCAAAATGCTATTTTTGTATCAAATTTGATTAAAATATGAATAAAAAATTTAAAAAATAACAAATTACAATTAAACTCTCTCTATCTTGATTTCTACTCCCCCAATACTTGATTTTTTTGTTGTTGGTTTTTTATTTGATTTTCTTTTATTGTTATTTTAAAGATATAATTTTTATTCATTTTTTTTGTTTTAATATAAAAATATCATTTTGCCCCTGCATTTAACAAAAAAAGTTAACAAAATTGAAGGCATGACCATTTGTCTAAACAAAACTAAAGTTAAAGGACCACGGGAACCATTTTGGAAATTGAGGTACTCAAATGTAAGTCGGGTCAAAGTTCAGTCACTTATAAAATGATTAACCCAAAAGTAAAACTATTTAAACAAATAATAGGTAAATAAAAGTAAAATAAATTAAGATTATGAAAGCAAGGCTGGTATGGTGAAACAAATTAAAGACGATGTCCTAAAGCCTTTGTAGCCTCCTTACGTGTAGATACTAACAGTTTACAGGACTCTAAGATACGACCCCCAAAACACAGGATCAAGGTCCTCTATGAGCACGTTTACAGTCGGATATAGGTCTCCAAGTCACAGAATTGTTGCCCAAAAATAATAATATGAAATTGTAGAGAAAGAGAAAGTATGAAATGTAGAAGAGGAGAGAATCAAATTGTAGTGGTGGTTGTGGTAGTATGGTATTGTATTAGTATATCAAATTTGAAGGAGGATTGGCCTTTTATAGGCATCCAATAACATGTAACCTCCACCACATTAAACTATAAAATTAAGGCATTCAATATAGAAATAAAACCTGAAAATTAAACATTTATAACCCCCCACAATAAATAAAATAAAATAGCCAAAATAATTAAGTAAATCAAAACGGTAAATTTTTTAAAACCTTTAAATTCCAACAATCCCCTACAAGGTTTTCAAAATTTTACCATGACAAAAAATAATTAAAATATATATTTATATATGGGCAACATAATACGATGCAATAGGTGTAGATGCCTTATGGGCTTGAACCTTCACTTAGTGATGATAGTCTCCATTTGAGGAACCTGAGTATACAAAGTATAGATTCAACACCTTCGACCAAACTTCAACATATCCCACACATAGTATTAGTTGAGACTTGGATGCAGGGTAGCACTATTTATGGTCATGCACTAATCTTGATTCTCATGAGAGTTACTAGAGAATAGCACAATTCTCACAGTCGTGGTCTCACGACGTCTCTCACTTAGGTGAGTTCTCCAAAAGTACATGTGACCTGCACCCTGAAAGAGATTGCTCGCCTGGAAACTCATTCAGGGATAAATCCCTTCTTGACGTCACATAAAATATCCTTTTTGCCTTAGGGATGAGCATAATATCTCGAGGATATCTCCATGGTTTTATGAGTGCTATATGAGTCACGTAGTATGGATTGTTTCTACCACATTGAACTTCCTTCATGGGATCGCCATTCACAGAAGTTGGGTTACCCCCCTAGGTGACTCCCTTATGGGCTTAAGCACATCCCCCTAGACATTTTGCATTAGTAGCCTCCTCCACAAGGCATGCATATCATCATTAGCCTTTGCATGGCATATATAATGTGGGTCATGTCTTTGTTCTCCACTTAAGCGCATTCCAAACCTACATGTTATTTAAAATATTTCCTACAAAATCTTGCACACAAATGATTAGTGGATTTCATCGCAATATAATTGGAAATTACATATGTAACATCTCGACCCAATGTTTAATCATTTATTTAGTTTATATAAATAAATTGAATTATTTAAATAGGGAATTACAATTTTGCCCTAGGGGATAAGGTCATTTTGGTCACTTTTTAACCCCAGGGGATTTTGGAGAATTAAATGGCACCATGACCCAGATCGCGTCGATATGTGTTCGTAGACACGTAGTGGTCTCAAATTGGAGTTGTGATGAAGAAGTTACGATCAACAGAAGTGCAGTGGCACAATCGTAAATATTTCGAAGTTGGTTTTTAAAAATCAGATTTTCTTCTCTCTCTCTCTCTCTCTCTCTCTCTCTCTCTCTCTCTCTCTCTCTCTCTCCTCTACGATTTTGGACGTCTCTGGCCATCTCAGGCCACGAAATTGGATCCATTTTTTCGTCTTTCTCTCCTCTTCACATCCATATAATTTTCCAGCTTTGATTTCTAAGGATAAAACTAGAAAATCAATCGAAACAGAGGCTCAAAGCTGGCTGTTTCGAAGTCATAACTCCCGACAATTTTTTCAGCCAACTCCGGCCACCCCCAGCCGTGTACACCCAAAACACTCCCCTACCTCCCCTCTGTGATTTCCTTTCTAAGACCCAACATGATTTTATTCCGAAACTATCGAATCCAAACCTAGAAATTTTTAGGTTTTCCGATGAGAAAACCGTTCGTTTGAAGAATGTTCCCCATGTCGTCTCAAGCACGATGGTATGCTCGAATTTGAATTTGGTTATCATTTGACTGTCGATCATATTTATGCATATGAGGAGTTATCCCGGTTCGATATGTTCGGACCTTTGGATCGACTCCATTTCCCAGTATGTTGATCTAGGTACCTCTAGGATTGTGTAGGAATTCGCAGATCGTGAATCGGAGACTCGGATGCTCCTATTCAATGACTTAAAGTTTGCGTAAAACGGTGACCGTCCGATCGTGCGATCGTGAGCAATACGACCGTCCGATTCAAAACAAACTTGCAAGACATGTAAAATAAAACTTGTTGAACCCGTAGGAACTTTTATATCGAAAATCAGAGGTCGGGGGCCCCGTGGGCCCGATTGACCACAAATGAGAAGTTTGACCAACTGTTGACTACGGGCCTTTTGAGACCGTCTCGTCTTTTGAGAAGGTACTAGAATGGCTTTGGGACCTTGCCAAGGTTTTGTACACATGTTAAGTTTCTAGGAGTCATGGGCTAGGGTGTATGTTTTGATTGTGGTCTTATTACCGGATAGTAATACTGAAGTTGTTTGCCAATGATAAATACGTAGGATTTTGAATGGTGGTTATGGCGTATTGTTGGAAACTTGGACATGTTTTGATGTAGTGATATAGGTGGGAAACTGATCATCTGGTAATGGGTATTTTGGTTCAAGAGGTTGTGAAAGCGGGTTATCGGTTCAGTTTCGGCCTTTACCATGTGACACGAGACTCTTCGTTTATATATCATTATTATTGTTATTATTATTATTGTTTTATTTGGATGATTGTTATTATAATTCACTTATGGCATGATAAACGGGTATGGTGTTAGTAAGGATATAATTAAATGTCAATTATATGTTTACACTCAAATATATGTCTGTGTGTGGGACACACCATCTCATGTACCCTCATTTGTTACTGATTCTAGAATTGATGGATACTTGGAAAATTGTGGATATGGTTTGGATATGTCGGAACCCGGGCACCCTTGATGGGGGCGTTACCATAGACACTTAGCGAGATAGTCTGCATGCGTAGGACTTGTCACAGGCACACGAGTATTGAGGATTCTGTTGTGCATACCGGTGAGCCCAGTCCCTCGGGTTGGATGGCTCGTCCCTAGCCACATGGTTGTTGAGGATTCATTCGTGTGGTTCAACCAAACAATTCCCACATTGGATTGTTTTCCCCGGTACATGATGTGTTCTATCATATGTACCTCCCCTTGGATACTAATACTTGGAAACAGTGGACATGGATACTTGGATACATGAAAATGGATAGCTGGGTAGTCTGCGAGTGTAGGACTTGTCACAAGTGCACGAGTATTGAGGATTCTGATATGCATGCTAGTTAGCCTAGTCCCAAGGATGGACGGCTTGTCCCTGGCCACATGATTGTTGAGGATTCCTCCATATGGTCTAGTCAAATGATTCCAGGATTAGATGTCTTCCTCTGGTACATGATGATGGTGTGAGGTGTGTATATTGATATATATTTATTTATTTATTTACATACATATTAAATATATATATGTCGATTCGTATTTGGTCTAGATTCTTGAACTGGTGCTTCGTGAGTATCTGCACAGCTATGAACGTCTGATTTATAATTTGGAAAGTGTTGTTCGGCAATGTATGCCTTGCATAGGGTATGGTTGCGGGAAAGAACTAATAAAAGGAAAGGAACTAATAAATTGTTTAGTGGTTGCCTTGTCGATTTTGATGTTGTAATGAATCTAAATTAAATCGTTGGCATTACTTTAAACAATTGAATATTATCTAAATCGTGATTGTTTATGGAAGAACTATGTGTGACTTAATCCCTCACCAACGGGTACGTAGGTAACTTGGGGTTTCACTTAGGTGCAGCCGTGACTTAAACTATTACTGTTGTTGGGCATTTTTATTTGTTTAATTTTCGTTGAACTTCATTTCGGTTGTAAACTGAAGTCTTCCTTTCGATATGCTCTGTTATCGCCCATGCTTGGGTTGGATATAAGGTCAAAGGCCTATTATGTGAATTGCATGTTATTATCTTGTGCATGCTGCTAGTTTGTAATAACCCGATCCTAAATAAATTATTAATTATTAATTTATTCAAGTAAAAGACTATTTTGCCCACGGAATATTTTAATAGGTTTAAAAGTTGACCTTTAGATCGGGAAGGAATTTGGAAATTTCAATTGGACCATTGCATAGAGTATGTCGAGGTGAGTTCGTAGACATATAGTGAGCTCAAATCTGAGTTGTAATGAGGAAGATAAGATCAAATTCACAAAGGGACACAATCGTAATTTTGCGAAACTGGATTTTTTTTTATAAAAAAAAACAGATTCTCTTCTCTCTCTCTCTCTCTCTCTCTCTCTCTCTCTCTCTCCGCCCGCCACACACCCCCCACACCCCCCCCCCCCCCCCCCCCCCCCCCCCCCCCCCCCTCCACCCCCCGATTTTCTTTCTAAATTTCAAAATGGCGAGAACCCCGCCGTCCGGCAACCGTTCTCGACGCCGTCACTTGCATAACCTTCCTTGCTCTCTCCTCTACCCAGCCCACCTTTTCTTTCTAACCAGAAATCCAGCATACGGCGGCAGCAACGAGGGGAAAAATTGGCATAAACTGCTATCTTCGCTGGCGACTTTCCAGCCAATGTTTTCGACGTAAGATGTATGGATTCTCACCTATTCTTCAAGCCTTAGCTGCTTGTGGAGCGTGTGGCGACACGTGGGCAAGGTGGTGAGGCCACATTTGGTCCTGATGTGATCCTCGTGTTGTCACGAGCGCGTAGATGTGCTCGGATTTTAATTTGGATATCGTTTGAGTCTCGAGTGAATTTCGCCTGTTGTGCGTTATTCGGGTTGGATATGTTCAGGCCTTTGGATCGAGCTCAAATTCATGTATGTTGTACCCTGTATTTCTAGGATCGTATGGGATTCGAGGGATCATGAATCGGAGTCCCGGATACTCCGAAATCGCTAACCATGTGGCTAGATAAACCGTAACCGTCCGAGTGTATGATTGTGAGTGATCCGACAGTTCGATTAGGACCAAACTTGCAAGGTAGGTTTAGAAGAGTGTGTTGAACCTATAGGAACTCCCGGATTGGTGATTGGAGGTCGTGGGCCCCGCGAGCCCGGTTGACCAAGATTGGGTAGTTTGACTCCTTGGTTGACCGTGAGTCTTCCGAGCTAGTTTCACCCTTCGAGAAGTATTAGAACGATCATGTAAACGAGCCTTGACCGTTATTTGAATTATTTTGGGGTCTTTATGGAATTTATACTTTCGTGAGTGGACTTTGTTTTGATAGTGCATTGTTTTTACCGATTGAATTAATATGCATTAAATATGGATTGCTTGATTATGGATGCATTTTGAGTTATAATAATATTTTGGGTTATTCGTAGCAAAGGTCCCTCAACTATACTCGAAGTTACATTTTGGTCACTCAACTCAAATATTAGTTGCAAAGGTCACTCAATTACCATTAGTCCCTACCATCAAGTATGTGACTTTTTCTGTTTAAAATGATGACGTGACAAGCATCTCTTAGATTAGGGTAAATTACTCAAATGATCCTCAAACTTGTACTCGATTTACATTTTGGTCCCTCAATTAAATTATTAGTCCAAATGGTACATAAACTATATATTAATCGCTCAATTAGTCCTATCGTTATATTCTGTCAATATTGCTGTTAAATATGAGGGCAAATTGGTCATTTCGTACGTTTAAAATAAAAAAATAGTGAAAAATAAAATAAACTCTCTCTCTCTCTCTCTCTCTCTCTCTCTCTCTCTCTCTCTCTCTCTCTCTCTTTCTCTCTCCATTCCCCCATGGCCACCACCCTCAAGCTCCAACCCCTAAACCCATCCCACAACCACTCTCCACCCAAACCCATCCAACAACCACCCTCCACCCCAAGCCCCATGAACCCAAAACCCCAGCTCCTTCCCACCCTCCACCCAAGCCAGCAACTACAAAAAAAGAAAAGAAAAAAATTCTTCCATAAACCCCAACTTAACAACCACCCAGACCCTCTCCCCCTCCCAACGAACCCAGTCACTTTTTTGCCTACTTCTTTTTTTCCTCTATTGATCCTCTTCAACTCCACCACCATTTTCGCCATTGCCCACCTCCTCAGGAGCTTTCCTCTTCCTCTGCGTCTCTTCAATATAGCCAACTGTTATCAAAATTGAAATACCTGCAATAGGCCAAAGAGCAGAAGTAGTGAGTCTACGGCAATCAGAAAGATTTAGAGATCGCAAGTAACAAAAGGCTCCTATGTATGCAATCCATTCAGCATCAACAAAGCTCTCCCCTCTCAGATCAAGCTCTTCTACGCTGTGTTTGAATAATCTACACCATATGTCCACAACCCATTTCAATTCCATGTGCAAGCAATCGAATAAATTAGACACGAGTTTCTCGGGAAACAAACAAAAGAAGAAAGAAAAAAAAGGTGAGAAATGTACTTGAGCAAGGAAAGGAAGCGGAACGCAATAATTGGAGAGGTTTGTGGGGAATGGGGGAGAAGAAATCGAAGGGAGGGGGGTTTGGGTCTCATGATTTTTTTTTCTTTTTCTTCAATTATTTTCTAATTTTGTATTTATTTTAACCCTATTTTATTTGTTAATTATGAAAAGTCATATTTACCCTAAAGATGATGGCTATATTTAATATTTATACATATATATACTCGGTGGTTTAAAGATGATGAATTAGGGATGTTGATTTTTATCAGAATGTGGTGTATATTTTAAGTGTAATTGAGAATTAATATATTGGAAAGTTGATATAAACGGTCGGAAAATGGATTGTGAAATAAGGGAAATTTATGATGAGTTTTTCACTACAGTTTTCAAACCCACCAAAGAGACCCCCCACCCCCCCCCCCCCCCCCCCCCCCCCCCCAATTGATACAGTTTGGTTATTTGTGATCATGCCTCACGAGTTTTGGGGACGCCTGAACCATGTGGTGTGAGGATTGCAGCTTGGGTTAACTTGGTGTCTTCGAGACCTGCGAAGATTGTGGCTCAGGTTGACTTAGTGTCTCTGAGGCCTGCGAGGAATGCGGCTCTATTAACTTTCTGTTTCCGAGGCCTGCGAGGAATGTGGCTCGGTTAACTTTCTGTTTCCGAGGCCTGTGATGATGGAACTGACAAGATACTTGGAATTAATGGATTATTATTGGAATTGACGGAATAATATTGGAATTTACGATATATTCAAGGAAATGACGGAAAATGAATGGGGTACGCCTAGGTGGAGAATATTTGGGGTTTTAAGAGGTTTAAACAAAAACTAAGAATTTTATCTTGGTATTTTCAAGTAAAAGTTTTAATAACTATTTTTCTGATTTTATGAGGCAAGTAATGAATGGTTTTGGTTCTTCATTCACATACATGAGCTTTCTGTGAATTTGTTTGTTTTACATATAATTTACACAAGTAAAATATAAATTGATTCATGGATTTGAGGAAATTCTTTGAGTAGCCTATTTACGTGTAAATATACTAAGTGAAAGAACTACATGTGGCTTGATCCCTAGTTAAGGGTACGTAGGCAACCTAGAATTACTAGGTGCAGCCACAAGACCAAGTGATTGAAAAGCTGTTCAGTTAAGTTATTGAAATCTGTTAACATATTCTTCTTGTTTCATAAGTTGGGATCAGTTTCAGTTAGCAGAATGATTTATTTGATTTAAAAAGGCCTGAGGCCATAAATATTTGAGATTTGGTTGCATGGATTCCATTATTGTGCATGTTGAACGGTTGTGGATGTTTAAATTGTTTGTTATACAGGTGGAAATTTTTGGGAAACGAGCGAATTACAGGGGAGACTTCGCCAAATTTTCAGCATAAGTCAAACTTGAGGTTAATTTTGGTTTTGTTTAGAAGGGCAATTTGGTTAATTGTGTCCGGCACCTGCCAGGTGTCAGACATGCACCGGATTCGGCTCAGATTCCAAAGTAGAATTTGGGTCAGGTCCTGTCATGGTTGGTGTTTCTAACAGGTTGAAAATTTTGGGAAATGTCCATTTTTCAGGGGAGACTCTACCGAAATTTCGGCAGAAAGTCTTGTTTCTCTTTTCCCTAATATGGAAGAGAGACTATGTCATTAGTAAATGGGCCCGACATCAGTTTGATGTCGGAAATACCACAGGATTCGTCCCGAGTTTCGAGGAATTCGGGACGGGTCCTATCAACATACGCATAGATATACATTAAAGTATAATGTTAATACATCATACATCAAATCTTATTATCAAGATTACCTCTCAATTCTTTGGTACCCAAATATGAATTTCTGATGGTCCATGAAACTTTAAGTAAACCTGCTGATGCTTATGAGCAACAATATAGTGCTTAATTCATTAAATAAATTTAACTATGAATATTGAGTATTTAAGGATACTCTTAGTACCAGTTTGGCATTGCTTATTTGGGGGTGATAAGTGATTTTTTAAAAATTTTGAGAAGCCCAACCCGTTTGGTAAACTGTGAGAAAATCACTTATTGTTAAAAATTGCTGTGAGAGAAAGCTATAAGGGAAAGCAGCTAATGAGGTGTTTTCATTTTCTGATTATGCAGAAATCAGTTTCGAAGAGGCGCTGGGTTTAATGATTATGCGACAATCATTTTCTTATTATACGTAAAATCAATCCCAACAACACTTTTAACAAAAATTTTACCAAACGCCAAACTGCTTTCTCTCACAGCTGATTTCTCTCACAGCAAATCTGACAGCGATTATTTTTACAGCACAGCAATGTCAAACTAGCCCTTACTCCCTTTATGTGCACTCCAATTAGCTGAAATCATGATCGCATATCACAATTATTATTGTATTTTCTCGATTCTCAATATGACCCAGTGACAATAAAAAGTCACCACCAAAATTCTATACTAAGATCATCATTATTTGCACACATTTTCATATAAAAAATGAAGACAAATTAGTCTAATAATAACATTTTATAATATAAGAAAACTTCACACCGACACAACAAATTTAATAATTACTCGGAGGTAATATCAAGGTCATGAATATAAAGCACCCCCGCATTTAAAATATGTAAAGCAAATCCATTATGTTTCCAATGTTGACCACAAAGATAAAAAAATAATAATAATAATAATTAATAAAATAATCTTTAGGACGATAACCTCACGAGTTAAGGGAATCATCAACCGCCACTAGTTGAGGAAAGGAAAGGGTCAAAGTATATTTCATAAGATCAAAATTAAAAATTAAAAGCCACTTACAATGATGAATGATATATAATTTATCATTATGTTTGACTCTTCTTCATGTACACTTCATGACAATTAATTCAAAATTATGCTATGAGTCTTAACAATTATATATAATTGCACATAACCGTATATCAAAATTAACAAAATTATATATAATTTTTCACCCAATCGTTCAACAAGTCATAATTTCTCCTTTAAATTATTTATCATTATAAACCTCAAAATCTTGTTTTGTATTTTAATTGCACTATTCAGCGAGACTAAAATAAAGCTCTTGCCAAGCTTAACGGTATTAATACAAAAAAAATGTAATTAAGTTCCATGTTAAGAGCAATAATCACCCAACATTATTAACAACTTTATTGCCAAAATAAATATAGGAATTGAAAACAAGTATGACCATTAGGTAAAATCTGGAAAATTAATTTCAACCAAAACAAAAATATATTTATTTTTGTGTATTGAAAAAGTATATGCATATGCACGTAAAATAGAATAGCCATTTTTTGTATAGCAATGTGTATGCAATCAAAAAGGCATTTTTTCTTCTTCTTCTTCATGAATTGGCATTTCTAGATTGAATAAAACAATAAACATACACAATATAAACTCTAATTTGTAAAGAACAAAAAGATCATGTAGATTAGATCATGAAATAGATTTCCATTTTCCATTTCCATCTCAAGTTATTTATTTATTTATTTAAAATTTGACAAAACTAAACAAGTGGAAAATGATAAGTTTCTGTATTATCTTATTTCACAAAATTCAAACTAAGATAATTTCTTGGAATCACATACATTTATAGCAATGCTCACACTTCCATAAAATAAAGTATTAATTGGTAGCGCTTATCTTGCGGTATATGATATTGGACCCATGATATATCGATTCCATCATAACTCCCGCTTGAAAATCATGTAAATCTCTATTTCCATAAATAAGATGAGCTTTGGACAAGATCGAAAGACACCACACATAACGTAACTTAATCCATTTTCCAAAACCAAAGATAAGTGATATCCAACATCAGCAATAATATGATTAGAACATTAATATACTAATGCTATTGAAATAAAGTCAGCAATTAAAATATTAATAAAATAAGCTGTAGTCTACGCTTTGCCGAAAAAAGAAGAAGTTATTTCGAACGAATGGCCACTGTAAAGATTCAACACAAAATAATTAAAAGTTTGGTAAGATCTTCCCTCTTATTTATTTATTTATTTACATTTTAAATTTGTTTCGAAACAAAAGAAATATAATAATAAAATTTTAAATTTCATCGAAGCAAACTCTCAATTACAAATATACAAGTGTGTAAAGAAAAACGTACATAACTGCAAACCACAAATTCAAATATGTAACTAAATTTATACAGAGGAATTGTTAATACTTAATAAAACTTTAGTGGAATAATATCAGAATTAAAAGGGTCACAATTTCAATGCATTAGTTTGAAATCTATATGATACAAACCGGCCAAATGCGACTGCTTTTTTTTAATCAACAGTTATAAAATAAGATAAATATGGTGTACTTGATTAGCTTTTGAATACTGACATTATTGAGATTTATTTTAAAAATAATTTTGCGGACCAATTTAAAGAAATTGTCTTTAGTTTGTGTAGAAAGAGGGCACACCAATGTAACTAGCCTGAAATTGATTTTGTAATTAAGAGGTTGATGTCCAACACTTATCCCGTGAAATTGATTCTGTAATTAAGAGGTGAAATTGATTCTGTAATTAAGAGGTTGATGTCCAAAAACTTATCCCGTCAACCTTATAGTCCACATTAATCATTCCAAGAATGCAAAATCAAGTCATTTAACTAGTCTAGACTAGCAAAATTTAGTCATTTAGTTAGTCTAATCTAGTCCTGCATATCAAACGCGGCCTTAAGTTTTATGGCCCAAACGTAGGGGTACTTAATGGAATGAAGGCATCACCGATGTAGAACGTAAATGCTGGACCCCTTTGCTTTGAGTTGGAACACTTTATTTTTTGTTTACAAAAGAAAATTTTCTGGTTAAGGTGACGTATGCATATGCGTCCTGTTTAAAGTTTAATAAGAACAGAAAACTCAAAACAGTTTAAATGGTTTTTCTTTTAGGGCACGTTTACATGCCCTTAGATTAGACAAATTGAAAACCACCCTTTTCTTTCCAGGATTTTGGTTTGACTATTATATTTAGCAAAATAACAATTCATAAACCATGGGCCGAAAGGCAACATTCCACCTAACGTCTTTATCAAACTCTGTAAAACTATGTTACATGGTGAAGAACAAAATAATGAAATGAAGCTCTGCAACCAGCATAGCTTAATTCAAACAGTGTACCAGGCACAGAGAGAGAGAGGAGTGTGAAGAACAATAAATACTGAAAGGCATTCATCCAATCTAGCTACTCGTCTCAGTAACTTGTGGACCTAAGTATGGAATTTTATCCATTTCTGAGTTCTCAGGCATTTCAATCTCTTCCAACCACCCATAACAATCACCATTCCCTTCAGTTACTGCTGCCTCTCCATCTGCATTGAAACATTGCCAGGTGAATCAGGCACAGTTTATAAACTCAAACATGAATTCTTTCCAGTAATCAAAGTTTCAATATTTTGAGCAGTGCACTTTCTTCCCAAGTTCATACAGATGCGAATTAAGCTTCAAAGAGTTCGAGAATTTAGAAAGGTTCATATGCATCACACCTTGCTTACATTGTTGTCACACTATATAAAGGAAATAAATCACACGCTTTTGGCAAATTTTCAAAGAAGAAAGTGCTCATGAAGAACAAAGAGCAAAAGTTCACTTACTTGAATAAGCAGCATAGGGATGATCTTTGTAATATGAGCAGTCGCGGTCATCTTCTTTAGAGTAAGGAGGTCCAAGCACATCCAGCACAGCACATGGGGTAATGGCTGTGAAGGCATGGATGTTGCCACCTTCTGTTGGATATAGTACTGATGTATTGCAAGGGGATGTGAAGACGCTATCAGCTTTCAACTTTGCCAGTCTGACTGCAAAACCATCCTACACCGGTTACCCATCCATTGTCCGCATAGATTTCTTTAAAATGAAATAAAGAACTAGGGAGAAAGGAGACTCACATTGAGGGGCTGGTGTGGAGCCATCTGAATTGACAGGATCAACCCAATCATATGATTTAATATGCATCTTCCCTAATAGAAGCTTACTGAAAACAGTCATTTCTGGATGGTTATGGAGTGGGATAACACCAGTTGCTGGAATAAAAAGGCAGCACAACTGCGCGTAAGAATAAACAGGAAGCGTGATCAACAAATGGCCGAGTAAATGGTTTATGGCAAAAACAGCACTGCTAGAATATTGAAGTTTGTATGAATTCTATGAATTTAATTAGTAAACAAGCAAAATATGGTAATTTTAAAGGAACTCATTAGCAGTTGTTCTGAGAAATTATCCTCAAGTAAATACTAGACTTACCGAAAAATTACTGCACTCGTATATTGTTGTATATGTGACCCTAGGAGTCCCTTGGACCACAGTTTTAGGCTTGAAGAACTGCAGATCCCTACTAAGCCCAACATCTTCTGGTCTCATATTATCTACAGTACCACAAGAAATAACGCTTGTCATGAAGGTTGAGGACATCCAAATTAAGTACTAAGGAATGCAATCAACTCAGACAATGTTTCCTTCAGACATGGAATGAATCAAAATTTTATTTATTACCCGTAAATATTCAATACAAAGGCCAGTCTACCCCTCTCCCACAGGCATGTCCGTGTATATATATCCTACTTTCATTATCTTGTGCACGCTACAGCATATTTTAAAGTACAGCACAACTTCTTAAGTAAACACACATTGCCTGCATCTTGACAAATCCTCTGTTTTCTGTTTAGAGTTTTCTGGACTACGCACACTTCTGGAAAAATTAATCAAATAAATATTAAACCGAGCATTCTGGCAAAATGCAAAATTGGGGTTTCGTCTAGGAAAGTCTACAATGCTTTAAAAACTGGGGATCTTTCATTGCTTTATGATTTACTTGAATTTTTCAAATCAAGGACAAGCCAGGCCAAAATTGCAATCACCAGGACATACAAAACAGCAAGTAAGTTACCATTAAGTCTCAAAAAGCATACACTACGCACAACAAAATAATATTAAAAGTATCAACAGACATAATCGCTTTCAATTAGTTTTCCTCCTGGCCGAAGCTTCTAATAGAAGAAGACAAGAGAAACCATTCCCTTTTGGCAACTCAAAACTAGGTACTCTTGGTCCCCCAAATCCATAGATTGGGGTCCACGCCTTGACCTTGCGTTCATATGTAGCCTACTACTGATGTCATATGAGGATGAAGGCACTTATTCTAGGAGCATTAAACCCAAAAACCAAAGCACATGGTGTACTCCAATTTTTTATTTTTTCCTGTTTATAGCAATGCCCATTGAATTTGGCTATGAATAGTAGCTTTGTTCCCTTATCTTTTTTCAGATTTGGACTTTTGCCTAAAACAGAATGACAGAAACATACGATTCCTACCAAAAAAAAACAGATATACATATACAGATGGAAAAGGTCAGGGATTGGAACCTCAATAACCAAAAAACATATATGCAATTTAAAAGAAGCAGAGGATCAATCAAATATTCAAAGTACAGTATTCCTATCAAAAATCAATCACAGTACAAGATGCATTTCTGGCAAGTATGAAAATTTGGAGAACATACCGAGAATGCTACACAAGTTGTGTACATCATGAGGCGAAGGAACAGTTCCAGGGCCTTTGAAAACTTGTCTACACGAAACAAAGAGCTGTTGCAGTGCAATTGGAACCGTTGATGGCACCGAATGCTTCATCTTCTTGCCGCATTTTCTCTTCTTTATGGCCTTGTTCACATGATACCCAACCTTGCTAGCGTGCCCAACACGCGAAACGACCTTGTGATCTCTTCCCTGCTCCACCAACCTCGCAGTCTCCATTGTCATATATATATACCTTCACTTGGAAAATTGCACCCAAATAAACAAAGCAAGTGCACCGACGACGCGAAAGACTTTCTGCTTCAAGACCCAGAATTCGAAATGAAGAATAATGCGCAAGCAAGCAAGCAAAGTTCTTCTTCTTCTATGTTGCGGGTACCTGTCTGTCAGGCTGATCTGAGTGATCAACAGGTGTTTGTTAAAATGCCAAAGAAGAAGTGGGACGATGATGATATACTTGTAGAACAGTTGGAGAGAGTGAAGGATTTAGGATTATATATAAGGACCCAGTTAGGAGAGAGAGAGAGAGAGAGAGAGAGAGAGAGAGAGAGAGCAAAACCAGGGGCGGAAAGGAAAGGTATGATAGAAGAAGAAAGTGGGGATGGATGGTGGAAAAACTATGCAAGTAAGAAAGGTTTCTGCGGTTGCCCCCCATAGATTTTATTCGAAACTGGCGGTCACCCCACCCCTGGTTTTGGTTTTGGTTTTTGGTTATGGTAAAGCCTTAAAGCTAGATACCTGCTCACGCATTGTAAATTTACCAAATTGCCCTGATTTTTAATTTATCATGAATATTGTTGGCTTTGCTTGCTATGGGTGAAAATCGGTTGGCTTTTTATACGTCCTTTGGTTTTGAGCTTGTTGGTAATTAAGTTAGCTGAATTTCCAAAATAATAATAAAATTAGTAAAAATGCTCATTCTCATCAGAATCAACCACATTAGTTCTGCAGATTCTTTTCCTGACAATCAAGCAGGTCGTCCTAATTTTGCTGCAAATAGCCACTAGTTCATATATAATTGTAATTTGTAGAGATGGGCATCTCATCTGAAAAATCAGTGTACTGATTGTACCGTATTGATGATTTAGTTTGGTTTAATTAAATTAAATTTTACTTAGATAGTATTAGGTATAGAATCGAGTGAGCCTATTTAAACTCCGCATTTTTCTTTCTCCACTCTATATTATAAGTTCATCCCAACTTTTAATTCAAATTTTCACAATTTCTAATAAATCTACTATCTTCCCAAACTACCCCTAAATACACCCCCAATAAATAAATAAATAACTCATCAACCTCACACCCGACACCTGACACCCAACACCCCACTATTTTGCCCCTTATCACTCTAAGTTCACCTCAACCTCACATTACTTAAAGAGATAAAAAAACTGTTGTCAAATGTGTAGCGGTATTATTTTATTATTATTATTAAGTTGTACTAGATTTTTTGGTTTTATTTTATTTATTATTAAAATTTCAAGGATGTTTTGGTTTTATTTTCAGCAATCACACTTCATAGTCACCAAAGCTTTTAATTTTGTATCAGCAATCACACTTTTGCTTGTGGCCATCCTAACTTCAGTCTTTCACATACTCTTCAAGATATTTAAGCTAATTCATCAAAGACGAAGAAGCTCAAATTGAACCTTTTTTTTTCTTTACTTTTTTTTTCTTCCTATGGAAGGGAAAGACAAGAGTTAGATTCAGCCTCTGGGTGTGAGGATAACCACCACACTAGCCACCCAAGAAACTCAAATTGAATTTGACTTCTTCCAAGTGGTTGGGTGTGTGTATAAATGTATTAAGGTTAAGTATTAAGTTGGATGAATTTTTTTGTCTTTTTATACAATAATAAAACTTAAGAGTTTAATGATTTAAGTATTGGAGTGAACAAAGAAAAGTGTGGGGTTTAAATAGAAAATTCTATCTCTAAACCGATAAAAACCGGTACTAAACCAATCTTTACGATTAATTTTATTATTTATTTATTTATCCATGTGTCAATGACCAATTGATTAATTGTATGTGTTTGAGCAATTGCAATAATAACTATATGCCGAAAATTTGACACTGCAATGGAGCAATATATTTGGAAACAGAGAGTAGTTTTTGTTTGGTGGGTCGGATTGGACAAGACTGAGGGCTAGAACTAGACCAAACTTTGAGTTTGTTATTTGGTGCTATACTTAACTTTGGACTGGACTGAACTTAAGTCCAATGCACAGTTTGGTACAAGACTGGACTAGAGTGCACTGGACCTCATTAATTTTTTTTAATTACATTTTTTTTTGTGTTTATTAAATTATTTAATATCAGAAATAATTAATTAAAAAAACATGCACAAAATTAAAATTAAGAAAGCCCCATCACATTGCTCAAAACATATCCAAATTTAACAAAGCAATTAACTACCTATTTGCTTTTGCCCCCATCAAAATACAAGGAAGTCCAAAATATAACAAAGTAATTCTTTACATAAACTTTGAGGAACATGATCAATTTCCATTTCTGAGAGCTTTCTTTTTCAGCTTAGTGTTCCAGTAGTTCTTTACATTATTGTTTGTCCTCCCAGGAAGTTGCTGTGCTATTATAGACCACCTGCACCACAGAATCCATGGCAAAAATAGTGAAAGAGGATCAGTGTTCTTGCATTGGCAACAGAAAAGGAGGCTTGGGGCTTCTCTTCTAGCTTGCCAATCCATATGATCTGTTGGGTTGACTTTTGGCTATGAACTGAGTTTCTTCATTTTGTGATATTAGTGAAGGTTATTGGGTCACTGGGTATTGTCACTATACTAAGCACATGTGGTACAATTAGGAGCTAAAAGAGCCCCTATGTTTTAGCTTTTTATCATGAGTACAACAATTATAAGCTTGTTCAAAACTCACAAGCTCTCTCTCCAAAGATTAAATCAGAAAAACTATGAACTGGAAACAAAGACAAAGCAGATCAGATCGGATCTCGGATGCCATAAAATAAAGATTAGTGAGAATTTTTCTTCTAAATTCCTCCCCCTAAAATCTATAACTCATTGAAAACAGCAGTTTAAAACCTATGATCAAATAAAATGTTTGTACAACAAGGGAAAACAAGGACAATGAAGCTGCCATGTAAACAGTAAGAACAACAGTGATATGATGTTTTAGCAGAAAAGATGGGGCTTGGAAGGAGGATTTGAATGAACCATTGTAAACAGCTAGAAAGTCTGCATAGAAAAGACCTAACCTGCTACCTACGGTTGCATGAAGCCTGACAATCAATTCCTCCTCATGGGGTGTGAAGGACTCATGCTTGAGATTAGGCCTCAGGTAATTAGTCCACCTAAGCCTGCAACTCTTCCCGCATCTTGTAAGTCCTGTAAATACTCATACATTAAGTTAATTAGCCTAGAAATGCAGCATATAATCCAGCAGCATCCCCCTGCCAGCCTGTCAAGAAAGAATTAAGGAAAAAAAACATACAAGTTAACCTGCTTTTTTTGGAACAGCAGTCCAGTACAGGTTCCACATGCTTCGACCTGTATTTAAACTCACCATCTTATCTGTGTTAATCCAACCAAAACATAAACTGACTTAGAAAATCAACAACAATAAACTAAAGTAAGATTTGTTAATCCAACCAAAACATAAACTAACTTAGAAAATCAAAGAAATAGAAAGATTATTTACCAACCTCTACATAAGCATTCCACACCTCGCCGCTATCAACCTCTACACATTTATTCTCATCATTCCAAGCAAAACCACTTGGTTTCACATGAATGATCAGGATAAGTTAAAATGAATGATTCGGATAAGTTATATCAACCTACACAGATAATAAAAACACCAACTCAAACAATCATCCATCTGCATATGTTATAAACAACTCAATTTTAACATGCTTTTTTTCGCTCAAGGGACTAGAAAAAGCACTAAGAACGCCATATTTTTAATTTCAAAAGATCAAACAAATTTCCTTTTAAAAAGAATCAAATATGCCATTCCATCATCAGAACCACAAGCCAATTGGCTAAGGGCCTAAGATCAAATCAGCTACAGAGAAAAAATAATAATAATCACACCTGCAGAAAAGTTATTCCAAACTAATAACACTGAATGAAAACAATACAAAAAATTTAACAGCTCCACTAGATGGACCCAAAAGATAATCCTAGGCCTGATTTTGATGCAATCAACCAAATGCACACACCAACACTATGAACCTCAATGATACGAGAGAAACTTATTAATGAATCATCACACATTCCTCGGAGGATGACGCTAAAACCAGCAACATAACAACTGTTCACCTGTTTGATTTAATTCTGTGATGGTAGAGTAAAGTTCCCCATTGGCTTGACAACCAATGGTGGTCAACACATCAACTTTCTTTTATGCGTGAGCGTGCCACTGCTAGCAATTTAAAACCTTAGCAGACTTCTAAAAAATAGATAACTTGAGCCCCAAGTTAGTGATTCTAAACAAGCAATTGTGAATTTGGTTGAGGAATATCTCCCAAGTAAGTTCTTTTCTTGCCTCAGACTGGTGAGGACTTTACAATTTTTCACAGTACAAAATTGGTAGTTCTTGTCAGAATAGATAAAAAGAAGACAAACTGTTTAGGCAGAACTGCCTACTACATGACTCAAAAAGAGAAATGGCAACTCTAAAAAAGACAACAGAACGTTGGACTTCGATTTATGCCTGGGTAGCTGCCTCTGAACTAGGCTGGACTGGATGTGTCTATGCTGGATTGAATCGTCAACATCTTCAAATGATGAGTTTCAACTGGAAATCGATACCAACGTTTGAGTTTGTCAGAGCTTCAATTTATTTCGAGCCATGGAAGGCTTGTTGAACGAGCATAATTGAGGCCTCTTTAGTCTGAAGAGGACAGAAGTGGCTGGATTGATGGTCATTGAGCTGGAGCTGTGCTATGGTACCTATTTTGCTTGACCAAGGCTTTCTGTAAATGTGTTGAGGTTTTCATATTTGTAAAAACTCGGACTCTGCTTAACTTGGCTTGTGCTAAACCAAATTTGTAACTAGAGAAGTCTCACTTTGTAAAATTGTTTCTTTGAACTGGACCGAAATCAGAGATTTTGAATTCTAGCTAATTTGTTTCTTGTGGATGAAAGAACTTTTGGTTGCTTCAGTGTCTAAAGGTTTCTTGAGATTAATTGATCCTTTTGATTTTGTCAATATGACTTTGAGAGTTTTTGTCTTGATTGATTTTTTGGCTGTCCTTTGATCTGTTCACCTCCTCTCATATTTATAGGAAATACTAGAGTGGGGTTTTTAATTTTAAATATTGGGCGGCAGATCTTTCAAAAATATTTTTCTCTTTTCAATGTTTACAAAAAGATTCATTTATTTTTTGGGCAGAGAAGAATCATCAATAGTCATTTTCCATGGTGGTCATTTCCCTGCTTCCTCCTAAAAGCAAACTAACTCTTCTTGTTTCTCTGGCTTGTTTCTTGCAAGAACCGCAATTTGCCATGATGATCAGTTTGCTTTTCCTGGTGAACAACTCCCTTGCTCCTTACTTATCTCTTGAAAATGTAGCTTGCTTATCTCTTGAAAATATAACCTGCTCTGGTGCAGAGTTTTTCTGCATATTTGATCTTCTTTTCCTGACTACAAAGTGGAGAAGTTCTTCTGTAAGACATGTCTTCATTAACTCCCTATCACCTCCTCTGTGATAGTTGAAAATTTTGACTTTTTCCAAGGTCAGAAAGTCACGTGGGATTTCTTAAGAAAAAACCTATTTTTAGAAAGATCTGCTGACTTGCTTTTTCCTTGGGTAGAGTTCAGATAACGAGTTTTTTAATGGCCAATAATGGTATTTTATCCCTCTAGACCAGGGCTATATTTGTAGTTGGCTTAAAAAAAAAAGGCATGGGCTTAATTTGTTTTTGATTCCTAATTCCTGTAGGTAAAAGCCCAAACGTTTTTGTACATGGGCCCTTTTGAAAACAAATGGGCTGGCGTGAGAATTTTGGCCTAAACAACAACAAAATAGGTTTGAGCAAAACCTATCAGTTGCCAAAGAGGTCAAATCTTGAACGTAGAATGTTTGCTGTTACAAAACAAGGGACATCAGGCGTCAAACAGATTAGTGGATCATAGGCATTGGCCACGATATTTACTTTCAAGGAAGAGGAAAGATAATGAACTAATTTGACGTATTCAATTCAGATTTTCATGGAATTTGATAAAGTTCATGCAAATCTGGGTGTATTCAAGCCAATTTTTAAAAGACGCGATGTATTGAAAATGTTATGGACTTTGAAGGACATACATAAAGTAATAGAGTTTGGTGAATTTTGATGGAATTTGAAAGGGATTTCAAGCCAAAACAATCCTAGCCTTCCCCGCATGGGATTTTGGTGGATTTCAAATATGTCCATGATGCACATTCAAAAGACACAACTATAGCTTCTCTCGTGCTGTTTTGAAATGGGTTTTGCTTTGTCCTTTTTCAAATGTATATTGGGTTTGCTGCATTAGGTCTTTTGCAATTGCTTGGAAATTTGTTCTCTTAGCCTATTCCTCACTGTAGTATCAAATGTGTTAAATAGAAAACAAAAGGCGTGTGAAAGCGTTTACAGCATTCAATTCTGCCTCATGATAGGTTCATTGTTTTTTACATTGGTTGAATATAACTTTTTATCATCAAGAAATACTAGGATCATTTTTGCAACGTCTTTTTCTACTTCTTTTACACGGTATAGTGTTCTAAGGAACAACCTGCGTCCTACTCATGTAATATGTGTACAATCTAGATCGATACTAAGATTTTGAGGGCTCTGTGCGAAACTTAAACTAGAGCCCTCACATTATCTAATATGAAAATACTAAAAAAAAAAAGATTGCCATGACTTAAAGGGGTGTATTCAATTAGAAATGTATACGATTTTGAAAGATTTTTTTTAAGTGATAGATTTCCTGGAATTGTATAACTCCTATAGGCTTTACCCAAATTTTTAATAAACTTGTATAGGCTTTTATTATAGTCTATGAAATAAAAGATTTCAACTTGTAGGATTTAGGTTTGGAGAACTTTTGTTATAGATTCAGATATATTTGCATAGACTTCCCAATACTATTTTCTTTTATCACTCTTTCTTCCCAACACTATTTTCTTTAAACTATGTTGACCTAGCCACTAGTCGACCATCCTTTTTTTTTCTTTCCCCAAATTCTTCCTCTACCTACAGGCACAACAATGAATTTCCCTTTGAAATTTCCACGAGTTGGAAACCTTCATACCTAAACAATTAATTTCTCTTTGAAATTTTCACGAGTTGAAAATTTCCCTTTGATTTTGTTCACGAACAGCAAACTCTTTGTCCAAAAATTCAATTAAAAAAAAAAAAAAAACCCTTTGTCCAAAAAGCAAGGGCCCTATCATCTGGTAGTGTTATGGGTGATGGAAATATATCTCAACCTTCCACCGCCTTGAGTTGGCTTCACGCCTAGATGATCTCCAAGGGAAGTTATCGGAGATCGAGAAATCTATAGCCGAGCTTTCCGCCCAGCAACTCCAACTAGTTGTTTTGAAGAAATCATTAATGGAGGAGCTTTGCTTAATACAGGACACTTGTAACCTCCCAAGGTCAGTGCATGGTTTAGCGCATTGTTTGCCAAATGATGGAAAAATTTCTAACGTAAAGTGTAAAAAAAAGAACACGTCGTATGAAATCTTTGGGGTGGAGGTTGGACTTATGTTGGCCTTTATTATTTATACATAAACCCTACAAATTCTCCAAACTCCAACACTTAATTAAATCCTTCCAAATCTATCTCCTTTTGAATACAGGTAAATTTATTTGGACTTTTTCCAAGTCCTAATTGAATACACCCACATTTAGATGGACATTTTAAAAGTTCAAACAAGTCTAGATTGAATACACCCAAACTGTTATGGACTTTTTAAAAGTTTATAAAAATCCAAATTGAATACACCTGGATTTTTAAAATCTTTTTATACGCTCTAGAATCCAAATTGAATACACCCCCCTTAATGTCATAAAACGATTTTTTATAACTAAAATTCATCATCAATTAGCATGTAATAACAACCACAAATCAAATTCATAATATTTTTTAATGTTTTCATTTCATAAAGTTAAACATTAGTATGTTCGATAATAAAATAAGAATACAAGAGAAAGAAGAAGGCATGATTTTTTTGTTTTTTTTTGTTTTGAGCGGAAGGAAGTACTTTCTTTTAGGAGAAAACGTATGGGTGTGATACATATTGGTGTTAGTTTAGTTGGATTTTTACCCTTGGTTTTTTCACATTTCATTTTTTAAAAGTATTTTGTTACTATAATGAAAAAAGATTAAAATTACAAATTTATTGACATCAATGAGACTCAAACTTGGGCCTTGTACTCAAGGATATGCACTCACTAGAAACCAACTCCACTAGATACACTTTTGTGTCAATGTGCTACATGCCGGAGTATATATACCGTTTTTATAATATTAATATATATAATATAAAGTTAAAAAAATTCAGAGGCCTTAAAAAATAGGGGGCCCTGTTTGCACCATACCAGGGGCACCCCTGTGTATAACATTCATCAAGCCATACATTTATAGTATTTAAAATGGAAACAATGATTTTATTTTCAAAGTAAGAAAAAATAAATTAAGACTTTTGGGTAATTTTGGGTGCAGGGTCGATGGGGTGGGTTGCGGGTGGGGGATGGTCTGGGTTATGGGAGTGTGGCTGAGCTGGTGAAGATGGTTGCTTTTGGTTGGGTGGGGGCTAGGTCAGGCAAGTTTTGTTTGGGGTTGGGTGGGGGAGAAAGAGCAAGCGAGAGAGATAGATTCAATGGGTAGAGAGGGAGGGATGCTGTCATGTGCGTTTGGGAATTGGGTTAATGACAATAATTTTGATGCTGAAGATTTTGTCTTTCTTTGCACATTTTAGGGATTTTTTAAGAAATGTCACCTGAACTTATATCTCAATTTCAATTTGTCACATTAAAAAAAAATTTAAGAGAAATGTCACATTAATTTTTCAAAATCCATGATTTGTCATATGACTTTAACACCATCATTTTTAAAGGTATTTTAGTCTTTTTATTTTCAAGGGTATTTTTAAAATGAAAAAATCATTATAAATTTTTTTTAAATATCTTTCAAACAATTAAAATTGAAATATATATATATATATATATATATATATCACCTTCCCCCTCCCCTGTGCGCCACTAGTGACTCCAACCAACCTTGCCCACCTTGAAATCCATTCCCACTTCTTTTTCACAGCCTCTTCCTCCTTTTCTATCTACCATGAAACACCTACCCTCCACACACAAATTTCCTTAGCCCACCCAAACTGAGTCCACTTTTTTCTTCTTCTTTTTTATTTTTGGTATTTTTCCATTTCCATGCTCAATGAACACCATAAAAAAAAATTATATATGCTTAGAGAGAGAGAGAGAGAGAGAGAGAGAGAGAGGAGAGAGAGGAGAGAGAGAGAGAGAGAGAGGGGGAAGGGGTCCTATGCGATGTGTTTTGGGGGAATGTGGGGTTGGGGCAGGGGAGAAAGGGAGAGATGTCAATTTTTTCTCTATTTTTTTTTCTTAAAAATAAAAAAAACTAAATATCCTTAAAAATGGATGGAAAACTAGATGATATTAAAGTGGATGACAAATCATGGATTTTGAAAAATTAAGATGACATTTCTCTTAAATTCTTTTTGTTGAGGCCCAAAAAATTTAAGGAAGGCCTAAGCATATTTCAAGCCCAATATAGTGCTTTTATGTAAAGAAGCCTAGCCGATACACACATACCATGCCAAGCGATGTTATAATTTGGCACATGGGAAGTCACATTAAACACGTGAAATTTACCAATTTCACTCATGCCTAAGCTCACCTAACTCATTGCTTAATCAAGCATAAAGCCTAAGGCCTCGTTTGGGATTGCTTTTTTTGGCCAAAAACCTGTTTCACTTTAAAGTTAAGCAGTTTTAAGGCGTTTGGAAAAAATAAAATATCCTGATTATTTTAAAAGCAGTGGCCTTTTGACAGCAGCTTTTAAAAGCAGGCTCTTGGTTGTTTTTTAAAGCTGCTTTCAAAAGAAGCTCATTTAAGGAATTTTTTTAATTCCCAAAATACCATCATTCATTTTAAAAATGACACCACCTCCACTTCCACATCCAACTCCACCACCTGCACCACCACAACCACCGCCACCGCCACCACCACCACCACCACCACAACCACCGCCTCCTCCACCACCTCCACCTCCACCACCACCACCACCACTATCACCACCACCACCACCACCACTACCACTACTATCACCACCATCACCACCACTACCACCACTACCACCACACCCACCACTTCCTCCAAAAGCTCCACATCCACCACCACCTCCATGTTGCCACTGCCACCACCACCACCTCCTCCACAATCGACATCCCCACCACCACCACTACCACAACCACCACCACCATCTCCACTCTATCACTACTACTGTCACCACATGATTAGTACATAGCACTTTCAACATCATGTCTATTTTAGTCATTATTTCCAGTTACAACAATTTTATATTAAAATTTACCAAATGGTTTTGACACTGCTTTTTGTACTAACAACACTTAAAAAATATTGTTTACCAAACATAGAGCTGCTTTACTTTACAGCTAATTATTTTTAAAGCACAGCATAAACAATTTTTTTTTAAAAGTGACAGCAATCCCAAATTGGGCTTAAGCTATTACAATACAGCAAGCTCAAGCATAAGCACACAAATAACATGCATACCAAGCAACTCCCTTTAGTGCCGAATCACACGACAAACTTAAGTGCGACCAAGCCACATACATGTCTGGAACTTACTGAGCAGGTTGTGATGTTGATGGTTACAAAGATCCATGAGACCCATGAATGGTTCAAAAGAATAGAGGTTTTGGGCTACTTGGGAGCCCAAAAACCCAAGCCCATTTTCTTGAGCCCGCTCAATGGGTAAGCAAAGAGAGCTGCGGTCTTCTTCCAGCGTTTATTACACAATCTCCAATTTTCTTACAACTCCAAAATCACGGTCATAAACCACTGCCACTCTTACTTTAGCAACTACTATCCAACCCCTAACTGCCCAACACTAAACCTCAGTTTACTGTGTCACCAACCTGAGCCGCTCATTCATTACCTGCTTGAACTTTAGCAGGCTATAAATGGAAGCAATGGCTTACCCACCCATAAGAGGAGAACCAAAACGAAAGCAATAGAGCAGACTATAATCTCACTTATAGAAACATTCAAGCTTAACCCCATAATATCACTGCAAAGGGGGGAGGAAGTAGAGAAGCAGGGGGCAAACCTCCCACTATCGAACGAGTTTACTACCAGATAAGATATTTGCGTTCTCTCTCACCTGACAAATTTCCACAGGCTTGTTATCATTTAATAATGTTGCACAATTTCTTTTCACTAAAAGTACTATATTTTGCACGACATTTTAGAGGGTTATTATAGTTTAATAAATTATGCCTGCTGTTTAGCACTTACTTTCACTGTGTACAATATACCTTATTACTTTATTCCATCATATGTCATGCCATTGCCAATATCATTGATCTTAGTATGCTTGACCCGTTTTGGCCACACTTTTTTATCTCAAAAAAGAAAAGAAAAAGTATGCTTTATATTATTTCTCTTATCACCTTTAATCATGCAGATGGTCAGAAGTTTATACTATCTTCTTTTGATAGAATCCATCATCACTTGAAGTGATAAAAAAACAATAAAAAAGCAATAAACATTTATGGGGCTGCTTTCGGCTGGAAGAGATTAAAAAATATATATCTTTTTCTACAACCTTTACTGATTTATAATAAAATATTATTTATATTACTATTTCCGATGCATGTTGTTGTAAGCCTCCCCTATTTTATATAGTAAATAGAGCTTAAACCGATAAAATTCATTTAAATCACCTACAACTCAATTCCCAACTGCCCAGCACTAAAACCTCAGTTTACTGTGTCACCAACCTAAGCCGCTCATTCATTACCTGCTTGAGCTTCAACGGGATATAAATGGAAGCAGTGACTTACCTAGAAGAGGAGAACCATAACGAAAGCAATAGAGCAGGCTATAATTTTACTGTTGGAAACATTCAAGCTTAACCCTAGAATCCATCCATCTCTCTTTTCCCAAAAACCATCATCTTATTCTCCCAACAACCATCCTCTCATTTTTCCGGAAACCATTCTCTACCTTTTTCATAGAAACAAGAAAACCATTCCAAGCCTCTAAAATAGCCTTTATCCAAAACCCTGCTTCAACTCAAGCAGACGCTCTTGCTAAATTCATAGAGACTTAGCTCCCACACCACAAGCCTCTCAAGCCCAGCCAAAATCTCAGTTCACAATAACATTATCTTCTTGGTGAGAAAAACCAGAGTACTCCCTAAGAATCATCATTATTTCGGAGTATTTTGGGGCCTAGTTCTTGAACCCAGGCAAAGGGGCAACTTCACTCTCTTTACAGCAGCCCAAATCCACCTAGAGTAGCTAGAACAAAAAGACCCCCACACTTCTTTAAGGTGGCAAATTGAAACTGATGTATAAATATAGGTGACATTTCTACATTTCTACAAATATACCTTTACATATTTTATCACTGTATATTTTAATTAAATCTCAAAGGTAGAGAGGGAGAGAGAGAGAGAGAGAGAGAGAGAGAGAGGAGGGGAGGAAGGGGAGGGAGGGGGAATTGCTTTTTTACTTGGTTTAAGCCTTAAATTTTAGTTTTCTAAAGTTTTTATGATTTTCAATTTTAAAACTTTTTTTATACACAAATTTTAAACAAAATATGTATTTTTAATTCAAATTCACATGGCATGTTATTTTTGGACATATGGAATCCATATAGTGCCACGTCATCAATTTAACAGATTCTCACGACATGTACCAATTTGATGTACGCAACATAACCTTAAGGATCAACCGTATCACAAAAATACATAAAGGACCAAAGATGAAAATTGTGTAAACCTCATGAATCATTTGTGATGAAAAGCCTAAAAAAATTAATAAAAAAAGTTCCTACTGAAAAATAAAATTTCAACATAAACAATTTTTTTGTGGGTGTAGGAAGTTGTAGGAGAGTTGTTTTCTACGTATTGTAGCCATTTATGTAATTTCAACATAAACAATTTTATAGGTAAATAACTAGCCGTTTGAAAAGGGAACTAGCCATTTGTGTTTTTGAAAAGTGAAATAGATTAGCAATGGCTAGTATATATAATTAGCTATTCTTTCTACCCAAAAAAAAACAATCCTTTTCTTTTTCAAAAGTAAAACAAATCAGTAATGGCTAGTGTATATATCAACTATATGTTTTTTTTTTTTAATATTGAAATAAATCAGAAACGACTAGTTGCTTTGAAAAAAAAAAAAAAAAAAAAAAAAAAAAAAAAAAAAAAAAGATAAATAGGTTTACTCTAGATTTATAATATAAATGGAAAAATTAAAAAATGAAAAGCAATGTTGTCCATGTGTCAATAAGAAAGAGGCTGTAGAGTTATTATGGTGGGCCAGTTTATTGAAATGAACTATTGATCCCCAAAATGAAATATTGATCTCTGAAATGAATTGAACTTTACCACTACAAGTCAAAAATTCAATTTATGAATTAAAATTGAAGCCTCACCATTTTATTGATAAATGTCTCTCGTTCATACCTCGAGATTCTTTCTTTCTTTGCAATCCATTTTCCTTGATACAACCCTGCTTTGCTTTCAATCAAATATTTTGATTGCAAATCAAACTACAATGCTAAATTTTTTTTTCTTTCTCTTTCTAGCGCGTTTTTTTTTTCACGAAAATTTGTTTATTTAATTTATTGTGAAAATTTGAAGCCAAACCATTTTTTATTTTTTTGTCAAACGATAGAAATATCATTGATAAAAAGTCAATATGCTCGATTACAATAGCCACACAAGCAACCAATAACTTGAACCCATATTCAGACCCAAACATACGATATTATGATAATTGCCTTGGTTTAAATCATTATGATTATTTTATGATGCATGTTGTATATTGGTTACATGTACTTACTGGGTCATTTTGACTCACGATATTATAAAATTTTCTTTGAAATAATAATATTTTAATTATCAACTATTTTTACTATAATTCCAAGGCCAAAAATTGGTATTAAATTTTCCAAAACTTGCCTATATTTTAAGAACATTTCCCAAATGTGAAAGCTCAACTTCCCTAATGTAAATTGCCAAATTGTCACTATGCAATTGCCATCACAGTTTGCAAAAACAAAATGTATGTTTGTCAATTGCTAAACCATTAGCCACATGACCTCTACCCTTTTATTCTTCCTTTCTTCGTTCAAACATGGTGAGACAAGCTCCAAACCATCACAACATCATATAAAGCAAAAGTCATAAATATTTATAGATGCAAAAGTTAGATATTATATATATATATATATGTAAATGTCATCCACATGGCTTGAAATTACAAATTCAAGTTGACATATTACTTTCCACAAGCTCACAGACTAACAATAATAATAAACAACCAAAAAGGGGAAAAGAGATTGAGCAGCAGAGTTATATGTGGGATGCCATTAAGGAGACCCCAAATTTGGATGACCGTGCTTGTTATAAAGCGCTTTCTTTGTTGAATACTAACACAGAAAAGGATGCATTTTTGAAAATGTCCTCTTCGCTCAAATTGGATATCCTACAATTTGGAATGAGTGGTTTTTTTTAGAGTTTTTAGGAATGACTGGTTTGTTTGGAATGATTGGTTTTTGGGATTGTTTTTTGGTTGATAATGCATCAAGATATTTGGACTATTTATTTTGTTTATCAAACATTGTTGTTTATGTTTAAATACTCTATTGGTTATTTGATGAATTCATCAACTTGTTTTGCTTTTTCTAAATCCTTTATTTCCTTTGGAAATCTGGAATTTATTATTAATTGCAATTTGTTATTAGCTCCAATGCAATTTATTATTACTTGCAATTTTTTATTAGCTCCAGTGCATATGTGTGACTTGCAATTTGGATGTTGTAGCTCCAGTGCATATGTGACTTTATTATTAATTGTGTTTGTAATTTGTTTATCATTTTATTTAGGTGGTATCAATATATATAATGGTGGTAGAAGAAATTAAGAGGCAAGAAATAAAGGAGGATGAAGAAATTTATGAAACAATTTGGAATTTATTAATGGCGATTCAAGTAGTAGGTCATGCATTGAATGAGATTATCATGCATAGTGAAAATATTGAACTTCCATTACAATGAAAGGATATAATTATATACATCATGTATTGAATGACGATTTAGAGCATTTCTGAAAAAGGTATAGAATGTATCCTGATGTGTTTCAAAAGTTATGCAGTATTATTAGAGAAAAAACACTCACACAAGATACAAGATTCATTTGTGTAGAAGAAATGGTTGCAACCTTTTTGCTTATTGTGGGTCAAAATAATAGATATTGTCTAGTCCGTGATATATTTGGCCAATTGCACTTCACTGCTAGTAAAAATTTTAACAAAATTTTAGAGGCCTCGAACACAATAACACCAGAGAGGCTAGCCAAACCTGGATCCACGATACCAACTGAAATAAGGGAAAGTACAAGGGTTTACCTATACTTTAAGGTAAATGTGTTGTCTGGTGCAACTTGTTTTATTCAATTTGTTTATGTTTGATAATATCTTTTAAACTTTTGGGTTTATTTCAGGATTGTATCGGAGCTATTGACGGCACACATATTCCAGCAATAGTAATGGGACGCGACGTAACCAGCTATTGTAATCGTCACGGTACGATATCACAAAATGTATTAGCACCTTGTAACTTTGATTTGGAATTCATATATTTTCTTAATGGGTGGGAGGGCTCAGCTCATAATTCAAGAGTACTACATGATGCTTTAACAAGGAGGAATGGACTTAAAGTGCCACAATGTATTTTTAAATTTAAATTTTTTCATTTATAGTTTAAATTAGGTTGTACATTGGATACTAACATATGTGTAATCTATTATCAGGTAAATTTTTCTTAGTGGATTGTGGATTTCCAAATCGACGCCAATTTTTGGCTTCATTTTGAGGTGTTCAATATAATCTCCAAGAGTTTGGTGGCCAAGGTCGTGCACCTGCAAATGAAGTTGAGTTGTTCAATCTTCGTCATTTGTCCTTGAGGAATGTCATTGAGAGGATATTTGGTATATTTAAGCACGATTTACAATTTTCAAGTCCGCACCTCCATTCTCATATATGACAGAGATGGTGTTAGCTTGTGTAGGACTATACAACTTTCTTCTAAAAGAGTGTAGATCTTACGAATTTTCTATTGAATTGGAAAATGAATCTTCTTCATCTTCATCGTTACCGGTTAATGAACGGGATCCTGAACTAGTTTTCCAAACACAAGAACAACAACGACATAATTCTAATGAATGGAGAGTTTGTATAGCTTTGGATATGTGGAGAGATGCTGGGCACAATGACAACAATGAGAATCGAGGATAATGAATGAAAGTTAAATATTTTCCTTAAACTTTTCTTTCAAATTTGTAACACATTTGTCACTATATTTCTTGTGAATTTCTTATGAATTTTGCTTTTCGTTAAACATAATTTTTAAAAAAAAATTTATTTCATGTTGTTCAAGGAAAAGATGTTATGAATTTGGCTATTTATTTCATGTTGTTTAAAATTTTATTCATGTTGTTGAACTAACATCATTGCAATCTTGGTACAAATCATGTAGTTCCATCTGCTCAAAGTTGTAATCTTGGTACAAATCAAGTATCAGAACATCTCAACATCAGTGCAGAAATTTTCTCATCTCAACATATATGCTATGAACTAGCTTGCTGCGTGATGTAGTGCTTCATCTGGGTAAGGATGTCGAAGTTAGCATTCGTTTTTAAAACAATATGTTAAAGAAATTATAGAAGTCTGGAATAAAAGCCATACAAATCTTAAGAAAGTTTATTAAAAAATTATATAGAAGTATTCTGAAAGTCTAGTTCCATCAAGTTCTATGAAATCTAGCACTTAAACAAAATCTTTTTAAACGCTCTAGAATTCTAATTGAATACTACCCCCCCCTAAATTTATGTATTCAATTTGAACTTTTTAAGGGATTCTAAATGACTTTAAAAAATCAAGGGTATTTTCAAGATTTTAAAGTAGTATAAAAGTTCAGACGTATTCAATTCCAACATTCACCCTCCTTTTAGATGAGGGAAAATAACTCCGAATTTAGCTAAAAGTTGGGAATTTAAGAGGAGAAATTGACAATTCCCTTGTTTGACAACTTAAGAGTGGAATTTATTAAATGATGCTTTGAAAAATCTTGGAAATTGGGGGCATCAAATTCCCATGTTTAATTTCCATCAAAATATGCATCATTTCACAGTTTCCATAATGTCATTTACAAGTTCTATCATTTACAAAATTCGACATACATAAATCCAAACATTGAAATCTTCAATTGCCGGAAATTGAAATTATAGAAATCTAAATTCCGTTATTTTAGAATTCTATATCATTTTCAATTCCTTCATCCAGACAGATGGTCATGGAATTTGATAAAGTCCATACAAATTTGGGCGTATTCAAGCCAAATTTTCAAAGTCGCGATGCATTCAAAATGTCATGAGCTCACACTAACCCGTCAATTTGAGATACAATTCGGAATTTTCCTAGACTTTGAAAGACATACATAAAGTAATGAAGTTGGGTGAATTTTGTTGGAATTTAAAGCGGATTTCTCTTTCTCTATCTTTGTCTCTTTCACTTTTGGAGTTCCTATTCCTACCAAAAGCTAATATCCCTTGTACCACCAACTAAGCCAAAACCTTAACCTTGGGAGGAACCTTGGATTTCCAAATCAGACTTTAAGGGAGAAAAGGTGGACTACCTGTTATGTTTCTCAATCGATTTAAGTAGGATTTACAAGAAAATTGCCATGATGGCTCTAAGGACCATCTTCTTTGTATGGAAATAATCTCATCTCCTCCAGCAACCTCAACAAGTTTGATATCTCCTCCATCAATAATGCACCTATTAATACCATATTTAATAGGTGCATTATTGAATAGTTTCACGTTTCCTGTAAGTTTTACTTCAAAATTTCCATGATTCTCATGATTTATATAGATATTTCCACCAATATTCCGTAGATTTTGACTATCATTTTTTTAACCTTGCATGCATCATAGGTTTTTCTAGTTCCACATTGTGGCTTAACATGGAATTTTCTGGCCTCTGTATATTTAAGTATTGTAATATTTTAAACATCTGAATGCACTGTTGGTGTTGTGGTTTCTGCAATAGACAGTTCGAGATTGCACTCCATAGATGTCCCCGAGTCTGACATTGGAGCTCATTTTGGAATGTTATTGGAGAAAGAGGAAGGTTCAGATGTAACTTTCAATGTGCGTGGGGTAAAGTTTCATGCTCTCCACGAGTAGTAATAGTAATACCGCTAGAAACTGTAATTGGACTCTGGCAGTTGCAAAAAGTTTGGAATTTTGCCTCTTTTGGGGTTTCTAGATTTATAGCGACGCAGAATCAACGTTGGGCGTGGCATAACTTAATTTAACCCGTGTTTTACGCAGATTAGAATTAGATGAAACCTAAAAAATATTAATTTCATAATTTGGTGAGTTGAATATTTTACGCTCAATTTTAGGCAGCTTTACCTAATAACCTCCTATTAACCCCGTTCTCACCATTCTGAAAATTGATGCTCTTTAAGGACACTTATAATTTTCTTTTACTTCTTTCAATTACTTAAAACATTCTGTCATTTGTGTAATACAGAACAAATCTATGCCTGAAACTTAACGAAACGTTGCACTTCTATTTCCACTTGCTGGAAAAGCTTGTCGTCGTCTACCTTGTGCTAGTTCTTTTGACCCATCATCATTTGAGACTATACCGCCTAAAGATTTTTTCTTCCCTCCTGAATTCAGGCTCCTTACACCTTCCCCAGCTTCTTTAACCGGCTTGGCTCCAAAAATGACCCCTCTCTTTGCTGCTTCATAGTCAAAAGGCTTCACCTGCAAACCACCGGATTCTTGGGATTTCTCCACTTCTCTGGGTTTCCTGTTTTGCTTACGTGACTGAAAACATTTTTGGAAGCTTGAGGACAAATCAGAGAGAGACATAGGTTCATCTTCTCCATCCCTCCCCAAAGCAGATGCCACTGAATCATTCTCATTTCTCGTTTCTGAGCAACCATTTATTGGTTCACCCACATCTGAATCATTTCCAGTGTTATGATATCATCTAAATTAGACCTGTCAGGTGATACAGTGAGAGGCCCTTCAGAGTGGGAAATTTTAGAACTTGTAGCTGGTGGTTCGATGATTGGCTTTGATTGCTCACTGCTTCCCGCAAATGAGTGGAAAGGAAAGTTCATTGACGACCTAATTTGCTCCAACTTGTCTTCCTTGTTCTATAAATAAAATCATGTAGCAAAAAGAGTTAGCAAAGTACAGGTTACTAAAGAAGATTAGAAGAAAAAACACATAAAAATACAAAATTTCAACAATAATATATTCTTCAATTACAGTTTTAAGTAAAAAAAAAAAAAAAAAAAATAAAATTAAAAAAAAAAAAAAAAAAAAAAAAAAACTTAAGTGTCTTTGTCTAAAGTAGGACAACTAAGCTATATAAGAAAGCATTTCCAGTTGGAATTACTAAGCTATATAAGAAAGCATTTCAAGATGCAATCTTTCAATTTGACTTGAGAGTTGCAAGGTGCAAGGTTCAAGTCTAGCTGCCATTGCAAACAATAAAAGAATCGACAAAGATGGTCTATGCCATTTCAGGAAAAATTGATTACAGCATTCTTACTAACCTTTCTATCAGCATCAAACTTTCTTTTTGGAACTCCACTCCCCAACAGGGAACTAAAGGCACAGCTAGGCTTCTTTTGCACCTGAACACTTACTCCAGTAACCTGCAACAGAAATAGACAATCATTTTAAGACTAAAGCTTTATGAGCAAGAAAAAACAATATAAAGTTTCAAAGAAAGCCAATGATTTTAAAACCTTTGTTGAATCTAATAAACAGGCATTGCTGCTTGCTTCTCTGCTTTGCCACGGAACAATATTCTGTCTAGGAAGCACAGAAGTGTTGCTACGCATTCAATCTTTCCTTTCCCATTTTCACCAGGATGCTCAAGAGAGCTTTCTTGTCCACCTCTTACAAGTTCTGAGGCACCACATCCAAGTTCAGTATCCTCCATTTTATGTGGCGGAGAAGCAGGTGAAGCTGCAGATATATCACCGTTAATTGAATTGCTTGCAGACTCATCAGGTAAGACGGCTTCAGATCCTTCATTTGCCAATATATTATCTTCAGTTGCCTGCAAACAGGCCTACTGTTACCAAAAGAACTAAAATTATAGTGATATCAAACATCTGAAGAACATTCTCTATCATACTCCAAGTCCCAATAAAATATGGATTTCAATTTAATTAAGAGTCTGTTTGGGAATGCTTCTGGAAGGGCTAAAAGTGCTTTATGACAACCAAACACGCTTTTGACAGCGTTTGAAAGAAAAGTTTAGAAGCACTTCTGGCTCATAAAAGTGTTTTCTGGAGAAGCGCTTGCCGGAGAAAGCACTTGCTATGTGCTTCTTCAAAAAGCACTTGGATTTCTTATGAAGATTTCAACATCTTTCTAATAAAAGTAGTTTTACTAGAAGCGCTTATGAGCAAGAGTGCTTCCTAAGTCCCAAACGAGCCCTAAAAATAATTTAAAAATAAGCACAAAAAATAAAAACTCTTCTTGATAGTACTCAAGTAGGAAAGATAAGGATAGCAGACTTCTAGACAAACAAAAATGCATATTACGGATGTTTTTTTTCTTGGTTGAAACATAATGTGGATGGAAATATATATATATATATATATACATTTTCACCTGTTCATATAATGGATGGCCTAAGGGATTCACAAATTGAGTGCTCAGGTAAAATCAAAGAGTAACAATAAAAACAAATAGATATTCTCAACCAAAGTATACCGCATATCAGACAAGAGGACCCATAGAGCCATAGAGCCAGTATATCTTTGTAAACTGAATGCACAGGACCCATAGAGCCAGTATATCTTTGTTTCTTTTCATGGAATGCCACAAATTGGTAACCCAATGACATCAAAGGTAAATGACAATGGAATACAAATGTTTTATTTTTTTAAATAAAATTTATCAAAATGCACAGTTTAATTCCACAGTTCTAATCAGATTCAACAGTACAGCACAAGGAATTGGCATGACGTATTTAACAAAGCATAATTTATAGCTAATCATTTGGTAAAGTATATTTAATGACTTTAAAGTGCTTCAGTTATTAACTTTGCAGCTGAATTCCTTACAAACTTTTCTTCCTCCCCCACCAATATTTCCTAAAAAAGGGAATCATCATGATAACATAGTCAATGCAATCCAATATCTGCAATAGTCATAATTTTTTATCCATCTCACCCCATAGGAGGGATGGCTTGTCCTATGATCCAAAATATACAGGTCACCAATGAATGCAAGCCTAATAGAGAAAAGCAAAACAACAATGCCCAGTCACCGTGATCATCAGACTTCTAAACATAAGGCCTTACCATACCCGCATGTCCCAATTTCAAATGTTCGACCGCAGGCTCAAAAAAAGCAGCATTTTGCATAGAATGCCCAATGATGCTAACCACAGAAGCAAGATTGCGCTCAATGTACGGGTGCTTTGATTTCACCAATCGCTTTAACTTGCTAGTAGTGACAGGCATCTGTTTAGCTATTACCAATAAATAAATAAATAAGTTGAATGTCTACTGTTTAAACATGTTGAAAAAAGAGAGAGAAATATTGAGATGCAACTTTGTACAAGTTTCCCATTACCAATTTCAAGAAGAGTTTTGTTTGGTAATATATAGCCAGTACTTTCATCCTCTGCACGAGCAACAACATCCCGCCACTCACAAAGACCCTGAAAAATCATTTTTAAATTACATCTAGAATAAGTAGCATACAACCATTAATATTACACATTTACACATTACTTAAGAATATAAGTGCCTCTCGTAAAATATAGTAGACATTACTCAATAAGGAAACAACAGATTATATGCTTATGAATGTGACAAAGCATTTAACAATTTCCTTCATGCAATCATTTTAACATTTAAACTAGTCTTCCTACATGAAAAATCATTAACGATAAATGGATCAGGAGTACCACACAATGAAAATCGTATTGGAATAGCAGAGGGGATATCTTCAGTGTTTTACAGTTTAAGTGAATCAACCAATGTTAAAATTTGAATGATACAAAGAAGAAAATAAGAAGGCAACTTACGGAAACAATTGCAAGCTGCTGAGCATTGAAACCAGCACCTTGCAACCTGGATCAAAACAGAAAAGAATATATCTTAGTCATTACTATATGTTATAATATATACTAGCCAGTTGGCACCCTCCCCCATGTGACATTTTTTTTCCTTTTTTATTATTTTAGCCTTTTCAAATTAAATTCTTCTGTCAAACATTTTGGTTAACCGAGGGCTAATAACCTTGTGTGGTCACGGGTTTATACTTCAATGATCCAATATCAAATCTTCATTTAAAGATCATCCTTGAAAAAAAAATTAGACAAACTGGAAACCAAGAAAACATCTTAGTTGTGACCAAAAAATAGAAGAATGCGGTGTTTCAAGAAAACATTAAAATTACAACCAAGTAATTGAGTGGTTAAATGGTATTGAGTTTGAGTAAGTTTTGCAGCGATGATATTTGAGAGAAGACCTTAAAACTAGACAGTTCGGATCATTGAAGTACAACGCGAAGTGGGCCCTACAAAGGTGTCCCTCAAATAAGCTCCCTAATATAAAAGAACCAGACTCCTGTCATTTTCATATACTATACTCCCTCAAGTACCGCACGTAGTTGGATAAAGGTCATGTCACCCATTTTACTTGAAGGCTCAAGACCCATAGGGCACTCCTGACGGAGTTAGAACTGCAAACTTCCCTCCCTGACAGAACCAGTAATCATCTACTCACACATATTAATCTCTAGTAGGTTTTCAATTTCAATCTGGTCTAAAGGTTCAATTTTCTCACAAAAACCTCAACCACTTAATGGTAATCAATTAATTTGATTGAAAATGTTTTTCACTGTATGGGAGTTTAGGTCTGAGTTGTGGACCTGATGAGGACGCACATAACATATTACATTGTTTTGGCGTTTTACAGATATGGTTTTGTTAACTGAATTGGTAAAGGTTTAATTTTGAAGGTGGTACCACACAACTTGATGTTGGATGTTAAGCAACAAGATTTCTGTTTCTAGTTTAGGTATTTTTGATCTGTTTGGATTAAAAAATTGTAAATGGGATGAGGAAGAGACAGCAACTTGGGCTTTATTGGTTTACCCCAGTTTTGAACGTTTGATAATGGGATCCTGGGGATAGGGTGGTGGTGGGTTTGGGCAATGGCAACTGGAAAAGATGTAAACTCTCTGGAATTCAGAGGTGATCTACCATCCCAGAAGAAAATGAAAGGAAAGAAGGGAATTCACAGGTGATCTACCATCCAAGACAAAACCCAAAAAAATTAAAAAAAAACAAAGAGAGAAGAAAAGAAAAGAGAAACAAAGAAAATAAATAAGGTACACAGTATGCTAGCCTTTTAACCTGAAATAGAGAAACATACCCATATATATGGAGATAGGAATTTTCTGTCAAAAGCTCTTTCTCATACAGATGCATGCATATATCATAACTCCGCTTGTAAACCTGTCAGAATTTTTTTTTAAGGGTCTTCAATAAAATTAATAAATGGAAAACAATGTATATATATATATATAAGAGAATGTAATTTAAAGAACCATTTTCTAAGCTGTATCAACTAATTTACCACGAAGACATATTTACTTCATATGAAAGAATACTCAGCTCAGATCATACTAGAAGGGTTACCTACACAAATAATAAAAACACCAACTTGAACAATCATCCATCTGCATATGTTATAAACAACTCAATTTTAACATACTTTTTTTCGCTCAAGGGACTAGAAAAAGCACTAAGAACGCCATCTTTTTAATCTTAAAAGATCAAACAAATTTCCTTTTAAAAAGAAACAAACATGCCATTCCATCATCAGAACCACAAGCCAATTGGCTAAGGCCTAAGATCAAATCAGCTACAGAGAAAAAAAAATAACCACACCTGCAGAAAAATTATTCCAAACTAATAACACTTGATGAAAACAATACAAAAATTTTAATAGCTCCACTAGATGACCCAAAAGACGCTTCAAAACTAACCCTCTGCTATCTTTCCCTTAGACTTTAGATCGTTCATAACTACAATGCAAGATAATACAGTGCTAAGACAACCATAGACAACATCTAGCAGAATATTTCAACCTTCACACGACCACAAATTACCACAAATTACATGATGCCATAAATCATCTCCCCAACAAATAGATTGGAATGAACAATTAATTAACAGGGTGGCTTTCTTGATTACTTGTTAATCTTTGGTGAGACATCGCTGATGCATTTCATGAGCTTTTTCACAGAGCTCATAAACTTCTACACAAAGACTAATTAAATCAAATTTGACCAGATCCAACAAGCATTCAGAAAAAGGAATAAAATAGAATTTCAACATCCCATATAGTCAACTTCAATGCTAGAAATGAAACAACAAGGAACATTGCATTAACCACCAAAAGTACGCAAATTAAATAATGAAATTGCACTCATATAAAAGCAAAACAATGACTTGGGAACAAGTCACAGTCTTGCAGGAACAATGAGCACTCTAATGGAAATTAAAATTATACTCATCCATAAGCAATAAATCAAAACTAGCAGTAAGCTACAAAAGTTTACAATACATAAAAGCATTAAGAATGTGCATAACACAAAAGATTAAAAACATATAATTCCAGGAGAGTGGAGAGAAGCATGGGATCCTCATATGTACTATACCTCTACTAAAGGAGTGTCCAAGTTTTCTGATTCCTTTGGCATCAAACATAACATTGTTCTCATTAAATCGTACATGTGCAACAGATAGTGTGTATCTTCTCTGGCATATCTGTCAAGATAACAAAACTGCTTTAGGCAATTGGGGAGCTTAAACTTCATCACCTCAAAGTAATCTAAAAAGAATGGTCACAAGAATGCAACATCTTAAATAACTAGAATATGAACCGCCAAAAAGGCAAAAATAAATACATAAGAATAGAAGAAATTTAAATATTCTAAGGCGGGATCTTGTTATAGTCTGAGTTGAGGACCTTAGTGTATATGGATAGATCTTATAACGGGGTCTCGAAAAACAAGTCATTTCTGCTGGGCCTTTATTCTTTTTTTAGGTTCATTAGGGTTTTTATTGGTTGGAATGTCCATGCGTGCAGACTTCATGTAATAAGTTGTCCCATCCAATTTTTTCAATTTGGAGGCAATCTTAATCATAAAACTAACTGCTATCCACAAGCCATATTATCCTTGACAATCAATCAGTCGTAACTGGGACAACCATTTTAACATCAAACACCAAGCAAAGTATATTAAAATGATATTAGGAAGAAACCAACTAACTAGATTTTGGATTTTTCAGTTTCAAATCACTCTCATATATAAAGGCAGAAAGTTAAAGTTGCAATGAACAAAATTGAGAGAGAACAACGATTTACGAACTTGTAATATATAATCGACTAAACTAATACTAGCTATATTACCCAGTAAACATATGCCAAAATCCACATTTTTACCTGACCATCTCCTCAGGAAGAGGGCGTAATCTCCAATCTGCATTCTGGTATCTGCAAAGAGTTCACTAGTCAAGCTTGAAAAATATGAGCTGGACAAATAGGTGACAGTCAAAGCAGCAACAAGCAAATTTTTTGAAAATATAAATAATAACAAGTATTTAGAACACTTAGAAGATTGAAGAAATTAAAGTAAAATAAAACACTTACTCTTTGTTAGCAGTAACACCACATAACTGATGTAAAAGATATTCCAAACTATTTCTCTCCATTTTCAATACTCTTGAGGCCTGAAGATTAAGACAACCCCATTGTCCTTGGTTAGCAGCACATTATGAAGATTAAAATGGCTAAAATTATAGAAACAAATAGTACAGCTATGATACTTTTTCCAAATTAAGGAAACAGAATTAAGTATTCCTTTACATGATAAGTGAATCCATTTGTTCAGTGGTTTCAAAGTAAATCACCTGGCCAGTATCAAACAAATTGCAGATATAAATGCCAAAATCACGTTGGAGCCACATGATATCTCGATCTGCTCCATGCATCACCTAATGAATTATAATTTTTATCAGAAAAAAAAATTAGCTGATACGTTACGAACTGAGAAATGCATATGAGCATGATACAAACCTTTCTCTTGGCAGGGTCCTTGAAAACTTCCCTAAGATATGGACCAATATGAATTCTAAGCTTCAAAGTATCTACTATAAAATCTTCAGTTCTAGTAGAAATTTGCATCAAGCAAGTCATTCCTTGAAAGGATCGATATTGATTGTGTTCCAAATCAACCTACACAGCAAAGGATAGAGGTTTAAAATGCATGGAAATGAATGCCACATTGAAATGTCTAAAGTCAATGAAGTAACCACAATATTGAGATGCCAAATTAAGCAATTTCATGGTAGGTACCAGTGAATACATTGTGAAAACTCAGTTTTGTCACACATCTTAGAAGCAATATTACAGAGATCGAAGGGAAAAGGCTAAACAAAAGTAACTTCATGCAAAACTTAAAGAACAGCCAAAGAATATGTATGTGCACATATATCTTATGTCATTAAAGAGCAAACTTTTATGAAAGAAAAGTCCCTAACAATACATATAAAATAAATAAATAAATAAAAGTTGAAAGGAAAGAAACAAATAGTTATTACATTTAGATCTGTGGTCTTTACAACTTTCCAAATTGCATGTGGACACAAAAAAGGGTTAACTACATTTTACACCATCGAGGTTTGGGGTGATTCTCAAAATGGACCTTCATTTTTCAACTTTGTCACATCACACCCCAAGATTTTGAGATTGTATTGCTGTTGCAAGTATAATTTGTATGTGTGCTAGTGCCTACGAATATAACCATACTTCCTAACCTTAAAAAAACTCATGATAACGGTAACTGCAAGTGCAACAAACTTCCCCAAACATTAATGACTTTGATATACAATCCAGCAATGATGATAAAATTAATATAGTGTAAATGACCATGAAATTCAGATCGACTGACAATAAAAATTAAATCATTGCTGTCCAATTTTACCGCAAATTCATTAACACCACGCAGCTTAGCTGCCAGCTCTTTCAGATCTTTGACCTCCTCTACAAGCTTGAATGGTGTAGACTCTAATGAGAGTGGTTTTACAGGCTCAACATCCCCAACGTCAGTGTCAACAAAATCCAGAACAGAAAGCTTCTCCTTTATTCATTCAAGAAATCAAAAATTAGAAGATAAAAGGGAAAATAGGTATTTTAATTTTAGCAAGCAAACCTAATTATGCAAGGTAAAGATCAAGTTACATTATCCAATGAGCATAAATAAAATATAAAATCTGTCACTTCATGCAACCAAAAAAGTAGTTCAGATTAATACGTCAAATCACAAAAACCTTGAAACACACTATTCCATACAACTATGTCAATAAGAACAGATAAATTTAATAATGCTCAACAAATCCATGGTCAGAAGAAGATATCCATGTAGTAAAACTAGAATAAAAGTTAACAAAAAGAACGGACAAACTAGCATCTAGTGTGCAACTCAATGCTTCTTTTGCCATTTTGCAATAACAAACCTAACTAAATAACAAACTAAGAGCTTCAAAAATTATCATTGTATACTCCTTTCCGTACAGACAGCTATTGGCTTTCCGGGTGTTTTTATTCAGGCCAAAATTGTTTTGCCGTCTGTTAGCTATTGTACATTTGTGTTTGTAACAAAAAAGGTACATGAGCTTTCTTAGCCAAGTCATGGGTCTACAACTGGTGGTCTTGAGTAATTATAGAAGGAATACTATTTGGTTGAATAAATGTGTTTATACACTCCTCTACGGACACATTAAAGTTTTTTTGTCTTGATTTAAAAGATGCTTGTAATGGTGTGTCAGATTGAAGAAGATGCAGAACACACTCTAGAAATAAATGGCAGGCCCAGAGGTCTTGCCACAAGCAGTACCATGTAAATAAATAAATAAAAGGATATTTTATAGATGGAAAGAGGTAAATTCCAAAATTTTCACTCAGTTATCGTTTTTAGACCAGCCATGCCTTTTGAAAACCCCTTAGGATAGAGAAATATCGGAAATATTTGTAACTCAAATTTATATTGGTAAAGCCTGCATATAGTTCCCAACACTCCATGCATCCTCCCTCATGAGTTTAAACATTAAGGGAAGGGAACATAACATGATAAACTTGGTGCAGGGCACCCCATTAGTGCATAGCTTCCCACATTGTGAAAAATACATCTTTCTCTAAAGACCCATTTTTTGACAGCATAGCCCCAAAATGATTTCACATGTATTCTAAAAAAATGTAACCATTTTCAAAACCACATTGAGTAATGGCACATCTACCAACACAAATCATGTTTTTTTTTCCAATTCTAAGAATTTAATTGCAGTAAAGAATCATTAAGAATTCCTACACCACTGGCTCCATGAGCACAGAAAACACCATAATGTTCGAACAGACTAAAAACATCAATTAATGACTTACAAGGGGATGAAGAAAACGCTGATCGTCCTCACTTCTCTGCAACCAAACATGCTCAAACGGCTGGTTTGAATTATTAACCAAAATGTTGAACTCCTCCTGAGGCCTCCGAATTGTCGGTATATGAAACGGTACCTTGGGCTTCGTCCCCACAGTCTTCTTGTCCTTGGTAGCCACCTTCACGCTCGAGACCTGAGTCGAATCACCATTAGCACTCACCGAGCCACTGGGCCCCTTCTTCTTCTTCCCACAGACCAATTGAAACCCATTTTCCGAGTCAAAATCCGCAATCATCGCCCGCTTGGGCTCCTCTGCCTCTTTCCTGATCCTCTTGAACTCGTCCACCGACGAGTCAAACCTTTCGAGCACCTCGTCGTTGACGTTAACCAGCCAATCGTACGCGTCGTCCAAGTCTTGGGGGAAAGCCATCTTTTTGCCCCAAATAGGCGCCGAAGAGCCAACGGAGCCGAGCATTAACTGCGACTGTTCCGTGATTTGTTCGATCGGGACCTTGAATTCGTCGAAGTTGCGGTAGAAATAGAAGTCTTGGTTGGAAGGTATGCCTCGCGATGAGCCTGAGAGCTTGGATATCGACGAGGAGAGAGGACCTTTGGTTAGGTTTTGGAGGGCTTCGGTCCTCGGTGGCTGAGGTTGGTCCACCTTCATGGCTTCTTCGCTCATGGTGGTTGTCAATGGCATCGTTAGGGTTTTGCTAGGGTTTCATTCACAGATAATTGCCTTCCTGGTGATCACCAATGTTTCGTTAATATGCAGTTGTTTATAACTACACCAGGATCTCACGTGACGTGCGCACGGGTGCACGTGCCAATGAAGATTGTGTGAGTTTGATTTTCATTTTTGCGACACATATATGCATGAGATTTTTGTGTTATAATCACGAAAATGGCAAGGACGCATATATGCTTTATGTTACAAGTTGGACGCATATATGCTTTATGTTACAAGTTGGACGCATACATTGATTATGAATTTCCGTTTTGGTAAGGATCAAATGTGAGGTAGAAATAAATTTAGAGAAAATAAAGAGTTTTAGAGAAAGGATTTTGGAAGAAAGTTTTGGTTGAAGGATTAGCTCAACATAGCAAGTTGGTTATCCTCTTTTGGCTTGCACTACTCAACTTTCAGGTCTGGATCACTTGTTCAAAGCTATTTTCATTTGCTGGCAGATCTGAGAAGTTAGGAATAATCTGTTGTTCCGAGATTCTCAGCCGCACCCTGCAAGTTGTTTTCATGTTGCAGATATTGTTGGCATGGATTATTGGCATCATAACTACTTGGTCAAAAAGAAAAATGGTATCCCTATGGTGATAAAATGGGACCCCCTCCTACATATTGGATTAAAATTAACTTAGATGGGTCTATCATTAATCCTCAAGCCACCACTAGTTTTTTCATTAGGAATAGTGATGGTCATGTGTTACTGGCTGGTGCCAATAACATTGGTGAAAATTCCATAAATGTGGTTGGGGTCAGATTGTGGCAGAAGGTGACTCTAAGCTTGTTATTGACAATGTCCTCAAAAAAGTTACTTCCCCTCAGAGTTTCCAACAAATTATTCAAGATATCTGGCACCTTAGCTCTTCTGTAGCTTTTATTCACTTCCAGCATGTGTTTAAGGAGACAAACTTCACTGCGGATGATATAGCCAAACTGGGCCATGGGCTCTCGTCGCAAGTTTTTTGGGAGCTTGGGCTTCATTTATCAGTATGTTCTCCTTTTTATTTTGATCTCTTTGGGCTTTCTTGTCCTAGGAGTTTCGCTTTGTAATTTATGTTTCCGCATAATAAAAAGGTGATGAAAAACTTCAATATGAGCATGGCTTAGAAGAAAGCACCATAATGGGCTTCTTATTCAAATAACATAAGGGCATTGTTAAGGTAAAATGTGTCACCCAACATAATTTCACTATCGCTACCTAAGTAATGGGGCTTTATTATTTTTAGGTTCGTCTCATTCGACACAAAATGTCTCCTAATTGCAATCCCTTCCTTCAAGGGAATACTCTTTGATTCCACAATAGAAATAAACATAAATAAAAAATGTGTTTGATTTTGTGGTTGGTCTTAAGTAGAATCTTAGGTTGCCTACGTATTCATTTCAGGAATCAAGCCACTGGTAATTTAAGGAATTACAATGAGTGAATGACTCATTGAAAAGGAAATTTGAGGTGGATTTGCTTGGAAAAGTGTTTTCGTAAACTTGGGCAGAGAAATCAAAGAATTGATTTGGGATTGCGATTGCATCTAGATTGAGCCTAGATTGCCTAGTAACCATGATGGATCAAACCAACATAGTTCAAAAAATTTGAAAATTAACAAGTAAAAGACCCACTAATTGAAAATTTGTGTCTTCGAGACATATGAAAAGGGTTTAGAATCCTTTGAAATAATTTTGAAATTTTACTTGGAGATTTTGAGCTATATTTGATCTCATTGAAATTTGCATGGGTGGATTACCCATGAGAAAAATTTAGGTTTTTTTTACCATCTGAGAACATTGGAATTTGGAGGTTAACGAGATTTTTTTGTCCATGTTAAGAGTGGTATCAATTATTTATCAATTCACACTTGGCACTTTGGACCAACCAATCCTATTTTAAGGAGAGGTCCATTGGGCTTTATTGGACTTTCTTTGTCAAATAACATGCTTTAGCCTTCTAATCGTTGCAACCAAAAGTTGTAGACACGAGGACAAACATATAAACACAAAAGGAAAGGTAAAAGCAATTGGAAAAACATTATAAATCTAGAAAGCACACTTTGTACAAGCAAGCGTGTTATGCCGATCCGATCAAAATAAATAAATAAAATGGTCCGCATTGTTCATCTTTATTCATGTTATGCCCTTGGCATTGTTATGATATTGAATTTGAAGTTTTCCATTGAAAAGTCTCATGCAATTCCTCGGACTTCTTGAATTGTACACCGCTGTTATATGATTATTGTTTTGCTCTGGTGCTTCATTTTTTTTGGGAGATTAGTGTATATGTTAGATTTGCATGCTGACTATCTCTGCTTTCCATTTCTTGTTTTCTCAAACAATCTCAAGCACAAATAGTTTACCGTCTACACAGGGACTCTGATTTGTAGCTGAGCAAGACAGCATCTATGTATTTTTCAGAGGTGAATCTTGAAGAAATTGAGTTGTAAATGAATGATGTTTATAGCAGATTCCTCTATACTACAATCCCAAAATAGATTAGCAAAACAGATGCCATCTACAATCTGCTAAAAGAATTGTTTTGCCTGATCTGTATGCTGATCACTAAGTTAAGAAAAAAATTTAACTGCACTAACAGAATCTCAACCCTCTTAAGTATTTGCCAACACCAGAAGTTCTTTAGTGTAATTTTTACATGAATACTGGTACAAAAGTTGAGCCCAACAACTAAAAATGTTGTGCAGCATACGAAAAAAGTAGTCTCCCATGTTTGTGATATGTACTCAGTCCCCGTGGATGGTATAACGCTCCCATTTCTTCGTTGGATCATATATCTGCCATTAAAATGGACAAAACAGGTGAGTAAAGAAAACTGAAGAAATCATTACACAATTGCACTTCATAAGCAGCACAAATGCCTAATACAGTTGAGATTAGCTGACATAGTCTAATTGTTGTCGCACACAATGTGTTTGAGTATTGGCCTAAAAATACAGAAATATTGATATTGGAAATTTTGGAGCATAACTTTGAATGACACATCATGTCAGGTTTGTTTAATCAATTATCAACTATTGTGATTAAAGAATTCGGTAAACTTTGACACATAAATGGTGTACACGCTTCTAAGGTGAATATACTGTGCGCCAACAACAGTGTACTAAAAAACTGCTCCATTCTTATTGAACGTTGATTGAATATACCTCCAAAGTTATGTATAATGATTTAATACAGTTATTTATGCCAGAAACAACGTAGTACCACATAGAGTTCCCAGGAGGTTCAAACACTTAATCTCGCACACATCTCATAAGTTAACAATAATAACATTACTTTAAGAGATTAAGTAATCAACAATGATACACTAACAAAATAATGCATGTAAAAACAAAAACCGAAAAACGAACATTGCATATTTCTATGGAAAAAGAGAATCATCAAATACCACCTTTAAGTCTATGTTTGTTTTTGGGTATTAAGTATAATAAACTCAGATGAAGTAGCCAAGATGGTAGGCAATCATCCCATTGAAAGAGAGAAGTTAGGGTTATGAAACGCCAACCCTACTCAAACTTATTTAGCTCACATGCTGGTGCGCACAATATATCATCCCACTAAAAACCAAGGATTTATCAGCGATACTCAAGACATTGGTCACACTATATATTCAGAAATTGTGTACTCATGAGCACTGTAGTTAATATTTCAAGAAACCCTCAGTTGAATGACAATCAGTATGGCACACTATCAAACCTGACTGGAGTGATATGTGAAAGGACCACTATGTGTTTACTTATAAATTTTTATTAAATATACCTATTATATATAACAAAAATATATAGAGACAGACAGCGAGAGACTGAGAGAGTACCTCCCATCTAGAAGCTGGGAAGATATGCTTATTCTTCTCATACCAATGCCTCTCAACAACCTTCCCAGCATGAGACTGCCACAAAAATAAAATCAGAGTATTAAGAACATCGTTAGCCATGGCATTACCAGAAATAGAAACCCGAATGACATGCTCAAGCCAACAGTCGGTTTCTTATGATAATATGTAGCATGTCTCAAGGCCTGTAGTCTGTTTCTTGTGATGATATGCAGCATGTATCTTCCAGATAAAGGGTATAATACTTGAATGCAGCGAAGTTCAAAGCAAGATGTCTGTAATTTGATAATAGATTCATACGGCAGGAAATTTCTGTTCACTAAAATAAAATGGCTCATCAAGTTAGGTCAACATATTAAGGGTGATTAAAATCTTCATTGATAACAATTTCCCACCTCTTTCTGTCTGTATCGCTGTGCTTTTTGTTTTTGGAGGGGAGGGATGGGGGTGGGTAAGTCAAAAAACTTTATGGGATATAGAATGAGGCCTGGGCTTCTTTATGACCATTTGTTTCTGCAGTTTTCAGAGACATTCCTTTTAATATTCTTCATTTGGATTGTAGGGAAACTGGGAGTTGATCTTAGTTCTAGTCATTTGTAGTTAGACAGAAGCAGAGGGGTTTTCTTTTTTATTTCACCAGTTTGGCCTAGATTGTAGTCCACGGGCAGGAAACTTTTTTCTAACTTTGGACCTTTAACATTAAAGTTGTTGTGCACTATCAAAATAATAACATATTTCCACTGCAAATAATCCCAAGTTGGGAATCCTGAAGTTGTAATTGAAAAGTGGCACATGTTGAAGCTTTAAGATATAATTTAAATCAACAAAAAAAAAGAAAAAAAAAGAAGAAGATAATTTCAATGCTCAAGTAATAGAAAATTCCTGATGAATTAAACAGAAGACAGTACCTGTATGCTTCATAGTTTATTTCTCTTTCAACGCATTAATATAGATTACCCAGATAAATGAAATCATAACTTGAGGTAGAATTTGCTTATGTTCTATTCATAGTTTCAGAAGCTTCTTAAATAATACAGAATTAGAGACAGCCAAGATTAGCTTAAAGAAACATTATCCAAGCTTTCGAACTAGCATCTAACATTTAGAAGATGTCCAGCACAGACTCCGCATCCACGATTGAAAGCACTGACTTGATCTCAATACATTGGAAGCATTTAATGCAGTATATCTTGAAGTTAACTTTAGACTACTTATACTTCTGTTTCATTTTCAGTTTCCAAAACTTCTTACATGATGCAGGATAAGAGAAAAATATTGGAATGGACACAGCCAAGGTTAAATTATGGACCTATTCATAGCCGTCTAACTAGAATCCAACATTGCTAAGATGCCCAGCATAGATTCCACATTTACAACTGAAATAATGGGATACACTAACTACATTTCAAGTTTAGAGTACATTGAAAGAGCATTCAACACATTCCACCATGAAATTAACTTTAGCCTATTTATGCTTGTATGTCATTTTTTCAGTTATTTATTTATCTTTTTTCCTATGTAATACAGGATTAGAAACTAATAATGGAACGAGAATGTACCTCATCCTTCTCTATCGTAGCATCAGCAATTGTTCGCACATCCTCATGCACATCAAAATGAAAAAGCTATGCAAAACACAACAGAATATAGTAATGAGTAGCCATCAATGAACACAGCCTACAATAAAAATTCAAACAAATTTAGCCTTAATGCAAGTCATTCCCAGGAAGGGAAGAACAAGAACAAGAAATATTACCGGTCCACTTTTGCCCCTGGCCTTGTTTACAATTAGCTCATAGAAACTATGCTGCTGTACTTCCACAAGCATGAGACAAGTGCGGAGAAATTCATTAGCATATATTCAGCAAAGCTTCTAAGAGAACAAGTATTTCTATCAAATTTTTCTTACATGTGGAATGATAAGATCTTCTTTTACATATAGCAAATTCTCCACTGAGGTGGTTCGCACCTCTCGAAACTCAGGTGCAAGTTGTTGTTGAACAGCCCGAAGAAAATCTCCTATTTTATCACCCTTTCTTACCTGAAATGTTACAAAAAGAATAATGAAACTAAATAGAAAAATCAAATATTTCAAGATTAAAAGAGAAACCATAAAGAGAAAACAAAAGCACTTTGAGTATGCTTTACTTGCCTGGAGCACTTTTCTATGCCCTGTTCCATCCCAATAGCTGTAAGTAATTTGAAGTGGTTCATCTGAAAATCCACAGTACAAGTTTCTTTCAAAACTTCTTACTTCGAATATGAGGAAAAAAAAGAGACACATGAGATTAATGAATTACTTCGTATCTTATCCTGCTCAACAAGCCACTGTTTCCGCAACCTTTCACGCTCAGCTTGTTCCTCTGCCTCCCGCTCACTGAAATAAATTCATAGCACCTCTAAGTTCCAATGTTAGACCCAAAAGAACCAAATACAGGGAGGGTTAGAAATGTTTGTGCATGAGAGCAAGAGAGATGGATAGATATGACACCTATCTGGCAGAAAGCTAGTTTCCACTGTAGGATCTTTCCCAAGTCTACCACACCAGACTCTTGTAGCCTCTGAGCTTTCTGTATAAAGCATAATCAAAATGAACGAACAAAGAAGTAGCAATAAGTTTCTAACGGGCATCCATAAAAACACTACAAGAATACTGTTGAGTGACCACTAAAATGTCAGGTATCTGGATCTAAAATATACACCCATCAAACAAATTAGAATGGAAACTTTCATACACACAAGTTGCAACAGATAAATTAGTCCAGATTCTACACCTAATATTCATCAGGGGAGAATAAGTCACATAAAATGCTGAAAAGAAATGCCAAATCAATCTACGAGAACTTTAGTGATATAGTGCTCATCAAAGATTAGTTTAATATTCAGCATACACAACGATGGCTGAGAGCAACTTGAGGCACTGCATAACCAGAATTTTTTTTAACCTCTTAGAGAGAAGTGCTTACTATTTTCTCCATCTTCCTCTTCACTTCCATCCTCAATGTCTTCTGCAAAGGACAATCGAGAACTCCCCTTTATCTTCCTCTTCTTACGCTTTTGTAATTGAAGTTCCTCCTCCCTAAATTATGAAAGGAAAGAAAAGAAAAAAATATTTAGACTGTTGTAAACATTGACAAATACGAACACTTTAAGATGTTCATAAATCAAACAGTAACAGAGTCCTCGGTTATGAAACTCACTCTTGCTGAAGCTTCTGAAGTTTCTCCTTCTCTTCCTCCTCAATTTTGTTTCGAATATTTACTCTCTACAACAGAAATTGACATTATAAACACAGCTTTTAACCATCTTATGCTTCCATTAGTATAAGTAAATTTAAAAGAAAAAATGCTAGTGCTTTTAGCATTTACCTTCTCAACATATTGCTCCCTTGTAACCAAACCAACGGTTTCCTTCTTAAATGCTGTCTCAAGAATCTGAAATATTCATTCAAGAAAATTACCAATCAACAACAATAGTTCTGTCTATACAAAACTTGTTATCTTTATATATTTTAACGCACCTACTGGTACCACAGAAATAGTAAGAACAAGGAAAAAAAAAAGAATGAATAGTTGCACATTTTTCAAGCTTTTCTTCCATTTGTAAAACAGAGTACACAAAACCAACATAATAAACCCCTCAGATTGATGAAGCTGAAGTACATGTGCATGGGGAACTTCAAAAGTTAGGTTTCAAAGACAAACCTCAGAAGTACTTGATCCAAATTGGAGGAGACCTGGCTGGCCTTTTTCAGAGGCTGACTTGGTTTTGAGCTCTTGAATTTTTTGGCGCTCAGCTTCTCTTTGCTTTTCGAGTCTTCGGATCCTCACGGCATCTTGGGCTGTGCCCACATATCCATCTCCCATGCCCGACATCTTTTCCTTTCTCTATGTTCACCTCCAAGCCCTCCTTCTCTTGTCCTACACTTGGAACTGATAGAAGACTTTTAAGATCAATAATCTCAATCAAATGGTTCTCTTCAATAAAATAACTCCTACCCATATAACTATTAGACATCTGACATGTTGTACAAATATTTTGATAATTATTTTAATAACTAAAACACCAAAATGCCATCAAAATTTCAGCAGTGTCGTTAGGGTTTTCTTTTCCCCTTTTTGTTTTCTTTGGAATTTCCCAATCCGTTTCGGTAGGGCAAGAATGCAAAATTTATTAAGCACAAGATGAGAGACTCAACATCCCTAATTGCTACAATTTTGTGTGGAAAGGGTTCAATAAGACTGAAAAAGATGTACAAACTCTGAAACAATCCAGTAAAGAATCATATAACCATAAACAAGGAAACTGGACTGCGAGTGAAAAAAACTCGAGCAAAACGAACATAAATTAAATCGTAAATTTTAAAAAAATAAAAAAATAAAAAGAAGATTAAATACCTGGGTGGGATTGAGAAAGAAGAAGATGAGAGGAATTGAGGAAGAACAAGACAAACCGATTACAAGGGAAAGGAATGAAGAAGTGAATAAGCTTGGAAGGAACCTAGCCTCCTTTATTTAAACGGTGTGTTTTTAGTTTTAGAACTCCTCTTTCTCCTTGCATGTTCTATAGTCAGCTGGGCTTTATGATAATCGGCTAATTTTTTATTTTTATTTTTATTTTCTCAAATGGGCCAATATATTTGAAGATTACCCAACACATAAAAACTCTTGTTAAAATATCTATATATCTATCTATATATATAAAGCAAAAGACAGAGAATTGTAAAATTTTCAAAATATCAGAAAATGTCATTGGTTAATTCAAACATTAAAAATTGAAATTATTAATTAAATGAGAATAATATGGTAAATTAACACTTTTTTATATTAAAATTAAAAGAAAATTCAGATAATAAATCATATTTTTATGGAACACAACTACCCATTATCTTTTTTAATTCTAAAATAAAATTAATTTTTTTTAAAATGCCTCTCGTAGGGGCGGAAGCGTGTGCAGAGAGGTAGGCTATATATATAAAGCAAAAGACAGATAATGGTAAAACATTCAAAATATCATAAAATGTCATTTGTTAATGCAAACATTAAGATTGAAATGATTAATTAAATGAGGATAATATGATAAATTAACACTTTTTCATATTAAAAAAATTATAATTAAAAGAAAATTCATATAATGGATCCTATTTTTATGGAACACAACTACCCATTATCTTTTTTAATTCTAAAATGAATTTAAATTTTTTTTAAAAAGCCTCTCGCAAGCGCGGAAGCTCGTGCCGAGAGTCTAGTATTTTTAAATTGTTACATAATTATCAAGGGCTGACTTCTTTGAACAATACAACTGCATATATGAATTTTTTTTTTCTCCTACGTGGTTGACTTCACTTATTTTTAAAATTTGTATATGTCGTTTGATAGGATCCTACCCAAATTCCACTTTGGAATCTGAGCCGAACTCTGTGCATGTCTGACACCTGGTAGGTGTTGAACACACTTGACCAAAATACCCTTCTAACTAGAATCAAAATTTAACTTCAAATTTGACTTATGCCGAAAATTTGCAGAGTCTCCCTTGTAATTTGCTCGTTTCCCAAAAAATTTACCTATTTAAAACAAGCAATTTAATGTCCTCAATTGTTCAGCATGCACAATGACAGAATACATACATTCAAACATCAAAATCTTATTGCCTCAAGCCTCATTAACACAAGTAAATTGTGCTGCTAGCTGATTTTGATCTCAACTTTAAGAATATCAATAGTACATTAACAATTTCAAACACTCCATCTCGTGGCTGCACCTAGTAACCCTAGGTACGTACCCTTACTGAGGGATCAAGCCACATGTAGTTCTTTCACTTTGTATACTGCACTTGTGTATCTTGTCAATTATTATTGTCCATTGTCATTACAAATCCGTCCAAGTTCTCAAGTCAGCGATATGCTCAATGACATTCACATGCCATACTCGTACAGAAACCGAACACGCATATTTATATTTATATAACAATTCACACATTTACATGAATCATTAATTCAGTTTAAAGCATTGACACGTCCTTGTAGGCCTCGGTAACACAAAGTCGACCCGAGCTACAATCCTCGCAGGACTCAAGGGGCATTTAGTCAACCTGATCCACATTCTTCGCTCCGCATGGTCCAGATATCCCTAAGACTCGTGGGGCAATTGTCAAAAGCGCTAACATAACCGAAGGCAACCATTTATTCTGAAGGCAATATTTATTACGAAGACAACATGGGTACCTATGGTGGTTTAGAAAAAAAAAACATTTCCTGGAAAATCATAAATACTATTTCTCATCCATCCTTAAATTCTATTGCCACTATCCTTTCTACTTCCAAGCCTTGCTCAACTTATATATATAAGCAGAATATAGTAAAAATATTCGAAATCCAACAATCATGCTTGAAAAGTAAAATTCCTAACGACTCATTCAAGATCAAATAATAAAACTTAATTGCATAAAATAATTTATAAAACAAAAGTCCACTCACTGGACTTCCTCTATTTCATAAATTAATTTATGTATTAATGACTTAGGTTAATATATATATAAAATAATAATAATAGAAATAGAAACAAAAGTAAAAATAATAATAACATAAAAATAAAAATGTACATATATCAACAACTTAACTGGAGTGTGTGTGTGTATATATATATATTTCTCTCTTTTTACTAGTAAAACAACCTCATTACCTAAGAAAATAATGGTGAACTTCACAAAATCCTTAAAACTTATACACATTCATTTTTTGTCTCATAATATCAGGATTATAAATATTAAAACCTTTGCCCATAAAATACCGAGACAAATCTTTGATTTTAGTTTTAAAAACATCTCAAAACTTAAATTCTCTCCACCGAGGCGTACCCCCATTCCTGATCCGTCAATTCCGTTATTACTGTCAATTCCAGTATTATTCCGTCACTTCCAAATATCCCGTCAATTCCATATATATGTCAATTCCATCCTTGCATGCCTCAAAAACACAAAGTTAACCGAGCCGCATTCCTCACAAACCTCGGAGACACCAAGTCAACCCGAGCCACATTCCTCACAGGCCTCTGAAGATCATTATTCAGCCTGAGCCGCATTTCTCGCACCACACGGTTCAGGCGTCCCCGAACTCGTGGGGCATATTTATGAATGACAATTGTTTCAAGGCAATTGGGGGGGGTACTCCTGCAGTGGGTTTGAAATACCATATCCGAAATTTATCACATACTTTCCCTTTATTCCACAAATCCATTGCCAGCTACTGAGTATATGTATTAAATATAGACATGCACTTAAATAGTTAATTAGTTTGTTAATCATGTCAAACTCTGATTAACAAACCATTCCAATATTGTAATTATAATCTTGGGTTAATTATAGTTTAGTACCCTGAACTTATAATGTTAAGGCATGTTAGTCCCTGCATTTTCAATTTTAACAATACAAATTTATAAATAAACCCAATCCTAGACATGTATTTATAAAAAAACCCAAGCACTATTTAAATATAGAAACACACCCAAAATCAACCTCAAAGTCAACTTTTTGGGTGTGTTTATAAATGGGTTTTGAGTGTGTGTAATGATGGGTTTTGGGTGTGTTTATATGTTTAAATAGTGCTTGGGTTTTTTTTATAATTTCAACCCTCATTTTGGGTGTTTTAGTGAAACTCCCTTTTAACAATCACATACCTCAAGCTTGTAAATTTGTTACAATCTGATTCCATCGTTAGGGTTTCCGTTAGTTGTACCGTTAGTTGCTGATCTGGCACTGATGGGGCCCACTTGTCCTCTAGTTTCGAAGTCCTTCCCAGGGCATTTTCAAACTTGGATTTTTCCCTTTCCCGGCCTCACGCCCTCCAACCCTTTTCTTCAGATTAAGCCCACGTGGCATGGGGTGATTGGCTTGCAACTCAGAAATTTTAAAATTTCTGTTTCAACTCGTCGTCCATATAGCTCGATAGGAACAAGAACCCTAAGTTCCCAAATTCTCTCACACCAAATATCTCCAAATCCTCAAATTTTCGTCGTGAAGTTATGAAAGCTGGAATGAGTGAGACGCGTAAATGCTTTTATGGTGGGTTTGCTCGACTAGAAACCTCTTGGACCAAAGATAATCCAGGGAGAAGATTATGGACATGCTGCCGCAAGGTAATTTCAGTAAATTCTTTGTTATTTGGGTGTAAGGGTTTGAAATTGTAAGAATTTTTGAATTGGGCGATTATTTAAGTTATTTACCTCATGTTGAGCAGAAAGGGTGTGGGTATTTCGATTGGTTCGATCCTCAAATGTCTGCATGGTCAAAGATGATAATTCCTGGGTTGTTGAAAAGGATAGATAAGGCTAATGATGAACTGAAGAGTTTGCGCAGGAGAGAGAAGCTACTTTGGTTTTTGATCGTTATTGGCATCCTTGTTGTTGTGCTCTCAGCAAATGCAACTCAACATAACGGTTCAAGTGGAACAAAGACAGTATTGAACTTGCTTGATGGTTTCAATTGCTTTTTGTGTACTGCAGGTTTTTGTAAGACCATTAACTGGTTGTAATGAAATGGGTTGTATGAAATGTGAAATTGGAAATTGACGTTCCTTTTGCAAATTGGCATATCACATTCGTTTTGCAAATTTTCCAAAATGAGTGCATTGATCTTAGCCTGCCAACATAGTCCTTGATGATACAAAAGAAGAGAAAGAAAGACAGAATGCATTAATCTTAGCCTGCTAACAAAATAATAAGACTGCATTACACCAAAATAACAGTGCATTACATGAAGCATTTCATACCCAAAAGGTCAAAACCTATCAGGCTCTAATACAGTTTGTCCATAACCAAAAATACAATTATACCAACTGCTGCCAAGAATTGTAATATAGTTTCTCCTTGGCCAAAATACATTACCACATATGGTTCAGACCAAAGCCAGCAAACAACCACATATGTCTGTCCATACAAAACCCTATTTGATCCTATACACCTTCCAATACAGTCTGTCCAAACAAAACACATTGGCCAAAACACCTGCAAATACAGTCTATCCATACAAAACCCTAATTGATCCTACACTCCAGTTTGTGATTCTTGGACAGAAGCATAATTGTTGCCTGTAGTGTTCCTTCGTTTAGTCATTTTCCTCCCTCCAGTTGGATTGTTTGAATCTACTATAAATGTTTCTGCATTTTCCGCTTTTTTTTTGTCTCTCTTTTCTTGAAAAAACAAACAAAGACAAAATGCTATCACCTATGTCACAGTTCCCATCATTCCAACAAGCAAATACAATGTGTAAAGTGCAATTACCTTCAGTACTTGAGCTCTTTGCTTTGTCTTCTATCTCATTTGATTCTTCCTCTCTATCTCAGCATCATAATTGTCAGGTATGGAAGCTGGGATAGAACTTCCAACAGTAGACTTAGCCTTCTTTTTCTTTCTAGGTTGGGTTCTTTCATTTGGTGGCTTATGTCTATGACATGTTACTGAATTATGACCCTTTTGGCCACATGTACCACATTTGAGAGAGTCTTGGTATCTTCCTAGCTTCTTCCCACATGTCTTGGTCTCTTTTTCACCAGACTCTTTCCCATAGGTCCATTCCATTCACAGGTTGTATAATGTTCTCATATGCGTTTAGGAATGTCTCCTTCATGTAACACTTGTCTATATAAGTGTCAGGCCTATTCCCTCTCTTATGGTTAATACCTGACACAACATGCTTACATGAGACACCAGATAAATCCCAATTCCTGCATGAGAAGGTCCTCTCATCCAAATCAACTATAAACTGCCCACCAGTTGCAGTATCTACTTGGAACTTGGGTCCTCCATACATAATAGCAATGCAAGCAGCAACTTGTTTTTTGCTGGTTTCAAGCTTTGCTAAGGGCCTAGGACATATTGCACGCTCCCATCTCATCATCAAATCTCTTCTCATCTGTATCCTTCTCATCAACTTAACCCTAATCTCCTCCATCATTGAAATTATTGGCTTAGACCTAGCTAACATGATCCAGAAATTAAAAGACTCACATAGATTGTTCAATAGTATTGGACACTTCAAAGTAGTGTTGAAATGTGACCTTGACCAATGTCTTGGTGGTCTCTCTGGAGCTGTTTCACATAAATAACATTTAGAGTAGTAAATGTACATTGAGTTCAATTATAGAAAAATAATTGTGGTTGCAAATGCTCTTAAAATTACCTGTTAGCCATGGATAAGCTTCACCATCTAATGTCCTTAACAATTTCATTGCCCTCCTAAACTCTGGAACTGTGGTTGCAAATGCAGCCCTACACATTGCATCCTTCAATAATTTTCCCTTGTACACCAAACTGAAGTTTGTAGATAGGTGCCTTGCACAGAATCTGTGATTACAATTAGGCACGACTTCTTGAAAAGTCTCCACCAAGCCTTTCTGCTTATCACTTATGAATGTGAACCCATATTGGTTTGCCAACTCAATATCCTTTACCAGCAGCTGCAAAAACCATATCCATGAATCCTTGGTTTCCATTTCCACTTGGGCATAAGCAATAACCCATGTCATATTATTGGCATCTAGACCAACAGCTGACAACAACTGGCCTTCATAAGGACTTTTCAAATGCCATCTAGTCCTATTACAGGTTTGCATCTAGCCTTGAATCCCTCCTTACAGGCACCCAAGCAAATGTACATTCTTTGGAACACAGGCATTTGTAACAATGCGTTGAAATCACATTTGATTTGCACTGTTGTTCCAGGATTTGTGTTCCTCAATTCTGTAGCATAGTCCCAGAGTCTAGCATATTGTGCACTAATGGAACCTTCTAGGATTTTCAAAGCTTTATTCTTTGCCCTCCTAACCTTGGACAGTGATATTCCACTGTTAATATTCCTCTGTATTGTTGCCTTCAAGGACACCACTGGTACAGTGGGGTTTGTCTTCACCTCCTCCACAAATGTTTGAGCCAACCATGAAGATCTTACCTTTTTGTTTTCCCATACCCTGCTACAAGTGTGTTTGGGATCTAGTCTCTTCACTTGTAGTGTGTCTTCATGTTGCATCTTGGATGCATAAATCTCAAAAGGACAGTTCTCAGCTACACAAATTGCCCTAATCCTATACTTCTCAGACTTCAACCAACATATTTCCCATCATTCTTTGATTGAAATGGCCTTCAGAGTCTTTCTGAAGCTAGAACTATCTGCAAATTGCATGCCAACTTCAAACTCCACAGTTCCTATGTCACAAGAAGGATTAAACTCTGGGAATCTACGACCAGTGCTCTCCTCATCTGATTGTGGTGCTCTCCTAAGGTGCTGCTCCTCATCACTGTTTGCATACATGTCTTCATTATCTACAAAGTCTTTCACAAATGAAGGCTTTGGTACTGATTGCTCAGCATTTGCTCTACCCCACTCACCATCTATGTCAACCTCATGTAAGAAGACTTCATCATCATCATCCTCATCAATACTGTATTCATTATCCATAAAGTCAGGGTCACTCTCATCATCAGTTTCTGAAGAATCGTCAGCATCATCAGCTTCTTGTTGTATTGAGGGGTTCCTCTTCCTAACAGATCTTCTTACTTCATTTATCTCAGCATCTACAAACCCTTCATCAACTTCTACCACCTTTTGTTTGCCTTTGGAAGTAGCTTTGGTGGTATCATGTTGTACACACCCTTCATCAATTGCTACCACATTTTCTTTCCCTTTGGAAGTATCTCTGTTTGTCTCATGCTGTACACTGCCTTCATGGATGGAGTTGGTTTCCTAGTCTTGTGTACCTCATTGGATGTAGCTTTATCCAACCTATCATGTACAACAATTGCTTTATCAAACTATGGTAGCTCTTGAAGGATAACACCTGGACTTCTCACATCATCAGCATAATGATATAACTGTGAAGAATAACGACAATAAACGTTAGAATCAGTCTGGCTATTTAGAACATCATCAATGTTGTCCCGATGATCCATGTACATGTTAATCATCCTAACCTCAGGCACATTTTCACACATTTGAATAACTTCTGAGTCAAACTCCACCCTCTTCAAATCACCCTCATCTTCAACCCTATACCAGTAATCAATCCTACCAATGTGCCCCAAATACACAGCCATGCAGTCTATTTCAGTTAAAGACATGTTGTCTTTATCCACATAATCAAAGTATGTAACAGTTCCATCAACATAGTACTGGTGTATCAGTCTTCCACCATGGTGCATTCGAATGCTAAATAAGCAATCATCGTCTGCATACATAGATGATCCAACATTAGGCTACTGTTACACATTGCATGGATTTATAGACATGCACAGAAATCACCAACTAAACAACTACCACACAGAAAAATCCAAGCAAACACTTTTACAATGCAGTTTACTATACCACCGAGTTTGAATTATTAAACATTGTAAAGTCACTTTCCACACCAAAAGCCAAACATCACATGGGTTACAGTAGGACCATAGACAAACATTCCTTACATAAAGGCCACTGATAACAACCAGAAAACCCCAAATATGCAAATTGGGAAACCCTTATCCCCACAGCTGTGAACTCAGAAGCCTAACCCAAAAAAAAACCCATATTAAAACCCTCTTCCCCAAATATGCGAACTTTGAAACCATTTCCCAAAAAAATCGAACTCTAAACCCCCAAATAAATCAATATTAAAACCCTAATATCCAAATATGCGAACTTCGAAACCTTTATCTAGAAAAAAATTCAAAACAAACCTCTATCCCCACATACCGTAAATTGGGTCGTCCTCTTTAGGTGGTCGTGGATCCCAACTCATCGTAGCCTTCTCTCAATCGGCTCTGCGTCGTCGTCCTCTCCAGCGTCTGACGGAAATCAAGTGGAAGATTTGCAAGTGTGGAAGATTTTTTTTGGTAATCTGGAGATTAATTTGTTGAAGACGCATTGGAGGGCGTAAGGGCAGGAGAGGCCGATTAATCCAAGTTCAAAAATGCCCTTGGAAGGACTTCAAAACTAGCGGACAAGTGGGCCCAATCAGTGCCAGATCAGCAACTAACGGTTCAACTGACGGAAACCCTAACGTTGGAAGCGGATTGTAACAAATTTACAAGCTCGGGGTATGCGTTTGTTAAAATTGAAAAGGCAGGGCCTAACATGCCTTATCGTTGTAAGTTCAGGGTAGTAAACTGTGATTAACCCTATAATCTTCATAGAGATAAACAACTAATTAAATAAGTGAATAATTAACAAACACATAATCATCACCCCTAGAGATTCCATCCGTTCCAATAATGAATAATCTCCAAACATAAAAAATAATATTTAAGTATAATATAAATTACAATTATACACTTTAAAATAATACAAAATTAGTGAAATGCCCATTCCTAGATATGAAACTATAAATATACCCTATACTAATTAAAGTATAGAAACACACCCAAAATAAACTCAAAAATCGACAGCTATCGATTTTTTAAATTTAATAGCAATGTTGGATTATTGTTTTGCCCTTTTGCCCCAAATAAATCCAGCTCCGAGGCTCAATTAAGATAATCAACGATTGCTCCTTCAAAATCTTGGAGCTGGTCTGTGAGAAATCGACGAGCGGCCGATTTAGCTAACCTCACCGTCAGAGCTGCAGATCTAATTTTCATTGCTTTCTCGATCTCTCACTCGCTTTCTCACAGATCTTGCAGCTAATTCCAGATCTCATAGCTCAATCTCTCGCACCTCAGTCACAGGCTAGGCGTTTTACAACTCAGGAGGTGGACTCGGGTCATGATCCATGAGGCCGACTCTTTCCTCCACTGACAATGATGCTTTGTGGAGGCCTTTTCTCCGTTCGGTGAGATCACTGAATCGAAGATCATCAACGACTGTGAGACCGAGAGGTCCAGGGGCTTCGGCTGATACAATAGAATGAGCAATTATACCATTCTAGAGATGTGCTCAGCGGGGGTGTGGATTTACCTTTCATTCTTGTGCAAGTACGTTTTCTTCTCAATGTTTCCCTTGCATCTATGCATTTTGAGAAACATATTAGAATACAGTACTCTTTAAAGTTACGATGAATGAAAACAAAATGGTTTGTATTTGAAGGGTTGGTATGATTTGATTGGTGTTGGGGACATTTGTTATTTAGCTTGACTCGAGAAATAAATTATGTATGATTTGTGATATGAGACATGTAGACCTTCTGCTGGATACAAGATATAAGTTACTACCGCATTGTATAACAACTAACAACCATCTTTCAACCCTTTTCTATATAACAAGAAGCATATGATCAGCTTTACATGATTAGTTTTCTTTCAGAATTCCTTTTGATAAGTTTATTGTTATCTGATTCTTTGTTACTTCTGTTGTTCCTGACATATGGATACCATAGACTCGCCTTCATGCAACTGTTGAGGTTGAAATATCAGAAGATATGCAGCTGGTGCATTTTGACTTCAATAGGTAACTTTCATTCTTAGGTTGAGCGAAATGATAGTTGGTAGTAACATCTATACACCAGTCTGCTGGGGACACAAGTAGAGATAGTAGCCACCAGTAGTATAATACTGGAGTCAAAATGTCTGTTAATGTGATCAATTCTGTCTGTGTGAGGCTCAATAAGCAATTTTTGGATCATAATTTCTCCAAAACTTTAAATAAAAAAATTGGTTGCAATCTTTTTATGATATTTTGATTTTTCTTGCAGCACCCCATTTGAGCTCCATGATGACAATTACGTTTTAAAGGCAATGAAATTTTGTGAAAGGCCACAGGCTGATGACGAGACACAAAATTTAACTGTAGATTGAGGGAAAGGTTGTAGCATGTCTAGCATGTATCAGTCATAGATCCCTCTTCCTTCGATGTTAAACACACGAATTAGGCCTCCCACCTAGCCACCTATTCCCGGAATACTAAAAGCATGTGTGAAGCATAAGCACCGTGGACAATAATGTTAGCGTCTGTATATTGTGGAGAGTAGTTTGCCGGAAGTTAATAAGTCCCTCACCTCATGTTTACCGTCTGTCGTTAGATATTGTCGTAAGTTGGATGTAGTTTAGGTTATAAGCAGATAAGTCTTGTTGGTTGCTTTGATACTTGGGGAAGAGGTTGGCTATGACAATGAGAAGGCCATGAGGGACGTGATTGAAGGCATAAATGGTCAGAACCTCAACGGCCGTAACATCACCGTCAATGAGGGCCAATCTCGTGGAAGCGGCGGTGGTGGTGACGGTAATGGAGGTTACAGCCATGGAGGATATGGCGGCGTTGGCTACGGAGGTGGTGGCTTTGGCTACTAAGGTGGCAGTCATCGTGAAAGCGATGGGGATAGCGTCTCGATGACGATTTAGTTTAGGCCACTTAGGTAATTTGTATTGATATTCATTTGAGTTTTGAATTGTGATTTAAATTATTATTTTTTTGTTTCTATTTGGAATGATTTCAAATTCGGTTTGGTTGTGAATTTGATCTTGTGTTTTGGTTTGACCTTTGGTTAAAAATCTGTGATATTGGATTCGGTTTTCATATTAATTGAGGTATCCTTTTTCAGTTGAATTTGAGTGTATTCATGTTGGAGGATTGGGTTAGTACTTGGAATTCTAAGTTGGATTAGGTTTTTAGCTTAGTTGAATTAATTTTTTTTTTAATATCAAGGATTTACAGCTCTTCCAAAGTTGTTTTGTGAGTTGACTACAATTTTCATTGTAGACTTACTTTGCAGCTACATTGCTGTGAAAGATGGGCTTTTTCAAAATAGGAAAATAGAAAAACTAATTGCCATCTGCCCTGGACCATACTAAATACCTTTGAGTCTTTTAGTTCTCTGCTTCTTTGCCTTAAGAAGCTGCAAGCTTGTTTAATTTATGTTTACTTTTTAGTCAAGAGCAGCTCAAAAATTTTAGATTGACATTTCATGTGGTCAAGGTCTTTGGGTCCTATCTTGGATTTGTTAATGCAATAAATTTTCAGTTGAGCTCTTTAGCATGTGTCAATTTCCACTGGTACAGGAACAACATTAGTCTAGATGTAATGAAGGTAACACTTTCGGTTAGTAGAAAACAGTCTCTAAAGCTTTCTTTCAAAAGCTATGAAGCTGTGCTATAGTGAGGTAGCTGGTTTACGAACATAGGGTTTTTGCAGTTGTACACTTTTATAGTACATATTATGCAAAGAAAATAATGTAGTTGTTTACTTCCAGTAAGTGGTATGAACTGTTCATATCCTACAACTGAGTTGATTTCTATGACATAGTATTAACATTGTACTTCTATGACATAATATGGATATTTTACTAATTTTCTATAATATTAACAGATTTTTCAGTAACAAAGCATGATCCATATTTTGCTCTATATATAGCTGTGCACTTGAAGTTTATGATATGTAGAATGTGATTTTTAGTAGGAAGATAGTTCTATGACATAGTATTAACACTGTACTTGTATGACATAATATGGGTATTTTACTAATTTTCTGTAATATTAATAGATTTTTTAGTAACAAAGCATGCTCCATATTTTGCTTTCTATATATAGCTGTGCACTTGAAGTTTATGATATGCAGGATGTGATTTTTACTAGGAAAATAGTTCTATGACATAGTATTAACAGTGTACTTGTATGACATAATATTGGTATTTTACTAATTTTCTGTAATATTAACAGATTTTTCAGTGACAAAGCATGCTCTATATTTTGCTCTCTCTCTATATATAGCTGTGCACTTGAAGTTTATGATATGCAGAATGTGATTTTTACTAGGAAGATAGTTCTATGACATAATATTAACAGTATACTTCTATGACATAGTATTAACAGTGTACTTTTTTTTTAAATTTTATTGTAGAGGTATTTCCTTTTGCTTTTGCGATTGTTTCTGGTGAAACTATGGACAATTGGAGGTGGTTTCTGCATAGGATATCGGATGTCTTGCTAGGTTTTTTTTGAGTTTTTTTTTGTATGAAATGATATTAACAATGTTTTCTATGAAATTGTATTAACAATGTACTTCTATAACATGATATTAACAATGTACTTCTATGAAATGATATTAACAATGTACTTCTATGAAATGGTTTGTGGAGGTTCGGTAGAGAAGGAAGGGTTGTGGGGACATGCCCTTGGTTTTTGTGAATTCTTTTTTAAGTTTGGATTTAAAAAAAAAAAATATGAGCTAGGCTTTCTGGGCTTGATTTGGGTTTTTTATGTGTCTTTTGTATTGGACTTGTTTTAAGTTAATCAATGGGAGAGATGTAATATATATGAAGTTCAACACTTACTTGTTATGTAGTAATGTTTTTTGGGTATGTTTATAAAATGAATTCCATATTTTGGGCTTTTTTTATAAAATTGGGCTAGGGTTATTTTGGGTGCTTTTTGAGGTTTTCTTTTTTCACTTGGGCTTGATAGTGGTAGTGCTGTAATTTATTGGAACTTCAACACTAATTTGTTATTTAATAAATGAGTTTTAAGTGTGTCTATAAAGTGTTTTTCATGTGATTTTTTTAATTATAATTTCAGCCCATATTTTGGGTATATTAGTGAAACTCCCTTAAAATAACCATTATAGAACTATGCACAATTTAGCAATCTATATATAACTATCTATACTCATTCCATAATCATATAAATTCATAATACGATCCGAATGACTCAATTTTCGATCAGGACTCGTCTGCATGGTCATTCTAACACTTCTCAAATGGTATAACTACCTCGGAAGACTCATGGTCAACCGAATGGTCAAATTGCCTAAACTTGGTCAACAAGGCCCCCAAGGCCCACGACCTCCGATCACTAATACGGGAGTTCCGATAGGTTTAACATACTTATCTAAACCTACTGCGCAAATTTGGTCCAAATCAAACAGTCGATCGCTCACGATCATATGATCGAACGATTATCGTAAAACGCAAACTTAAACTTATTGAAGTAGACGGAAGTGCCCGAAACTGGCCAAAACTTCTATTGCTTAATTACCCACAAAAACTCAAAACTTTCTCCTAAATACCACAACCAGCAGCTAGAACATATTGAAAGGATAGAAAAACATACCAAATTCGATGAAAATGGTGGCCGGAGGTGTTCGAACGAGCTCTGTGAAATTCTGTCAAAAACTGTCCAAACCACCTTGTTTCGTGGCGGTTTGCGGCAACCCTGAATGCGGATCGAGGTTGGGATGGGCTGGGATTGGAAGAGGGAAGTGAGATGGTCTGTTTGGGACCGATCTTGCTTGAAACAGTGGTCGGAGTTGGGAGAAATCAAGGTCTGAAGTTGGCTGGTTGTGTCCTCCAAGAGAAGAAAATTTGGGTTTTAAAAAAATTGAACTTTGAAATATTTACGATTATGCCACTAAACTTCCGTAGATCATAACTTCTTCGTTAGAACTCCGATTTGAGCCCATTACATGTTACGGACTCATCTTGACGTACTCTGCGCATCAGTTCAATTAAAATTTTCAAATTCCTTCCCAAACTTGCAATGACCTTTTTGCCCCTTTTATATTAAATAATATTTTAATCTTCAAAAACCTTAATTAATTCAAATCAATTTATTTTATTGTTTATTTCAATTTACTTTCTCATTTAAATTTATTTCCTCTTATTTTAATTATTTTATTACTCTTTCAGACCGGGATGTTACAGTTTCTCCAAAATTAGCCCGAACAAAAGTCAACTCTTAAATCATTTAAAGTAATACAATTAATATAAGAATTCTTGATATTGGTTCACAAGTCATGCCAACAATATGTACATCACTACAAATCCTATTGTTATGACACTCAATAGTATGTCTCCTGATGATGATCTGCTTTCACTTCGCTGTCTAGCATAGTTAGAAGATATGGAGACATTTACAGTTATGGGTCATCAATTGGCCCACGAGCTCGTGGGCCGATGGGGAACCCCCTGGCCCATCGAAAAAATCCCGGCCTGGCCCGATACAGGCCATGGGCCGGCCCAACCAGATATTTTGTGGGTTGGGCTTGGGCTTAGGTGTCTAAAGCCAAGCTCGTCCCATAGGTCCAGCTGTTTGAGCCCATGAAGGCCCGGCTCACAAAGCCCATTAAAGCACGTTTTGCTACTTGGCTTTTGGTTAAGACTTGTTAGGTTTGGTGTGTCTCTCCTTGTTTGACACGGGCTGATCATAAGACAGATAATTATTATATTTGTTAGTTTATTTTTCCTACTTTAATCCATCTACAGAAAAAGCTTTAAGCGTCGACATTCAAAATCTCACAAGTTGTTCTCAAAGAAAATGTCGAAAAATAAGACGTTCCATTAAATAAGAGGTCATATTTATAATTCAACGGTGGCCAAATTCTTATGTAAATTAGGATTTAAAGTAATACAATTAATATAAGAATTCTTGATATTGGTCCATAAGTCATGTCAACAATGTGTACATCACTACAAATCCTATTGTTAGAACGTTCAATAGCATGTCTCCTGATGATGATCTGCTTTCACTCCGCTATCGAGCATAGTTAGAAGGTATGGAGACATTTACAGGTGGGGGTCATCATTTGGTCCACGGGCCGCCTACCCCATCAAGAAAAAGCTCGACCTGACCCGATATGGAGTGGGCTGGACTTGGGCTTAGGTGTCTAAAGTCAAGTCTGGCCCATAGGCCCAGCCCATTCGAGCCCATGAAGGCACAGCCCGCATAGCCCATGAAGGCACGTTTGCTACTTTGCTATTGGTTAAGACTTTTTGGGTTTTGTGTGTCTCTCCGTGCTTGACACAGACTGCTCATAAGGCAGATAATTATTATATATTTTTAGTTTATTTTTCCTATTTTAATCCACCTACACAAAAAGCTTTAAGCGTCGGCATTCAAAATCTCACAAGTTGTTCTTAAAGAAAATGTTGAAACATAAGACATTCATTAAATAAGAGGTCATATTTATAATTCAACGGTGGCCAAATTCTTATGTAAATCAGGATTTAAAGTAATACAATTAATATAAGAATTCTTGATATTAGTCCACAAGTCATGCCAACAATATGTACATCACTGCAAATCCTATTATTAGCATGCTCAATAACATGTCTCCTGATGATGATTTGCTTTCACTCCTATGTCAAGAATAATTAGAAGGTATGGAGACATTTACACGTAGGGGTCATCATCTGGCCCATGAGCCCGTGGACCGATGAGGGCCCGCCTGGCCCATTGAGCAAAAGCCCGGCCCGACTTGACTCGGCTTGATATTTAGTGGCTGGCCTTGGACTTAGGTGTCTAAAGCCAAGCTTGGCCCGTTTGAACCCATGAATGCCTGGCCCGCAAAGCCCATTAAGGCCCGACCCGCAGGCCCATGTATTTTATATAAATATAAATTTTGTTTGAAAGTAAAGGAAGTGGAGACACACACAAGGGGTTTCGAACCCCTACCACTTTCATCCTAATCAACAACTTATCCACCATGTCATAGACAACTTAATGGTTATATGCTACCCCATTTGATATTTATATATGCTTCATCAGACATCTTGCCACAATTGAATTTAAGTCATATCAATAATGTTGGAGCTACATCAAACTATGCCAACTTAGTAGGCACTTTTTCCATGTCCTCTTTTAGAGTTTTATAGTGAAGAGAATGTCACAAGAGTTCATATGAATTTTTGTTGTAGTTTTCTAAATTTTAATTTATGTATTGTGAATTTATGAAATGAACCAAAAAAAAAGAAAAAAAAGGAAGACATAGAAACACACCAAAACATAAAAAAAAAAAAAATTTGACAACAAAATGAATATTAAAAAAATACAAAATAAAGTAGGCCTATTTCGGCCCAGCCTATTGGCCTTAACCTGGCCCAATGGACTTTTTCAAGCCTAACTCATGGGCTGGGCTTGGACTTTAAGTTTTTTTTTGTTCTAAAACCCGACTTGGCCCGTCCCGACATTTTCTCTCCCCTCTTTAAAGCCCAGTCTACCCAAGCCCGACCCATTGACGAGGCCTATTTACAGGTGATGAGCCTAAAAAAGAGAAAATTTCAAAATATGACATAGATACTAAGGAGAACTTCAAAAAAAATAAAAATAAGAGTTCATATAGACTCATAATTGAACTTACAATCATAGTTGGCCCATCCAATCCGTTGACGTGCTAAATCGTACACAATTATCTTATCTTTTAGAACAAGATCTGCAATTGAAGAAACAAAAAAAATGTCATAATTAAGACAACACATTTACAATTGAGATACACCATTTTCAAAAGCAAATTGTGATCATCAATATTTATCATTACAAAAAATAATTGCAAAGTGCTCAGAAAGCCATTGTATTGTGCACCACTAGGTAGACCAGAAAATACATTAGTTAGCATAAATCCTAGCATAAATAAGTTTTTGAACAAGTAAACACACTGAGAAAAATTGAAAAGGATTCATCCAACCAAATATCAGTAAACTTTTTTTCCACAAAGATTTAGTAACCAACCTAAATTCAGGGCCTAATCTCCTAAAATTGTCACCCCTCCCTGTAACAATACAATGATCCATTACACTTATGCCATACAATTTGCAATAATCATATGTCTAATGCAATGACTTTAAATAAGAACTTGTACAGAGGGAAATGGAGGAACAACTTACGCTACATGTGAGGTACTCTTCTGGTTTCAACACCATTGATGCACTAGCGGCAAAGTTTAGACTGACTATAGGAAAAACCTCAGCCAAACTGAAACATAAATGTCATTCAGGTCTCCATAGCTTTTCTTTAGAGGGAAACTTAATAAAAATTTAGAGATAGAACCAACCTGGTGGTTACATGATAACACTGGTTCCGTATGAAATGAAGGGAGTCACGAATGGTGAAACAGCTGAAGTTATCTACACATCCCAACACAAAATCAGCTTTTAGTAAGGAGAAGATATCTTATTTTTAAGACCAAACACCACAAATCAACCCATAAATAAGACCAAGTGAATAAACTTACCGCACGAACAAAAGGAACGTGAGCTTCTTCAACAAGGTATGCCAATGTTGTTCCTAAGTTGATAATAGTTCCTCCGTCGTGTAATGTGAAGGTTGTTGGATCAATTGGCAAGATTTTTCCATTGATAGCAATGCTCTGCAGATTTAAATAATAATGGTGGCTGAAAATAAAGGTGAAGGACGCTATATGAAAAACTCAAAAACAAATAAGTAATATAAGATACCTAACAAGTAAAAGTTTAAAAAGCCAAAAGTGATAGCATCTCACTAACCTTTGGTGTATAAATTGATTTCATATAATAAATTGTAGCACCACACTAGAAGAATTTTGGGCAATAATCACTATTTTTTTAACCAATTATCATATAAGTTACTAGTGTCCTTTAACATAGGTAAATTTTACTTTTTATTGGTAAGTTGAGAGTCGAGACTATTAATAAGTTTATTTTTCGGTAACTATTAGACAAAAAGATACTTGGTTAAAAATGTGGCTGTCTTGGTTATGCAAACCAACGAAAATCAGTGGCTCTAAACCTAGTCTTTATTTCCTTCTCCCATTCCCTTTCTCACCAAAATTCACAGTTTTATAGTAAAGATTACAAGGAGAAAGAAATAAGAGAAAGGCTTCCAAGAGACATACCATGGCGGAACAAGGGGACTGTAAAAAATACTTGGCTCCAAAATCTCACCAAGAACAAGTGTACCCCCTCCATTGTCATCTCCCTTCAAACAATGAGAGAGCACTTTGGGAGTTAACCCTTGAGATAACAACTGTGATATATCAGATAGAGGCCCTTGGCTAAACCCAAATATCCCATCCAGTGCGGTGTGTACTAGTCAAAACCCCAGACTCATAGGTACTGCACCTGTATGTTTCCAACACCATCAACCAAGGCAATTTCAGAATTAATTCAATCAACACAACACAACATAATTACTTATAAGTTATAATTAGAGAAATTATTCTGCATAATATTAATTATTTTTGTTCTAAACGATGGGACCTATGCGGCCATGCCATGCCATTTCAAAATTTATACTAACTATGGATAAGCTATATTATTAAAAAAGTTATTTTATTTATTCAGAAAAAACAAAACAATCTAAATAGATAGTTACTATTTTTCTCTTTCACGTTTTTCTTCTCTCTTCTTTTTTTCCTCTCAATGATTGGTTTCTATTGCACATTTTTTATCCACACATCATCTCAGTACAAGTTGACGGAACTGTGTACAGCAGTGCAAGATTTGTAAACTACTAACTTGGTGCAAATTTTATAAGCTATTCCTACCCCCAACAAATATTAGCCTATACCTCTCTCCTGTGTCCTTCAAACTTTGGTGCAGTTTTTTTTAATTTTTTAATTTTTAAATATTAGCCTAACCCCTAGCCCAACCCATATTGTTTTCAAAATCGACCCAACCCAACCCATGCCTACCCTTAGAAATAACTAGGCCTCGTGAATCGACTCGGTCCAAATTTAATGGGCTTGGACCGGGCCGGATCGGGCTTTAAAGATGAGAGAGAAAATACCAAGCCAGGGCGGGCTGGATTTAAAAAAAAAGGTTCAAAGTTCAAGCCAAACCCATGAGTTAGGCTTGAAAAAGCCCATCGGGCCGAAATGGGTCTACTTTATTTTGTATTTTTTTAATATTCTTTTTTTTTTCTATGTTTTGTTTTGTTTTTTTCTTCATAGTTCTCTATTTACATTTATCTATATATTTATGTCTTCATGTTTTTCTTTGTTTATTTCATAAATTCACAATACATAAATTAAAATTTAGAAAACTACAACAAAAATTCATATGAACCCTTGTGACATTCTCTTCACCGTAAAGCTCTAATAGAGGAAATGGAACCTTCTTCTATTCCCTTTACCACCAAAATTCACAGTTTGATAGTAAAGATTACAAGCATAAAGAAATAAGAGAAAGGCTTCCAAGAGACATACCAGCGTGAAGAATTCTAAAGGCTCTCTCCACGTCCTTACGATACACTTCTTGCATCCTAGAGAATAATTGATGTTGTCGTCCTTGAGGATTCGAAAATGATTGGACAATTGTGTTCCAATTTGGATATATTCCATCTTGATAATATCGAACCTGCAAAGCACGTCCTTGAATGACATCATACAAAAGAGGTGACTTGTATAGTACGTTGAGGTCATTAAATACTCCCGGCATTCCGAAGTTGGTGTGCTAGATCCATGTGTTGTAAGAAGCAACCGTTTCAAGGATTATGGTTGGACGACCATAGTGGCCCGTGTATGCCCCATGGTGTGACATTGGGTAGTTTTTCTACTTTCAATGCATGCAGTCAAGGCTTCCTAGCATGCCAGGAAACCCCCGTTCCTCGGCTTTTTGGAGCAGTTTTTGTAAGTTCACCCTCGTTTGTTTACGAAGATATTCAGCCTAGAAGGGGCAGAAGTGGCTGGGTTTGATGATTATTGAGCTGGAACTGCACTGTGGTACCTGTTCTGCTTGATCAGGGCTCTCCATAAATTTGTTGAGGTTTTTATATTTGTAAAACCCAAACTCTACTTGATTTGGCTTATGCTGAACCAAATTTGTAACGAGAGAAATCTCGTTTTGAACGACTTATTTCTCTAAGTCTAAACTGGAGTTGGAAATTTTGATTTGTATCTGGTTTCTTTCTTGTGGCTCAATGAGCTTTTGGTTGCTTCAGTGTTTTGAAGGTTTTTGAGATCAAGTGATCATTTTGAGTTTGCTTTTGATTGATTTTTTGGTTGTCCTTTGATCTGTTCACCTCTTCTCATATTTATAGAAAATGCTGGAGTGAGTTTTTTAAATCTTAAAATGGGCGGCAGATTTTCTAAAAATCAAGATCTTTGTATTTTTAAATATCAAAGAAAAGGGGAAGTTATTTGTTTGGCAGAAAAGAACCATCAATAATCAGTTTTCATGAAGGTCTTTTCCTTGCTTTTTCCTGAAAGAAAAACCAACTCCTCTTTGTTCCCTGTTGTTCTTCGTAGAGAGAAAGAACACAATCTATCATGATGGTCAGTTTGCTTTTCCTGTTTGAATAACTCCCTGTACCATGCTTATCTCTTTTTTAGAAAATATAGCCTGCTTATCTCTTGGAAATGGCACCTGCTCTAGAGCAGAATTTTTCTGAATATAGAAAAAGGGATTTTGATCTTCTTTTGACCGAAAAGGCTGGAGAATTTTGCCTGTTTATAACCTGCTTTCATTAACTCCATATCAACCCAGTTGAAATAGCTGACTTTTCAAAGCTAGATAGTCATGTGGGTTGCCTCTGTTTTTGGGTTTTTCTTTTTTCATTTGATCATGTCAGGCCCATGTTGAGTTTTTGGAACTGTGGGCTGATTTCTTTTTTTATGTTTTTCGAAGCCCAAGTTTATATTTGTGGGTTGACAGGTCCTGGGCTGGGCTTTCTTAATTTTGGGCCCTCAATTCCAATTTAAATGCAAAGCCCAATCTACTTGGGTCCCGAGGTTGCTTTGTTATTCTAGGCCTCCAATGCTGGGCTTGGCGTGCAGATTTTGGCCCGATCATAAGGAGAATGCTGGTGGTTGTCCAAAATTGATATGGACTTTTGATATTTGGATTGGGTGTGCCAAATTAGGCCCAAATAGTACCATATGCAAGCATACACAAGGCGGCTGTCATCTTCACTTGTGAGAAACCCAACTTTCCAGTGGCATCAAGTTTTTGTTTGAAGTAATCGTCAAAATGGACAATTTGTTCCATTATTCGATTAAACAATTCACTCCTTATGTGAAACATATTACGAAAAATCTAATGGGGGATACAACGGATGGTTAGAGAAGTAATTTTGAAAAAGGTTTTCATGGGCACTTACTCGATCTCTTGGTATAGTACATCGTTGTGACGATGTACCCCTGTGGACAACCACCGAGGCCTGCTCCTTCTTCTTCACTGCTCTTTTCCTTTGGTAGCTTTCGAACATTTCCAAAAACATTATGTTGGCACCTATCTCATCACTAGAAGAGCTATTATATCCATTGTTGGTCATTCTAGTGTGGTGGTAGAAGAAGGAATATTGATAATACAAGAGTTGGGAGGTGGTGTGTTATGAAAATAAGGTGGTTGTTCATTTATAGAGGATATGATGGTTTAAGAGATAACAAATATACGGATGAGATTCATATGAGGTAATTGGATCCAACGGTTATTGTAAGATATATGAAGAGATAAGATTTTTTATCTGAAGTCATAACGAATGGGACCCATATCCATCTACCACTATTATTATCTGACAAATGTAAATGGCATAGGATGGAAGGCCATAACGAAGGGGACCCATATCTAGCTATCACCATGCTACCACAATTATTATCTGACAATGTAGATAATAGAGGGGTGGAAAACCATAATGCAAGGGACACATATCCAACTTTGGGAGGACCACCAAATTAATGTTGTGCATCTTGTTTTAATTTAACCATGTTGTTGTATCGTATCTATGGGTTAACGGAGGAAAGAGAGGGTGCCAGAGAGAGAGAGAGAGAGAGAGAGGGAATGGGAAGGAAGAGACGAAAGAGAAGAAAGAGAAGGAGAAAAAAGAAAAGAAAAAAAAGAAAGAGATATAAATTTACAAAAATACTCATGCTGTTAACCCGCTCTTAATGGGTTAACGGGTTTTTGCGAATTGACCCGACACTACCCACACGACCCGATAATTCAGACCCGAATACTAAAATTTTCGTATGAATTCGTGTTATATTCACGGATCGTATACAATATTGCCAGGTCTAAGAGCAAGTCCAGCGCTGAAGCCAAAACTAGGCAAAAGGCTGCCCTAGCGAGCCCCAGTGCACATCAATCAGCCCAGGCAAATGGTGGGTCCCACCAGCCTGGGCAAGCCCAAGGGCTAATCTTGCATGGGCACCAAACCTCAGACTGCTGACGTCAGCAGCTGATTTTCAATTTTTTTTTACTGTTGGACCCACCAGCCCACATTGCCCAATGATTATAAGCCATGTGGCTTCTCTTGGAGCCTCAGATCAAAAAATCTTGTACAATCCAACGGTTGTCCAATTTTTGGCTAAAAAAATATCAAAAAATATAAAAAAATATCAAAAAAAATATCAAAAAATATTGGAAATTTTTTCTATACATACCTACCAATATTATTCACTTTCCACACTAATTTAATTTAAAAATTTTATCCGAAAATGTTATCTTGATTTTTAGGTGAGGATTTTACGATAAATATTAACACTTGGGAATTGAAAATATTATCCGAAAAGCTTATCAAAATCAATGGTTTAAGTATAAAAAATAAAAAATAAATTTAAGTGAATAGTAATTGCCTTAGACTTGCCCTAGACTTTGCCATCATGGGTGGAACCACAAATGCAAAGGCTGATACTATTCATGTGAATAGTGGCAGCCCTTGCCTTAGGCCATTTCCAGCAGCCCCTTCGGGCTCGGGTTGGGGGGGGGGAAGAGCCCAAAAGGAGCTTCCAACAACAAGTGCTGGCCCGGGCAGTGTGTGGTCCACTTGCCTGGGCTGGCCCAAAGGCGAAGGGAGCCCGAGTGCGCGGCTGACGTCATCGCTAATGCCAGCGTGATGTCAGCACACGGTTTTAAATTTTTTTTACCGTTGGCGCGTGCAACGTGAAAAAAAATTGAAAATCGCGCGTCAGCTTTTGCGCCCAATGGATATGTGTGACGCGGCGGCCTCTCATCCTTCCGATTTCACCTTGTCAGCCAATCCTACGGCATGGAATTTTTCCAAGCAAAAATGATGAAAAAAAATCGTAAAAATTTGTAAAAAAATCCCAAAAAATACTTTTTTTTTTTTTTTTTTTAATACCAAATACCTACTCTTCAGTTTTAACAACAAAATCTCATACATCTTCTCCTTCTCCAACTATTATTCACTTTCTATTCAATATTTTCTTCACTTTTTACTCTAAATTGTTTTCATTTTCAAGTTTAATTTTTCTCTATCATTATGGCTTTTTCTCAAGAAACCGGAGGGGCATGGAGCATTATGGAAGATGTCCTGTTGTGTGAGTGTTGGATCCAAATTAGTCATGATCGGGTAATGAGATGAAATTCAGTCAAATGTGGAAAAAAATTCTTCACGAATTTGTTGAAAGATCGGGTTCCACCCGTACGGAAAGCGCATTGTCAAGTTGGTGGAAACTTCTCAACAAAGAGTTGGGGAAATGGAGAGATGCCCTCACAAAAGCGATGAATAACCATGCAAGCGGGGAAAATCTAAGCGATGAGGTAAATTATTTGTAATTTTCATTTTATTAATTTTAATGTCCTATTAATTTTAATTTTAATGTTTCTTGCAATTGGTATATTTTGTTAATATTTCTTGTATTTCCATATGTATTTAAATGTTTCTTGCAATTTTTATATTTTGTTATTATTTCTTGTATTTCTAATATTTATATAAATGGTTGTTGCATTCTCTATATTTTGTTAATATTTCTTGTATTTCCATATTTATTTGAATGTTTCTTGCAATTTTTATATTTTTTATATTTCTTGTATTTCTAATATTTATTTGAATGTTTCTTGCATTCTCTATATTTTGTTAATATTTCTTGGATTTTCATTCATATGTTTATCTTTTTTGCATTACCAATATTTTTTTTAAGTTCCTTGCTTATTCAATTTATTTTTATATAGATTGTGCAAGCTCAAATGTGGTATGGTGCTATTGGACAAGGGAAAAAAAATTTCAATCATACCCAATGTTGGGAGGTGGTGAAGCATTGTAAGAGATTTAACATTATTCCAACGGCTCCAACGGTGGTGTTAAACGAGACGTCACTCCATGATTCACAAGCTTTGGATTCGCTTATGGAATCCCCTATGAGTGAAGACTCACCCATTCAAAAGGAGTCGAGGCCTATTGGGAGGAAGGCGGCGAAGGCAAAGCGATGAATTAATTCTACGAGTAATACCACTAAATTTTTGGAGGAAATTGCAAGGCAAAGCGCCTTGAGAATTGAAATAGACAAGCAAGTCCAAGAAGATGATAGGGCAATGGCAATAGAATTTGCTAAAGAAAGGGAGTATGTACGCAAAGAAAGGGAGTATCAACGCAAAGAAAATGAAGAGAAAAGGATCGGGAAACCATGACTATAGATACAAGCCACATGTCTCCTGAAACAAAACAATATTGGAAGCTAGAATGAAAGGCTATTATGAGACGAAGACTTTTTCGTGATGATGGACCTAGCAATACGGATTGGTTAAATAATGAAAACCCTCAAGTTAGTTTGCTTGCCTTTTCATTTCATTGTATTTTAATGTTTTGTTTTAAAAATTAGTTGGAATTCATGTATTTTATTATATTAGTATTTTATTATATTAGTAGTATTGGTTTTCTTTGAGTTACCAAAGAAACTATTAAATAAAATTCCTTTTTATTCAAAACATTCAATACATAAAAAAACTAACCACAACCAAAGCATTAAAAATATAAAAACAAACAAACCACAAACAAACCACAACCAAAGCATAAAAAAACCAAACATAACTAAACATAAAACATAAACATTAAAATATTAAAAATATTGGAAGCTAAAACAATATTGGAAGCTAGAATGAAATTTATATGAAATTGAAAATTTGGAAAAAAAATTTATCTGAAATTTGAAACCGAAAATCTTATCTGAAAATCTTATCCGAATATTTTATCAGAAAATCTCATCCGAAAATATTGTCCAAATTAATTGTTTAGGTAAACAAATTTATGAAAAAAACAAAAAATTGGATAGTATACCCCCTTGCCATGATAACTGCTGGAACTTGAACTTACTATTTGCAAAGGCAGACACTATCCCGTGAATAGTGTCAGCCTTAGTACCCCTTGCCATGGCAACATTTTCACTGCTAGAAGTGCCCTTAGACTTAGCCATTGTAGGTGGAAGTGATCTAAGCTCAACCCCACAATCCGTGGTCAAGTTTTGTTCCATAAACGAGACTCTGACCAAATTTGACCCGTTGGCCGTACTTGATTCGAGTTTGAACATTCTTTTAGGGTTGAGGGTTGTTTCAAAGTTTCCATTTGGAAAATTCCTTATTGCCTTATACTGGGTTTTACAGTACGGAGTACACTCGATTTCTGCCCTTCCTCAGCCACGCTCCAAAATGAGGTTCCTTTTCGCTCTCTGTCTCTGTCTCTCTCTCTTTCTCTCTCTCTCTCTCTCTCTAACTATAGACAGATTTATTTGATTTTGTTTTTTTGTTGTGTTTTGTGGTGTGAACAGTCGGCACCCGGAGGTTCTGTGGGCCCAGCGCTCCGATAAGGTGTACCTAACGGTGGCGTTACCTGACGCCAAAGACATCAACATCAAGTGTGAGCCTGAGGGCTCCTTCAGCTTCTCCGCCATTGGAGTCCAAGGCGAGCCCTTTCACTTCACTTTGGACCTTTACGGACCAATAACGCCTGATGGTTGCAAAACTAAAGTTGGGTTGAGGAACATCCTCTGCTCAATCCAGAAAGATCAGAAAGGTTGGTGGAAACGGCTGCTCAAGACTGAAGAGAAGCCTGCACCTTACATTAAGGTTGATTGGAACAAATGGTGTGATGAGGACGAGGAAGACACTACTTGTGAGTTCTTTTTTTAACATTTCATGAAGTGGGTTATTTTTGCTGTTGCATTTGGAACTAATGTATTTGTATATTTCATTTTAGCTGCTTTTTAAAATTTATTTGTTACCTTGGTTTTATTTTTAGTTATCACTGTCTTTTTTGTTGCGAGCAAATTTCTGATATCCTTGGGTATGTTTATTTGTTGGGTTGTGTAGTTATGAATTTTAGCAACCAGTTTGTGATTTACAAGGTGAAGAGTGAAACAGAAATGAACTTTAATATAGTTCTTGCTATGATGATGATGTTGTTGTTGCTACTGCCACTATTTTGCTAACCATGGTATGTGAAAAAAGAGCCAGGAGGGGAAATTTGAAGCAGGAGGTGGAATAAATTTCCTCAACAATTCAAGAGATATTTGTTTATGTAAAGGCCCTAGATTGGTAGGTAGAGTAGAGGTATGTTGCGTTTTCTATCAGCTGTGCTTGGTGTTGTCTAGTCTGAGTAGTTAAAGATTGAAAGGAGAGAAGCAGCACTATCTGGTGATTTCATTTCCTCACTAAGATGTGTATGAAAGGCTAAAACCTAGCACCTTTACTTTCGTAGGCTTCTATTTTTAGCAAATAGGCCATAGGGATTCACTCATAATTATCGTTATTCGAAGGTTAAAAATAGCAGAGAACGACCAAAGTTCCAAGTAGTTGGAAAAAGAGAAAGCAAAGATTCACAAGCTACGTGTCTTTTTCATATTTGTAGAGTCAATCGAGTATCTACAACTTCTCACCATACTTTGTGCTGTAAGTATGTAGAGGTGTGATCAGTGACCTTGTGTTCGTTTATATTTCCTAGAGAGGAGAGGGAGATGCTGGGAAGAGAGTCAATTTAGGTGGCAGTTCAGCAATTTTGTTAAACAATTCTAGGTTCCTCGAATACAATCTGGTTGGGAAATGCATCTTTTGGGGTTAAAAGAGATGAAATGCTAAACCATTTCTTCATGAGATCAACCCACGTTTTTACTTTTTGGAGAGTAACCACATAGCTGGTTCTATTCAATAGATTTTGATTTTCTTTCAGCTATGTTTGCACATCGTTCCTTTTGTTCTTCTCTCTTTTGGGTCAAAATCGTACTTGTAAAAGTCAGTTTATTTGCTGCCAGCTGTATCCTGTCTTCAATAAATCCCAAGTCCACAAGTTGCAGTTTCCCCTGCATTATCATGCCGGTCACTGCTTTAACCGCTCCAGCCCACCCCAAATCAGGAAAAAATTCCTAAATAATAGCATAGCTCTAACCCACACCCATCACCAAACTTCCCCACCTAAATGGCTCTGCCCACCCCGATGTGAATGGCTAGATACATGCCTAGGTGGGCTAATGTCTGCTATCTGGGCGTTGACATAAGAACCCAAAACTAATGCAAAGTTAGCTAATGGGTTTTTTGGTAGATTACACATTGTAATGGAATAACATGGGAGGGGTCCTTATTAAGATTTTCTACAGATAGGGATTATATTAGTATTTTCACTCGGGTATTTATGTCTTTTAAAGAGGTGACAGGGAAAATTAGGTAATATTTAGATTTCTAATTTTAGTTTGAGGATTAGTTTAGTTAAAGGTCCGTTTTTTTTGTTGTTGTCTGTTTAATTTGGGTTCCTAAAGTTCTGCGAAAATCCTTTTTCCAAATTTATTATATTAGGATTAAGATCCGTATAAGTAAGGCTTTGTAATAAAGTAATTAGGAAACTTTAGGCAGTTTGTGTTGTTTTAATGATGAGATAATCTAAATATCATAGTCCACAAACCCCACCAACAATCAAAGAATCAAAGTGAAAAAATATATACCAAAAATGATGTAAGAATTAGAAACAACATCCTTAGGTTACCATCAAAATGTGAAGTTCACAAGGGATTTGTAAACTTTTAGTACATTTTGCATTGCTTCTTACGTTTGAGTTTGTTTGTTTTGTTTTCCTTCTAAAAGATAGAAATGTTTATATGCTTTTTAAAGACATTTGTAATTGAATGTGTTCTTAAACATACCACAGTAAATTATATAAATTGTGTCGGCTATTAATATTTCTGCATGTATGCATAGCACAAAACAGCAATCTTGTACCTCCTATTTTCAGACTGTATCCAGCTAAGAAGCCCCAAATTTGGTCCTCATCCAAAAACCTTGCATAACTTCTACTTTTTGCCCTCTGTTCCAAATTAGCATCTAAGTTATGGTGCCCGAACATTTGGGGATGATATGCTATCCAAATTGGGGATCTGGTGCTTAAGGATTGGATGGATTCATTTTAGGCGTGATGAAGTCCTTTAAGATGATTCAGGGGAACGTGTTATTATCAGATTGTTTGAGGTTGTGCAGAATTGTCATGAATGTTACTTATGATGTTATTTTAAGGTGCATCTTATAATGTGTGTGTGTGTGTGTGAGAGAGAGAGAGAGAGAGAGAGAGAGAGAGAGAGAGGAACCGAATAACTTGTTTACTGGTTAACAGCTCTAGCCCATCTTAGTTTTCAAATAGAAAACTTAAATGCCATCTAGATTGTTTTCTTTTTAGCTACTTAACATTAATTAGATAAATAAGACTGATTTTCTTTATGTGTATTTGTTGTTTACTATAAGGTTGATATGAGCTCAGAAACCACATTTTGAACCGGCATGTAGTATCTCATCCGAAAACTTTGACATGCTTAATAAAAAACTGGCACCCATCTTCTGTCATGTGTGGTAGCAAAAATGTCCATCACTCTTATATCCATGCCTAGCTTCTAACTACCTCAGGTAGTTTTGACGCAATCTCTCTGGAGATGCAATTATTTTAGAGCTTCAGCATTTATTCACAGAAAAGAATTTATATCATCTGAGAAATTTGGAATTAGTTTTGGTTTCACTATGGGACATCCATGCTGGAACTGTAGCAGCAGGCCACCATTAGTAAGGATGATATGACAGCACTGGTCTTGTCATGCTTTAGATGCCAATGGGTATGATTATCTATAAGATGCTGTTATTGTTCACTTGAAATCCCATGGTTGGCCTTGGGATGCCATTTGGGATGTATTATTGTTGTCTTTGAATTGATAATCTTTAGAATCATGTGCTGGGAATTTACTTTAGTTCTTGAGAGAAACTTTTCTGGATCTGACTGAACTTTTGTGTGGTCTTTTGCAGCTGATTTGGCCTCTGATGATGGCGATGCTGCGGTAAATTTGACACCCTATACCATAGAGTATTGAATTAAGTTCATCTAATCAGGTAAAATGGATTTTTTACTTTTGCAGTATGTCGGTCAAGATGGTGGAAGCAGTGATGATGATGGAATGCTCTGTAAGTCCATATTTCCATTTGACCCATGGAGATGTTAATCATAGTTTCTTTATAGAAAGATGTGCATTGGTTGCGTTTTCCTGAATTTTAAAATTATTCCAGTCATATGTGCTGGTTAGCCTTGTGAAGAATTTGCAAAACTTCTTCCACTAGATAATGTGGCAGCATAGACAGTCAGCCAGTGGCAGCATCCTGTGTTTGCCAAGTTTACTAGTGGTTTGAGTAGTGCGATATGCATTGCATGCCACATAAACTGTCACGTTGATATATTTCAAACCAAAATTTGTGGACTTTTAGTACATTTGGCATTTCTTCTTATTTTTGAGTTTAAATTTTGTTTGTCGTCCTTCTAAAGATGAAATGTGCATTTGCATTTTTAGACATTTCTAATTGAGTGTGTTTTTAAACAAACCATAGTGAATTATGTAGGCTGTGTGGGCTATTAACATTGCTGCTTTTCTATGCATAGCAGACACAGACACAGACACAGACACACAGAGACACAGACACGCGCACACACACACACACACACACACACACACTCTATCTCTCTCTAAAGCCTACAATCACTTTTCTCTCCATTATTTTCAACTTTCAGTCAGTCCATTTCTCTTTTAATAGAAGAAATGCATGCGCTGCATTTTAGGACATTGCGATTTCGGTCTGTTTTAGAGAAAATCATATGAACTGTGTTGGGTGTGTGCTGCTTTCGTTACGCATGCTACATGCCTTTTCCGCATCTCCATCTCTCTCTCTCTCTCTCTCTCTCTCTCAATGTTCTTTAACATCTGGTTTTGGATTGTTTAACAGATCTTCCGGACCTGGAAAAGGCAAGAAAGTAAGCAATTTGGGATGGACAGCATAGAACTCTTATGAGCAAGATAGAAATTAGAATAGGGAAAGTTCACTTCATGGAAGGCAGAACTTTGGACGTGACAGATCCTTGTAACTATTTGGTTATCCTCATGCGCTAAACTTGGTCTCATCTTTGATTCTAACTCACAGTTTTCAAGAGGCGGAACTAAATTACAGGGATAGTCTGTCCATTGTGAATCTTAAAATTATAACAGCAAAAAAAAAGAAAAAAAAAAGGAAAAAATGTAGACCAGTTGCTGTTGTAATACAAATCATCTTTAAGCTGACACCTCCTGTTGCTATATGAACACGGCACAACTCGTTTGTTAATAAATAGGCGGTTTAAAATCACAAATGGTGCTACTGCTACTTGTTTATCCTACATGTCAAAAGCCAGTCGTGTGGTTTTAAACTTTAATTTTGTTAAAAATGCCCTTATGTTCTCCATCACATTTAGTGGTAATTTTGTTGAAAATGCCCTTATGTTCTCCATCACATGTAGTAATCTTACCACGTCAATGATGGAATTTGTGAAGTTTCTTGTTTGGCTAACGTAAAAGACAGGATTTATGAAGTTTCTTGTGAAGTTTCTTGTTTGGCTAACGTAAAAGACAGGATTTATGAAGTTTCTTGTTTAGCTAACGTAAAAACACAAAATTGATCGCCTTATCAATCTATAGATTAGTGGTGGTGTGGTGGTGGCAGTTGCAGTTACATCATATTTGATGTATGTGGTAACTGAATGAATGCTTTGAATCAGTAACTGAATGAACGACGGAAGAGAAGCTGCTTATACAATAACTCCATTATTGTCATGCCAAATAGAGTGACAAAACCAACATGTAACTTGTTTTTGGTGTTCTGCCAAGGAGTAAAGTCTTGATAATGATTTACAAATGGACACATGGAACCTACCCTTCTCTATGCATTTTCCAGGGAGACACCGTGCCAAACCTGATGCACGACGAAGTCTATTTAGTATCGACAACACGGACAGGGATAACTGGAATTGAATCCCACCATTCTTTTAGTCGTCTGCTGCTTTGGTTCTCCCCCTTGCTCAACCCTAACCTCGATGCCAATGTCATAGCGAAGCAACAAAATATTCCTGCCATTATAACTAACTTCATTGGAACCACTGCTAAAAATATTGCTACCGCACTCATCGCCATCATCGCCATATCTGCATGCTGCAATAACAATCAATAATTACTTCAGTTGAATGAAACTGAAATAAGTAACCAACAATTTTTCAACAGTAAATTACTGGCAGATATGATGCGCTGACAAGAACTTCAAATAAGCATGAAAAAAGTGACAATAACATGAGCATTGACATTTGAACCATTAATTGAATTGCCAAGTACCATCAAATTCATATTTAAACTACTGCGGCATGCTGTCCACTCATCTCGGTGCCAATGTTATGCTCGCATTTCTAATGCTTTTAAGAGAATTTCTCGTTCGCTCACATTTCTTAATTTCCTTTTCCTTTTCTGATATCCCTATAGTTAGAACTGGAAATTACAGTGAGTTGTAGAAGTAAATGTATAGCTTGGCATTGTAAATACCTTGTGAGCCTTCGAAATAAATATGGACCACAACTTCATTAATGAAACATTTGCTGTTTGCACCATTTCGTGCACAGTTTGCATCCCATGTTGAGCAGAAACTATGCTTTCCATTGTACTCTGGTCTGATGCAGTGCACACTACTATCTCATTGCATTTTGTATCAAGCCTTTGTAGTCTAGCTCTAAACATCTTTGCCACCAGCCACAGCAAGAAAGCTGCTATTGCTTTGCCAACCCATTCCCTAAATATTAGTAATAAGTTATTGTTAACTAAATCTCATCACAACTTAGCATAAGTAGCACTTCAATTAGAGAAAACACTTACTGGTAAGTCACTATTAAAGCAGCAGCAATCACAACAAGGGTGGTTGACGGTCTTTCCCATGTGAGGACTTCTTCAAACCAAGGCACAGAATTTCTAAGGGGCCTTAGTAACTCCTACATGAAAAAACGGCACAGTAATGAGGGATGCATGAGGAGACAATCTAAAAAAACCACATCCATACTAGTGCACCATAAATATGAGAGGAACATACTAGAGATGGTCACCTAGTGAGAAGAAGATCTTTATAGAGGTGACTTAAATGGTCATACAGGGTAAGATAACGGACATAAAAAGATCCATACGGGTAAAGTTTGGGGGAAGGGAAGAGGGAAGAGAGGCCTTCTTGTAATTTGCTACTGTATATCATTTTTACAAATCTGTGCTTTAGGAAGAGGAATGCGCACTTAATGACATTTATAAGTGTATATAATATTAGTCAAATAGAATAATTTCATAATTACTTCAAAGATATACCAAGGAGTAAGGATTTCAAAGTAATTATTCCTGGAGAAAATAGCTCCACAACATAGATTAGTCATTGTATGAAGAAAAGAAACAGGAAAAAGGGACAGCCATGAACAAATGGAAGAACGTGGTTAAAGTTAGTGCAGAGCCTCACCACATAGTGCAATGGAAGAAGAGAATTCAAGTACCGGATTCCACTTGGTGGGATTAAAACCTAGTTGAGCTGAGTCGTTAAATGGAAGTTCTCCTAAAGTGACATCAATGGGGGTAAGATGCTTACCAAAAAGATAGTAGTGCTTTCGCTGATTCCCTCCTCTTTCAGTTCCTTTGTGGTAGCTTTGGCAATAGCAATATCCTTTTCTTCCTCTCTTGATTGATTAATTGCAGTTTCTAGTTGGAAACTGTCTTCATCTTGAACAGTTGGACTTATACTTTCATTGCCAGCTTCTGTTACGTCTAAACGTGAGATGATTGACTCTGACATGTTCATAGTCCTTAGAATGGAACTAGCACTGCATGGGTGCCCGCTATTGACCTTCTTTAGACTCTCAGCAAGCTCTTCCAGAACATAGTCTCCCTTTGGTAACTCATCGAACAAGGAAAAAATTAAGAATCTTGTCGGTGTAGGGGGTGATATTCTTAGCATTTCTCTTGCTGCATGAAGCCTTGTTATTGATAGTATTGTCCTTGCATGCATCTCCCATGCTTGTATTGGACATTTTATTTCATACTTTGCAAGGAAACGGTGCATCAACATAATCTCCTTCGTGAGTGCAAGCCAGTGGTCACGTCTTGTAGAGCTTGTTACCTCAGGAAACTCCAGAACTATCCCCTCTGATCTAGAAAATTGGTGAGACGAGTAATTCAAAACAAAAATATCAAGATTTTAACAAACTTTGCATTGTTGTGTTTCTGTTAGGTAGATGTCACATCCATACAATTGCCACAAGGAGGGCTAGAAACCCTTCAGCATTTAGCATGAAACAAGTTGAGTCAAAACATGCACTATGAAGTTTGCAGCAATCCATTTTTCAATCAAGTTATTTGCTCTACAATGCCACATGGCACTCTAGCGAAGGTTTTAGTTTTTCAGTGTCAAATGCTAGTATCTAAAAATTCGATGCAGAGTAATATGTCCTTACAAATCAGGAGACTCATAAACTATAGCCTTGTCAAAAAGTGGGGCACCCCATGGCCCTGTTGCAGCTGGTTTCACACTTTGCTCCATATCCTTTGAAAGGTCTATTTTAAGGGCATCTTCATATGTTATAACTCCAGAAGCCTCAAAGTAGAGTGCGTAATTTGTTAGTGTAAGCCTACCTGAAATAAAAACACCAATTCATGGTTGGCCAGATCGAAGCAATTATTTAATTCTGGGGAAAAAAAATTATAAGTTTGTGATGATCAAAGTTGTCCTTTTAAACAAACCGGGCCAACTTGTTCCTCCAATGTGGCGCACTACTCTCTGTGTGCTAGCAGTTCCCTCCACGTGTAAAATGAATTCGTCATCTGCAAGCTCCGCACCCTTGGGCTTTGCATGTTTTTGCAAATGTTTTATACATCTACAAAAATCAAAATAGTACACAAAAGGAAAAAGTTTGAACAATCTTTTCAAAACTTTAAATGTAAGCATACTTTTATGAGTTACGCTACCATTTGTCATCTGTTACCCCCTTTAAATGTATTTGGCTCAGCAGATAACTAATTAGTCTGCAAGCAGGTTGATGTATTCTTAATCAGACTACACAATGTTTGGCTTCCTAACCTCGAGGATCTCCATAAATGGGTATGACTGGAAAACTACGGTTAAAAACTAATGCAGATCCGACTGATGTGATAGTTCCAGTAATCAATCTTGCATATGATAAGGTTCAAATTCAAGTATTGGTCAAAGACTGCATTTAGATTAAGTATGGACATGTGAAATGAGTGTTATTGTCTTCTTTAGTCTAAAATGCGTAGCTGCTAGTCTTTTACAATGCATGTTTGTCATAGAGTGTATTAAAGAGTGTCTCCAGCAATATTATTTGTGTAGATGCTTATTTAGTATGCATCAATACATCATAAAATTGCAATATAGGGTTAGATGCATCACCTGTCAATTTCCTTTAAAAATTTGTCATAGGCAGGAAAATGGAGCCGGTTTCCTGTAGGTGCTGTTAAAGTTTCAAAGGTAAATCTCCCATTAACAACATCTGCAACTAGTGGAACCAGCGATCCCAACCACACAAATGCATCTTCTCCAACATCTTGCTCATTATCAACCTGCCAGACAGTACATAGAGCATGAATAAGAAAATACAAACATACTTACAACTACAAGGAGGGATAGAAGACTATTGTTCAAGCCACTGCCATTACTTCATACCAAAACTTGGTTCAATCCATAATTCCATGTATGCTTTGTTCTCGAAAAATCAATGCTTGCAAATTAAACTTTAAGAACTGATATAGCTTACAAGAAGTGGCATGATGTCGGAATAGAACAGAGAGATCTCATCTTGTTCTGTAGAAAATTTTGCAGGTACTTTCTTCTCTTCTTTCTCCTTTGCCACACACTCCTGAAAACCCCATAGATATGACACGTGTTGCAACAACAATAGAAATACTAGAGACGAAACCAAAAAATAAATTAAATCCCAATAATAAGAAGTCTGGTAGGAAAAAAAAATAATACCATGTGTTACAAAGCTGAATAGGTACAGCAATTAGAAACAGTGACATAATCATCATTTAGGGTAGGTCTAAGGTTAGAGGATTTAGGGTAAGGCTAGGGGAATAGTTAGAAGAAACTAGCAGAGGTGGAGGTAATTAGGAATATTTGAAATAACTAATATGCAATTAAATATTAGAAATGCATATCTTCTTTTTTCTTCCCATAAAAATATGAATGTGTCAATGTATTATAATAGTTCAATCAAGAAGTTTCACTACATAATAATAACTACGTCGCGATATATGAAATCACTCATCCTCCCAAATGGACCCTGTAAATGATGCAAAAAAACAAAAGTAAAATCTCATTTGATTTTATTCTTAGTAAAACAGATCGAATTTGTTGAAATTGCATTATGAAATTTTTTGGTCTTTGATAATTTTGATCCACTAGACTTTGCAATGTAACATATAACATATGTACAAACATTACTCTATAAAACTCATAGAGGCATCCAAACCAGAGTTAGAATTACTAATATTCACAATCATATGAAAAGTTGATCACTATGTTTTCTGTTCAACAAAAATGGAAAAGTTAATCAATCAATCACCGTGAAAGATTCTTCGTCCGCTGAAGCGGGCATCTCCCAAGCGAGCATCATGTCGAAAGTGAAGCGGCTAAAAGACCCATCCGCAATCTTTTCCTCAATGGTTTTGCAAATGTCACGAGTCTGCAGAACCTTGGCACTGCAGAATTCTACAAATTTCCTCCCGTAACTATTGTTGTTATTATTAGTAGCAGTAATATTATGACCAACCGGCGCTGTTTCATCTGCCTTCCATGTAGTCTCGAATTCCTCCACCAGTTTCTCCACAGGAGTTTCCAATTTTCTGCCACATAACATAATCATTTAACAAATATATATACACACACACAACCAGTTTTATATTTTTATATATCCAACAATTTGGAGAACAACATCTATAGGAGGATTTAACAAACATATACACACTTTTATTTAGCCGTTTCATCTGCCTTCCATGTAGTTTTCTAAGAGAGAGAGAGAGAGAGAGAGAGAGAGAGAGAGAGCGATCACTTACAGAGCACAGCTTTGTACGACGTCGTTGGCAATGGAGGAAAGATGTTTCAATCTGTCTGCCATTGTTGAGTTGGTTGCAACGTTCAGATTAGGTTGCAGAAGTAGTGCGATTTGCAGAGATAACCTTTGGCTTAATAGGGAGAAGAAAGAAGCGGTGAGATGTGTTTCTTGATGGAGCTGCCACGTTTGGATGGCCATGCAGCATTGCAAGTACACTTGTTGCACGTCCCTTATTTCCCTCAGCAAATCAATCCTCGCTCCAACTCTAGCAAGCGGCTAGAATGAGGGGCAGATAGTAGCCTTTCGATCAATCAAACGGTATAAAACAACCTGCTTGGAAGCAATTACCTGTTTCTGAATAACCCACAAATAAATCCAAACCCAAATGCTTTGCTCTCTTTGGCTCCATCTCACTTCCGACCTGCCCTTGGCTAACCTTGGCTATAGCCCAGGGGACTTTGTCTTTTTTAACCCTAAACTAATATACCCAAAAGCACAGCCAATGGACAACCATGCACTGCACTCCTTTATTGATTGTGCGCCATGTGGATACTCCACTGTTATGAGCCTATGACTATCCACACATCACACTCGCTTTGTTTTGGACTTTTTTTCTTTTTTTTATATGAAATTTTGCACCATAAACCCTTCACTTTGTTTTTTGGGGTACAAAAAGGGGCCAAAGGCCAAACGCAAACAACCCCCACTTTTTGGTCAAAAACAACCCTTATTTTCTTTTTTTTAGGTAGAAAATAACATGCCCTTTACTTCAGGCACCTTTGCACGTAGAAAAACAGAAAAGAGATATGTACTAGATGCATTTTGAGGGGTAATACTCATTATTCCCTCTTCATTATGACATATCTTTATGTTACAACCGGCTTGCAAGCAATTACCTGTTTCTGAATAACCCACAAATAAATCCAAACCCAAATGCTTTGCTCTCTTTGGCTCCATCTCACTTCCGATGGTTGCCTACCCTAAGATAAGATTGATTTCTTTTTTACACACAAAAAAAAAAAAAAAAAAAAAAAAAAAAAGGACCTCGGATGCAATGTAACCACATGAACTAGAAGCCTCTTGCATGAATTTATTAATAAAGGCAGTTTAGTTTATCTTCAAAATTTTATGATTTGGAACTACATTTTTCTGTTCCCCCAACAATTATAGATGTTGAAGAGCTTGGAGATTGGATGAAGACTTGGCTTGCCCAACATCATATGTTTGAAGCTCTCACAAATAAAGAGCTTGGTTTTTGAAATCTTTCATAACCAAATAAATCCTACGTTGGACTTGTATCTTATTATTGCCCATTCTAAGGGCCATACACTACTACATTTTACGCTTTGCACGACGAAGAGAATTTCGTCGCACAAAGTTACCTTTAGTCGCACATAATTCTACGCGACAGAAAATTCGTCACGCACAATCCGTTGCGCAAAGAGCGTAAAGAAAGACTTTGAGCGACCAATTTTTTTCATTCGTCACGCAAAACTGTACGACGTAGCACCTTTGTTACAGAAAAGGTTTCAGGACGACACAACTGTTCGACGCACAAACCTTTGCACAACGAAAGAGTATTCATTGCAAAAACACTGCGCGACGGAAATTTTCGTCGCATGAGATTAGCGTTTGCGCGACGACATATTGTGCGACGAAAAATCGTTGTCGTGCATACATTTTTGGCACGACGAAAGCCTTCGTCGCGAAAGAATAAATTAAGTGTATTTAAAATTTTTTTTTTACGTTTTTTTTTAAAAAAAAAGTGAATTTGCGAGACGAGAAACATTTCGTCGCGCAAAATTAATATATATTATTTAAATTTAATATTACGTTTTTTTTATTTTGTAAAAAAATAAATTTGGTTTTTTTTTTGGGTAATAAAATGAAATTGCAATAAAAAAATGTATTGTAAAGAATACATTTATTATATAAAATAAAATAAATGTATACAACAAGAGAAATATTTAAAAAATAATTATGAAAATAAATAACTAATCAAATAATGTTCCAAAATCTACATGGTCGTTTGGCATATGCGGCTCGGAGGTCTGGGGGTCTAAAGGGGCCGTGGTCTGGTGGGGATGCTCGGGGTGGACGGGCTCGGAGGTTGGCGCACCAAAATTCGGGATTGGAATGCCGGACCGCGCGAGGGACTGTAGAATCACCGACATCTGACCCTCAAGCTCGGCCACCCGTGATGTCAAAACAGTCACCTGACTATTTGCCTGCGACGATAACCGGGGTCTAGATTCCCTATATCGGACATTCCCCATTCCTCGACAATATGTTCCCGGCCTCCTCTCGAAAGTATGATCCAACGTCTCCGTCAAGATCTGAAATCCAGCATCCTGTGGAGGATCAACAGACTCGATTGAAGTCTCGGGAGGAAGTTGGGAGGCAGACTCCTGAAGAACCAACTGGCTCATCTCCACCATCGTTGTCTGTTTAACATAACATAAAATATAAATTAAAATGTGCATATAATTGAATGCGTAACATAAGAATTAAAATGAAATAATACTTACATGAAGGGATTCGGCCAACTCATTCCCAGGTCGAACATAAACGTCACCAAAGACGTCCATCTCTGGGAATTTCGACCCCCCTAAATTGAACAAGAGAAGAAAAATATTAGTATGAAAAAAATAAATTAATAATAATGACATATAAATTAAATATAAATTATTTTATTATTACCCGTCATCGTGCATCCATCCTATATGAGAAGGGCCTGGAACCGGAATGGTGGAGAAGAGTCTTCTTCTTCCTATTGCCCTTATTCACTTGGGCTTTATTCTATTTTACATAAAATAAAACGTATTAGTTGAAATATAAAAAATTATATAATAATGAAATATAAAAAATGAAATAAACATTAATAAGAAATATGTAATAATTAAACAAATATTATTAAAAAATACCACATAATCAGGCGCCTGAAAATGAGCACAGAGCCACGCCCAACTATCCTCCCGGCCCTTAAGCTCCTTCGGGTAACCCTCCTGAAGAGTGACTTGCGGATCATCAAATGCCTCAAAATGGTGGTGCAAGTCGCTCTTCCACTGCTTGTACCTCTCAGAGAAGAGTCTGTTGACGTACGCCAATGACTAGTCGTCGAGGTCCTCCAAGTTGTAGTTAGTCTGCAAGAAATTAATTATATACATTAAGTAATACAAATATATAAAGTTTGAAAGAAAAAGAATTAAAATGTAGGATACATACCGACAACTGGCCGCGCACCTCTGTCTTGATCTCGTCAGGCATGACCTTCCAAGACTTCCATTGCATCGGGCAATGGGTACGCACGACGTGACCAATGTCGTGGGCCAAGGAGCTGTGCAACTCCGGCGTCGGTGCAACTCGATGTCACTCGTCGTATCCGATGTTGATACGACTGTTGGTCACCTGGGTGACCTTCGCTGTCTTCAACTGCCGACACTGCCCTCGGGTGTTCTTCTTGGTTGCAAAGAAAATGACATTAATAAATAACAAATTTAACTATATAAAAAAAGAAAAAAAAGAACTGGAGCTTAAGGAAATCTATATCTGGTTGTGCCCCCGATGCATCAGTCGATGTGGTCTCGGTGGTGCTGGCGGGCCGATGACGCCGCTTGGCGCTAACCGACTGTGCCACTGATGAAGTCGATGAAGCAAGTGCCTGGGACCCCACGGGACCAACTGCCAAGTGGTGCCGGCTGAGCCGAGGGATCCGAACTCTGTGCAGTCGTCTCCGCCCTACGACGTCTAATCAGGTCTGACATTTGCACAATTTCATTAATACACATACAAATGGTACAACATACGCGACCTAGGGTTTGCGAGTTCGGAGTATCTGGGACTTCGATCCACGATCTGTCGAATCCTTCATGATCCTAGAAATACAAGGTACAACATACGCGAGTTTGAGTTTTATCCAACGGTTCGAACATATCAAACCCGTAAATTGCACAATAAGCAAAATCTGTTTGAGACTCAAACGGTAACCAAATTCCAATCCGAACAAACCTATGCGCTCGTGACAACTAGGGGATTGCACTGGGACCCAATGCACACTGCTACAGTATCCCACGCGTAGGCAGCTCGTGGGTGTCCAAAGCGATAACAATCGTCGGAAATTTCTAAAAGTTAAGGGCCAAGGTTCCTACCCTAGGTTGAAAATATCATTTGGACGCACTATTGTTCTTGGACCTACCCCCAAAAACTGCCGGAAGTGGTTGGAATTTCAATTAAAAAACCATCCGAAACTTAGGGTTTAAAATCGACTGCCCTATTCAAACAAGTAATGAAATCCTACTAAACTATCAGCTAAAGCATCAAAAATAGTCCAGAAACCATACCTCAGGTGTCGGATTTGGTGGCCGGAGGAGAGAGAACGAGGTCGGCGAAGGTTCGGTGAAAACCGAGCAAATTCCGACGGTAGGATCGACGGTGACAACGGGGAAGCTTCGGGCTTCGAGGGTTGTGGCGGCCCGATCTCAATTGTGGCGGAGTAGGGGGTCGAGGTGACGGCGGAGAGAGAGAGAGAGAGAGAGAGAGAGAGAGAGAGAGAGAGAGAGAGAGAGAGAGAGTTAGGGCAAAGTTTGAGAAACTGAGGAAGAAGGAGAAGCTCGCGACGTTTCTGAAACTTATTCGACTTTGCGTGACGAAGGACTAAAAGCATCGCGCAAAATATTTTAAATGAATATTGCGCGAATAAAGCACGTTGATTTCCGTCGCGCAATGTTGTGACTCTGCCAAAATTTGGAATTAGGGTTTAGGGTTTGCATTTTGCGCAACGAAGAAACCAAAACGTTGCGCAAGCTTCTCCAATCATTCACTTTGCGCGACGCAAGAACAAGACTTTCGTCACACAAGGTTGTTAATCCGCCAAAATTTTGGGATTTAGGGTTTGCGCGGGGGGAGCTAAATTAAATGAGATTGCACGATGAAGAAAACAACATTTCGTTGCGCAAGCCTTTGACCAAAAATTCGCCAAAATTTTTTACCAAGTGTTAGGGGGCACTGAAAGGTCTAAATGAGATTGCGCGACGAAAAAACGCTTGTCGTCGTGCAAGCCTTTGTTATGTCCACTTTGCGCGACGAATAGTTGTGAGTTTTGTCGCGCAAGCCTGTGATTGCCAAAAATATGGACTAAGTGTTCCGGGGGGGGGAGTGAAAGGTCTGAATGAGATTGCATGACGAAGGAACCGGTGTTGTCGCGCAAGTCTTCGTTCTGTACACTTTGTGCGACGAATGGTCGTGTGTTTTGTTGCGCAAGCCTGTGATTGCCAAAAAATTTTACTAAGTGTTCCGGGGGAGAGTGAAAGGTTTGAATGAGATTGCGTGACGAAGGAACCCGTGTCGTCGCACAAGCCATCGTTTTTTTCGTCGCGCAAAGTGTAACCCTAAACCCTAAACTAGTTTCAATGATCCAACCGGCAAACTTGTTTTTTTTATACTTCGAGATCGTATACTTCAAAAATCGGAAAAAATAAACACTCAGAGATCAAGTAACGAGACAAAATATTTCAACGGTTATAAAGGAAAAGTCACGATTTAACGGTTATTTTAACTCCGATTTCGATGATTTTTTACAGCTATATTTCTTGACCGAATATGAATACAATGAATAAATTTGATCTTCAATTTGAGATATTTACACTAGGGGATATCGCATAATCTTATGTTATATTTAACGAAAGTATAAATAAACTATTCATTGTTGGTGAATATTGTGTTTTGATGGCATACGCATTCTACGAAACTAGTCTCAGCAATCCAGCCGTCAAACTTGTTTGTTTATATTTCGAGATCATAGACCCCAAAAATCGGAAAAAAAAACATTTAGAGATCAAGTAACGGGACAAAACTTTTCGACGGTTATAAATGAAAAGTCATGATTTAACGGTTATTTGAACTCCGATTTTGATATTTTTTACAGCTACATTCCTTGACCCTATATGAATACAATGAACTAATTCGATCGTCAATTTCAAATATATATGTGTGTATATATTTAAAATATATATATATATATTTGCGCGACGAGGGAGACCTTTTCGTCGCGCAAAATGTCTTCATGCGACATACGGTTTGTTGTCGCGCATAATTATAACTTTACGCGACGAGTAGCTTCTGCATCGCGCAAAATAAGCGTGACGAGGCGTGCTTCGTCGCGCAAGGATTTGGTGCCATGTCAGATTGTTTATCATTTTCATTTTTTAAAATTGTTTTGTGAAAATAATTTTAAAAATTCTTATTAAAAGGGTTTGGATATATTGATTTACCAATGTTTTATAACTAAATTTATTTTAATAATGTTTCATTTCTCCACATATATAATGTTTGGATTAACAACTACATATATTCAAACATTTGTATTACACAAAATATGTATACTAACATAATAAAATTACAAAAATTTTCATTATTCATCATCTCAACTATAATAACTTTCGTTATCGTCGCTATCATCACTTTCGGTCTCGCAATCCTCCTCCTCCTCCTCTATAACTACATCATCATCGTTGCTCGGGCCCACTGCAACATCATATCACGGAAGATCACCGATGTCAATTGTAATTAACTGAATCGGTATTTCAATTGAAGACACTCCTTGTATTTGAAACAGTTCTTGTATAACATTTGTATCTCGAAGTGTTTCCGCATCATTTTCCGTTGAAGATTCTAAACATTGGTCAGCCACATTGTCGACGTCATTGTCAGTTGGGTCTAGTTCTAGTATAGCATACACGTTCCTATGATCCATCTTCTGAACAACTTTCCAACCGCTCCCGGCTTTAGGGTCATCTAGATACACAATTTGTGTTGCCATGTTTGCCAAAATGTAAGGGTCGTCATCATACCAAGTTTTGTTAATGTTCATAGATAGTAAGCCATGATCGATTTTAACACTTCCCGACCTATTTGGGTTGGTGTCAAATCATCGACACTTAAACATGATCACTTCGTATCGATCTTTGTAAAGCAATTGCATGACAGTTGTGAGTTTGCCATATAAATCAATCTCTGTACTTTCGCCTCCACCTGGGACATGGACACCGATGTTTTGCATACACAACTTGTCATCTCGTGCAATCCCCCAAAAATTTGACATTGTTAACATCACAACCCGAGAACAATTCAGCGCGAATCGGGCCAAATACCAACTTATATAACTCATCACTGTAAGTGGGGGAATTCGATGATTTCAACTTATTCACCTAATATTATTCAAAACCATTCACATGTTAGTCTGACAAAATTAAATAGTACGATTTATATTTGTCAAATAAAAAACACTTATAACTTACAGATTACAGAATCCAAAAATCATTGTGGAAACAATTCACGGTGTTTTTGGGCAACCAAATGTGATGGATGTTCTCGCTTCATCATCTCTTCATGCTCATCTAAGTATGCCATTATCTCATCACAATTGTTTAGTATGAACCAATGCGTTACCTCCATGTCATTTCTAGAAAACGACTCTCCTCGTCCAGGATCTCCAAAGGGTCGTGCGTTTTGGGCAAAAACATAAAGTTTTTCATTTCTCATACCTCCATCATTATTGCACTGAGGACGATTGAAAGCCGTCTCCACATCTTTTAAATACATTCCACAAAAGTAAGTGACTCATATTGATCCTTCGGGCTTCGCCCTGTTACGTACACTTTTTTTCAGGTCTCCGAGAAGCTTGCCAAAATAAAACGATATGAGACAAATTAGCAAACCTGTGATAATGATGCGTACACAAACGATAAGGATTATATATACCTTTCTATTGGATACATCCAGTGATAGTTGACAGGACCAGCAACCAACGCTTCTTCTGGCAAGTGAACCATCACGTGCATCATACTTGTGAAGAAAGCTGGAGGACATATCATCTCAAACTTGCATAGGACTTGGACAATGTCATAGCGTAATTGAAACATGTCTGTCTTTTGCAATGTTTTTGCCATCAGTTGGGAAAAAAATCTGGACAACAACATGATTGGCTTCACTACATCTTCCGGCAATAGGTGTCGAATACCCACAGGAAGTAGGCGTTGCATAAACACATGGCAGTCATGACTCTTAAGTCCAGTAAATTTACCCCCCGTCAACATTCACGCAACGTGCGATATTAGAAGCATACCCATCGGGAAACTTTACAGATGATACAAACTTTAGAAACTCTTTCTTATCATTCGGTTTCATAGAAAAGAATGCAAGATCCCTTCTAGCTTTATCACTGTCCCTATTCATCCATAAACCCCTTCGTATGCCCATTCTTTCCAAATCAAGACGAGCTTTGATCGTGTCCTTTGTCTTGCCCTCGATATCTAGAATCGTGACCACCAATGTGTCCAATACATTTTTCTCAACATGCATCACATCTAGATTGTGCCTCAATTTGAGTTTCGACCAATATGGGAGCTCAAAAAACATAGGCTTGTGCGTCCAGTAATTGTTTTCCCGAACGGAGCAAAATCCAAACGGTTAAGCTGTTCCAAGATCTCATCACCGGACCATTCTCTAAGTCTGAGGCGACGCTCTGTGTTCCTGACGAACTCTTTATCTTTTTCCCTCTACTCGTGGTCCCATGGCAACCATCTCCGATGACCAAGGTAACAAATTTTTCTAGCGTGCCAACCAGAAATTACATCTTCCTTGCATACAGGATATGCCATATAACCCTTTGTGCTTCACCCAGAAACCATTGCAAGGGTCTAATGGGAATGATCAAGGGTGAAGGGCCTAGGTTGGCTAAATCATGGTCGTCTGTGAATCACGTTTGTTTGCCCTTCAACCTACAAAGGCAGAAGCACTGGATCTTACTTGTTGTTGAATTAAAAGAGTGTGAGATAAGGGCATATGATTCAAAAGTAGATCTGTGCAGAACTCAAGCCATCCAACGGGCCGTGCAGCCGGTGGCGAAAATGCTGCCCCAGTTGTTAAAGGAATCTGGATATATTGGCAATGGTCTACTTCTGAAAACTAAGTGGCCAATTATTCATGTCATGGATGCACCCCAACAAGTAGGCGGGTGATCCAACAAGTAGGCGGATGAGTAATATTCCACCTAACCACATTGTCTTATGAAATGGATTTGTTGTACAATGAATCACAGCTTCTTCGCTATGTTTCATGGGATGTACATCCTCAAATACTGCGAGTTTCTGACCTCGATTGTAGACCTAGCCAAGATTTCCCATGACGCCATGCCCTTCTATCGGTTGAAGCTCGCTGTACAGTTGTTGCAGGGATATTGGTAGCTGTGATTCATTAGGAGATACTATAACTTACAAAGTTTTTAACTGGGTGGGTGTAGTGTAGTATATGAACTTGCAAAGTTAATTTAACTGGGTGGGCAATTTTGTTGGTAACAAACCTTATATTCACGAGTTACAAAACAAACCTATTTATAATATAAGGGAAGCTTGAAGAGCTTTCTTCGCATGCTTGAGCGCATCTTTCCCCTTTCTATTTTAGTAAGGTTTTGAAAAGGTAGGTTTCTTGTTTGTTAAGGAACAAAGTCTTCTTTATGATCCAACTCCCCCTTTTCACTTAAAATTAAAGAATTAGTTTTTGTATTCTATTCAAATACAAGCTGTATGAAACCCTCAACACATATTGTTGACAGTATGCTGAACCCGAACCCTAAATGGTGCATGATTCTTTTCAAATGTAGAATAAATAGTAATGTATCTTGTTTGGGGTAAACACGATTGTGAAGTTAAGATGCAAGCATATGAAATGTTGAAGTTTGTCATTGACTAATTGTGCTGAAGGCTTAATTATATTTGTACATTTCCAAAGACATCTTATATGTAGTTGTCAGGATTACAAAATTACAAAACAAATACTTAAACCCAAAATATTTATTACTTTTTCATCAATTTAACAGCCAAATTCAGAAATGATAGAACTAACAACAGTAGGAGGATTTTATTAATGCCCTTCAGTATACGGATTACTTCAGCATATGCATTAAGTTCCTTCACATACACCTGGTTTTGAATGTCGGATTCAGTTGGGGTGTTGGCTGCTATCACCCATTCATAGCCACTACTCCTTGTAGCTCCCTCTATAAAAAAAAATAAAAATAAAAAATAAAATAAAAACTACATTTTTCAATCTGGGATTACAATGTCAAACCATATTCTTTTATCTGGACCAGTTTCAGTTTGGGATTACTGTTTATTATATACAGCTTATTCAGTTTTACATACGAGGTTTGGGAAGATTATACTTACATATGTTGTGAAGCACTTCCAATACGGTCTGCCCAGATTCCTTTCGGATTTGGAAATTAGCTTCACCATCTCAGCATTGCAGTGCCGACACCTCTTTGCTTCAATGTTTGATGAAGAAATCGACATCGCTTTGCCCAGAGTTGAAAATGAAAAAACAGAAGAATTATACCCTTCCAAATATTTGGTCAAAACCCCCAAACTATTTTCCTCCAATTCTGAAAAGGAATTGGATTTTATTATTTGGTCGAAACATATATGGAGTTTGAAGTTTGAATTCGCCTTTTTTGGTCTTGACAATCCGTGAGTGGGAAATTCCAAAGTTGAATATATATATTTTTTAACCCTAATGCATGAGCGGGAAAATACCAAGCATTGCTGTGGGGAATTTTTAATAATTTTTTTACCCTAAACACTCCACCGTAAACCCTAAACCGTAGCCTTAAAGGCATTTATCAAATGAAAATATAAGTAAGCCAAAAATTAAAAGGAAAAGGGGCGTGTGGCGGCATGGGAATGCGCTGCATGCCGCTGAGGTCTGCAGCTCCCCACTCCAGCTCCGCCACTTGGCATTCCATGTGTATTTTATTCTTTTTTTTTCTTTTCTTTTTTTTCTTTTTCAGAAAATCGTAAAAAATACAGGAAAATTCAGAAAAAATGGGGGAAAATTCCTAAGTATGTATCGGGATGAATACTTTGTACTGAAAGTACAATAATGGATTTTGGTGTGAGGGAAAAATAAAATTAGGGAACAAACCCTAGTGTTGGATGATGCAAATGAAAACACTAGTACACCTTTCAAACCCTAGACTCTTAATTGTTCGATCACATTAATTCCGTATAGATATTTATATGACGCGGCCTTTTTCGGGATATTTCATGGAAGGAAATGTCGTCACGAGTCCGGAGGATTTTTTGTGGAATTTTTCCCCTTCCAATTCGATTTTTAAATGAATATTTAATTGGAAATGAATAAAAATTTTGAAAAGGGGCGTGTGGCGGCATGGGAATGCGCCGCATGTCGCTGAGGTCTGCAGCTCCCCACTCCGGCTTCGCCACTTGGCATTCCGTGTGTATTTTATTCCTTTTTTTTTCTTGCAGAAAATTGTAAAAAATACAGGAAAATTCAGAAAAAATGGGGGGAAAATTCCTAAGTATGTATCGTGATGAATACTTCGTACTGAAAGTACAATAACGGATTTTGGTGTGAGGGAAAAATAAAATTAGGGAACAAACCCTAGTGTTAGATGATGCAAATGAAAACACTAGTACACTTTTCAAACCCTAGACTCTTATTTGTTCGATCACATTAATTTCGTATGGATATTTATATGACGTAGCCTTTTTCGGGATATTTGATGGAAGGAAATGTCGTCACTAGTCCGGAGGATTTTTTCTGGAATTTTTCCCCTTCCAATTCGATTTTTAAATGAATATTTAATTGGAAATGAATAAAAAATTTGAAAAGGGGCGTGTGCCGGCATGGGAATGCGCCGTGTGTCACTGAGGGCTGCAGCCCCCCACTCCGGCTCCGCCACTTGGCGTTCCATGAGTATCTTAGAAGATCAAGGATGGCTCAGACCCGGTCTGATTGAAAGGATAATCCCTCATGCGTTGACAACACGCAACCTCCCTAGAATTTTGGTGTCTGTCATCTTCAACGAATGACTGCTTCGGGAATTGAAACCAGCAATTCCCTATTTCAGAACACATAGTCAAACCATAGGACCCAAAACCATCCAAAACATATGCACGCAAGCTACAAAGGTCTATGGAACACAAACGTCTACAAACCTGTACTTAAATTGGATCTTAAAAGTGCACCGATTACAAAAACAGACTTTCAAACCATAAACAGGACTTAAAACCACAAACGTCTACAACATTACCATAAACTGACCTTGAATTAAAAATATTAAACAGAAGGTAAACTTCCCCTGTAAATAACAACAAACAAAACCCAAAACACACTTTAATACCCATATCATACCATGGATATTTAATTTATTAAATCCAACACATCTCCCTATGGAGTTTGCGCTGGAAGCAGTACAGCTCCCTCTTCCATTTGCAGGGTTCACAGTAGTTCCAGGTAGCTACCATGTCAGAGTAGTCGCTCGCCCAGTCCCATGAGAATTTGAAATACCACTCCCGATTACCCTCACAGTTAACGCAGGTAAGAAAAAAATTTCTGTTAGCAGTAAACTTTGCAAGAGTTGGAGGAGTCATCACGCCCGAAATGGTATACCTCATCAGTCGATTAAAAAATGATGCCCTGCATTCTTGCATGTCAATTTTCTTCTTTTTGCTTAGATGCACAACCATTCCATCACATCCTCTTCGCCCTCCGTAGGGTTCACCAGCCCTAGCAAGCCAACAATGTAGGAGGATTCCATATGCCCTGCCTTAGCCGCCACCTGGAAGTTGTTGACAGGCTCATCATCTTTGAATATGAAGAATTGAGTTACAGCTTCTCTGTAAATGATTTATGGATTGTTGTGTTCCTTGCACTTTTGCAAGAACTCAACAAGTTTCTCTTGATAAAACCCGTACCATTCAAGATGCCACTGGTACTTCTCTACAAACACGGTTCGCCAAACCTCAGGATCATTCAGCATTTCTTCAAAAAACTTGCATGTCCCCGTCATGCTGTACAGATCTTCAGAGGAGTGCTTTGCAACCAAAAGCAGCACCTTAAACCATGCTAAGTCTGGGATGTCCATCTGGGTTGTTGGAGAAGAGGGAGTGCAAAAGGTATGTGGAGGAATAATGAGCAGTGTGTCTGGACAAATCAGGAAGAAAGGTATATATTGGAACGAATCGTCGTCACCTAAACTATGGACAAAGACAACATTGGGTTTAGATCATGTATTATTGGCTTCGTTTCCCAACCGGTGTGACTGAAAGGATAGTTCACACACCTCGATGATCCAGGTTTTGGCGGTAAATTGGTCTTCTCCCAGCTCCATGCCTAGGTACACCTCGTGGGTGTTCGCATTTATGATACTACTAATCAACGTCAGCAGTCAAAAAATTAAATATACTTTTTATGATAATGATTATGCAAATATCACATCGCTACTTATGGAGGTAAAATTTGTTGCATTTGAACATGACCATGTGAATAATTTAACAGCCAATTATGAAACAAAATATCATATCAACGCACCATTAACAGTACAAAAAATGAAAATAGTGTTTATGACATCACCAGTTATGAAGGTAATCTGAATTTAATATGAGCAAGTAAACAATTTCGTCTTCTGAAATATGATACTAAATATGAACGCACCATTAACAGTAAAGAAAATGAAAACAATGTTTTATGACATCACCAGTTATGAAGGTAATCTGAATTTAACATGAGCAAGTAAACAATTTCATCTTCTGAAATATGATACTAAATATGAACTCATATCACCAGTAAAGAAACAAAAAAAATGTGCTTGTGTTACTTATAATGCAAATATCACATCACAAGTTGTGAAGGTAACTTACATTTGAACATGACCAAGTCAATAGTTTCATCTTCGCAAATATGATACTAAATACGAACGGTAAAGAAAATTAAAATATCGTATATGATACAAATAATGCAAATATGACATCACCAGTTCTCAAGGTAACTAAAGTTGCAGCTCCCCACTCGAAGTCAACATTGGCATTTTGGCGGGTAAAATGAAAATGAGGACTGCTCTATAAATACCAATGTAAGAGTATTTTACCTCCCATTGCACTTCCACTTGCTCCAAACAAGCCTAAACTCAGAATGGGTTCCCTTACAAAAATCCCCCCCATACTTATAACAACTCCAGCAAAAATTTCAGAACTTTTGTCACAGAAGAATAATAAAGCTGAAGATATTGCTGATGGAGCTGCGAAATCCATAAACTTTTCATCTGAGGACCACGATGATGTAGCTCGGATCGGCAAGATGAGGTATGATGCATTGATCATGGAAATTAAACGCCTGAAGATACGTCTAAGATGGTATCAAGAAACATTGGGGAATGAGAAAAAGAAAGCGAAATTCCACCTTCGATCAGTCCAAATAATGAAAGTGAGGGTTTGGCTTGCGAAATGAAAAGGTGTTCGAAGGTTCAGTACTTCGAATGAGTCTGTGCAGATGAGGAAGCAGAAGCACGCAAAGGGTTTAACCTGTTCCGCGAGTTTGCAAGATGTGTTGTTCCAAGCTACAACTGGGACGAGATCGCCATGAAGTAAACCATCCCTGGATAAAGTTCATTTTGGGGGTTGTCAGTATTTTGTTCGGAACAAATGTGTGGTTCATTTTGAGTACGTTTTTTGGCATTTTGTGTGGGCTCCTGATGGTGTAAAAACTGTGGTTTGAAGTGTTCATAGTTCTTAGGTAATGTATCCAACTGTAAGATGTGAAGGACAACTGTAAACAAATGGGGAAACTATTTTGAGTTTTTTAAGCGTACTTTTGTCTACATAAATTGTTGTGCTTTTATGAAGTTTGTTTATATTATTTTCTGATCACATATTTCTTTGTGTTATTTTATAACGCCTAAAAGGCATGGAATAGAAACAACAGAGGTGGATTTGTTGATAATCCAGGTATTTATGTCACATAGTAATCAAGTAATGGAGGGTTGGCTTTATCTCGTTCGTTTAGGGATGGCAATGGGTTGAATCGGGGGTGGGTATGCCATTTCCATGGCCCGCCCCATTAGGGAAGAAAAAACCAATTATATAACTACTATGTTGAAAAGAAAAAAGAGCAGTAAGACAACATAATGAATACATAGAATACATACTTAGAAGACAATATAACAATGTTTATATATATGTTGGAAGTTAACTAAATAAATAAGTACTGTGGCTTAAGATTTGTATACAATATAATCTACTAATATAAAATATAAAACTTAGTCGATACTCTGTATGTTCATAGCATATTTATAAATGAGGTAAATGCTCTTGTGTGTTTCCATTTTTGGTCATTTGAATAAAATAATGTAGCTATGCAGAAAAATATATTAGTAAATACAATGCTGAATAAATTTATTTGGAAGTCTATTTTTGTTTCCCCATTTTTTAAGTAATTGGGTGAGTTTTGAGGTTTGGGCATTTATTTGATCACTTATATGGTAGCTAATTATGTTCGTAACTTGGCATTTTAGAGGTTTGCTTATTGGTTTCAAATATATAATTTTAGCAATGAAATAACAAGAACCATATTGTGTCTGTCAATTGAAAGGAGAAAATATAGAAATATTTTTCCAAACAATTATATATGAAGCAAATGAAACTGATACTTGTGTTCATATAAATTAGATAATGAACATTAAGGAAATATACTTCTAATTTTTGCAAAATATAATGTTACGGTTCAAAGGAAAACAAGTTATCACCATATTCCAATGATGGAGTGTTCACTCTGTATTGTCACATCAGATGAAATTAAGTACGAAATTGAGTTTTCATAATCACTTTGGATAATTTATAGCTTCCCCCAGTTTTGTAACGGCACAAGGAGTTGGAAGCAATTTTCCGAGCAATTTTCCAAGTTTTCTCCTATTTATTACCATTTTTAAACTAATTTTGCATTACAAAATTTAAAACATAAAGAAATAACACACATGGCGATAGCTGACCGCATCCCCCTTCAGTAGGTGCACATGTGTATGCCAGAGGTCATTGCGACATCCTTCCTTTCCGTGTGAATTGAAATGAATATTGCTATTTTCTTACAAAATTCATAACTAAATATACAAAAATAGGGAAAAAAATTTCGTAAATTGCTATGAACTCATTCAAACGTGATAAATCTTAATTCAAGTGCGTGCTAACATTTTTACTAATCATGCGAGGCTCCTGTGATTAACTAAATCAAAAACTCTGATTACTTTAAAAAAAAATAAAAATAAAAGTGATGGGACAAAAGGAGAAAAAACAAAATGGAAAACTTCCGGACATAATATATAAACGTCGTTTTATGCCTATGGGATACTTATGCCTTACATCTCTCTTTTCTTCTTTCCAGTCCTCTTTTTTGCGTACAAACCTTCAGCCGAATCCCCCAATCTGACGATTTTTTCAACATGTCTGCCAGTTCAAGCACCAAAGCGAATCAGGGGGACTCCGATGGCTCATGGGAATATGCCCCCGATTATCCAAGGTCCCCTCCACCACCGCTGCCTCTTCCAATCTCCTCCGCAAGTGAGGGGGACTCCGATGATCCCACTGTGGAAATAAATGATATGAAGAACAAACTGGAACACAACTCTTCCTTGGTCCATTATTGGACTCAAAAGTGTGTCGGAGCTAAGCAGAAGTTGGCTTATTTGACTCGGCAAGTTAACAAAGCCCGTTACAGAAAAGAGAAGCAGAGAATTCGTGCCCAAAGAAGAAAGCACACAGCAGAGAATTTGCATATGACATAGGAGGATGCTAAGTATGAATCTTTGAGCATCCACAAAGGAGGCAACAACCAAGGCCAGGCAATGTCTGTGGCTTTCAACGAAGGTTTTGAGAAATTCCGACAGTTCGCTGCAAATATCCACAAAGATATTGACTGGGACGCCATAACCCCGTCTACTGCACAGGAAATCATCTCCAGCAGTGCACACCGAACAGAGCAAGGCCACCAACCAGCAAAAGGCAACGATAATGACTGGTGATAGCCATATCACTCCGTAGGCAATCCCTTAGCAGTTGTTTGTTTTTAAAATGCCCGATCTGGGTTAGTGTTTAAATGTGAATGCTCGATCTGGGTTACTGTTTTAATGTTAATGCCCGATCTTGCTTACGTGCAGCTTATTATTTCGTTTTACACTGCTATCAAACCTAGAGTTCAATCACAGTTCGATCACTAACTTCCGGATTAGAAGCGTTCATTTCGTAATAGTGCTCACAATTTTTTGTTTAATTCATTGTCGGTGGGGAGACAATTTGTTTCAAGATTCTCTAACATAGATATTCGTTGGTTGAGACATTACAGAGACATAGTGATTGTTTCAAGATTCTCATACTGACACATAGTCATGGTTTCAAGATTCCCTTGGATATTTTCATATTCATTGCAACCATTTCAAATTTGTGTAGAAAACCCCTTGCATGATTCCCCCAAACTCATTCTCCTTCAAACAAGGGCTTTAGGTTCTGAAAATCCCAAAGCCCCAGAGGACATCTGGGACATCCACCTTCAACAAAAGATTTTTCCAGCAACTCAAGGTTACGCATGGAAAGCATTGTGCCGTTCACGACCAAAAAATATGTAAATAGGTATCAATAAATGTTAAAACTCCAGGACCATAAATGAAATCAAACTATTCCAGATAGTTATGTGTTTAATAAACCATAGTTCAGTATCAATGGACATGAGGCATTTACCTAAGATTCACTAACGCTTCCAGATACTTTCAAAAATGATGTAAATAAGTATCAATAATTGTTCAAACTCCGGGACCATACATGAAATCAAACTCTTGCATAAATAACTCTGTCATAGTAGGTTCACTATCCTGCGTGCTATGAGTGGGCTGCAAATTCTCACCAACTGGACCACCAAGTTCTGTGTCGGAAGATGAAGAGCTGCCACATCGAAAAAATAATCACTACTACAAAATAGTTAAACCACGACACAAAATAGACGACAATGTATCTTAAAACCGTCGTTATGTTTTAAAAGACGACGGTATTTTTAAAACCGTGATGATATATCATCTTATACGCTACTAGAGTTGGGTTGATTTTTAAAAGACGACGCTTATAACTAACAAGCATCATCTTTTAAAACACACTAAACCAAAAAATGGACACTTGATTTTTTAAAAACGACACTTATCACTAACAAGCGTCGTCTTTTAAAACACTCTGAAAAAAGGCAGCTTAAGTGAGTTCGCGCTCGACCAAAAAATTTCAGATTTCCCCCGTCTCTGAAAACCTTCTCTCTCCCTCCTTGAAACACTCCTCAACTCTCTCAAACACCCTCGTGAAACTCTCTGAAACAATGTAAATGTGTGGAATTGGTCCAAATAGAAAGGGTTGCTGTTATTAAGCGCAACTATGGCTTACATAATATTATTTAGGATGCTAAGCAGGTCTTTAGGGGTTCTAATAGGTGGAATTGGAGTATTTCTGAAGTAATGGAAAGCTTTTTTATGGCTGCTGGGAGTGTGGATAGGGTAAAGGTGAGATTGCGGAAGTATTGTTGGGGTGGTGAAGAACCATTTTGCTCTAGTTTCATAGTTTATTTAGATTGTCCAGTTTGTAGAATTCTAAGGTTGATGGATTGGATTGTGGTTTTCAAAGAAACTTGAATGAGGAAGAGAGGAGAGAAGGGAAAAGCGTTGTTGTAAGGAAAACTAAACTGTTTTGGAAAAACAATGTAAATGTGAGACAGCTGCACTCTTTACCTCGTGTTTTGTTATGTATGTTGGTGATAGTAACTATTAATGTAGTTATTAAAGGTTATATCTTGTTGAAATATTTGATATGCTACTATGTGTCAGTAAGAATATGTTGAGACATTTATTCTAATATCATTCACAAAGCATTTTATTCCAATTCTACTATTGTGCATTTGAAAGCAGAAGAAAAGACCGGAAACATATCAGAGTTGGAATTTGAGGCAAGGTCATCAAAAGATGGGGCATGGTTAGCATACAAACAGGGGTGACTTTGTCATTGGATTTCTTGGTGGTCCTTTTATGTTTAGTTCATCAGAATCTTGTTATTACTACTATAAGCTCTAACTTGTTGGCTATTAGCATATTTTATGGTACACCTCTTAACAAGGTTTTCAGCAGTACAAGGAAGACCTTGTGTTTAATTGGGCGGGCTTGGAAAGCTAGGCTTATATTAGATCATAGAAAAGATTGATATGAGGCATTTGATGCAGGATTTAAGGAATGAATGATCATGCACACTTTAATGAGCCTGACAACTGTAGAAGTTTAATGCCTCAAGGTCTTTTTAACCACCTCAACTTTAAAACAAGAGGTGGGGCAAAACATAAAAGATATAATGAAGATTTAAGTACAGTTTCAATGCACGAGTATTTCCTAAATCTTTTGCTATTCAACTTGTTAGTGACCATGAAAGACTTCCTAAAATCTGTGCCTCTTTGAATTGTATGTTCTGATTGCCTAGTGCAAACATAGCTACCCTGATAGTAATTGTAAAGGAAAGATAATATTTTCTCAACACTTTAATTTGAATGTGATGTTTTGCCAATTAGATGCTCTCTCTGTTCCACCGTCTTTTCGCCACTCTCTATGGAGTCTGAATCTCAATATCACTTTGCAGGTATGATGTTGAGTCGTTCCTTTTGCTCACAGGTCTCTTAGTTTGGGGGATACTGTAAGTATTTAAATCGTAACCTTTTGCTCTATTGATGATTATACTGCTAACTCCTTCCAATTTACTGTGGGCTAAACTGTCAGTCCATATAAATCTAACTGGAGACCAGACTTAAATTTAGAAAATAGTGTACAAAAGTTCGTGTCATAAATTCATAAAATGGATTTTTGTCATTTATTAATGGAAGTTCGTGTCAGATTTGTTGGATTTGGAGCCAAAGAAGATGAGTGGGTCAATGTGAGAACAGCAGTGCGAGAGTGCTCTATACCACTGGAGCATTCAGAATTTCAAAATTAGAAGGTTGGAGACCTTGTCCTCTGCTTCCAGGTAATTCCCAAAGTTGTAGTCTGTTTTGGTATACTATAACCAACAGTTTCAAGTTGGTAGTGTTCACGTTTTGGTGGTTTGAGTTAATATTTGTGTTGTATTTGAAACATTTATACTTCTTATTTTTTCCCCTTTATGCTCATATGTTTGCCCCTTTATGCTCATATTTTTGGTTTCACTTCTCTACATGGAGCACTTGGTGTTATCTTGTTAGTTATGGATACTATTCGCACCCTTCAGGTATGTATATTTTCCTCATGACCATGTTTATTGAAACATAAAATCAGTGGATAACTAAATAGTATTATTAAGTTTGTATCTGATGTGACAGGTGCATAAACAAACTGTTCTTTAAAGCACTGTCTCAAGCTTCATTTCTAAAGATTGATGTTAATTTTACAAGCCAAGAAGGAACACGCTTGCTGATACTGCTACAGGGGAGGGGAATGCAACAACATGGCAAATGTGCAAGAAGACAGAGCTAACTCACAACCAAGAACAAATTGATGTTCAAATCGAATTGGTAGAATTTGTGAGCAATCACATGTAGCTTCATTAATTAGGTTAATGCTATCGATGTGGTAGGAAGTATGTATGTAGTAGGAATAAAGATTGGTTAACTATGTAATTACTATTGAATCTTCAAATTTTATGAAATAAACAATTTTTGAGTGTATATATTCATTAATAAAGCATTACGGTTAGTTTTCTAGTAAAAATAGTTGTAGAGAATCCTAGGAAACAAAACAACTAAAATATAACAACATGGGAACTTATTAGACGACTAAACTAAAATGTAATCAACGATGGTTTTATTGTAAAACTGTCGTCTTTACACACAATCATCGATGATTTTTAACATAAAAACCATCGTCTTTATAAACAATGTTTAACAAAAACCCGTCATCTTTCTATACAATCAAAGACAGTTTTAAGTAAAAACCCGTCTTATTTTTCCTACAATTAACGACGGTTTTAAACAAAACGTTGTTGTTACCACTAAATAAGGACGATTTAAAAAGAAAAAACCGTCGTCTATATGTCAAAACAATGACGGTTTTTAAAAAAACCATCGTCTTTACAGATAAACAACGACGGAGAAAAACCGTCGTAATTTGATACTCCAAAAGATGGTAGTCGATTTAACGACGATTTTCAAAGTATCACAACGACGGTGAATTACCGTCGTCTATTTTGTCTTTTGTAGTAGTGAATAATAATAAACATCAACAACATAAATTTCAAAGCACAATATAACACATATTCATTTACGGGCTCGCAAGTTTTGGACAACTCCGTCTATCATGATCAGTCTTCCTACATTCAGTGCATCGACGTTTATGTCGTTGCGCTGCCTTCTCTTTTTCTCCTTTAACTCTTTTAGCACGGCCTTTTACTTTCACTCGATGTGGATCTTTGATTCTAAGTTGGGGATAACTAGTTCCGACATCTCCATTGGGTTCTTCGACATGAGCTCTTGATGACACCAACCTTGTAAGCTTCCCACGAATGTCCTCAAAAATTTTTTCCAGCAACTCAAAACCTTCATCACACAACAAAGCCGAATCAATCAAATCACTTGCAACTTTGCAAACTTTCGATCTCTTAACCAAAAGCAAACCATCAACGCAATTGTTAACTTCTTTGTGATTCTTATCATATATTACAGTGCTTTTCGCACTTTGAAGCCATCGTTTCAATATGTACTTGTCTAGCAAGTGCTCAACCTGCTTCATTCTTAAGAATGCTAGGATGTGTCGGCACGAAATACCCCAAAATTCAAATTCTTTGCAGCTGCAATAAGCTTTATCGGCATCTTTATCGTGCACAAAATCCTTCATCTGTGTCACCCCCGGATTTACCCGCTCACTTACTTTGTATCTGCACTGAGTCTCATCTTGCTCTACAAGTTCGAACAAGCATAAAAGACTTCTAAAGTCTTTTCTCTCAAACATTTTCAGAATTTCCCGAGTGTAAATGCGTCCCATTTGATGTTGCATTGGTGTTTGAAATGGCAGTGGAGGTTTTTCATTGTTATCAACATGATCAGCCATTAACTCCTTGTGTCTTTGTGAAGCAAGAGCTCTCTCAAAACGTACAATGAATTCCATCAATGTGTTTTTCTTGTTAATATATTGTGTGAAAAATGAATGACAACTTTTGGCCCATTGACTACTTGACATCCCAGCCGAAAACACATGTTTTACATATGATGGAACCCAATTCTCCCGCATAGCATGAATTGAGCTCAGCCACGCATGGTCTTGCAGCCCATTGTTTGTGATGATTTCCTCCCATTTCGCATCAAATTCTTCTTTCTTGTCTATACCCCATATGCATTTGCACATTTCCGAAAAACATTCTCCAATGCCGGGTTTCTCTGTAATCTTATTCAAGATATTCCATATGCAATATCTATGGAATGTTGTCGGGAGAGTTACAACAATTGTCTTTGACATGGCTGCATCTTGATCAGTGATGATCATTTTGAGTGGCTCACCCATCATGGCTTTCTTGAATTCCTCTAACAACTATACAAATGAATCCGTGGTTTCGCTAGTTAGGAATGCACAACCAAACAACATTGTCTGCCGATGGTTATTAACGCCTAACAAAGGCGCAAAGACCATCCCATAGCGGTTTGTGTTGAACGTCGTATTAAATACCACCGCATCTCCAAAAAACCCATAAGCTCGTCTTGACCTTGCATCTGACCAGAAAACATTACCCATCCTTCCTTCCGAATCTACCTCCATCTTGAAATAAAAGGATTCATTCTTTTCTTGCATAGCCATAAAATACTCCTTAAGCAGCTCTGCATCATGGCCAATCACCTCTCCACACACGTCCCTTAGATAATTATAGACATCTCTCTTAACAAACCCAATATTTTCCAACCCTCCTACTTGCACCTCAAGAAGGCTTAACTGTTTACGTACCAGAATATTAACTTTGCTCATATCTGCACTATACACCTTTGTAGACTCTGTTAAGTTACGGTGAGATCTCAATAGATGGACTTTATCAACTGTGGTCATGTCATGGTTGTGTACCTCATTGAATCCTACAATAATGTACTTATTCTTGTCTTTCACCTTCAATATCGCAAGTTTAGACTTGCAACCAGTTCGAGTACAACCTCGCCGCCTTCTCTTACGACTAACAATGCCTGTCAACGCATACCCCTGTTTATAACATACATATTCCTTCCTTGTTACCTCTCCTGTCAGTGTGCACGTCCTCATTGTAGAACACCGAATGCCGAATCCGGCTTCCGCAACATACATATTATAGAAATTGAACACATCGTCACAGCAATCAAATTAAAGTCCCAATTTTGGTTTCAACTCCGACCTTACTTCCGATGTCACCTGTCCTTCACAATCCATTTCACAGTTCTTGCAATTTAACCCTGAATTCACCACTATCATACCAATATTGGCACATGCTTTTAAATAGCTTTAAAATATATATATTAACTAACATATGACATGAAAATGATTCCCTGGTGAAATATTAAAGACTTACATACAAACTAAAGTAACTCATGCTTATGCCCAATAATAAACTTGACAAATACAGTATAAAGAGCTTCAAAATATATATATTAACTAACATATGATATGAAAATGACTCTCTGGTGAAATATTAAAGACCAACATACAAAATGATGTAACTCATGCTTATGTCCAACAATAAACTTGACAAATACAGTATAAAGAGCTTTAAAATATATACGTTAACTAACATATGATATGAAAATGATTCTCTGGTGAAATATTAAATACCTACATACAAACTAATGTAACTCATGCTTATGCCCAATAATAAGCTTGACAAATACAGTATATCACTTACCTCATGAGCCATTTCCAATCCCTGTTTCTCTAGACGTCAACCCATGTTTCGACCGTGCTCAACGATTTCAAAACCAAGAGAACAACACAACGGTCGCGGTCACCAGTTTCCAACTCAAGACGTTGCTCAAGGATTGACGAATGTTCTTTCCAACTCAAGATGTTGCTCAAGAATTGACGAATGTTCCAACCAGAAAGACCGAACCAGAAAGACCGAATGAGAAATTGAACAGCTGAATGAGAAACCCAGAAAATTGAGGGCTATACTTCTGTGTTCTTCCTGGAATCGAATAAGGAATAACAGGGGCGCTCTCTCTTCAGTGTTATTGGCCTTGCTCAATCAAAGCTGATAAAAAAATTGGCCACTTATTTGAACAAACCGAATAGCTGGATTGGAAGGGACGTCTGTTTTGAAGGGGATGTCTATTTTCGATTCGACGTTTTGGAGGGAGGAGAGAGAATAAGGCCTCGTTCTAATATAACACTTACACTTACAATTGCTTTTGATGCAACCGTTAGATTAGATCCAATGGTGTTCTCACGTAACGTTCGCACATAAGCGTTCTCACCTGATCCAAACCGAACAACTAATTAACTTGATGTGCCGCCTAACGGACACCCAATTTGATTTCAAAATGTGGACTAGCAACAAAAAATCGGCTAGGATATAATCTTATATAAACCAACCTTCACCTCGAGGAGAAGGTATCTGTTCCTTGAAACTAAAAAACCCTACTTTACTCATTGCTCACGACTAACTTTGGCATTAGAGAATCTTTGGCTCACACCAGTGTCTAAAGGTTAAACTTTGTCTCTTTCTTCTTAGTTTGAAGGCACAAAAGTCCTTTCAAACTGCCGAAGAGATTCATTCCCCACATTAATGCTATGATTTTTATTTTTATTTTAAAATTTGGCTACCATCTGTCCAAATGAATTAGAATATCGCTTGACTTCTCAGTGTTGCAAAAATATCATATCTTTTCTCCGGAAAATATGACTTCATTTTCCATGACTCCAATCCAAGAGTTGGTTACTTATCATAGACCACTTCCATCGAAAGCCAATCTTGTAAATAGCAAACCTTCACATCAAAGGAGAATTACCAAAATATGAATTGTCGGTGAATTTACAGATTGGACCACAGAAATCTAGGATCTTGTTCATAGAATTTCAAACCAAAAATTGACTAAGATTTTGAAAGAGATTTTTTTCTCCAGAAACGAAAATTGAATGGCAATAACTCAAATGTGGTTCAAGATGTCTGAACTATCAATAATGTCGCGTCCTTAACTGGAAAGGTCTATTCTCTCTGCTCTTTGCTATCATTATCTTGCAAAACTTCACATCAACTATTTATGTCGAAACTAACTGACCGCAGATTCAACAAGAAAACAAGTCTATGAACATGAAAATGATAGGTACCAAGGACCAGAAAGGGAAATAAAGCAGAAAGAGAAATGATTTTTCATTCATGCCTTCTGAACCACTTTTCTTGATAGAAAAATATCATTCTACAAACAAGCTTCTAATTCCCTACTACAACAAGATTCTGTAATTACATACAAGGAACTAACAGTGCGCATGCTCAATAAGTGTACTTCATGAGATAGAATCCTTCCCTTTGTTTTGCACCAACGATCCAAAATCTTTAGGTGGCCATATCTAATGACAAAAAGATCAAAAATAAGAAATCTTAGTATTCTAGTAGTAGAAAATAGAAATACCCAAGAGACAGTTCATTGTTCACATCCATTGGACTTCAGTTCTAGCAGTGAAAATACATGTTCTCAATCTTCCCTGGGAAAAACATAACAGCATGTATCCCATCACTTGCAAATTTTTACCACATATTCATTACTATTTGAACTTCTATCGAACTACACATTATACAGTCTCTCCCAAACCCGCTAATCATACCACTCATAAATTCAAAGGCATATCCTTTTAACAATTCCACTTGAAAACCAACATAGATGTGTTCCTTTATGCTGAGCGATTCAATCTAAAACCAATGTAAAAGGATGCATATGCAAATAATTCAAATTGAGGTACAAGAAGAAAAGATTCTCACCCTCCAAAATACTCTGCCTTGTAGAAGGCCATAAGGAACTGGCCCGAATTTTCTTGAATCATTTGACTCATAGATGTTGTCTCCCTCTATCCAAACATGCCCCTTAGGAACCTACTAGCACCAACAACAACAACATAATCTCCTAAATCCCAAAACAACAAAAATGCAAACTTTCAAACCCAAAAACCCAGAGCCCAAAACAAAACCAACACTACAAGCTTAAAAGTGGAACATTAACATACCACAATAGTCTCAGACTTGTCACTGTTCTTAGGGTTGACAACATATGTAACAGACTGGCCTTCCATGGCTATCAAGCGCTTGGTCATGAACTTCCAAGGAACCTCAGGGGACTGTACGAGTACAATGTCCCCAACACCCAGTTTGTCAAACTGGGTCGAGATGCGTTCAGCCAAGCACAAATTACCGGCCAGGCCAAGGGTTGGGAGCATGCTGGGACCGTAGGACTGTATACACAGAATCACAACCCATTTCAATTCCCTCTGGTAATATTTTTACCTCAGCTCATTGAATTTAAATCCCATAAAAAAAAACATTAAAAAAAAAGAGAATTGTCTAAGAATGAGAGTGGTGTGATTAGAACTTACCAGAGTGATGGTGAAAAGGTGTGTCTTGGTGACTTGGAGGCAGCAGAGGAACTTTACCAGTCGTGGAAGGATGTCGCTTACGTCTCTCCCTGCGTTTTTAAATGCCTCCAAAGCCAAAAACTCCCTTATGTATCTCGACGCCATGGGAGAGTACAGAGCATATACAGACAGTTGGGGGAGAGAGAAGGAGGTCGTATAATCTTTGAGATGGATAACAAGTATATACATTAACATGACACCTACCATAAGTTAGGGCCCGGTTGGATGGAAGCATTTGGATTTCAAATCCATGCATTTGAAATTCACATAAAATAATAGATAATAAGATGAAAACTAGTGATGGAATGGTACATAAAATGAAAACTAAAACATAAAACAATTTCCAATTTTTTTTCAAGTTTTTCATACATTCTCCATTTCCCCATCCTCTCCTCTTTCCTCTTCCCTCCCTCCTCCCTTCTCCCTACCTCATTTCCTGCACATGATTTTTTCTCTCCATCTTTAACTTAAAGTATAGAAGAAATTAATAACTAAATAAATAAAACTCATAGCCGAAAGCAAAATGGTTGCAAAGCAGCCCTGACATCCATTACAACATATCACATCCACTGAAAAACTAGTCAACTTCTCAAACCCAAAAGTTTTTAAAAGCTATGCTGCATCTATAGCATACTGAGAGAAGTCTCTTCCCTTCAAGCATAACATTAATTGCATCCATATCAGCTTCAACTTAGGAAGCCCTAATAGTACAAAAGAGAAAATTTAAACAGTCGGATGAAAACTTTAGAACAGGATTTAGAATAGACCAAAACTACAATAATCAACAATCAAAGGCCTAAAATTATGAATTAAATAACCTTGCCTAAAGTTTTCAACCAGTCTCGGCACTTTTACCAGAAGCAGTCAGCTTTTTCCAGAAGAAAGATAAGTTAGCAATACCAAATAGCCCACCTAACCTACGCAAATCATGTTCTGTTGTACCTCCATAACATCTAATTAATTACATATGAAAATAGCAAAAGAAAAAAAAAGGTAAAAAGTTTTACTACCCAGTTGTATCAATCAAAATAATTAACTGAAAAAATGGAAATCACAAAGAATTGTATTTTACATATGATTTAACAGAAATTGAAAAAGAAGCTGACCCTGGATTTGGCAGTCAATTGAGTGCAAATAGCAATTACAGCGACTGCAATCTGAATTCTAGGGTTTCAGATGAAAACGATGACGTCTCTGCTCCATGCAAGCCTTTTTTGAGTGCTACTACCACTTTATATTGAATCCACCCTGAAATACAAGGGCATTATTTGGCATAAGTTGCTATTTAATCATGTAGCTAAGTTGCTCCCAACCTCAAGAGCTTTACACAGATGCTGATATAGTCCTCAGTGGTTGTAAGATTATCTTTGTAGCAGAGTCAATGATTGTAGACAAGGCAAAGCAAGTATATATTTGATTCTTTTCACAAGCCACAAACAGAAATATCTAAATACTTTTGCCATAACTAGAACCATAACCAATTGATACAAAATGCTAAATTCTGCTTTTATAAAACCATCAACCAGATGCTAGAGCAACTTTTCATCAAATTCAAAACAGATTTTACAACAAAACAATATTAGGAGACACAAATGAATGATTCATACAGTGACATTAAATTTTTAAACCAATGCCAGACAAAGGTCCCAAGACACGTGCACACACAGCCA